CGAGGACTCTGAGAAATCTAAGAAGGAGGGTGAAGAGACAGATAGCAAACCGGATCCCCTTACCCAACTGGTTACCACCTTCTGTCGCGGCGCCATGACGGAACGTAGCGGTGCCCTCCAAGAGGATCTGCTCTACATGTCCTACGCCCAGATCGCAGCCAAATCCACGGGCAAGGAAGAGGAAGAGGGTGGCGACGAGGAGGGCGGTGAGGGAGGCGAAGAGGGCGAAGGCACCAGCATCCATGTAAGTTAATCCCAACTAACTTACACCCACTAACAACAGCTAATATCCCAAAAACCCGACATGTCTGACCCAGTGTCGGATGAGGCAACTAATGGTAACTATTCCTTCAGCTGATATTACTAATAAATCGCTTTGTTCTTAAGACCTTGCAGGGATTTTTATATTTTAAACCCAAAAAACACAGCTTAACTCTCATCTAATATTATCCTTTCTGAAACTAAATCGCTAACTCTCCCACAGGAACAAGAGATGGAGAAGCAGAAACTGCTCTTCCATCAGGCACGTCTCTCCAATCGTGGCGTTGCCGAAATGGTGCTGTTGCACATTTCCGCCTCCAAAGGTATACCTTCGGAGATGGTAATGACGACACTCAATCTCGGCATCGCCATTTTACGCGGAGGCAACATCGACATCCAAATGGGCATGCTAAATCATCTGAAGGAAAAGAAGGACGTCGGATTCTTCACCTCGATTGCCGGACTAATGAACTCCTGTAGTGTACTAGACCTGGACGCCTTCGAGCGAAACACCAAAGCAGAGGGTAAGTTCATCCGCCCCAAAATCCCGCTCGCCGATCTCCTCCAGCTTTCAGTTGCCGTACCCGTTAACTTTGGTTCGCACACTTCTAAGTTCGATTACTGTATTGATTTGAATCTACTTCCTTCCGACTTATTTCCCAACCTCCCAACACCATCATGCCTCGCATGCTATTACCACCAACCAACCAAACACCAACCCACCAATCCCGTGTACGTGATTCCCGCTATCGTTGTACAAACCCACCCAAATTTGCCACACGAACAAAGAGTATATTCCGAGTGCGGGTGCAGGTCTTGGTGTAGGTTCCGAGGGCGCCGCTGGAGAGAAGAACATGCACGACGCGGAGTTTACCTGTGCTCTGTTCCGGTTCATCCAACTCACCTGTGAGGGCCACAACTTGGGTAAGTCTAATGCTAGATATTATGAATGTTAGGTATCCTTAACCTAATCCTTTACAGAATGGCAAAACTATTTGAGGACCCAAGCCGGTAACACCACCACCGTAAACGTGGTCATCTGCACTGTGGATTACTTGCTGCGTCTGCAGGAGTCCATCATGGACTTTTACTGGCACTATTCGAGTAAGGAGATCATCGATCCAGCCGGAAAGGCCAACTTCTTCAAGGCCATTGAAGTGGCTAGCCAAGTGTTCAACACCCTTACTGAGGTCATCCAGGGTCCTTGTACCCTCAATCAGCAGGCTTTGGCCCACTCAAGATTGTGGGATGCCGTCGGTGGATTCCTCTTCCTGTTCTCTCATATGCAGGATAAGCTGTCGAAACACTCCAGTCAGGTGGATCTGCTCAAGGAACTGCTGAATCTGCAAAAGGACATGATCACCATGATGCTTTCCATGCTGGAAGGAAATGTTGTCAACGGTAAGAAGATTTCATTACCAACTTTTCGACTGCTAATTTAAATTGATATGTCCTTCACCAGGCACCATTGGTAAACAGATGGTGGACACGTTGGTGGAGTCCGCCAGCAATGTGGAGCTGATCCTTAAGTATTTCGACATGTTCCTGAAACTGGCCGACCTTATTGAATCGCCCAGCTTCCACGAGGTGGACATGAAGAACGAGGGTTGGGTCACACCCAAAGACTTTAGGGAGAAGATGGAGCAGTCCAAGAACTACACACCGTAAGTGGAGAACTCGGATTACAAATTTTAGGGAGATTATAATGCTGGCTTTTATAGGGAAGAAATGGATTTCCTTTTGGCCTGCTGCGAGCGCAACCACGAGGGCAAGATCGACTACCGGGCCTTCGTGGAGCACTTCCACGAACCATCAAAGGAGATCGGTTTCAACCTGGCTGTGCTGCTGACCAACCTTAGCGAACACATGCCAAACGAACCCCGCCTGGCGCGCTTCCTGGAGACCGCCGGATCGGTGCTGAACTATTTCGAGCCCTTCCTGGGACGCATTGAGATCCTGGGCAGCTCCAAGCGCATCGAGCGAGTTTACTTTGAAATCAAGGACTCAAACATAGAGCAGTGGGAGAAGCCTCAGATTCGCGAGTCTAAACGTGCCTTCTTCTATTCCATCGTTACCGAGGGTGGTGATAAAGAGAAACTGGAGGCCTTTGTCAACTTCTGCGAGGACGCCATCTTTGAAATGACCCATGCCTCAGGACTGATGGCCACTGATGACGGTGGTGGCAACGTTAAACGAGATACAGCCTATAGTTCCTACATGAGCGAGGAGGAGGAAGAACGAGCCGCTCGAGATCCCATCCGTCGCACCATCACCGCTGTCAAGGAAGGACTCAAGTTCGGAGTGCACATGCTCAGTCCGGCGAACATCAAACACCAGATCGGCGTGATGCAGACGAAATCTATCCCTGAACTTATTGTTGGCTTTTTCAAGATTATCTTTTACATTTTCTACTACACCGGATATGCGCACTTCTGTGTGGTGCGATACATATTTGGCATCCTGCTGAACCTAATGAGAGGACCTGCTCCGGAGCAGGAGGAGGAACCTGTGGTGGAGGAGGAGACGTTTGGAAGAGCACTGCCGCCGCTGCCATTGGAGGAACCGCCGGGCACAGTACAAGCTTTTGGACTGGACATCAACAAGGAGGAGAACGGCATGTACAAGGTGGTAGTGCACGAGTCCCCAGCCAATTCATCAATGGAGGAGGGCGGAGAGTCCAGTCCAGAGGATGGAGCTGCCGCTACAGGAGAATTGGTTGAAGGTGAACCGCACCAGGAGCCTATATCTATTGTTGATCTGCTGGGTGGAGAGGCCGCAAAGAAGGCAGCTCAAGAGCGACAGGAAGCACAAAAGGCACAGGAGGCGGCCATGGCCTCCATCGAGGCTGAGGCCAAGAAATCATCTTCTGCGCCACAGGAGACTCCTGCCGTTCACCAGATCGACTTCTCCCAGTACACCCATAGGGCCGTCAGCTTCCTGGCCAGAAACTTCTACAACCTTAAGTATGTGGCTTTGGTGCTGGCCTTCAGCATCAACTTTATGCTGCTCTTCTACAAGGTCACTTCATTCACCGAGGAATCGGACAGCTCTGCAGAGGAAGAGCTCATCCTGGGCTCCGGCTCGGGAGGTGGTGCGGACATCACGGGCTCTGGTTTTGGCGGATCAGGAGACGGGGGATCAGGCGATGGCGAAATGGAAGACGAAATACCGGAACTTGTGCACGTTGACGAGGACTTCTTCTATATGGAACACGTGCTGCGAATTGCGGCATGTCTTCACTCTCTGGTTTCCTTGGCTATGCTGATTGCCTACTACCATCTCAAGGTTCCACTTGCCATCTTCAAGCGGGAGAAGGAGATTGCCCGTCGGCTGGAGTTCGAGGGTTTGTTCATTGCGGAGCAGCCGGAGGATGATGACTTCAAGTCGCACTGGGATAAGCTGGTGATCTCGGCGAAGAGCTTCCCGGTCAACTACTGGGACAAGTTTGTTAAAAAGAAGGTTCGCCAAAAGTACAGCGAGACATACGACTTTGACTCCATCTCTAATCTACTGGGCATGGAAAAGAGCACTTTCGCGGCTCAGGAGAGTGAGGAAACTGGCATCTTTAAGTATATCATGAACATCGACTGGCGTTATCAGGTTTGGAAGGCCGGCGTTACCTTTACGGACAACGCTTTCCTCTACTCCTTGTGGTACTTTAGCTTCTCGGTGATGGGCAACTTCAACAACTTCTTCTTCGCTGCCCATCTGCTCGATGTGGCTGTAGGATTCAAGACCCTGCGAACCATCCTTCAGTCCGTAACCCACAACGGCAAGCAACTGGTCCTCACTGTGATGCTATTGACCATTATAGTATACATCTACACGGTAATTGCGTTTAACTTCTTTAGAAAGTTCTACATCCAGGAGGAGGACGAGGAGGTGGACAAAAAGTGTCACGACATGCTTACTTGCTTCGTGTTCCATCTGTACAAGGGTGTTAGAGCGGGCGGTGGCATTGGTGACGAGATCGGAGATCCAGACGGAGACGATTACGAGGTCTACCGTATTATCTTCGACATCACGTTCTTCTTCTTCGTGATCATTATCCTGCTTGCCATCATCCAGGGTTTGATTATCGACGCCTTCGGAGAGCTGCGCGATCAGTTGGAGTCAGTGAAGGACAACATGGAGTCCAACTGCTTTATCTGCGGGATGGGCAAAGACTTCTTTGATATAGTACCGCACGGCTTTGACACGCACGTTCAGAAGGAGCACAACCTAGCCAACTACATGTTCTTCCTGATGCATTTGATTAACAAGCCGGACACGGAATACACCGGCCAGGAAACGTACGTGTGGAACATGTACCAGCAACGAAGCTGGGACTTCTTCCCCGTAGGAGACTGCTTCCGCAAACAGTACGAAGATGAGCTATCCGGCGGAGGCGGCGGCGGTTAAATGCCGAAAAGCTTGCATCTGCTTTCTGGGCACAATCACACTGGCACTGGACGGTCCAAGGACTCTCTCGGGATCCACTTTTGTATCGGTACTTTGACAACATCTGGAATTTTTACCTAGTCAAGTTTAGCAATGTATTTTAAGCAATATCCTACAAAATCGTTTTTATGTACGTAGGAGGACGATCTGTTTCCAAAATGATATATTGATGACGATTCTAGCACGTATAACAACAAATGTTCTTAACTCATTTTAAAATAAATCTATTCATTTTGAACGAACATTGCATAGCATTGCCATTTAATACCCGCGTTGATAGACAAAATCAAGTAAAGCTCTATCGATTTAACATCAATCTTTATTAAGTAATGCTGGTTAGTAGAATTATTTACAAAAGGAGAGCAAAAGTTTTTCAATAAATGTTAATTCTTTTTAATGGTGTAAAAACAGTCAATTACTTAGTATCTATTTCGTTTCTAGATCGTATGCAATAAAGCATGTAACTTCAAATTGTTCTAGACATTCATTCAATTATTTAGTTACTTTTAGTTTATTCTTGTAAAAACCATTATTCATTTGTGTTCTTATTTACAAATACAAAATGACCTATTAAATCTATGTTATGTTATCAACGATTGACAGTTTAAAAATATTAAATAACAGTAACAATATCTGATTTATCATAAAAACTATATTTTTGCGTTTTTCACTTAAACCGAATTAACAAATGTTTAACTTTCAACGAATTAACTCAATACTAACATTCAACAGTAAAGGAAACAATTTCAATTGAGGCAACTGATCACATAATTTACCATCGTTTACACCTATTTTACGTTTCGTAACATACAAAAATCACAGTTGAATGTGGACAAACGTTACGTATGAAAATTTAATTGCATTACAATCGAGACTTGTAATTTTCCTAATCTAAATGTGTGCGGTAAGTGTAAAATTGAGTGTATATATGCAAATTCGTCTATATCTGCGGTATATATGTTTGTATATTTGACTAAAGCTTTCACAACTATAGCCCAGCTGCTGGGGGCCGTTAGATAAAAATAAAAATATCCGGCGGCTGGGACGATTGACTAGCGGAAGTTGTACAACTGAAAGTAGTACAAAATCAGGACAATAAAAATGGCGGCGAAATATCAGTAATCTAGTCGCTTCTTCAGGCGGAAAAACTCGGCGTTATCGATACTTGTCAGATTGTCCATGTTCAGGTTGCGCAATGTCTTCACGCCGGACAGACGCTCCTCTAAATCGGTGTACATGCTTCGGCATCTATAGATGGAAAGCGTCTGCAGGCAGCTGCAGTTGGTAATGATGGCGTCCAGCGTGTGTTCGGTCAACTGGCTGCAGCCACTGATATGCAAGGCACGTAGCCGGGGCAATTTAGCAGTAACCACCTGGATGGTCTTGTCCGTAATGTTGTAGCAGTCGGACAGGTCGAGCTCTTCAATAGAGGGACAACTACTGGCCATTGCCTCCATTCCTAGCAGCGATATTTGTTGGCAGTTCGAAAGCATAAGCCGCCTTAACTCAATATGCTTCAGGCCGTACTTTAACGATACATCGCTGATCTTATTACAGCCACGCAGGTTTAACGACCGTAATCCCCGCAACTGCTGTATGTTGTGACCCTCAAAATCATCCTCGCGTATTAGGTTCATTTCGTAGGCTGCTAGCATGGCCTGTTTTCGTCTGGCATCCCGTACAATTTCATCCTCGGCCTTGCTTCTGAGCGATATCTTGATGGACTGCAGTGATCCCGCCAGGCTGTCTCGTTCCGCCAACGTGTTAGCGTACGGCGGATAGAAGTTTTCCATTGAAGACACCTGCGAACCCGACTGCTTTCGACTCAGCTCCAATTTGGATATGTTAATGCCTGTGAGAGCTGCATCTGTTAGCTAAATGGATATAACATGATATTGTTAATAAAGTGATTAATATACTATATTTTCCTGTCTTACCCCACTGCAATGCTCAAGGGATAGTTCACGAAGCCAACGTAACTGACCAATAACCGATTGAATAGCCTCATCGGTGGCTCCATTGACGCAGTTATTCAGGTGCAGCGATCGCAGGCAGCGCAAATTACTGGCAATGGCCTTGATACACTCCTCGCATATTTGCAAATAAGACACATTCAGCTCCTGCATAACATGGTTTTCCTCACTAGCTACGCCCTCGATAATGCCACTACTTGTCAAGTTGTCACAATTGGAGATGTCTAGGCTTTTAAGACGCTTTAGTTTTGCCAGGTGAATGGCGCCAGCATTTGTGATGCTTAAGCAGCTGTTCACTTTTAAGTGCTCCAGGTGTGGATTAGTTTGTACCAGGGCGCCCAGATTCTCATCGTTCACACACATCGTGGCCGACAAATCCAGAGAGCTCAACTGCGGCTGGGTGGCCAGAAAGCTCCTGATAGTGTTGCAGTTTAGCTGCCTGCATCCGGCCAAATAGAGACGCTGAAGCTGAAGATTGAGGTCGCAGAGGGCCAACAAAGCCTGGCCAATCAGCGTGTGGCTAAAGTCCAATACGCGCAAAGTGCGTCGCTGCAGGTTCAGGATGGTAAGAATGAACTTGAAGGTCAGCACCGATTCGCTGGGCAGAACGTGATCAGAGGAGCTAGTGGCGGGGTAAAATCTGCGATGTATAGCGTTGTGAAAGGCTATGTGGCAGCCAGACATGTTGATCACTTCCAGGCTGGGCATGAACGATGTGAGACGCATAAGAATGGCGTCGGTGAGGTACTGATTCTCACACAGTGTTAGCTCCTTGATTCCAGCCAGGTTGCTAGCCAAGTCGTTCAGATCGGGGCAGGCGTTGTTGTAAGAGTCTAGGAATGATCCAGACATGAACAGTGGTAGGCAGCGCTTTAACGACAGCGAATGAAGATGGGGCAAGACGCCCAGCATTCCGTAGAACTGTTTGTCGTTAAGATCTACATTGTCCAGGGCTAGAGAGTGGGCCGTCCTGCCCATAAACCGCATTAGTTCCTTCACTTGTCCCAGAGTCACATCCTCGAACATAAAGTGCTGAAAGCGGCGCTCGCACCGCATAAGATCCACACCGGGGCTCAGTTGATCCGATAGCACCACTTTGGAGAAGCAGACGCGCGTGCGCATATTAAACTCCGCCTGATCCAGAGCGGCATGCCATCTCTGACAGGTGGATCCTGCTGCCTGCAGGTCAGAGTAGCCAAGATAGCTGAAAATTTTCAAAACAATCTGGGGGCGGATTGAGAAAAAAACAAAATCAGCTGACTGCCTTAACAGGTATATAGTTAGATATAGATACGAACTAAATGATGGATTGGTCACGGGACCGCGACGGTCCGTTGACACATTATACTCACCTCAAGCGGCAGGTCGTCATACCTGTGCGATCCGTACTCCGAACAAGACATTATTATTCTATTGTTCTCCGATGCGAAATTTGCACTTTTAGTTCAACCAACTAGCTCCCACCGCCCGCAAAACTACCCCCTAAACTATAGTGTTGAGCACAGTATGACCGTACATGCCTCTATTCTAGATGATCTAAAAAAATACCATTATAAATATTTAGCTATATAATAAACTTTCAATTGGATTTAAAAAAAAGATATATATAAATACAATAGTAATAATAATTGGGGTATCCCTGTATCTTTTAATTTATTTCTTTTTTTGTTTTTTATATACCTTCTTAACTCTTAAAAATTAAAACTATTTAAATACAGGTTTAAACTAAAATTCCACAATTAAAATACCAAAACCTATAAAAAGCGAAATAGGTATTCTTTTGTCCATCACTTGCGGTCACTTTTTTTATGACATCAGATTGTTGCAAAAAAGGCTTTTTGCAAGGCTAAAAACAATAACTATTTCGTCTCTTAAGGGTCCCGCACAACACCGTCGACGTGCCCACAATAATGGCCGATCCCAAGTTCCAGAATCTACCCGGAATAGTAAGTAATATCTTCTCACCATGGCAGTGACGTGAAAGCTTTCGTTTTTGGTCAATTGCTTACTTTCTGTTTTCTTTAGGCTTATGACCAGCCGGATGTTTTTGAAACTCCAGATGACCCGGAGCCCGATACATCCGACTACTACGAGGAAGAGCCAGAAAACGAGGCCATCGAGAGGCTGCACATCTCGCCAAGCATCGCCCACAAGCGGTTCAGCGGAGCAACTCTCGAGGGGAGTGTGGACTTTACTGATCGTATTGGACGCCGGGTGTGCCGTGGATATGATGCTCGCGGATCTGGGGAATACGAGTTGGTGGGCCAAGGCGAGAAGGAGACACCAGTGCAAAAGTGCCAGCGCCTGCAGATTGAGATGAACGAACTCCTGAACGAGGTGGCTGCTCTGCAGGTGGACCGCAAGGTCGCCGATGAGGAAAAGCAATCGTATGATGCGGTGGCTACGGTCATCAGCACAGCCCGAAAAGTGCTAGAGTCCCTGAAACTAGAACAAGTGCTAGGCAAGGAACAGACACCTGGCAGCAAACAAGTGAAGGCGCTTATAAGTCAGGTGGAGGAGTTCAAGCAATCCGGCGTTCTCACGGCTATTCCAACGCCTGGAACCGATCTGGCAGCTACTGCTCGAGTAGCTAGCCTGGAGCAGCGCCTATCGCAGCTTGAGAAAGTGGTTGGCGCCCAACCGGACAAGTTGAGCCGACTTACTGCCGCCACTAATACTACCAATGTGCTGGAAGCCGTTCGTCATCTCAGCACTAAGGCAGCATTGCTACAACCAGATAAGCTGGATACCATTGAGCAACGTCTGACCTCGCTGGCCGGCAAGATGGATGCCATCGCCGAGAAGTCCAGTGGCAGTGCCCAGGATGCGAAGCGGGATCAAAAAATCACGGAATTATACGACATTGCTAAGCGCTCGGAGCCTGTGGTGGAAATACTCCCGCACGTTATTGAACGCATGCAAGCTCTTGAGGCCCTCCATAAATATGGTAAACATATTTTTCATATTTCGTTTTCATTTAATTATTCTCTTACAATCTCCATTAGCAAACAATTTTGCCAAGATTATCGCTGAGATTGAACAGAAGCAAGGGACGATTACCACCAGCTTGGTAAACAATAAGGAACTGCTCCATTCCGTTCAGGAAACATTTGCTCAGAATCTGGAGACCATCAACGCGAAGGTGGCTAAGGTTGAGCAGCGCGTCTCGGCACTTTCCTCGGCTAAATAAGTGAAGGCACAACATGCGTATTATACATAGCTAATATTTATGAAAACTATAATAAAGCGATTTACATTCGATTCTTTTTTAAAAAGTAATTGATTGGTTAGAAAACTATAGGTCTAGGAGAATAATCGAAAATACTTCAGAATCTGGATTGAACTTTTATTTTCTAATTTTAGTAATTCTGTTTAAGCGTAAGTGTATATATTTTTTTAAGGTTTGGAAAAAAGTATTCAAATTTTTCCGTTAAAAATTACGGTATATTTCTTCTGCATATTTTATTATAGTATTTTTATCCGTGTCCCATGGTATATTGCGTGGCTCAGATCGCGGTCACACTGGCCGCTTGTTCTTAAAAGTATTAAAGTTTCCAGTTAAATTTAAGCACAAAAAGTCTCGTTGCAGCGCAATCGAGTATAAATTCTGTTCAAAATTGTGTGTAAGTTGCAAAATTAGCATAATAAAATGTAATTAAAGATCGGTGGGCGAAACTGGGCCACATCTGCTGTGGGGAAGCCAAAGGGAAAAAGTGATGACGGGGCTTACTCCAATTGGACGTGACACAATTTCGTTCTGATGTTGCACCACCGATCATATTTAAATTTATTTATTTTAATTGCTTTAATTACACCGGCAGTACGAAGGGCCTTTGCAAGATGAAAATCAAGGAACTGCAGAAGACGGTGAACATTGCCTGGTCGCCGGCACAGCAGCAACAAATTCTCCTCGCCGCCGGTACCGCCGCCCAACAATTCGATTCCAATGCGAATTCCACTTTGGAGTTGTACTCCCCGAACTTCAGCGATGCCACTTACGATCTGGAGCTTAAAGCCAGCGTAGCCAGCCAGTACAAGTAAGTTTTTTAAGTGCTATAAATCTGGGAGTTGCTTATTTTACCGGCTTTTCATTCGGCAGGTTCCAAAAACTGATCTGGAGCCCCGTAGGTCCACATCCCAGTGGCCTGATAGTGGGCGGCTGCGAGGCAGGACAGATCAACATATACTCAGCCGACAAGCTCCTCGCAGGCAAGGAGGAGCCGCTGCTGAAACGCCAAGACAAGCATACGGGCGCTGTAAGCGGGCTAGACTTTAATCCGTTCCAAAACAACTTGTTAGCCTCTTGCGCCTCAGAGTCTGAAATCCTTATATGGGACCTCAACAACCCGGAAACGAGCATGAGCCCCGGTGCCAAGACCCAGCCGTTAGAAGACGTGAAGAACGTGGCCTGGAACCGACAAGTGCAGCACATTCTAGCCTCCGTCTTCAGCACACGATGCGTAATCTGGGATCTGCGCAAAAGCCAACAAATCATCAAGCTCTCAGACTCGCAGTCGCGTGTTCGGTGGCACGCCATCGAGTGGCATCCAGAAGCGGCGACACAGGTCTGGCTTGCCTCCGAAGACGATCAGGCGCCTGTGGTGCAGCTGTGGGATTTGCGATATGCAACGGCTCCAGCGAAAACATATCAGATTCACGAGCGAGGAGTGTTGGGAATGTCGTGGTGCCTACAAGACAACGATCTAATGGTTTCGTGTGGTAAAGACAACCGAATTTATTGCTGGAACCCCAATACCAAGATTCCCGAAGGAGAAATCCTGTCTGAAGTTGCGACCACGGCTTCCTGGTACTCTGATGTTCAGTTCTGCCCACGGAATCCGGCTCTGATTGCCAGTGCCAGTTTGGAGGGAGCTGTGTCTATTTACTCTCTACATGGAGGTACTCATCATCTTGTGCAAACCGCTAACAAGATTGCTGACTCTTTTCCGGGTATGGATCAGTTCGCCCAAGAGCCTATTCCCCAGCAGGCCACACAAGTGGTTTACCACGACCTGGCACATGCTCCAAAATGGATGAAGCGACCCTGTGGCGTTGCCTTTGGTGTGAGTTGGCATTGTCCATCTTTATAGCTTCTTTAGATATACCAGTTTTTTAACTTTTTAGTTCGGTGGCAAGTTAGTTAGTTTTGATGGAACATCGAAAACTGTTAAGGTTAAGCAGCTGACCACCGAATCCGCTCTTGTGGAGCGGGCTAATGCCTTGGAACGTTCTCTGGTCGATGCCAACTACTCGGAATACTGCCGGCAGAGGGCCGACGAGACACCGGACCAGCATGGGCGTTATGTCTGGTACTTTATCAAGGCGAACTTTGAGCTTAATCCCAAAGAGGAAATGCTTAATCTCTTGGGTAGGCTAACTCAATGGTGGTTCAATGGTAAAAACTAAATTTACTAATTTTTTTAAGGCTATAACAAAGACGACATCGATAGTAAGTTCAACAAGTTTATCAAGGAAACCGATGGAAACTCGCAATCGGATGTGGATACGCTCACGACCCGCATCTCGACACTGACCCATGTAAGTACTAGTAAAAGGCAGTCTTATCAGTTCCAAAAAAGAAGCATTGCGTACACTATCAATCTCCACGTATGTTCATCTCGCTTTGTATATTTTCTATCCGATAACATACGACATGCTATGCCATTGCTGTAGAGCGATTCTTCGGAGGTTGAGTGCGATCAGAGTACAAATTATAGCACCGATAATTCGGTAAGAGCTAAGATTCAAAACTCGCGTTCGAAGGAATTCATTTATAGCAGCTTTTGGAAACCATTTAAATAAAAATCTAACTTGGTTTGTCATTTTCATATACAGCAAACACAAGATAACAAGTTCGATGGAAGTGCAATCGACTCACAAAATCACAACGACTTTGCCACTCCTCCGAGGCCGCAATTCAAGGTTCCAAGCGGAGATCGTAAGTAAAGCTAGTTTTTTAGAATCAGCAGTTAACATTTGCACTTATGTTAATTACATTTTATCTATACTACGAAATCTTATAGCTTTTACTTTCATAGATAAAAATGAAACAATGTTTTCATGTCGTGATATCGTTTCTGCCTCGACTGATAATCATTTATTAATTTATCCAGTTTTTTTTTCTTGCAGACTCGGATAGCTTGATTGCCGAAGCAATACTCACCGGCAATGTAGAGGCTGCGGTCGAACTTTGCCTGGAAGCCCAGCGCATTCCGGAAGCCCTGATTATCGCCTCGACGGCTGGCATTGAAACCCTGACCCGCACTCAAACCCGGTATTTGCTGCAACAGAAAAACGAACTCTCGCACGTGATCTCCGCCTTAGTATCCCGTGACTGGCTGGACTTCGTCAACCGATGCACTGTGGACTCGTGGAAGGAGGCCCTGGTGGCCGCCCTAAAGCACAGCGAGCGCAAAGTTGTGGACATCTGTGAGCGTCTAGGCGATCGTCTATTGAGTGAATGCGCATCTAGCGCGGAGTTCACACGCAATGCTATGCTTTGCTACATATGCGCCGGCAGCATCGACAAACTGGTTACCGCCTGGTACCAGTTGAAGCGACTGGAACAACAGAATTTCGCTTACAAGCCCAACACCACAGAGCTGCAGGATCTGGCGGAGGTGGTGATGCTGATGTGCAAGTCTCTGGAGCAGCAAGGCATTTCCGTGGATCTTGCAGGTCGCTTTGCCGGCTTTTTGACTGAATATGGCGGTCTTCTTGCCTCCCAAGGTGCTCTCACTGCAGCTTTGCAGTACATTACCACTTTGGGTGGCAGCAGTGCCAACGATAACGATGTGCTGCAAAGCTTGAAAGATCGGATCAACAATGCTGTTAACCTAGATTACTCCCAGCCACAGGCACCCGTGGCTCCTGCTCCACTTGGCTACCAACAGCAGCGAGGTCGGGGATCTTTCTCGCAGCCGCAGCCCTCGGTTCCCCTGCCGTACGGCCAGCCACCAAACCAGTATGCCCAGCCAAGCTGGCCTGCACCAGTGCCTCCATTACAGACCGCCTATCCAGGAGTTCAGCAGCAACAACCGCCGCCGCAAATATTTAATCCGCAACCCATCAAGCCAGAGCCTTTGGCTCAGCCACCACGACCACTAAGTAACGCCAGTTCCTCGGGTGGCCCTCCACCAGCCGCAGGAGCACCATCAACTGGAGGATCTGGTCTTTCTGGGCGCTCCAAATACGTACTGGATCCATCTGTGGCAGCTCCAACCAGTTCCTACGGCATGCCATACAATCCAGTACCTGCCCCGGTTCCATCTGCCGTTCCCTTTGGTGGCGGAGTAGTTCCTGGGCCTGTTCCCCAGCCCGCGAGCGTACCAACTTACAACAGCAACGCATTCAATACGAATCCAATTGCGTCTGCCCAACCATATAACCCTTCGCCATTCTTGGGAGCTCAGCAAAATCAGTTCCTGCCCGGTGTAAACCCTATTGAGACTTTGCCGCCACAAGCTGCGCCCCCGATCATCCAAAATGTGCAACGCAATCCCACACCACCGCCCGGCTGGAATGATCCCCCTGCATTAAAATCATCGCGGGCGGTAAGAATTTATAATAGATATTATAAGCTACATCTAATTTGTGTTTCTTTTCAGCCAAAGCCTAAGCCAGTGGTTGAGCCAAGTGCAGCCATCTTTCACCCACTGTTCCCGGTCGATCCCAATCAAAATCAAAACGGTTACGTGGATCCCGCTCAATATCAGGTAATGAATAAAACAGTTTTCTTTAAAACGTCTACTAATTGGGAACCTCTTTTAGAATGCACCACCTGGAGGAGTGCCTAATGCGTACTATAACCCAGCTGCCTTCAACAACAATCCCCAGCAACAGCAGCCTCAGCAATCGTACCTTCAGCCTCAGCAACAGCAGCTAAACTTACCATCGGGAATTCCAAATCAGGGAGCACCCCAGCAGCAGAACTGGCAAGGACAGCAGCAGACAATTGGATATACCGAGCAGCCAGCTCCTATCCAGCAGCAGCGACAGCCAGAGCCTCCAAAGGAGAAGCCCCCACTTCCCGAGGAGTACATTTACTTGCAGACGGTGCTGGAGGAGCTGAAGAACCGTTGCCTGGGCGCAACGAACGATCCGGTGAGTATAAACTCCTATTTTTATAGATTAAGATTACTTTACTAACTTCGTATTATTGTTTTTAGCGAACAAAACGAAAGTTTGTTGATGTTGTAAAGAGACTGGAAAATCTCTACGACTGCTTAAGAGATGGAAAGGTAAGTAATCTGGTAAGGATAACCCGTATTATTTTCGCTAATATAAAATTCGTATCCTCCAGTTAACTCCAACAACGGTGCAATATCTTAATCAAATAATACAGTACATTCAAATATCCGACTATGCCAATGCACTGGAAATCCACACGCGCATTGCCTTCGGAACAGACTTTGCGCAGTGTGCTGGATTCATGCAGGGACTGAAGGTTCTTCTGCAATCCGCTTCCGAGCTGCAGTTGGTCCTGCGCTAGAGCTTCTATTTTGGACAGTTCTAAAGCCAAGCTCACTAAACTTATATACTTATTGTGTCTTTAAATATGAATGTCTATTGTGTTTTTTAAGCAAAATGTGGTGTTTCGTTTGCAAGTGTAGGCTGGGATTGCCAGATCAATGTTATTCCGTGTATTGAAATATATTTCCACTTGAATCGCAACTAGACATTCGCATAAATAACAAAACAAAAACTGGGCTTTGCTCTTACAACAACTTTGGCTGGTTCCTTATGTTCTCTAAGTCTAGTTGCATTTGTTGCGGTGAGGCAGTTGTCGCCATCGGAGATTGAGGGAGCCCATGTTCCAGTTGCTCCTCGGGCAGCAAACGGTATTTCTTTAGGTACTTATATGAAGCATTTGAAATGTCGTTAGGACTTTGTGAATGGGCGACATTGTCGATCTGACGCAGCGGTTCTGGATTAGTTGACTTTGGAGAAGACCCTATGCGCATTTCTTTCATCAGCTCGTCGACGGGTTGTCGTAAGTACTTCAGTGCCAGTTCGTTCATCACCATGCTCTTCTCGGTGTTTGGCTTGGCAAGTTGAGGAATCCGTTTAGCCTGCGGGGTATTGGCGCGATACCCTGTAGATTGAGCCATAGGTGGGTTGGGCCGAGGAGATTGAAATTGCGGAATCGCACGAGCTTTTGGTGAAGGCAGTGGTTTCTTCTCCTCTGCTATGTAATCTTGTATAATTGGTGATACTCGTCTGACTGGTAATAAAGATGATTTTAATGGGATACTAGCAGATTTTAGAATTACGCACCATTGTTGATAGTCAAAATATCACATTGGCTGGCAGTTGTCCTGCTGGTTTTACAGACAGCTTCGGGTTTCGCACCTTGTTGTTGCTCTAAAAGCAGCTCGCACAGATTCCTCAACTGCTGTTGTTCCTGACGCATGGACTCCAAAAGCGAAACTAGTGCCGCTAGGTCGGTTTTGTTGGCCAGGTTGCTGACATCAATGTCTGAGTAGACCACTGAAGGAAGCAAATTGCGCTGAGGGGAAAAGTTAAACGAATCGGTCTGTGTACCAGCACAGATTGTAAGTACGTCAGAGTTGGATGAGCTGGACAAGCGCCTTGACTGATAAACCTGGTGCTTGGGCTCTGAGTTATACCCTCCAGAATTACTGGAAATGTGATTGGTACTCGTTGGTGCATCGTTTGAGTAGTTACGATGCCGAGGCATTATGATGTGTTCCTTGGAGGAGCATGGGCTGTTGTTGCTAGGAGGAGTCCTTGGTCCGAGTTCTGTGGCCAGGATGGGCGAGAAGTTCACCCGGGGTAGCATTTGCTTCTTCCAGGACGCGAAAGTTGGTGCAACACGAGGAGATGGTTCCTGTTGAGGTTTCTGGAGCTGCATCTGCAGATGTTGATCCTGCGGCGGTTGGCCAAACAATATGGACACCTCCGGCACTGTGGGCCCTATAATATCATTTGAATGACCCATAGGCACTGCTGCACTTGGTCTGGGCGCCGATCTGGGCAGCATATCTTCTGTTTCGGGCACAAACATTGGAATGGATTTTGTTTATATTTTTTAATTAAATTAAATTCGAGCGGGAGAATCTGTCCAATTGGATCTGGGTCGATTTAGGGGTGGAACTGTGACTAGGGATGACGTAAAACGAAAAAATATATCGATATATTCATGAGTGCACATATTGGGTGTGACCAAATCTGCGACTAGGAAAAATAGAGTGTGTCATACAGCAAACAGAAACCTCTTGGAGAAAAGGCAAATAAATGCAAAATATGCCTGTTTTGGAGCACATTAAAGCCATGGCCGAGACTCCAACTCCAGCTGGGGACACAACGGTGCCTGCGGATGTTGATGCTCCTCCCCAAGCAGTCCGGGAACTGACGCAGACAGATCACCTAAACAGGCGCCTTCTGAAATCGCTGCTGGACAACATGCAGGCCACAGAGGGCGTTGCGCAGGACAATGATAACGGGTCCAATGAGGAGGATAACGAATTCGAAGAATAAATCCTTTTAATATATTACAGTAAACCTAGTAAACTAAACGGGTCATAACAATCGTTCATTTCGAGTGAGCAGCACCTAGATGCGTCGGCGTTTGTTGCTCTGCACTGGCGGTGGAGTGGTCGAGGGGCTGATAGATTCGTTAGACATGGATCCGCGGGTGCGCTTTGCCGGACGCTTGGGCAACTCCTGTGGCTTAGAGACGGATTTCTTTTCGGAATCCTTTGTGGGATTCGCCGGTACCGGCGCTTTGGTTGATGGTGGAGCTGTAAAAATTAAAGTTAAGGAATGAAAGTTGATTACAGATTAAAGATTTACCTTTGCCATTGCTCTCTGTGACTGGGATATTACTTGCCGGATGCGTTTCTCCAGTCTCCTCGCTGGCATTTACCTCCACTGTTTTCTTACTCTGTAGCGTGCCGTAATCGTGCTCCGGCAGACTGAACTCGCGTTCCTCATTGGGAAAGGGCAGCGACTCGAGATCGTCCAGTTCCTTTAATTTGTACATGGTACCCAGGTGTCTCCAAATTAATTCGCTGGGCATCTCGCGGTTCAGGGACTTTGATAGACGCTGTGCAATGCAGGACATGTAAAAGTGCTTGTTGATTCCGACTGGGCGCAGACCTTCCATCGCGTGGAACAACTGCAGCTCCTCCTCTGCGGACCACTCGTGGTCAACAGTAGCCGGCACAGGAGCTGCCGTTCCGGCTACAACCAGCCCCTTGTCCTTGGCCATCATTTTGCAGAGAACATGGAGTTAAACGTGGGCTAAGTTGAATGTTTTTTTTCTGCAGCCAATATTAGAGATAACAGTCGGGCAAAATCACGCGTGTTAACTATCGAAACCAGGCACATCCCTAGTTTGGGTGTGTATCCACTTTTAATTCGTCAACTTTTATTCGATTTTGACCCGTAGCGTTCGAGATTTAAAAAAAGCATATAGATCGGAGCTGGTAATTAACTAATAGTGTGCCAATATAGTTGTGTGTTGTGTGTGCATCCGTCGAAATCTTCACTTTCCCACTTTAATCCCTATGTTAACCACACAGCGCAATATGTTTTCGTGTGTTTGTGTGTGTTCTCATTCTACTATTCCTATATAAAAAACTTTAATTATGGGTGTTTCCAAATAGTTGCAGAGTGTTTCATGTGCATAACATGTGCAGTGGTGCCCACCGTACACGCCTTCTTTCCCAGTATATTGCCTTACACTTGTCTGTGTCAAGGTTTCCAGTAAGCCTGGAATGTTAATCAGCAATTCGATCGATTAAATTAATGCCTGCCTGGGCTCACATGTGCCAAAAAATATATATGTGTAGTGATTCACCAGCTATCCTAACTCTCCGCCTATGACTAAACATTTAACTAAATCTTTCTAACAGCTATCTCTATCTTAGAATCGGGAATATTTTGCATACATTCATACATATAAAATAGTCTTGTGTCGCCTGTTCAATGTTGTACTCGTGTGGGAAAAGCCTTAAAAAGCAAAACAGATATCTTAACTACATTATAATCAAACTTGTTATTTGCAGCCAGCCATTAAGATCCATCCAAACCAGTATACCCAGATAAGATAAGCCCAAGCCCAAGCCATAAGGCGAAGCCACACAAGCACAAGCACACACCCACCATCCTGTAATTGCATTTCCCAGTATCCGTAACACTGAGAACCTTTTCAACCATAGGCCTTTCCGAGACAGCCATCATGGACGTAATGTCATCATCCCTGCAGCAGCAGCGCGTCGTCGTGGAGCAGCTGCGTCGTGAGGCGGCCATTGATCGCCAAACCATCTCGGAGTCGTGCGCCAAGATGATGAAGTACATCACCGAGCACGAGCAAGAGGACTACCTTCTGACCGGGTTCACCAGCCAGAAGGTGAATCCGTTCCGCGAGAAGTCGTCTTGCACCGTCCTCTAAGGAGGATGTCCCCATGAGTGTGGGGAAGTGGTCCGTTGGTGCCAAGGAGTCAAGGAGGATCGCCGGCGGACGTTTAGTTTATTTTTAGTTTAGCAAGATGGATTAAGATGCGAATGTGTGTGGAGTACTTTACCAGTACCAGTCAACGCCACTTGGAACAATATATATCTTTGTGTAAAAGCCACAATAACTACGATTGTCATAAGCAATATAGTTACAAGAAGTTTGAATTCCAATTGCAAGGAATATATATTTAAATATTATATACACCGATATATCAATGTGTACCACTCTCGTTAACAATTAATGTCCCAAAATAGAAGCCCAAATTCAAAATGAAATCCAAATCGAAGCATTTGTTCCAAAGATATCAAGTTGTTTCCTTCCCGTTAGTAACGCAGTCAATGTACGCGAATATCCCAACTATAACGACAATTTATGCGCTGACTAAAGCATCTACTACTCTACCTAAATCGTTAAACACACCTATATCTATATACAACAACTATCAAGAACGTAATCCGACATACAAATTTATCAATAAACGTAAACTCAACCGAAACAGAAATACATATATTTTGCCTTCTTATTTCGAGATATATCTGTTATAATTATTGAAATGAGATTGAAATATCGCGACGAGATTAAGAAGAATGAGAACAAGTTGTATTTGAAAATGTATGTATTTTGAAGCTTATTAACCATCTCCGGGTGGATTGAAACCACTAACAGCAAATATATATGCAAATATCTTATTGAATTACTTTAATAGCTTTAATACGGAGCAGAAATGCTACCCAAGCTACAACAAGCTAGTTGAACTTATCGCAATATTTAGTGCGTTTATTATCCAGTTTTTCTTAGTAAAAATATATATTACAAATCGTTGCAGTAACGCGACTTGAGCATATAATAAATCGAAAGATATAATCAATATTTATCTCTTTAAAGTAGTTTCTGAATTTTAATTCATACGGCGTTCCAAGCCAATATCCAATAAAAAGAAATGAATTCCACAGACCGATTTATTCTATTCATAACTTGTTATTTAAATAAAACCACACCGATCCGTAGAATCAGAAAATTGTTAGTTTCTCCAGTTTAACGAAAATGGCCATAAGAATGTGTGATTTTCACATCTTTCAAGAAAGATCCTCTTACACTATACAACACTCACTTAAACCACTAATTTTCCATAATAACACACTCACTTAAATCTGTTGAGCGTAATTAATTAAAATTGTTATTGGCATGAGAGAACAGTAACAACCACAAGCAAGTTATTTTTGTACAATTAACATGGTATTGGGCATACTTGTACGGTATTGGAATGATAAGAAATGATTATCCTGTACGGAAAGCACACACAATCGTACATATCTACATGTTGCATTCAAAATTAAGCATTTTCATCTGGACAAACTGTCAAATTCAAATCGGAGATGACAGTTTGGTTTTAATGGAAATAAATAAAATTTAATTTAATTGATCGGTTCTTCCAATGTTGCATTTAACCAGTAATTTGAAATTGGCGGTGATTTTAGTTGATAACGTTGCAAAATTCGGACAGAGTGCAGTAAGAATCACACATTTTTGAAGAGATCATTTTTCTATTCTCAAACTTGTATACAAGGTTTTGAGCTTCAGTTTGCTGTCGTGAGCAAACAGCAAAATGCGGTCCAAAATCGCCTGTCCGAAAGGTGTTTTTGGGGGTCACCATAAATCTAAACTGCAGTTGATTCGGTTGCCCACATTCCTGCTTAAACATTCCGTATAGAACAGTTTTCGATTTAACGGACACTTAACGTGGACACTTTTAAGTTGATCATCTTATATTTGCCGGGGGACAGCCGAACTATCCAATGGAGCACGGATGGCTCGATCCTGTCCCCTGAAGTGGCATATTTATATAACTTAAAAACGGAAGGTACCATTGTTTAAAATTAAAGAACATCATCAGCACACGTACTCAAGATCATTATCATCGAATACACTTTAACACGTTTTATTCACTTCAATTGAAAAGCGACAACGAGATCGTATTTTATTCGAAAATTAATACAAATCTTTTGCGACGCAAACGAGGACGAGTCCTCACAAATATTATTGAAATGTAATCTTGCGAATAAGCATTTGAAATATGTATTGTACTCAACAAAATGAATAATCGTTTGCTTAAAATTTCAAAAATAAATGGCGATAACTAACTTAGATTTGTTATCTAGCGGTGGCACCGGGTTCGGTGCGAAAAAAATTCGTTGTTTTATTTCGAAAATCCTTAAGAAAAGTAATCCTGTTTTTCAGTTTTCGTAAGTTAAGTTTATTAATACAAGAAACTGTGTGCATGGCTGTGTATGTGGGTGAGTGTGAGAGTGGTTAATGAAATTTATAATTTCCATGGGACTCATTTATGAAAATACAATGCACTCTTTGTAGGAGCAGGGAGAAACTAGTTATAGTAGAAAGGAGTGCGAATCACAGAGGAACCGCTTAACTCTCGTCATCGCTGCCGGCAGCCTGTCGCGGCTTGGGACCTCCGGCGCGCTTAGCCATGATGATTTGGTCTACCTTTAAGATAGTTGCGGCAGCGCCCACAGCGTACTTGAGTCCCCAGAACTTGGCCTGGTACAGATCGAAGATCTTTGCCTTCGTTGTGTCGATGGTGCTGGCCTTCTCCGCCTCAATGTCGAAGCCGATTGTCTTTCCAGACTCTGAGTTGTGTGCCAAATAAAGCTGGTTGACGATGTCCGTTCCATTGATACCGGAGTTCTCGGCCAGAGCCTTGGGGAAGACTTCTAGAGCGTTAGCGAACTTGCGCACGGCATACTGGTCCAGTCCCGGCAAAGTATCAGCATAGGCGGACAGCTGAGTGGCCAACTGGATTTCGGTGGCTCCAGCTCCAGGAAGATAGCGGCCATCGCGGGTCAGGCACTTGAAGTTGTTGACAGCGTCGTCCAGGGCGCGCTCAATATCGTCCATAAAGTTGTCGGTGGCTCCACGAATAACCACGGTGGCAATGCGAGAGTCCTTACCTTCATTCCTGAAAAGTATTTAGGAATAAATTGTAACGATCTTTCACTTAGTTATTCCATTGATCAACCCACCTGAAGGCCACAATTGTGGTGTCTCCGAGCTCCTCGATGCAGACCTTGTCGCAGTAACCCAACTCCTCTTGACTGGGCGTGGTGATGCGCGGCAGAACGGTGGCATTCACCGAGCGGCTCAGACGTCGAAGGTCAAACTTAGAGTTCAGACGCACGGCCATAAGACCGTATTTATTCAGGAAGTGCAGGGCCATGTCACCGACCTTGCCGCCGGCCACAACCACCTTGACACCGGTCTCGGCAATAGCCTTGATCTGGCTCTCCAGGAGGCTCTCTTCACCGGAAGAGAAGCTCAACAGCTCGTCGGCCGATTTGATCAGCACGGTGCCCTTGGTCTCAGTCTGTATTATGTCAACGGGGCAGGAGAAAATCACGATCTTGGCCTTCTCTGCATAGGTCACATCGCCCTCAACGAAACGCTTGAAGACCATGCCACGAACTACCTCTGACTTGGTCAGCCCGCTGCCCAAGATCTTGCAGATGCGAATATTGTCCACATTGAAGGTGCCCTCATCGGGCAGAATGGAGACACAAGCCTTGCTCACCAGATCGTTAAGAAAGTCCTCTTGACCGTACTGCTTCGACATGATCGAGGTGCGCAGTACCTCCTTAACCTTCTCCACGTTGCGGTAGTCTTCAATCTTGTGACTCACCAAAGTGGGCAGGATCTCCAGAGCCTTCTCCAAGGCCTTCTCATAGCCATCGGAGATCTCGGCTGTGGTGATGCCAAGACGCAGCAGCTCCTCCGCGGACTCTAGCAAAGCACCGGCTAGGACCACCACGAAGTTAGTGCCATCACCTACCTCTGCGTCCTGCATCTGGCTGGCCATGACTATCAGCTTGGCGGCCGGATGTTCCACGTCCAGCTCCCGCATGATGGTGCCGGCATCACTGGTCACAAACTGTTTTTCAATGTGGTTGATAATCATCTTATTCATGCCATTTGGCCCGTAGGCGGAGCGCATGGTCTGTGCGAACTCCTTGCATGCGCTGATGTTGCGGAACACCGCCTCCTCCAGCCCGCTGTACATCTAAGGATACAAGGAAATATATAAATTAGTCATTTTTCGTTCATATGTAGGCCTCCCATCCATTAGGATGACTAATCACGCGCCACCCCAAACGGCATGTTTTCATTTTCAGTTATATCTCAATGAAACCGATGCCCGGCGAAATTTTTTATGTGCTCCACCCCCTTGTTGCACTTACGCGGGCGCCATCCTTAAGCATCTGCGACACTCCGGGAGCCTTGGGAACGGATAAAGCCATTTTTGTACACAGATTTCAATTTCTCACGGAGTCAGTCGGTAAATTCCAGCTAGAGTTATAACCTCAAAGTGGCCGCGAACATTCTGGATGGGACTTGGCTATCGATAATTCAAAACTGTGACTGCTACTTTTTGGGAAAATATTTTATTAAAAAATTATATTTTTAGGTTTAACAGAAATAATTTTCGATATCAAGGATATTTAAAGATTAAGATTAAAATTTATAATGTTGCCTTACGCACAAGGATAAAAGAAATTCAGTTATTAAATAAAATTGAAAATGATCAAGTTTTCGGAAAAAAAAATATTAAGGAAGTTTTAATACTACACCAAAATAATAAAGTTTAATAATAAAAGAAATATATATATATACATTAGGATAATCTTTTTTATAATAACATAGTTATTTATTATATTCATAATATCTTATAACATTTAATAAGAGGGTATGGTTAGCGTCTGTAGATAAATATTCATACACGATAGTCGTGCGTGAGACACGTCAATTTAGTGTGCAGAGTGCGTGATCAGTGTAAAACATTAACAGGCCCGCGCGCATCCCTAATTAAAAACAAAAAACCATGTCGCTGGGCAAGAAGCACGTGTTGGGGTTTTCGCCCAATGGTGGCCAACTATTTGCCTCGGTGGACGAGACGGGCATCCTACGGATATGGGACACGGAGACGAACACACTTAAGCAGGAGTTTACGCCGAATCTTCAGGTATCCGGGCCTTGCACAGCCCTCACGTGGGTTTCATTGGGATCCCCTCGGCCTAAGAAGTCGCGAAAGAGCCTGCAGTCACAGGATACCCCAATTGAGCAGCTTCATATTGCTCTCGGAACGCTTAAAGGTTCAGTGGCTATATACTCTCTAGCAGAGGGAAAGGTACGTGAAAACTACTGCCTTAGTAAAAATAAAATATCATTTAACATCTATCGTTGCAGATTGTTCGGACCCTTAGTGGCGACAGTCATGATGGACTGGTTACTTCGATTGCTTATGACAACGCTGGACACCTGTACACCGTGGGCGCGGATTGCAGGGTGCTCGTTTGGTCCTTGGCGGAGGAACGATCCATCGACGAATGGCAGGTTGGGCCTGATAAGCCACACAACATAGCATATTTGCAAAAGAGTCGCACACTGGCAGTTGGTTCCCGCCAACTGAAAGTGTACGATGTCAAGACGAAGGAGCTGGTGGAAACCTTTACGGGTCACTCGGGTGAAATTAGAAATATTAGTAGCGTTAGCAGTACAGATGGCACTGAATTCGTACTGACCACCGCTAAGATGGAACGCGTTATCTGCTTCTGGAAGGTTGAAAAGAAGGGAAAGAACAAGGCATCCGCGTGCACACTGCTCATGGAAGATTTGGCATACTGTCTGGCAAGCGAAGTGCGCGAAGATGGTCAGCTGCGTGTGGCTAGTGTAACGCGAAATGGCAATATTCACATTTACCTGCTCAACGTTAACAAGTAAGACTAATGACGATAGAAATTAAGAATTATTAACAAATCACACCGTTTACAGCTTATCCGCTGAAAAGTTCGTAAAGCCGAAGGTATCCCTGCAAATTGTGTCCGATGGCGCTGAGACTGTGGAGCCCATTTTAGCAGTGGCGGCTCATTTTGTGAGCGATTCAAATAGGTCACATGAAATCCTCTTTGGCTACGGCAGTCGCCAGCAGTTACAATTTGAACGCTTTACCCCGAACTATGGCGAAAAATTGAACGTTATCGTACGCGCCGATCCAAAGAAGCTGTATGTGAAAAAGAAGGGCAAGGAACAGCTGGGTTACCAGGCGGCCACCAAGGTCCAAAAGCCGATAGTGAGCAAGAAGGACGTAGAGTACAACAGTGCATTGCCCATATCACAAAAGAAGGTGCAGAATGATGTACCAATGGAGGCTCGACTGCAGCATCTAAAAATCCATGGAACCAAATTGAGCGGAGGCAAGTTGCTGACGCAAAGCAAGACGCAGCTTCTAATGCAGGCATTACACAGCAAGGATCAGGCGTAAGAAAAGTTGTAGTAATTAACATTATATGTTTCCTAAATGGATTTTGTTTTTAGGATGATACAAGCCGTTCTAAGCACGCAGGATACAGAGACGATACAGTTGACGTTGGATCGACTGCCGATCGAATATGTCAGCCCATTGGTCAACGAACTGTCTATCCTGCTACAAGGAAAGCATGCAAAGTGAGTCTTTAAGGAAGAATAACCTTTTCTAGATTATGACATATTCCATGTTCCATTCCAGTGTCAGTTCTGCCCTGCGCTGGTTGCACGTGCTTGCCTCCACTCACACGAGTGTCCTTATGTCCGAGGACAAGGATGCACTTCGCGAGAAACTGGGCGTCTGCCTCGGCGTGGCGGAGCAGAGAATGCACTGTCTGTCGGAAGCATTACAGTGAGTATATTTGGGGGAAATTTAAAGACAACAAAGTAATGGATTTATAATGACAATGGTAAATCAATTGGTCGCCTTTTTCGGTTTTTTTGTCTTGATATTATGCTTAGGGTTTTCGATGGTGCCGTGACGGCACTCTGAGATCGCAGCGAAGAATGTTAGCTTGACATGGAGGATTGTATCGATGTAGAAGCGCTGAAAGGTGAATGAGTTGAGGCAGCGGTCGCCCAAGCCGTAATAGAGCGTGTTGTAGCCCTCAAAACGATAGGTGATCATCACCGGATAGTGTTTCAGTAAAAGCTTGGACACGGTAATGATGAATCGCACCTTAGCTACGGCTAAAGGGTTTGGACACCGGGGTGTTGGCCTGGAAAAATGGGCATCCACAAATAGAATCGTTCCCTTAATAGGTACCTCGTGGCGAATTGGATTGCTGATCACCACGCACTTAGTGTCCGGTGACAGCTCCCAGCGGCTGACAAAGTCTCTTATGTCGGCGATGGCATTGGAGTAATCAAAATCCCCGATGGTCAAGATCTTGCGCGCCAAGCCACTGGACACGGAATCCACCGCAGTGCCGAGGTTACCCGTAAAATGATTAGTTATTGAGGTATCCGACTCTACATTGGCCACCATGGTGTCGGTGTATGCCGAAGAGACCAAACTGACGGAGGACATTTTCACCTTTTTTGGGAACTTGTAACAAAAGAGACCGCGTGGATCGGACTTGATTATGGCCAGTGCTTCACAGATTGTTCCATTGACCAGGTCCACAATACATTGTATGTCTGCGTCATCGCAGACCGGCTTGTCGCATAGTTTGATAAAGCTTGCGATGCTGGGTATAGTGGCTATAGGCAGCGCATTTCCTGGTCCGATGCCCGGGATAAGGTTTTGATTCGATGTCTTTATGTAATGGGAACTGGTGGTTTGATCATTGCAGCTGGCGCCATCGGTGGCTAAAAGGTCCATTTTTAAACAGTACAAACAAATTTATCTAGTCCGGTTATTAGTCAGATTTTGTATATGTTTCTTATAAGTATTTCCTTTGCACTTTTAAGTAAAATTTTCAATGCCTTCTTTCTATTCTTTTCAGAATAACGGGGCGTGTGAACTTAATAATCAACCAGATGAAGCGTAATGCGGACAATCATCTCAACGATACCAACGCCTTGATTCTGGACGAGGACCCAGGTGAGTTATTCACGAACACATTCAAAAGCAAGATTCGAAAAATCAATCCTATTGCTTGTAGACGAGCCAAACGATGCTCCCGATGATACGCTGCCGACAGAAACTAACTGGAGCGACCTGGAGGATCAGGAAGGCAGCTCGAAGAGTATTTCGGACGATGAGCTGGCGGCGGATGACGATCTAGCGACCGACGATAATAACGCAGACACAGACTCTGATGAATCCATGAACTAGCCAGTCCCTCCCATATTAGTTTTAAAGGAAATTCCTCGGTTGTCGTACCGCAAGAAATTAAACTACAATTGTTTTCCAAACACACGTTTTCTACACCGAATTCATAAATTTTATTTGTGGTTTTAAACTACGTGCAACAACGAATAGGGTGAGCCAATTGTTGGTATAGTTTCGACATGAGATTTTATCGATACGCAAGCAAACAAACATTTCCAATTAATAAATACAGTTGAATAATGTGCCAAATAACAGGGGGTTTGTAGCTCGGGTATACATAGGCAGAGGCTACTCAATAACGGCTCAGAAACTACTAACAATTAGAGCATTTGTGTCAACATTTCATTTTAATTTTCAACAAATAGCCGGACATGATTACTTCCAATTGGCTTTGATGAAGTTAATTAAACCGTTCGTGGAACTGTCGTGCGTGGAGACCTCGTTGCAGTGATCCAGCTCCGGCTCGATGGCCTTGGCCAGCTGCTTGCCCAGCTCAACACCCCACTGGTCGAACGAGTTGATGTCCCAAATAATGCCCTGTACGAAGATCTTGTGCTCATAGAGCGCTGAAAAATCAATTGAAATTAATTTGTATTTGAGACTTTGACCAGTCAGACGTACCAATCAATGCGCCTAAGGTAAAAGGTGAGACCTTCTTCACCACAATCGAATTGGTCGGACGGTTGCCAACGAACACCTTGTGGGGCAGCAAGTTATCCAGCTCGTTGCCGCAGAGTCCAGCCTTGGTGAGCTCAGCCCGAGCCTCGTCGACGGTCTTTCCGGCCATGAGAGCCTCCGTTTGGGCCAGGAAATTCGACAGAAGGATCTTGTGGTGCTTGCCACCGGCAATAGGATTGTGCGTCTGGGCGGGGGCGATAAAATCGCAGGGGATCAGGCGGGTGCCTTGGTGGATGAGCTGGTAGAAAGCGTGTTGGCCGTTGGTGCCTGGCTCGCCCCAAACAATCGGACCTGTGCTGTACTTGACGGCCTTACCCGCTTTGCTGACGAACTTGCCGTTGCTCTCCATATCGCCCTGCTGGAAATAAGCGGCGAAGCGGTGCAAGTACTGGTCATAGGGCAAAAGAGCGTGTGTTTCCGCCTTGAAGAAGTTGGAGTACCAAACACCCAGCAAAGCCAGGACTACAGGAGCCTAATAATGAAATTGGAATGTCAATAATATTAGCTATTAATAACACACTAAGCTGGGTATTACATTTTTCTCGAAAGGTGTCGTCCTGAAATGGTTATCCATGTAATGGGCACCATCCAGCAGCTGCTCGAAGTTCTCAAAGCCAATCGACAGGCAAATAGACAGTCCAATGGCTGACCACAAGGAGTAGCGTCCGCCCACCCAATCCCAGAATCCGAACATGTTGGCGCTGTCAATGCCGAATTCGGTGACCTTTTCCTTGTTCGTCGAAAGGGCAACGAAATGCTTGGCAACGGATTCCGGCTGTAAAGAAAAATATAAGCATAAATATGTTTGATTTTGGAAATAAAAATTTAGCAAATAAGATTGAATTCCAATTTTTAATGTTGAATTAAAATGATTAGAAAAATCATTCTTTTTAGTAGAATTATCTTCACTGTAAAGCGTTATCAGTGAAGGTCACTAAAATCGATGGAATAATATGTAAGCGTTCGAGTAGTGGGCGGTCTTTTAATCGACTTACCTCCTTGGAATGCTCGAGAAGCCAGGTCTTGGCGGAGGTGGCGTTTGTGATAGTCTCCTGGGTGGTGAAGGTCTTTGAAGCGACGATGAACAGGGTCGTCTCGTAGTTCACCTTCTTGAGAACCTCAGCCAGATGGGTGCCGTCAATATTGGAGACAAAGTGGGATACGAGCCCCTTACCGTACGGCTTCAGAGCTTCGGTGACCATCAGCGGACCCAGATCGGAGCCACCGATGCCAATGTTAACCACATCCGTGATCTGTTTACCGGTGCAGCCGCGCCACACACCGGAGATGACCTTGTTGGTGAACTCCTTCATATGGGCAAGTTCGGCACGTACGTCGGGCATAACATCCTTGTCGTCAACCAGGACGGGGTCCGTGCCGCGATTGCGCAGAGCCGTGTGCAAGACGGCGCGATTTTCGGTGATGTTGATGTGCTGGCCGGAAAACATGGCGTCCCGGGCGGCTTCCACGCGCCGAACCTTGGCCAAAGAGAGGAGGAGCTCCCAGACGTCGTCATTGATGCGGTTCTTCGAGTAGTCCAACAGTATCTCCCCATCGTTCTGGGTGTGCAGGCGAAGGCTGATAAGCAAACAAAATACATTTGACCTCAAAGCGAGTACGAAACGGAGGTCGTTACTGTGACCTTATGCAAGGACAAATCGAGTGGCGACGACACTCGAGAGCCGATGGTGAAAGTGAGAGTGGCAAAACTCGATGAATAAACGATGGGAGATACACAAACGAGTGGGGATGTTTGTATGTATGTGGTTGCTACATACGTAACTCTAACCCTTGTAGACGAAATCTCTGGATAAACCCACCTGTATTTGGAGAATCTTTTCGGGTCCTTTACGAACAGATCCTTGATGTTGAGGTCCTTGCCCTGGGAATCGTAGTACTCCTGCAGCTTCTGGAAAGCTGCCTCTTGGTTGAGTGGAGGAAGTGGGCCGGCCATCGTACTTTAGTTTTCCCAAGCAGGAGGTAGATGTGGAGTAGAAGGAGGCGGGAAGGTGGTCTCGTTAGAGCTCGAGAGGAATTTGTAGCGTACGGAAAAGAGAGCACTGGTGAACTGTTTTAAGTAATCGCGAAACTTCACTTATAAACGCGGATCCGGCTACTTAATCGTCTGGTCGTTGGTTTTATCTGGCTCCGGCAAATCTCCAGAGCACCGCGCCACAACTTCGCCGTGTTTGCTATTGATAGGTAATGAGCGGCTGCCGATTTTCCAACGTCCTTTCTGGAATTCGCGAGCACCTTTCAATGTCAAATGAAAAACAAGCGAGTGTTGCCACGTCGGCCGCGTTATTGTTTTGTTGGGCCAATTGGACCGGAGTGGGTACTAATTTATTTTGTGGACTTGGTTGACTTGAACTAAGGGCTCCCTGCTCCTAGATGAGCTCTAATGATCGAAAAAAGGACTTGATCTTGGAATTTTCAAAACAAATTAACCGCCGCCAATACCATATTTTTTCGCTGATGTGGCCACTATTTTTAAAAAGGGCTGTCAAATGATAACATTATCGTATACATTTTCGTTTTATTTTTACCGATAATATTAAGTTTATAATAAATAATTTTATAGATATCAATGCTTTTATTCCAAGTACAACACGATAGCAAATTTGCATTGTAAATTCCAATTGTGTTTACGTTAAAATATAGCATACAACATAAAATACTTCCTTATGTTCAAAATACTTATTTTACTTAACCTAATACTTACTATACTTATTTCTGGAAACGCAATAGGGCTATAGAGGTGCTCAATATAATCACTATTCATCGATAATAATAAGAAATTAATATATATATATAATATACTATTCTCAAATTACAATAAATAACTTTAATTATTGGCTTACCATGGACTCCAATTTGGTGGGAAACTTTGATATACATATATCTCTAGCGCCAAGGCTTACAACTTTTTGGCAACGCCGCACAGGGTTACCAGGTCGCTGAAATTCGCTAAAAGATGGCGACGCGCACTTAATTTTTTGTTTTTTCCCACATAATAAAGTGCAGAAAAATCAAAATAAAAGAAACTCCAGAGAAACAATCGTAGACCGTTTAAAAAGTTAAGAGTTAAGCGTCAACTGAAACGCTTTGCCAGGGCCCTGAACTTATCGCGAGTGGAGTGAAACTAATACAAACATTGACATGTCGCTGGCCCGAAGAGAGCAACAAGTGTGTGAAAATCGAATTGTGGCTGTTTAAAATGTTTGGAGGAGCAGACATAGCTTCTGGCGGCAGATAGAGCCCCATAATCGGTTCCAAAAACTCAGATATTATAAAGGAGCCTTAGGAAATCGCCCCAAGAAGCCAAGCAGTAGCGTCTGCACACGTAACCTTGTGTGCGCGTAGCACGGAAGCTGTTTGTCGGAATCGGGTTTGTAGGTATGTGGCTGCGAGCCGCCGCTTAGACTCGCTGCTTACCCGGACATTTCGCTTGCAGTTGAGTTGGTACCGGTCGTGTGCCATTTCCAGGACGTCGGGTACGTCAACGAAGAGGATGGATACCTCAACCGCAGCAGGATCTGGAGCCGAAACGGGCGACGTTTGTCCGTGCTCAACGGTAGCCGCTTCCACCGCCTCCGCATCCAACGAACAGCCTCAGACCAAGCGCCAGAAAATTGAGCAGCAAATCAAGGTGGGGTCTAAAGCACTGCCGCCTCAGCCACCGGACATACTAGACCTTGATGCCAACAGCAACAGTCACCTGTGCTCCTCGCTGTCCTCGTCCTCCTCACACTCGTTATCCACGCCAAGCAGCGCCAACAATTCGCCCACCACCACGCCCTGTAGCTCGCGGGCGGCGTCCTACGCCCAGTTGCTGCACAATATCTTGCCACAAAATGGGGACACTGACCCACACCGCCAACCAGGATCCGCCCAGGACGAGGTAGACCGGGCGGCTAAATTGCCCGACCTGTTGACTCTAAGCACGGCCAACAGTAATAGCAGCCACCTCAGCAGCAGAAGTAACTGCATCCCAACGACAGCAACGGCAACCATCGACGACATGCTGGAGTTCGAGCAGTCTCTAACACGACAGTGCCTATGTGGGGTCTCGGAACGAACGCTGCGCAAGCCCTTCCAGTCCCATTACTCACAGGACACCAATGGCCAGAAGCGAATAGCCTACCTGCGGGAGTGGCCCACCAACAAGCTGCTGCAGTTTCTATCCAATCTGCAGTTGCTTTTCGACATCTACCTGAAGCAGAACGCCAAGGGCTTTATCTGCACGCGAATAATGGACGTCTGCGACGCTCTAATACGTAATGACCACAAGCTTATTGACGAGATAATTGTGCTGGCTGGCTACGACAACTCTTACGTGCAATTCTTGGCGGGACGCGTGCTAGCTGCATTCCTGGTGATTGCCAAGCAGGAGCTGAATGACGAGTGGCTGCAGAAGATCGTTGATCAGTTGTTCAATTTCGAGCAGCTCGACCAGACGGCCGTGCAAAAGATCCACTTTAGCCTGGACATTATAAAGCGTATCGTTGAGTGGAAAGATATGGAGATTCATCCGCTCGACGACGACTGGATGGCAGCGACAAATAGTGCAAGCGCCTCCGCATCAGTTGTGCCTCTATCGACGGAGGCGTCCGTGAGTTACATGCACTTCCCCGTGCAAGAACAGCCGCTGGCTACCAATTACTTCGCGCTGCAATTTCGAGAGGATGCGGAGGGCGATCGAGATACGGAGCGAGAATCGCCGACAACCGTGCCGCATCGGCGGCACTTCAGTGAGGAAATGAACGTATCCTATGAACCACATTCTGCTCCGCAATCCACAACCATGCCCAGTGGTTGCCATGTGGTCACTCTCACCGACTCGGAGAGTTTTGACACTACTCACCTAAAGTGCATTACTATACAAAAGTTGGAGCATAAATGGCCGACGCTGGTAAAGAACATGTCGGAACTTATGGCACCAACCCACCAGGATGCCGCCGAGCACTGTGTACTAAATTTTCTTCAACTGTGGGAGAACATCATCTCGGTCAAAGCAAATCTGTCCATTGATGAAACACGTCCCTACTACGCCCAACTGGACAAGTTCGAACTGCTACTTAGCCACCGACTCTCCTGCACCGTGTACAAGCAAATGTTGTGCCTCTTTAACGAGGCGCTGTGCTATGGATCCACGCTGGCGCTGCAGGACATGCTGCCCGAGGAGACGTGCAAACTGGCGCACCAAATAGTCTGCCACGTGCGGGGCTTCCGAATCCTGGAGTCTCTGCCGCGGCGTCAGCCGGACAACATGGTCAGTCTGATCGGTTATAATGGTAGGCCGCTGGTGTATGCCAACGGAACAATAACCCTGGCACATGGGACGCAGGCAGGGGATGCCGGCCAGGATGGTGGAGTAGGCGGGACTCCACTTGACTTAATTGAAATGGATAAAACGCTACTGCAGAAGATGGTTTTGTTGGTGCTCAAGTCGATTGCGGTAACTGTGAAGGAAATTCGCAGCGATTCCTCCGACTCCTCCATCGATTCCAGCGACTATGATGCCTTCCAAGACATGATGCTTATAGAGCGTTCGATCCGCGATGTGCTAAGCAAATTGGAGACGTTTATTAAGCAGACTCTGGAGTTCCATCCGGAGTGTCACTTCAGCAAAATCCTGATACACCTTTTCGACGACCAGGACGACCATCTGATCGAGGCCATGGTTTGCACGCTGGACGTTACGTCAGGCATTTCGTTCCGCAACAATGCCTTCCCCGAACTGGTGGCTATGCTGAATCCTGTCTACACATTCCTGGAATTCCTCAAGATGACTTCGAATAGCTCGGACCTCCTGTTGGACCTGTTGGTGAGCAACGAGACCTGCTTCCTGCTCTATCTGCTGCGCCTGCTCAAGTACATCCGCATGAACTGGACGATGTTCGTACATAGCTGTCACACTTTCGGCATGGGAAGCGCCATGCTGGACGAGGCAATGGGCGTGCTCATACGCCTGCGCCTTCAAATTTCCCGCCTGGTGTCACGCCAGCTCTATCCCTACGACATTTCACCGGTGCTTCGCCTGCTGGAGAGCTGCGAAAGCCTCTACGAGGGAAATGAACTGAGCTGAATGCGGGGCAAGCCCGAACTTCCAACCACATGCAATTAAAATACGTAATTTATTTTAATATTTAATGGAATAGGAGAAACTAGCGCAAAATTCGATGAAGAAGATGGCCTTGTAGAATACGTGTATTAGCCGTAGGTACCGCTCCGACCATATCTCCGCACCCCGATCCAGTAGCGCGTTAATCGTAGTTAAGTTCTTGCACCCTTTCATTCGCTTCGCAGGTCTTTCAACCTAGATACATAACTGTATGTAATTGTCATTGTAATGAGCATCACAAGTTCGTAGTTAGTTCGTAGATAATGGTAATATTATAGGTACTGAATTCCAAACTAAACACTACGCTAGCCTAAGATTTTTTTAATCTTGCCGTAAGTAGAATAATGTACAATAGGATGGCAAACGTTGGCTCATTCTCCGCGGAAAGTGACCATAAATTCGGTGTCTTCGAGAAGAATATTCTTTGTACGTTTTTTAAAACATTTGAATAATATAACTTAATTAACTGATTAAAAGAAACGCATTAAGAAGAACTACAAAGTGTGCTAGTTAATGTTATTGTGTTAAAATACTGTAGTCTCTTTGCAGTTTCGATGGGTTTTGGACCTGATAATATTGGCGTTTAATGGCGATTGATCATGCGTACGCGACGTTTTGGATCAATCGTTCCACTTGGCATGGTGCTCTGGACATCTGGACTCTGGCCAGTGAGGCTTATCACCGAGCCGCGCCTTGCCAATTCGGGTGGATATGGGCTTGATACTTGAACCGTTTGATAGTTAATACTGATCGGAACTGAGCAGCGACGATTTAGGCGGGGCTCTAAAGAAGAAAATAGTTGGTCTTATGAGCCGTGGCACATTTAGTTGAATTTTACCAAAACGAATGTCTCCGGAACTAGGCCTAAATGGGTGCTGTTGACTTGACCGGTTGACCAAAGATGACATGGCCCTGTGATGGTAATCCTGAGCCTTTGGAGCAGACTTTGTAAAGCCACCCTCCTCGTTCTGTGTGTACTTGTAGCGATCCACCGACACGGAACGTTCCTCGCCGAGTATATGCCTGCGCCGGAAGATTGGGGACTCCTCAACTTAGGCATGCATATGGGGAAATGGAGAGCGGTCAGTTTCAGGTGAGAGATCGCAGAGGGTTGCAGAAAAGCCCATTAACACATAGGAAATGAAACGCAATCTAACATGGCTACGTAAATTGATCACAGGAAAGCACATAGTAATTGATTTATTTTACGTTTACACACATATAGGACAGTAATATATATATATATATGTGAGTATGTACAACCTTACATTCAGTACAGTTTCACGGAGAAGTGAAGAGGAGGTAAACAGTGGAGGTCTTTCAAAACAAAGATATAAAACGTATCGAACCCGAAAAAAGTGCGGTAGTAGGATATAGATGTATAGAGATAAAAAGACAGACTATAGGTACACCACAATATACAATACATTTTCCGAAAAATTCAGAAAATTAGCTCCCATTCATGAGTGGACAGTGCTTTACAATACAGAAAATTGGCTAACTCAGTACATAGTAGTAGATACATTTAGATTTATAGGATAACAATTCATTTGATCCCTCGTATTAACACGGTGTAAAAAGCACCTGGCCCAGCGAGTTAAAATTTTGGCAAAGATTTTGGTGAAATACCTTTTGATGACCGCCGATCTTGCTTGTGGATTTGGGCATAGGATTGCAGAGAGCAGCGGCGCAGTCGTTTGTCCCCTTTGTTCTGCTGCCAAAGAAGGATTATTTACGGGAGTCATATAGACTGCTATATACATATAATAATCTTACTGATTTGTAGTGCTGATTGATGTCGGAGGCCGCCTTAAGCAGCAGATAGATAAAAACCAGCGCAAATAGATAGATGATGGGTTCAGCAGTATTGCTCTTCTTGGTCGAGTCCCTCTTTTTGTTGCCTTCCGGGGATTTGATCACTCGAGGTTGCTTACTGACCCCATTTCCATTTTTGGTTCGCTTGGTAGGTTTGCCCTGGGACCTTTTTGAAATTGGGTGTACAGATGGATTCCTATCAGATTCCTTGGCGAAAATATCAATTTTTTGACAGGATGTATCTGGAATCTGTACGTCCGACTTCTCATCCATGGCTTCGGGCTGAGTTTCATTGGTTTCGGGATGATTCAGGTCAAGGGCAGCCACGCTTGGCTTAAAATAGTATCTATAGTTGCGCTGTAGACCGGCCACCATGAGATACGCAGTGCACAGAACCACGAGGATGCCTAGGGGCACCACATGGTGATTGTTTGTATCCTTGGGTCTGCTGACACAACTAGGATTTCGATTTTTTGAAGTTGGTGGTGCCTTGATCTCATCATGCGGGGTAAATTTATCCTCGATTAGCGATTTCATTGCCCAATGTTTATTATTTACCAAGCGATGACTATGTGTATCTGTTGATTTACGAGTCCTGTTTGCGTTTGTAGCGAAAAATCGATAGGGATTACTCTCACAGCTTCACATATTGAGTATGCTTTAGTTTTTCCGTATCCTTTAAAGGTCAAAGGACCACAGGAGACGTGCTGAGAACAATGCTTGCTTCTATGTATTTTATTGAACTTATTGCTCTACTTTTACAACAGTCGAAACTGTTTCGGATACAACATTCTCCGCCACCACGAAACCATTCATGTTAGTGTGTATGCCTATCCTGACCTATGACATTTACGTCGATTTACGTTAAGTTTGAATTCTTAAATTGCGTGTCATTATAATTATGACTTAAAATTTAACAAATTATAAAATTATGTACAAATAATTAGAATGCATCAGCATTCAAAGTATCCATTTGACATTCCAGTGAGTTGGTTAAGTATATCTATAAAAAATAAAATATATTTCATGGGAGATCTAAAGATGTAGTTAACTTATTAAAGTACCTGTGATTTGTAGATCTGTAGACTGATTGCTGATCGTGGTATATAGCTTTCTACTTTCAGCTATATTTTGGCGCTTAAACATGGTAGTTCGTAAACTTTCTTCTTCTGATGATAATTGAAAATAAAATATGAGTAAAATAAAAAATGAGTATTAAAATCAACTTACTTCTCAGCCCATTTCCATTTTGTTTGGCTTTTTCCGATTTAATGTCTAAGGTATTTGTGGCTAAATTATTGTCCTTTAATCTAGTTACTCTGCCTCTACGCTCTGTGTCGTAGAGAATACTGCTACCTCGAGCAGTTGTAATACCAGTGAACTGGGCTAAGTCTTCACTATCTCCTCTTTGATTGGATATGTCATCAACTAAAAGGTTTACCAGTGGATTAGGAGCGTTATCTTCTTGCTCGCCTAATCCTAGGCAACCGTGCAGCTTGCGCAAGATCGTGCGTAGGATCTTAAACCGCTTGAGGATTCGCTGCTGTTCCACCTGAGATGCGCACATCAGAATGGCTTTGCACTCGCGCAATATCCGGATGAATTGCTGGTAGTACTCCTCTCCCACTTGGTTATTCGTTTCGGCCAGAACCTTTCGGTTGACCTCTAATTGAAAGTGTTCAATTAGCAGCAATGAAATTTGGATTAAGTCCTCCAATCTCTGCTTTTCATACACCTTCTCGGTGGCACTAATTCCTGAGGTCAGTATCTCCAAGCAACACCCAAGAAGGGCGCGACTATCGATGATCTCCTGAAGCGCCGCCTTAAACTTGGCCACCTCCTCGTTGAAGTGCTGCTCCAGGATGTCCGAGTGCAAGTCGGAACCATTTGCCTGCAGAGAAGGTATCAAACTAGTGTCGAGCGACTCAAAGGAGGCAAGGCAGCTGCGCATCATGGTTTTCACTATAAAATGAACATTACTACTTGACTAACAAGCGACTTTTTAAGTTATTAGGGTATTTATACTTTTCAAGGTTGGTGCAAAGGATGTGGCGAATAGGCCTATCTGGGTGGCCCGATCGATGTTCACATCAAAGTCAGCTATAAATTCATCAGCCATTGCATCTTCTTCCGAGCTGTTTCTCAAGAGGGTTCTTATTTTATCCACCGAAAACTTGTCAAAGTCCAGGAAGCAAGTGAATACCAAACGCAGTAGGGCGTCGTTAATGAAGTCCTCTAATTGGTACAACGCCTGTTCCAAAGTCATGGCCCTCAGCTTAAGAATTGACTTGTAGGAGGCACTGGGCACCTTAGACTCCTCTTGGAAAGTATTGCATTCGCCAATTACCTTAGAAATCAGCTAGATAATAAAGGGCTATTGATTGTTTGATATACACACCTTTTGACACAAGGCACTTAGTGCCCTTTTGTCTTGCGACAATGCAACATTGGCAAATCCCAGGGCTTGACCCAAGATCATATCTATATTGGCGCGCAATTTCTGGCTGAGGAGAAGGACTTCATTTGGCGATTGAGAAAAGTTAGTAGGATCAGTGTTTTCCTCATTATGGGAAGTAAACAGAGCCAAAGTGTCTAGAGTTGCATCCATTAACTTTAGAAAAGAACGTTCTTGAGCACCTAAATCCCCATTGGAGCCTTCGGTGTACAAGTGCAACAGGCGTTTAAGGCACCACCGAATGCGATCCAGGAAGTACTGATAACTGGCCTGATTTAAGTAGGTGAAATATTATTTTGATCAACTTATATAAATTATTAGGAAATTACTCACTAAAACTGAAGAGCCGCATGCTAGTTTCATGGTGTTTTCCACCTGGCGGATGCAGATCATAATCTGACTGAGGCAGAGGCAAACCAGCTCAGAGGACTCATTCTGCTTTTGAGAGCACAAGGAACTGTGGACCAAAGTGGAGTATTCCAATAGCACGGCACAAAGATCCTGCAAAACAAAACAACAAGTGAGTATCCTTTTCAATGAACACTTATTCTTTTTGCACGCACATTCAACCAATTTGGATCTCTTCCATTATTCCTGTTCAATATAAGCAGGCAAGACTCTATTTTCTTCCTTAAAACTTTCATTATTTAAAACGAGGTAAAAAGTAAACAACTTTTTTAAATAGGTGGCTTGAGTTTTGTGTGAATGGCAAAAAAGGCGGCTTGGGCGAGCATCAGTTAGTCCTTGGTAATTTTGCATAGTTGCAGTACGGTCCCATTGGGAGCATTACTTTTTCGGTAGCAAAAACTTATAGAAAATTGTCAATTCGCTGGTAGTTGTATATCCATGTGAAGCAGAGATAAGCTCCAAACTCTACCCGTCGCCCACGCCACGTCGCACAGTCGCGTACCGCCAGATATATCAATAACAGGCCAAAGAGACCGAGAGAATTAGGGAAAATGAGCTCCTCCAATGCGGGACAGCGCACCAAGCTAATACAGGAGAAATGTCAGACTCTCTTGACGCAGATGCTTCGCGATGAGGATAACAAATACTGTGTGGACTGCGATGCCAAGGGTATGTAGATCAAGTCAGCAGATCTGCACTTCTCTTTGCGAGAGATACGCCTCTTGGTGACGCATAAATCTGCATATACACACCACACATGCAGATGCACTGCTAAAAAATCACTTGTCTTATGGCTATTATATATTTATCTTCCTAGGTCCCCGCTGGGCCTCCTGGAACCTAGGCATGTTCCTCTGCATCCGTTGCGCTGGCATCCATCGTAACTTGGGCGTGCACATATCGCGCGTGAAGTCTGTCAACTTGGACACCTGGACACCGGAGCAAGTGATTTCACTGCAGCAGATGGGTAATTCGAGGGCACGTGCCGTGTACGAGGCGCAGCTTCCGGACGGATTCCGCCGCCCCCAGACGGACACGGCGCTGGAGAACTTCATTCGGGCTAAGTATGAGCATAAGAAGTACCTGGCCCGCGAGTGGGTGCCGCCCTCGCCACCCAAAGTGGATTGGGCCAAGGAGATCGACGAGGAGTTGGAGCGGCAGAAGCGCAAGAAGAAAACTACCCAGGCTCAGGCCACCTTGGGTCTCGGTGGAGTGTCCAGTAGCAGCAATGACAAGCGTCTATCTGGTTCTTCTGCGTCGGCCTTGAAAAACGCCCCCCTGCCAGCACCGTTGCCGAAGCCAAAGCCCAATCAGGTCGGCGGCTGCAGTCCCAAGACGACGCAGCGTGTTCAGCTGAACAGCAGCGGCGCCAGCAGTGCCGGCGAAAGCGACCTCTTGGGCCTGTCCTCGCCCACCAAGCCCATTGCCGCGACAAGTGCCAGCCAAGACCTGCAAAACGAAAGTTTCACCAGCTTTCTCAGCGCCGAATCGATTGCTGGACAGCCAGATAAGCCGAACGGTAGCAACGGTGATGCCTCCAATTTGTTGGGCTCGAAACCCAGCTCTTTGGCCCAGGAGGAGCAGGACTTCTTCAATCAGGGTTCCCTGGGTGCCGCTGGCAACGACAAGGACCAATCCGGAAAGATGTCAAAGGACAGCATTTTGGCTCTGTACGGAAACGCGCCGGCTGCCCACAACCCCCAAATGAACTTTGGCGGCTTCACGGGTATGGCCCCCGGCGGGTACATGCATCAACAGCAACAACAGCAGATCCCCCACCAGTTCATGACGCCTCCGAACTCTGTGAGCATGTACAATTCACCAGTAATGGCTGCGCCGAATGCGTTCAGCAACGCACCTATTAGCAGTGCCACTGCCATGAGCATGGGTGGCTCCCATGGCTTCGCTGGCGCCCAGTTTCCTAACACTGGCGGTAGTCCATATGCTGCTGGTGGGCAGGGAGCTACGACTAATCTTATGCAGACGAATCAGAGCATTCTCAGTGGGATGCCCCTTTTTGGAGCGGTGCAACAACAGCAGCAGCAGCAGCAACAGCAGCATCAGCAACAGCATCACCCACAACTAAGCGGCCTATCCATGAACTTGATGCAGCCTCTGCCCAGTGGTCTGAGCATGGGGCAGCCGCAGGGACCAGGCGGATTTGCCGCGGCTGGCCCTACCACCTCCTCAGTACCATCAAATCTGAATCAGCAATTCGGAAACCTTAATATCGGTAATGTCTGGCAATAAATACGAAGTGTATTTATGTAGTTGTATTCCTTTAATTAATTTTAAGACACGAGTGTTCGTCTCAGTGTTGAAACATGTGTGTGTGAGACGATAACGCTTGTTTATATGCATTCGATTTGTACAACTTGCCAATTTAGTTAGTTGTTCTGAGAGGATTCGGATAAAAACTATACGTAAATATAGAAGAATTCACTGTCAAGCAAGCCACTGTATTAAACGATGTTCATGTCCACCAAGAATCGCGTCTGTTCGTTCAAATCTATTCCAATTATACCGTAATGCATACATACACGTGTAACACCCAACTAATTAAAATTGAACTATGAAACTTAATGCACTTCCCAATCAAATGTACATGTTATTTTGAAACATTAGCTAGGTATTTGATACGCATACATAAAGAAATCGTCCACGCCAGGGTGTGTATGTAAAGAATAAAGATCTGGCAATGTACTTTTTAAATGCTTGATATCCCTAAGAACATATTCACGCCTGTTTGTCAATGTGAATCTTAAATATCATGGCTGGGTTGTAGACGGATTTATTGTATTCGATTTTTAAGTTGCTATGTCTAAGGAATAAATCAAACCACTTCGAACTGTGTAATAATAAAATATTCAGACCATTGTAATTTTTTGGATATTTCATTAAAAGGGTTGAAATGGAAAATATATATTTTCAAAGTAAATTATTTATGAGAAAAGCTTAAGTAAATGTTAATTTTATAGAATGGATTTCTCAGACATTGGATAATTGAAATATTTATGCTTATCAATTGTTTGGAAGTTTTAAATCCAATTTAAATTGTCTAATTGTTCCCGCCATATTTGCCGTTCACATGCAGGGGTATAGTTTGGCTACTCACCACGAAACGCAACCGGCTTCAGCAATACACGTCAACTTGGAAAATAAATAAAAGAAAAACTAATAAAAATATTCAATTGGAAAAAATGAGTGACAAAGTCGAGGAGATGGGACGTAGGCTCCAGGAGAAGTCCACCAAGGAGGAATATTTCGCCAGCCTTGCAGAGTGGGCTAAACAGGCAGCGATTGCTCAGAATGCGATGATGATGTTTCCGTACTACCTTATGGCCAACTATCCGACTATGTTCCAAGGACAAGTAGCTTCCGCAGGCTTCCAATCAGCCACCTTTAGACAGCCCCATCCTGCAACTTCGTCTCCCCCATCGGTTCAGGGAGCAGGAGCGGCTGCCCCAGTAGGCACTGCCGCACCTGCTCCAGCGGCAGTGCGAGACTTCAGTAACCTGCGAGTCTTGGACGAGGCAGCACAGTTGGAAACCATACAGCGATTAGGCGGTTACGAGTATGTAGTGGCACCCTTCTGGAAGAGAGCTGTAGCAGAGACCATCGACATGCTCATCCTTTTTGTCCTAAAGATCATCGTAACATTTGGTGTAGTCAATCTATTTGACATGGACTTTGATAAAGATGTTATACGACGCACCCTCGACGAAGACGACCTGTTTGTGAACTTCTTCGATATCTCGCTGGACTTCATTTCTATGTCCACTGAATTGCTGGTCATCGAAATGCTAACAAAGCTCACAGTCTGCTTCTATGAGGCGTTGTGGACGTATTTTTATAATGGGGCTACACCGGGCAAATCCCTGATGAAGATACGAATACACTATGTGGAAGCGGTAATGCCGCTTCAGGCACCTGCCCTTCCGCAGTTCGTTCTCCAGCCGCAGAGGGAACCGATGAGGGCCCTTCTCTATCCGGCCCAGACTCCCTCACTGATTCGTTCATTCAGCCGCGCTTTGGCTAAGAATATTTTAATGACACTGCTTTTTCCCATTTGTGTCGTGATGATCTTCTTCAAGAACAATCGCACCGCCTATGACATCATGACAAAGACTATAGTGGTAGAGACCAATTCCAACGCAGTATTCCGCACCCAAGTGCCACCACAGCGCAACCGCTGAGCACGTGTCTTTAACCAGCCAAAGTGTTTAGGAATTGCGCTCTCTTCCCTATGCATATATAAATAGATCTTATTGTTAAAACTAAATTTAATGTCGTGTACGATGTCCTGTGAAATAAAACGTTATAAAGTTTGAAAAATCACTAGGTAAAAAACAAAATGAACTTTTGTCTGACCTCTTGGAAAACAATTTATAGGATCGAAAAGATAGGATCAGCAGGGTGTAGGGTCTGATGTTTAGTTTATTGGCTCACTTTAGAGGTTTTATTTATTGGCTTACTTCACATTGACGTTCTTCAGAGTTTGGGCCACAACGTTGCCTTTGCCGGGAACATGAAGGGCAGCGCCCTTATAGCAGGCCACCAGGTCACCGTTGGTCATCAGATCCGGAGCACACACCTCGAAGATCTTCTTTTTAGGGTTAAGCTGCGCATCCGGAGTTCGCGTATAGCCCTCGCAGTGGACAAGATCGCCAGGAACGGCTCCGGCTGGCGGACTGAGCACCTCCACCTTGTCTGGGGTAGATGCGCACATGACCATAGCCTCCGAGGTGACGCCACGCATCTTGGCTGGCTTTAAGTTGCACATGACTACAACCAAACGGTTCTGCATCTCTTCCAGCGGCACGAATTTCACCAGGCCGGAAACCACAGTGCGTGGGATGGCTTCGCCACAGTCGATCTTCTCTAGATACAAACTATCGGCATCGGGATGGCGACCTACCTCCACAATCTTGCCAACGCGCATATCCAGTCGGCCCACGTCTACGGGTGCCTCTGGAGCGGCGGCGGGTTTCTCTGCGACTGGTTTCTTTTCCTTGACCTTTTTTTCTTTGGGCTCTTTGGTCTGCTTCGGAGCCTCAGCAACGGGGGCAGGTGCAACCTCTGCCGATGGAGCTACTGGCCCCGCACTAGTGCAGAATCCTCGTGATCCTGGCACCGGGATCTGTTTCTTGCCATTTCGCAGTTCCAGCTGCACCAATTGGGCAAGGGCGGCCTCCACTTCCTTGGCCAATGCGGCATTCTCATTGATCAGCTCTTTCTTCTGGCGCTCCACAAGTTGTTGCTGGATGCCGGAAATCTGGCGAGCAGAGAAGATTATAGAAAATATCACAGTGTCGTTAGGGTAAAGTACTTGCCTCGGCTTCAATGGATTTAATCAGCGCCTCGGCGCGCTCGTTATTATTAGCAATCTGCTGCAAGTCGGCCATGTTTCTCCGGTTTTCCGCGAATTTTGTGCAATTGAGGCCGTACTTCTTACATGCGGATCTCACAGTCGTGGCAGTTCTACGTAGCATTGCGCTTCTTCTTCTTCTACTTCGAACAGTCGCGTCGCCACGGATTGAACATGTTCTTTATTTGCCATGAGAGCGATGGTATTTCACCGCAGCCATGCCAGGGCCACACTAATCGGTGCAACGCAAAAACTGCTGTCAGTTTTAAGCAAAAATTGTCTAATAATAAACAATAAACACTCGGGAGGCAATCACCGTGCCGCAGATGGATTACGTTTATTGCGGCACCGACCCGATCGGTGCCTCCGAGGACATATTAAGTGGGTCAGGGGGTCGCTTTCGGGTCAACGCTCACTCGCACACTCACACAGTCATGCAAGTCAGCTAAGCTTTCTCCTTTGTTTTCTGTTTACTTTTTGCAAAGGTGTTTATGACGCGGGATCTGGGCAAGGAAATGGGCATTTCTCGCCCAGCTTCAATGGCTTCAATATCGGCACTACGGATCCGGAGTATGTGGAGTTTGTGCCTGTCCTTGCCGACGGAGGGGAGCACTTTGGAGTCTCCACCGTGGCGTTTGATGACTACGAAGAGCTGCTCTGGATGGGCAACCAGGGAGTGAGTATTTGCCTTTATTTTCCAGGCTTGCTTATCAATCACTTTTCCGCAGGGCCATGTCACCTCTTACTACACCAGCTCTATGCAGAAGTACACCTCCTTCCAGGTGCACCCCAGCGACATTGTGCGCCAGATCACCACTCTTGACTCTGGAGTGCTGGTGCTCACACAGACTTCTCTGCGTCATCAGATACGCAGGGGTCTACCCAAGTTTACTTACAAGTATGCAATATTCTGACTTTAAATGACCTGCAATTTATATTTGCATCCATTGTAGATCCAACAATATGACGGAAATGGTCAGCATGTTGCAACTGTCCCCTCACCGCTTGGTCATGGCCGGACTTCAGGAGGAGCTCATCGACTTTGACATGCACACGCTTAAGGAAACCCGTCTGGAGCATGTTGGTGCTGCCGGCTGTATGGTTCTGCGTAAAAACTCGCGGTTTCTGTTTGCCGGCGACCAGTTGGGATCAGTGACGTTGCGCGACCTGAACAGTCTGAGTGTCCAGCACACAATCAAGACTCACACCAATGTCCTGTCAGACTTCAGTGTTCAGGGTAATCTTCTCATCTCCTGCGGATACGGCGGACGTCAGAATAGCCTGGCCATCGACCGCTTCCTTATGGTCTACGATCTGCGTATGCTGCGTTTAATTTCGCCGATTCAAGTGATGATTGATCCACAAATGCTGAAATTCCTGCCATCGCTTACATCGCGACTGACCGTCGTGTCCAGTTACGGACAGGTTCAGCTGGTTGACACCGTTGAACTCAGCGAACCGCGAGTTTCTATGTACCAAATCAATACCAACGGTAGTCAATGCCTCAGCTTCGACATCAGCTCCTCCTCACAGGCCATGGCATTTGGCGACCAGTCGGGCCACATCAACATGATTGCCGCTATGCAGACGCCGCAGCCGCAATTCAATCCATTCTCACGAAACACAGAATTCGCAGACGTGGTGCCACAACTGCCGATGGTTCCAATTACGGACACTAACTTCCCGCTATCGTCAGTTATGCTCCCCCACTTAACAACGGGTTCGCAATGGTTCTCCGACTGGCCAGAGGAACTTCTGCGGTATCGCTACCACAGGCCAAAAACAATCGATCCCGAGGTGCTTAACAACATGAAAATGCAAGGGCCCATTGGATACTCGCCAAACCCTCGTACCGCTCGCCGGAATCAAATTCCTTACGTGATTGATCAGGGAGGAGTATGCAGTACTAATGGAAATGGAACTGTTGCGGTCATCAAGGCGGAGAACGGTGTTAAAATCATTCCAAGACGATATCGCAAAGTCGAGCTAAAGTACACAAAGCTGGGCACGCAGGACTTTGACTTTGAACAGCATAATCAGACGTGTTTCGCTGGGTTGGAGGCAACATTACCCAATTCCTACTGCAACGCTATGCTTCAGGTTAGAGCGCTTTGCTAATCAGTGTAATATTAATTCATTACTCAGCATTTTCCTTCTAGATACTGTATTTCACAGACGCGCTGCGTATTAAGCTGATTGAGCATTCTTGCACTAAGGAGTTTTGCTTATCCTGCGAACTGGGTTTCCTTTTCAACATGCTTGACAAGAGTACAGGTTAGTTGAGATTTACAATCTAACTGTTCTTAAGTAAAAAAGTTTTTATTGTACTTGTCAGCTTCATCACCATGCCAAGCGAGCAATTTTCTGCGCTCTTTTCGTACTGTTCCAGAGGCCTCAGCATTGGGCTTGATACTTACGGACCGCTCATCAAATGTTAATCTAATAACTCTAATACAGGCAAGTTATAGCCTCGCTTTGAAACCATGTATTTAATATATGCACACCCCTCAGAACTGGAACCGATTCATTCTGCATCAAATGCATTACGAAATATTCGATTCCAGCAAGAACACATCCACCTCAAGCGGATCTGTGCAAACATCAACTAATGGTAAAAATATAAATTTTTTAATAAAAATGGAAATTATTAAATATATATTTCTAACTTATACCATAGCTGAAAACACAAGCCCGTCTGAAACAAGTGGCTCCTCGGATATATATGATTCCATTAGTGGTGAGAAGCTAACAAAATATTAAAAAAGAAAACTAAATTTAGATGTACCACTTTAACCCACATAATAACAGATGATAACTCCAAGGAGGACAATCGAGAACGCAGTAAAATCAACGCAGAAACTGAAATCAGTAAAATATTTGGGACCAAGCAACTTTGTGTTAACCGCTGCATCAAATGTCAAGTGGAGAAATCAAAGGAAAATATTTTACTTGCCTGCAATATGTCGTACCCCACCCACATTAAGGATAGTGAGCAGTATTTCCATTTTGGAACCATTTTAAAGCGTTCTCTAAGCTCCGAGAAGAGCATACAGGCCTTCTGTGAAAACTGCAAGAAGTTTTCGCCAACTAATCAGAGCGTGAAGGTCCGGGTCAATTATTAGAATAAATAAATCATGGAACTAAAATAACTATCTGTATTTCCAGGTCACTTCTCTTCCGCAAATGCTCTCCATTAACTGTGGACTAAACAACGAAAAAGACATTACCTTCCTGAAACGACAACTCAATCGTTGCAACGAAAAGCCTACTGCCGATGCAACTGCATCCCTAAGCACAAGTAAACCTTGCCGATATGGAGCCAACTGTTCACGAAGCGACTGTCATTTTATGCATCCGGATCGGTACGCTATCTTAACAGGGAAGTATAGCAGTTGGCTAATGCATATATTTTCTTTCCAACATTGCAGAAAATCACCCTCTCACACAAATCAAACAAATAATACCAATAGTTCTCCTACTGGACGTCAGAAATCTTGGTTTCCTCTTACCTTTACCATGGGCATCAACGAGCAAGGCGAGCTGCAGGTGCAAACTCAATTAGATACAAACGTTGGTAAATCGGAACAGGAGGAGGAGGGTGAAAAACCACTAGCAAAGACTCCAGACAACAGTCGTATGTACGCCTTACATGCTGTGGTCTGCCAAGTCGACGATGGCACCCAAAAGAACTTGGTGTCCTTGATAAATGTGCAGCGGCAATATCATACTATGAAACTAGCGGAATCCCCAGAGGACCCACAAAATCAATGGTATATCTTCAATGATTTCAGGTGAGTTTAGTTTTCATTGCAGATCTTCGACGACCTATATTGTTCGTATTTTTTGATAGCATTTCTCCGGTATCGCCACAAGAATCAGTATGGTTTACATTGGATTGGAAAGTGCCCTGTGTATTGTTTTACAGGAACATAGAAGATGATTCGGAATCAGCAAGTACTACGAGCTCCACCGTAACAGAAAGCGACGAAACAGTTCCATCAGAGAGCAGCAGCGACTCTCCAACAAACCTAACAAACCCCTTTTTAGAGGTGCATACGTTAGTCTTATATTGAACTACATAAAATAATAATCTTGTATATTACCAGGACATGGTGAGTCCTATTCCTGGCCACGTGAGTACGGATGCGACACTGAAGCCTCTGCAAATGGATGAAATGCCTCAGTCGGGTGACCTGGTAGCAATGGATGCTGAATTCGTTACCCTAAACCCTGAGGAAAATGAGATCCGACCCGATGGCAAGACAGCTACAATTAAGCCATGTCATATGAGCGTCGCCCGTATATCATGTATTCGAGGGTAATATTGTTAAAAACTTTTATAGATCATCCGATAATGATACATGTCTATTAATACTTTTCCAGACAAGGCTCGGGTGAAGGAATACCATTTATGGATGATTACATCTCTACTCAAGAGAAGGTAGTGGATTATCTAACGCAATTCTCGGGGATCAAACCTGGCGACTTGGATGCAAACTTCAGCAAAAAAAGGTTGACTGCCCTTAAGTACTCATATCAGAAATTGAAATACCTCGTCGATGTAGGCGTAATATTTGTTGGGCATGGTCTAAAGAATGATTTCAGGTGGGAAAACAAAATATTAAAGTTTGAAAAAAGCACTGAAAATTCTTGATATTTCAGGGTAATAAACATCTATGTGCCGTCAGAGCAAATAATCGACACAGTACACCTTTTTCATCTGCCACACCATCGAATGGTGTCCTTGAGATTTCTGGCTTGGCATTTCCTAGGTTTGTACTTGCAATAACTCGTCCTTGTTTGCATTTTTAATACATAAAAAAATACGATAGGTACTAAGATTCAATCCGAGACACACGACTCTATCGAGGATGCACGGACAACGCTTCAGCTCTATAAGCACTATTTAAAACTCCAGGCAGAGAAAAAGTTTACCAACGCCCTTAAAAACCTTTACGAGCGGGGAAAGCTGCTTCAATGGAAGGTTCCAGAGGAGTGAATCGTTGCCGAATCGGTTGCCAATTCGACGAAATCCATAATCAAAGTAATCGTCAGTACAAACGCTACACTGATCTAAATATCCCGGCTTTTCCCCAACTTTATTATGTTTCAAAGCTATTATTTTTGCTATGGAGCTCCTGGTATTTAATTTTGTATTTGTCTATCTATTATAAAAAATAGAAAACATAAAAGTTGTATATTTTATCTGAAATCTTTTATTAATTGTTATTGTGCTAGTTTATGAAAATTAAAAGATCATCAATTTGTTTACAAAATGCACAATCAGGTTGGTAGACAAAAGCGCAGCCGCGTTCAATGATCGGAAACTCGTGTAGATTATTCTAACCAATTCGGTTGAAATTCCCATTCGTTCCTTCTTATCAATGCCATTTGGGAATTTTTCAGAGGCTGTCGCTAATTCGATGTGTACCTGATCTTGGACTACTGCGCATCTACTTATAAATACCGCGAGCAAGTCAAGCCAGTTAGTTAGAACTTAGCATTCCGTCAGAAAACACAGGTCGTAATGCATTTTTTTGGACTACTCGTGTCGATCGTTTGTTGTGTTTTGTGCGTCGGTGAGCAACCCCATCACCATGGCCGCCTAACAGCGATTAATGGTCGTTTTATTTCTTCTGCAGCTGCTAATCCGCAGCAGATATATGACGGTCGTAATGGGCCACACGTTTTCGGAACACCTGGACACCAAGTCTATATAAGAGGGCAAAACGATGGTGTCTACTCGGTGCCAGGAGTGGCTGGTCAATTTCAACACACATCGTCACCATCTGAACACATCTATAGGGACGAAAACGGAAACACCTATGTGAACCGAAAGAATCCGGGAGGACCAGGTAGACAAGGATTTCCTCTAAGGACTTCGCTTAAATTTCATTAATATTTCCATTTAAAGCAACTCATACTGTTAGAGGGCCTGGTCTAGTTGTTGGACAGCCCTCCTATCCTGTTGTTCAGGACTCACGATATAGACCTGCTGCTTTATTGTCTCGTAAAGCACGTAGTCCCCAGTTTCACGTTGAAGGTCCTGGACGTACTGTAGATGTGGGCTCTGGAGGATTTGTAGTTCAAAGAAGTGCACGCAGTCCCCAGTTCCATGTAGAGCGTCCTGGTCGCACTGTGGATGTGGGTTCTGAAGGATTTGTGGTTCAAAGAAGTGCACGCAGTCCACAGTTTCATGTGGAGCGTCCTGGTCGAACGGTAGATTTTGGATCTGGCGGATTTGTGGTTCAAAGGAGCAGCCGCAGCATCAATGATGGTCGTGTGCAAGGCGAAAATTTTGTGGCTCGGGATGATCAAGCTGGTTTGTGGGATGATCGTGTTTCGGTTTGGAAGCGTCCTGACGGACGAACAGTCTCGGTGGCCGATGATGGCAGTGTCATTATATCTGGTCATGGACAAACTCAGCATGTGAGTAGAATTTAACTAAATTAAAATTTGTATCTGAAATATCTTTTTATTTACAGTATTAAGGACGAAAAGTATGTTAAACTTTTTGAAGCATAGGGATAAGTAAAGATTATAATGCATTAGTGATCTTAAAGTTAAATTAAAAAATGTACATAATTTTATATATATATATACTTTTGATAAATATAACAAATGACAACAACGCAGAACTTATTTGAAGGAAATTTTGTTCGACATAAAAATTTCAGATAAAAATTAATTTTTCATGTTTCGACGGACACCCAGTCTCCGGCTAGCCTGGGATTTTTTCTTTTCATCCTGTTCGTCTGGCTTTCGAAGTTCTTCTACTGGTTCTGCTGTTTGTTTTTTAAGTTTCGCATTGGACTTTTTAGTAGTGCTATTCTCACCCAATGACCGAGTGTTAGATTTTTTGGTGGCTTTTTCCTCATCTAAAGGCTTTGCTGGTTTTTTTAGCAGAACTTTAAAATCTTTTTTGGGTCGCTTCGATTTTGAAGTCGTTTCAGGTTGCTCTTCATTAGGTTCCTCTTGGTTTTCACACTGAATGTTGTCTCCTTGCTTTTCGGAAGCTTTGTGGCTTCTTTTTCTTTTAGGTTCAATGTCCTCCGTTTCACTGCTAAGAGCACGTCTCCTCCGCTGTCCTTTTTTCTCTACAACAACGTTTACAACATCATCCTCTTCAATTTCCTCAGGATATGTGGTGGATTGAGCATCATCATCTTTATCTTCATCTTCACTCTCATTCTCGTCTTGATCTTGATCCTCAGCATTGCTGTCTTCTACGGAAATGTTGCGACCATCCGAAATACTCCGCTCTATAGCCGCTCTCAGATCTGTTGATTTGATATCAAAGTCACGCATGGTTCCCAAGTGGAGGTAATCTGTAAGCCTATTCTTGCTTTTAGTCTTCTTCGACAGTAGGATAATGTGCTTGTTGAAGTCCTCGATAACCATTATAACCTTGGGAATTAGACGTGTCTCTCTCAAGACTTTGGCTCGCTCTGTCTGAACATTTCGCTTTTTGGTAAGCTGTTGTGCTTCTTCATCAAGTGTGTTAGCTTCTATATAAGTAATAAGCTCGTAAATATTGGTTGGAAGTTGCTTACCTACATCTCGCAGTAGCAGCTCAAATCTGTTGAAAGAATAAAATTGATTTTAAATAATTCACAGTAATTGACCTGCTGGACTTACTTAGTGCTACGAATGTTTTCCATGTTTGAGTCTGATGTGTAGCTCGATATATAGTGCTTGGCCAGGTTTTTCAAACAAGTGTAGTGTTGGATTAGCAATTTCATTAGTCCATCCATAGAAGATCCCAATGGAATACAAACATTGGTAAGCACAAGCAAAGTGCGAGATATATGTATTATTTGTGTACAAATTGAACGATCCATAGCATCCAGATTGCCTCGCCAATATATTTGGTCAATTTCAGGAACCACTTGGCATTTGTAACTTAAATTATTTGCCTTCGTCACAAAGTATTCCACATCGGTTAGCTGCTTTTGGACGGCTGTATACAGATGCTGCAAACAACTCTCGGCAGTCACCGTACTTATCGACTTCAAACTTAGTTCCATTGAATCTGATGGCGTGTCTTCATTTTGAACGCCAAGTACGTGACCCAATTGTCTAGCAACACTTTCAAAAAAGGGACCCAAATGGGTCTTTTGCCGCTGAATGAATAGCATTCTGTGCACCGAACCCATCTCACTATTAAGAATTTCGTTTTTGCTGCAAAAGTTTAGGATCCAAGTGAACGATTCGGTAGCGGCACGATCATCATAGTCTATGTGATCTAACAGAATTTCAAGTGACTCCAAAAGACAAACTGGTACTTTTGAAATAAACTCATCTTTACAAATAGATTCATCACTGCCATATTCCTTCATAAACTCGTCTAAAATATCCTGAAGGACGTAAATCACTTCCTTGTTTCTGTTTCCCTTAATAGATGCCATATCTGAAAATGTTTCAATAGTATTAAACAATTAAAGAAAGTATATAATCGGCTTACCAAAAGCCTTGACAAATTCTTCGAACTTCTTGGAATAAATTTCATGTGCCGTTCTTAGGCATTCCGTAAAGCACTGAGAAGCTAGGGCTGAGCTCTGCATATCGAAGTCTGCCCACAACTCTGGCAAACGATGAATGCAGCGTTCATAAATTACTTTTGTTATGTCCGTCAACTGCTTAAAAGTGCGTTTGCTGTAGGCTAATTGCTTGTAATCAGGCTCTTGGCGTATGGATTCCACTCTGTTGGCCGTTACAGATAAAACATAACGAACGAGAGCTTGATTAGACCGTAAGAGAACAGTTTTTTCAGGAGCAGCAAAGGAAACGATGTCACTGGAAATTTAAAAAAATTAAGTAGATAAAAAGATAAACTTTTAAGAAAGACAACTCACTCAAGCAGTAGATGCAGCAACTTATCTAGAATGGCCAAATCCCAAATATTTTCAGGCTGCGTACACATGGTCTTTACTGGGACACCGTTCATAGTCAAATTACATGATGAAGTACTATTGTTTTTCGCCGACTGCTTTAATTGCTTATAGGTTTTCTTAGAAGAATCAGACAGTGCCTTTAGACTCTCCATGAGCTTACAATGCTGGTTGAATAGCGGTAAAATTTGAGAAACAGCATCGTTCTGTGGTTTAGATCTAAGCAATGTGTGACAAATTATCCCTTCAATAATATTAAGCTGTTGCAAAACGAGAGCACATTTAAGATGTGTTGCTGGAGGTTTCTAAAAATGAATAGAATTATTTTTTGAAATTCTAAAGGTATTAAGTTCACCCACAATGTCTTCCAATGGCAATCTGTTGGCCACCATACGATCCACACAAAAGCGAATTAGCCTATTAATCTCACGAGTGTCGTAGCCCGATGGAGCTCGTTCGAAAATAGCCAAACAGTTGGCTACAAATTGAATTAACTTGCCCAGGTTATCTTTAAGTTGAATCTCCATATGTTGATCATCGCTGGAGCTCACCAGTTGATCGTAACGTATGCGAAAAACTGTGTCTAGATCGTCACCAGCTTCTTCTGCCGAGGGCGTGTCGAAAAAGCTGCGGAAGTGCCAGTCAATAACTTGCAGAACGTGGGGAACGAGTTTAGCATTAAGCTCTACGGCTCTTTGGAGATCTACATAAGATAGATGTTTTGGTGTTAATGGTATGATATAAAATTTTATCATTAGTTTCAACTAACTCTCATATAGGGTGCATCGTATATCAAACTGTTGCTGCAGGCAATTTCGTAACATTCCAATAATTTCCAGTGTGAGCATGTCGAAATTTCGCTGAGGATTACTGCGACTTCCTAGTGTGTTCTGTGTCATAATGGAATATCCCGAAATGCTGTGTTGTGTGCAGAAGCTGGTGGCACTTGAGGTTTGGCGCATTGCATTGCTGTTGTTAAGCTGTTTCAGTATCATACAGAACCCATAAATGGCCATCCGACGTTTTTGAATACCACTAAAAAATAGTGCAAAAAGATATTTAAGAATATTATTAGTAATCAGCTATTAGGACTTACCTAGAGCCCATAGCCTTGCAAAGCACATCAATTAGTGCATCGCGAACGCGATTGGAAATCTTTAGCAAAGGCAGAATAAAGTTCATCATGCGCATGGATTGCTCACCAGATAACTAAAATATTTTAAGATTATAACATTTTAAACTAAAATATCCCATTTGCATAACTTGCCCATTGCATGTGCTCCATAACGGATTGAATGGGTTTCATGCATTCGGAGACTGTGTACGTATCAGCCACACTTAAAAGTGTAAGACATTCTAAAAAAGAATCATTTTAGCAAGGAATTATTAAAGGTATTTGCTTTAAATACCTGAAAACTGGTTTTGATCCTGATATACTATCATCCACTCTGAAATAAGTTTTATAATTCCCTGACCAAAAATGAATCGTTTCCGTATAAACTTTGTAAGGAATGTTATAGCTAATGTGTGCATTTTTGGTGATTGCGATTTTAGCAAATAAAATATCAGGTGCACAAGCCCAGGTGTAATCACATCCTTCCCGTCTTTATTCTGATCTATGAGCACCGCGAATACTTGCTGCAGATCGACTTGTTTTCGCTGCAATGTATCGCGATACCATACAGAGTAGATGGATAATGATCGCTCTTCTTCATTGTTCTTGATAACTTTACGCAAAAAAGGTAGCAAAATAGAGTGCGAGATCCTAGCAGACTCTGGGTCACGATTAATGCTAGTCATCGAAATAATAGCACTTAGCATAAAAGGAGTTAGGATCACATCGGGCATATGCAGAAAGTTCTGAAACAAGGAAGAAGTCGCTTTACGATCCATAAATTGGCGTAGTTTTTAAATAAAATACTTACCCTGAACATTATCGACAAATGTTTTTCAGTTAGCTTATACATAGTGCAGTAATTCAAATGATGCAGAATAGTCTCTTCGGCCTCTCTTAATTCCTTGTCCGAAAAAGAGTCTGAAAATAGATGTACATAAACTTAAAAGATTTGTGACTGTAAGTCAGTGCAGCATTGAAGCTAACCAATGCTGTCCAAGTTTGTGGAATTGCTACACATGTCTGAGAACAGTCTTTTGTAGAAATTTCGATGAAAATATTTATCCAGGGCCAGCAAAGGAATAATTAACTGTGCTGCAGTGTTGCATATTGAAAAGAGCTGGAAGCATAATGCTGGCAGTTCCATGGGCGACAGTTCCTGTAGGGTGCCAGAGAATTTGTTGAGGACCATCAAGATTTCACCACAGTTAAGATTCATGGATCTACAGAGAAACCCTTGGTTAATTATTATAGATCTTAACAATTTAAATTTTGCCCTCTACTTGAACATGTCTGCAATTGGAGTAAGGATCGAGGCTGGCCATTGCATGGTGGCAATGCTTCTTACGGTGGTGTCTCTGAACTCAGTACCATCCATAGAGATACCATGTAGAAGAAACCGTGGCCTCGCCAAAAGCAGCGAAAGAGCGTCTGGCAGCAAGTCCTTCCAACCGACGCACTTGGCGTCACCTTGACGGATCCCGTCTATGCAGTGCTCTACAATCCAGGCCAGCTGGTCAGAGGGAAACGTGACAAGATCCTGAGATAGACGTGTGATCAGATCAAAGGTTTGTTTATAGCTCAGTTCTATGCTGCTCAGTATGTCCATGAATATGCGAACGCATTCGAACCGCTTCGCCACGGCCTCTTTGCTATCCGGATTGAAGCCCAGAAGCAGGTAATTCCAAAAGGTTATACCTTCGCTGCGCATCATCGTGCTTTTTAGAGTATTCTTCAACTATTAAATAATGTACATTAAACAACATACACATTTGTAGTGTTTTGTATTTCATGGACTTTTACCTCTTCAATGGGGGTGTTTTGAATTAGCAATTCCAGTTCATTTTGTCGCCCTTTTTCCCCCAAGCTTCGCATCCATGTTAGAATTGAGTCGCGTGCCATTCTAAACTCTTATTTCGTGAAATAAATAACAATTTAAACAAAGTCCCGCCAGATTTAGCCACCTACTAAACATTAGAGATGGTAAGCACGCGGTGTGCAGATATCGATATTGATAGGTATCGATTGAATTTCGCGGGACTTTTAAATTGAATGCAATACCTAATGGTATACAAAATAGGTTTCACAATCAAATTATACGTATCTAAAAGATTGTTTTTCTTATCATCTAATATTCTGTTATGGATCCGCAGTTCTTTAATTATTTCAAAACCCTTTGGAAATAATTTGACATCGCCAAGTTACAAACTGACTCCAACTACTATAGCTATATTGAAGAGAAACTTAAGAGCATTTAAGTCAAATTGAAAGCTTAGCTGGCTTGCTTTCTGTGGCTCTTAGATGGGAGTATCTTTCCGTTTCCCTTCACCCTCTTTGGACTACAATTTTACGTATAAAATCAAAAGCTAGACTGAACAGCCAACAGTTGCGTGAAGCCAATAGCCAGGTGACCAAGTGAATTTATCAAGTAATAACTTAAAAAAAATTAAAATGTGCGGACAATTGAAAGCCATGGGAGTCGGAAGTGTGGGTTTGGCGGTAGTGATCCTCCTTTTGGCGGGGATCAGCGAAGGCGAGGCGAAGCCTATGGACCTGTACGACGATGTGAGCGACTTCTTCGACGCCATCTCTCTGGACGATGTGGCCAACACAGGACGCAACACTCATCCGGAGCAGTTCTGCCTGATGCCGGCGCGTAAGGGTGTATGCCGGGCTTTGATCCCCCGATGGCGCTACGATCCGGAGCAGAAAAAGTGCGTGGAATTCAAGTTCGGCGGCTGCGATGGAAATGAGAACAACTTCTCCAGCTACAAGGAATGTATGTCAACCTGTGAGGGCATGTAAGATCCTCCGGTTTTAGATCGGGATTGGTCTTTAATGGCCGATGTGTTGCCAAAGGCGCCTGCTTTTCCTTCTCCAATAGAGCGAACCAAAGGCAGCATACTTACTCTAAAATTCACGCACATCATCCAAGTGATTAACTGTCTCTTCTACCTAATATTTATGTAGTTTCTTTCATTGATCCATTTATTTTTTACTGTTTGGGGTGTCCAACACCCGTCACCCATTTATAGCTTAAGTTATTGTGATAAAATATTTTTATGGAATAAAGTTTTTTATAGAACAACAAAGTTGCAGTGTTTTTTACTGATATACATATGTGATTTGGATTACCAATTAAAATTGCTTTTCTAAAAATTAATAAAGTATCTGAAGACAACATTTTTCTAAAGAACGTATTATTAACGCTTTTAAATATATGGTAGGTATGGTACAAGCTTCCTCAATTCAGAATATTATTATTATTTTTATTAATTTCAATTAAACATATTGTTAATGAGGTTCTTTAATGACAATTACATTAAAAATATTATAAGACAATTATTGATTTTAAAATGCCCTTAAGTATGTTCAAGAAAATAAATTTTAAATATAGGAAATTAAAAAAATAACCTAGAATGCATGCATGCCATTGGCAATGCCGTAGTTTCTAGATAATTCTGGCCGCTTCAAATGTTTGTTGATAACTCAAAAAAAAACTAAAGATAGACAACTGGTTATGTGAATATTTATAAACATAGTTTGGAGATACTGATTGGGTTACCTAAGCCAAGAGTCGCGAAAACTAATTTCAACGGCCTCAAAATGAGTGAGAGATCGCTTAGCGCAATTGCCAGAGGCAGATATCAGCTTAACTTTCATAGATTTCACTTGGAAATGGTCCAAAGCGGTGCTCGGCCTCTCAATGCAAAACTGGCCCATTCATGACATCGGTGATCAATCGATCGATCGATCTTACAGTCATAGTCATAGCAATAACAAACAAGATCACAAGCTGCAAAGGTCATATACGACCGGATGAGTGGACAACGTAGTTGGGTCTAGGCAAACCACTACGTCAGCGATAAAAATACGCACGGATAAGTGATACGGAGTCACTCGGACTGGACAGATGGACAAACAAACCGGTGAGAAACCGCGATTCCAAAATCGAACCCAAATCCAAGCCAAAGCCAAAGTGAGTAAACATAAACAATTGAAAGGTGCGAATTTATGCTAAACCGATTGGCAATAAGCCAGACAAAATAAAGAAAGAAACAACACAAGATCTAATTCAGCCAATATATGTATGTATAATTGGAATTCGAAGACGGAGTCATCGATGCGAAACGCTGCCGAGGGCAAAAGCTCGACTTCGATTTGGACTAGGGTCTCAATCTAGTCTGGGCATGGGCAAATTTCCAAGATTATTGTGCGGGCCTGCACCCGTTTGTATAAATAGTATATGTGCTCTTTGGCGAACAACAAAATCGTTGGATCAATGACCTGAAGCCGCTTGCCAAAACAAATGCGAAAATGCGGGCTCAGTAGTGGAGTTGCAACATCCCCAACGGCGACAAATGGACCGACTGTTGCTGCTCCAGCTCCACAACTGTCTCTGATACCCTTCTGCAGAGAGAGCCTAGACAGTGATCAAACTTACATTGGAATGCAAGCTGAAGAAAGCAAAAGATCTTTAAATTACTTTAAAAAATAAATAACGTTTATTGATCAATTTATATTCTCAGGTATATTTAGTATCACCATAGTCTTCATTAAATAATCTGTTTTAAGCCTCGTGTAACGGCAATAATTTAAAAAAAACTTAGATAATTAAACAAATTTGGCCATGATATTCCCCATTTTTGCTCTACTTGTAATTAAAGTTTAAGTTTAGTTGAAAAATGTTCCCATTGAAGAGTGTTTAACAATGGCCTTCCCTGTTATTTTTTAATAACTGTGTCTCACCCAATCCCAATCGATGTTATAATTTATAAAGTTGGTTTTACTAATTCACAATGAAATTTGCTCAACAATTTTCAATTTCAGTTGGGAGTGTTGAGAGCGGTGATGGAGCTTTAATCAAGTTTGCGCATGCGCAACGCTTTTTCGAGTTTTCTTTGCCACTTTTCGATGTTCAATTGTTGCAATGTTTACAGGCTAAGCTTCTGGCAAATTCTCGCCCATTAGCCAATCGACAATACAATACAAATGGCTAACAAAATGTAGCTGAGAAGTCAATAAACCTTTTTAACCTGCATATCCACAGTAGCAGCAACAACAACAACTACAACAATTGCAACAAAGGCACCAGCATAGAAAAAATAATGGCTAAATAGGCGGTAAAGAAATTTGAAAAATTTTCGCCGTTTGTTGTGGGCTAAAAATAATTAAAATGCAGCACGCCATGAAAAACTCACAATAACAAATTTTCCGCCTTTCAGCGGCAATAAAACAAATGCAATTTTTATCGCAATTGTTAGCCGTGCGTATTTTTCCTGTCACTCGAACTTATTTATTTAAGACACGTACGCAGAGCTGACAAAAGTACACGAGTCGGGCGACCACAGGTGTATCCCCACAACAAAACTTCACCGGATTGATATCCCCATCCCCCGAAACCAAGCCCCCTTAACCACTAACAACGCAAGTCGATGAACTTCAATGTAAGCAGTCAGTAAAAGTCGGTTCTTCGTTTTCCTCGCGGCTTTTTTTGCCGGTGAAGCTGATGGTGGGAAAAATACATAGTAATAGTAATAAACAAGGCAGATCCATCATTGTTGTTGCAGCTGATAATGCAAATATGCATAATGAAGCACAAACAACGAAGTCCCAATGCGTAATGGAAATGGTAAACTTAAAAACAAAGAGCTCATGCATCCACTTGTTTACGCGGCGTATACGTAATGAAAGATATTTTAAGCTTCCGTTTTTTCAAACATGCTGCAATTTTAACCTTTTCGTATTTTGTCATTTCAACTTTAATAAATCAACAAACATAAAACCCAAAAACTGTAATAACGTTCTGGTCTTTAAACAGATAACACAGAGTAGTGACACAAATAAGATGTTATAAACTTCTTATCTTATCGAATTCGAAATAGACAGTTTGACAGGCCATAAAAAATAAGAAAGCACAAAAGTATGAACTTTAGTTAATATATAATTTATCGACTTTTCCAATTGCTAAATACAATAATATATAATTATCATAGACTAAAATGTAAATATATTTTTGCATATATATTCCGATTCTTTAATATATGTATATATACTTTTTTTTATTGGATTTGCTTCTTCCCGTTGATTAGAACAATCGACCTACAGGCGTACGGAGCTTAACTTTCCTTAAATATGCTCTCTGTTGTTGGCGTAGCAAAATATGATCATGTTTCAAGGATTATGCTATGTTTTAACTTGAACAATTACCGACTGGATTGCTTGTTAACGTACACAATAGTATTAGCGTAACTAGATCTAAGTATTATCGTTAGTTCTCTCGTTTGCTTTGTTTCAATTTATCGTCAACGTTCGAGATGCGGTATGCCTCTTAATTAGCGCAACAATTTGCTTGCTTTGTTTTTAGTTTTGATATAACATTTCGACATTTTGGCTTGTATCAAAAGATGGGGCGTGGTATATGGCTTAAAGTTCAGAGAATCCTGCACAGAACACAAACGGAGAAGCGTTGAAACATGGTAAACACCAAAGCGGAGGCCTGTGTGTGCGTGAGAGGAAGGGAGTAAGTAGTAAATATTAGCAGGCAATGTCCGTGGCGACGCTCTTAATACTCTCAGAGCTGAAGTGCACGCAGCCGTATTTGCAAACCAGCGTCCACACATATGGAATGAAGAACTCCTCGGGAGCGTCCTCCTCGACGTACTTAAACTTTAGATCCGGAAATTTCTGCAGGGGATAACCGGCATTAGTATGTTTGATTTATCAAGAGAATGGATGACTTACTCTAAGCCGATCGCTGGACCACTGACTGGCACCCTTCGATATAACCTCGAGTACTTCGTTGACCCCAAGCTCACCTCGCTGCTCCTGCACGCGTTGCAGACGTGAGGAAAAGAAACCAACAACCTGAAAAAGAATAAAAGTATTTAGGTCCTTCATTGTCATATTCGAATCCCTTAAACTCACCATGTCGATGTTCTGGATAACATCCTGGAAGGCGTGATGACTCCGGAAGCCCTCGAAGACGCTGCGTTTGTACAGGAGCGTGTACACCAAGTTTGGACAGTAAACAAGCTGGTTTGTGAGGCAGGAGTTCAGAATTTCCAGGACCATGCGCAGCACCTCCTCCAGCACACTCAGATCCTGGAGCATATCCTCCGGCGACGTCGACACGTTAACAAACACCGCACTGTCGGCCGGTTCCTTCAGTTGCGCATCCAGGCGCGTGTGCTTCCGAGCCAGCGTTTCAAACAGCGAGACCAATCGCTGCGCCACGTAGGGGTGCAGGGCGCGGAAGTGGCCAGACATGTTGGCCAGTGCCGCCAGGCAATTGGTGTGCAAGTACTTATCGCGCATCTTCAACATGTTGTACTGTATGGTGCGGATGACGATCAGGATGAGGATTCCGCCGAGAGATATCTCCGATATAGTGCGTTCTGTATACCAAGTGATGTTTTTTAGCATCTGAAGATGAAAAATGTATTAAGATGGTAAAAAAAAAATGAAACATTGGCCTTACGATGGTGTGCACGTTTTTGTTGAAGCCCTCATCTTCACTTAGGATCAGCAGGACAATGAGCGACATGTAGATGTGGTGTGAATTGCTGTCCGGGGCATTGTATAGAGTCTGAAGAATTGGTATAACTAGTTGTTCTAGATCTTGTTGCTGCATGACGAACCGGTAGAAACGCTCGTTGCGATGCAGCAGCAGGTAGAGCAGTAGCGTAGCCTGATCGATAGTGACAATGAGGCACAGGGTTTCATACACAGCCGAGAAGTCTATCTGGAAGGAGACAGCGCCCTGTTTCGGCGAATCCTTGGAGTCGGCACAACCAAACAGGCTTGCTCGGTATGAGTTCTCCTGGGCTGTGCAATGGTTGGTTAAGATCAGGATTAGCAGTAAACTCTGGTTGGCCAGTGGGTAATGCGTGCGAAATTTCTGCGAAAGCTCTCCGCTACCTGTTGTTTGGCCGGTCTTCAGAATGTCTGGTTGTTTACGGAAAGTGAGGATGGAGAGCAGGGACTCGGCGATGCCAAAAACGAAGGACCCAGCCGAGCTGGAGCCGAACATAGTGTGCGGTACCTCCACCATCCGCGCCACAAAATGCAACAGTGCCGACATCAGCACGTTGGCGTGCTGGCATTTAAAGACCGTCCGGAACACGATCGACTTATCAGTGGGCTGCTGAGCGAACAAGTGCACTGACAGCAGGGTGATCAGCATGTTTACAGCCTCCAGGTGCAAGTGGTAGGTGAACTCCTTCACGGGAATTACCACGATTAGGTTGACAAGCGCATCGATAAAGGTTTCAAACTTGGATCCGTCCACAATCACCGGTACCGCAGCCGCTGCCGACTGTTCGGTAGCTTCCATGGCAATGGTTGCACTCTCCGCCGGTGTCTGTAGCTGCTGATCCAAAGCCGCCTGGAGCAATTCGGCACTGGGCATCGCCTCGAAGTGCTGCAGTAACTGAAACTCGGATCCCGTTTCGTTAATGTATTTGACCAGGCTTCGGATGATAAAGAGCGCGTTGAAGGTCTGCCAGACATGCATGTTACTCTCCTGATCGGACAGAGACAGCAGCTCGCTGGTCTTCTCCAGGAACACTGTCACCAGGGAGCCAAAATTGCCCGTCTTCAGGTTGTTGCCGATAAATGACTGACATAGCGCCTCCAACCGGCTGTCCAGGTTTAGCTGATCCTGGCTGAAAGAACACAACCAAAACGCCGAGATTAGCCCTGCTGACGTTGCTGCATCTCTTCGCCACTCACCTGCTTTCCGGCAGCACAATGTTGTAGTTGAGAAGCCCGTTCCAGAAGGCCTCGTCATCGTGGGCGATGTGCTGGCGGCCCACGAAGCGCTGAAGCCACTGGTTGGACCCCAGATCGGCCGTCCTGCTGACGTTGATGCCCATTCCGCAATCCAAAAGAGTGCTGTTGGCCGGCCAATGGTTATATTGGTGGCACGTCACTTGATCATTGGACGGGGGTGAGGTATTTACGAAGTAGGTGTGACCTTTGCGCGATGATTAAGAAATCTACTATTTGGGGCAGCACTGCCACACTTTGTTTTCGACTGAGGGCACTAAATTCAAAAAACGTCTTCAATTCAATTTATTTTATAAATAAATTAATTAAATAATAATGACTAAAGTTAGACTACCCTATTTAATTTATTTTTTGGTCAAACCCCAATAACACACCTTTTTTATGGACCCTGTATAATTTCAACTCCAATAAATTCTGACAAGTATCCATGAGTAACTTATTCATTTAAAATATAGGAAAATATCATAGATTGATTATTCCGTAACTCCCGGTGCATACTTAGTATATTTGACTAAAGTTGTCTTTTAAAATTATAAACACAAATAAAAATCATGAAATTCGAATTGAATATAATGCATTTATTTGAATACGAAACTACAACTAATTTGTTTCTTGGATACTGACGCAGCCAGCTCGGCGATCAGCTATCCAACGATGTCATAAATCTTTCTATCCCTTCTTACTTAGTCGTTTCTCTGGTTTGCATACAATTTGTAAATAAATATACGTATATGAAGTATATGATCGACTTGTTTACACATAAAATAAATAAAACTAAAAAAGGCAACAAAAGTTATAGGAAAATTTTGGGATTTTCGTAAATTTAGCAAATTTCTAAATCCATCGTTCTCCGTTCCGTTTGGTTGCTGATTGGCTATACCCATACACGATTTATCACAAATTTATTCCTTTTAGTTGGCGCTGCATGGTGTGCATGTGTAAACAAGAAAATATATCTATATATGCGCATAGATCTCTATAGTCCTGCATCGGTCTCCGTTCAATTTAACGAGAATATTACAAACAAGCCTCCATGCCCAAGTTCCGGTTGAGTATGTGGTGAGTTGATGACTTAACTTAAGCAAATATACACGATGATGGCGGGTGATAAACTAATTGAATGTATGACCTCAGGACATGGTGCTCTGGCTCCTCAATGCTCCTTCTGCCGTTGGTGTTGGCATCGTTCTAGTCTTCGCTTTACTCCTTGGCTAGATCCTCATCCTAGAGCTTGCGCAGACCCTGGTGCTTCTGCTTCTTGGCCAGCAACTGTTTTAGGCTGAAAGAGGAGAGCGCAATCCCGAAGAGTGCCAGCATGGTGGCCGAGCGAGTCACCACACGGTTAGGCGTAGACGAGCTGGTAGTGTAGCCATGGCTGCAGTGCGTCGTGGCCTGTGCGGACAACGGCGGCGCCTGGGGGAGATAAGATAGAACCGATTTAGTTGTGGGGTATTTATAGCTACCCAAACAAACAATAAACTTGGCCCACTGCCCGACAGTCCCCGCCCACCGAGGCGAACTGCGCAGCAGAAACATTTTGCGCCAGCCGTTGGCAACCAGGTTCAAGTACTCCGGCCACACGAAAGCGATTACCCCACATGTTCCCACGTTCATTGAACTGAATTTAAAGGGTCGATGTAATGCCTGATTAGTTAGTACGACTTCTGATATCATTTTCCTTGTGATAGGGCCCAGATAACGCTCATTTGCCTTATCAGTTGCAGGCAGCTTCACAGTTATTCCCGGCTTGAAACATCTCGCTGCATGACGCACTTGCCGCGACCTCATTTCCAAAGTTCATATTTACTGATAGGATGGTTTCTCTTCGGTAGCGCTATCTCTGCTGTCCACTTGAACATGCTCTAGACGCGTGCCAAGCATTAATAATCTGCCAAATGCGTTGCCAAAAAAAAAAAGCGGGATTGTATATAAATAAACGAACTTGAATTCTTGTCCAGTGTTTGCATGCATAATTTCATATGCAATTTTATTTCAAATACTTGAGTAAGGTAAACTGCCAGCTGATTATGACCGAGGTGAAGAACGTTTCACATCCGTGTTGGTTTCCAAATGATCGATCAAGTGCATTACAGCCTGGGTTCGAATGCCTCTGCCTGTGGTTTCTGGGGCTAGGCGCCTTGGACGTCTTCCTCGGTAACGACCCGATGGTTTAGGTTCTGTTGAATGGCGTTTAATGGCATCTAGGAACGGCACAGCCGGACTAAGCTCGGGAATACTGATAGTTATATTGACTGCTGGTGGTGATTGTGGTTGACTAAGCGATTTCTTGGGCGGACTACGGGAAGGAATTTCCTTGGGTTTAATTCTCGCAGGGGAAGTTACACTAGCGGGCATAAGCCGTATTTCCTGTTTACCTTCCCAGCTACGCCTCGTGGAAATCTTGTGTGCCATTAATCCCTGCTTAACTTTAACGTTATCAGTTTGTGGAATCTGAAGCTTCGGAACAGGCGTTAGGTTTGCGGGAAGGAGTGGTATTTCCTGTTTGGCTATCATGGCTTTTGAATGAGCTTTATCATTGGTACTGTTTTCCTCTAAAAAGCTTAAATCCGGTAGTTCCATTGGAGAAGACGGCTTTACTTTTAAAGGCTGTAGGGAAAGAAGATCCGGCATGGAGCTGAGATTCATTTTCGTTTCAGGAGTAGGTTCAACTGAGTCCGTTTCTGAGGCAGGTGTCAGTTGCTTTAGTAATTGCAGTATAAATGCATCCTCTTCATCTTCTTGAGGATCAAGCGATAGAGTATCAGGCGGTGGCAGTGGTTGCTGAGAAGCGGAAGATTCGAGCGGAGAAGCAGTGAAGGGTTCTGCCGCATCCATGTTAAACTCCTCATCTGATGAGACTTCATCGTTGTGTGGCCAAAGACAGCTCTTGGACTCACATTTTAAGAGCTGCTCCTCGAGATTTATGTAAAAGAAGCGTAGCTTGTGATTCCTGCCTAGAGTTTGGCACTCTTGACACGCGTCTCCTGGCTGCAGTTGTTCCATTTCATAAGTCGCATGGCCGGAAAACTCAGTGGTTGCCCCCGTAATGCGCATGATGTCCCCTATTTTTCTGGTTTAATGTGCGTGAGCTCACCTGACCGAAGGTTAAACGAAAAGCATACAGGCCGAGATTGGTTGTTTTCATGGTCCGTTCCAGTTCCAAATACAGCAAATCGGGACCTGCAAGCAGTGACACGGTATCCGGTTATTCGAGCTTACATAACCCGAATTGATTTTTCCCCCCTAGTTTCTTTTTCCCTACTCTTATTATTGTTTGCCAGCGACAGCAAATAAAGGTTTTCTTATCACTTACGTTTCGGTTGCAGAATAAAAACCGAGTGGGTCGGCGCTCTCTGAATAACCGCGTTTGCAGGTGCAGCCGATTAAACCAGCAACGTTGCTACAATTTGGCGAGCAAATGAAAATCAAGAAAATAAAAACGATCTAGAACGCATGTGAGCAGCAGAGCGAGAGCGAACGGGATGCTAGATTAGAGATGGGTAGATTGGTTCATTCGATAGTATCGGTATTTATTGAACACTTCTGAACATCTATTGTCAATAGGGGTATTCTATACTACATATTGATATTACATTTAAAAATTAAAAAAAAGTTCTTCAAATCACTACAGTCTGTAATTATTGCAATCCCAAATACTTAAAAATGTTTATTTGTCTGTACAATTATATTATAGAATATCTTACTATCGACTGCTAGTATTGCTAAAGCCATCTTTAAATCTTACTGCCTGTCTGCCAGCTCTGCCACATCAACAGAAAACAGTGCTCATTCAAAACTGTCAATTTTGTTCGTTTAGGAAATTGTTTGTTAATTCATGCTCAGCAACAAACTGCAGAGTTTTCGTTTAACAATTACAAAAAGGTAAATATTTCGTAATAAAGGGTTCCCGGCAGCTGTTGTGAAAAACGCTAAAAAAAACATTAAGTTGGTAACACTAGCATTTCGTCGGGTCGGCGCATTGAAATTCATTTCATAATTCGCAGAACGGACTAAATTAAATATTCGCAAGAAATGGAGCTTTCCGAGGGAGTGAAGGAGCGTTTGGGAGTTGTTGTAGGCGCCGTACAGACTGGATTCCACTGGGGCTTTGTACCCTTTGTCCTGTATTTGGGTGAGTTTTCATTCATGTTTTTCTATCGCACGCGGCTGGGAAGAAGAAGCAGCCGAAAAATAGTATGGACTGGCATTGATTTTGTCCAATTTTTATTTTTGCAGGTTTTATGAAGGGAGCTGAGCCCGGCATGCCGCCATTGAACATTTTCAGTTTGTTGTGGCAATAAAAATTTATCCAACCGACCCAAACATGACCATTTTCCAGTCGTGTGTCCCACTTTTTGGTTCTGATTGGATTCCTGGGCACTTGCGCAGTACCTGCAGTTACTGGAAATAAATTTCTGTTACATAAAAAATTCTAATTGTGCCATGTATCCTTAAAAACAAACAATTTCCCAACTAAAATATCATTCTAGTACAAGTTAAGCGTTTTGGCAGTTTTTGGGCATTTCGCTGTCAGGTGGTTGTATTTTAGGGGCAGCTTGATCTGGTCAGACTAGAGCAGGTGCGGTCACACTGTTTGCAAATCCACACACACCAGCGCGGTTTTTTCGCTGCACAAAATTGCACATTTAACACAAAATAACAGCAATTAATACAAACAAACGGTTGAACCGGACATACGAAAGTGCCGGCCATCTCGCGGAATACGAAATTGTGGCAATTCTACCGCGCCACTGCCCCAAATCACGTGATGAAAATCCGCCTGAAAAGTCGCCCTCGTCCGTGAAATGTAAAGCAGAGCACTTTTTCCAACCAAATTGGGCGGAGTGTGGAGTTCGAGTTTTATAGTGCGAGCACATCCATTGAAATTCGCTAATTGTGAGAGTAGGCAATCTATTACCCCGGCAATGCCCCAGCAAAATGTGAGCCTTCGCGGGCGCATTTCTTACGCGATAAATGCGCAATTCGAAGCCAATTAGTGGCTGTCTGAGGTGTCCTTTGGCCGCTTATGCTGCTCCTGCGGCTTCACCTTTCACAAGACAACCTCATTTGCAGGCCACAGACTTTGAACTTGCGACGCGCGTGTGCATGCGATCGTGGAAAACAAAAGAAAAGCACGGGCGGCACAAACAATAACAATAGTTCGAGTAGCACACACACTATCGATGCGAATGCCAAACATGTTATCTGCGCTCCGGCTAATCTTCCTGGGCGCTCTGCTCGGCGCCTCTGTTAGCGGTGAGTTCCCTCACGGGCTCCGAAAATCTGGATCAGGTGCGAAATTAACCTAAAATCTCTTCCGGTGCAGCCTCTCCCATTGAATACGTGATGGATACCAGTGTGAATGCTTCCCGAACCGATCCTGTGACTGCTTCTCAACCTGGCAAATGGGTATCAACGACCAAAACACCGTCGCTAAAGGTGCCGCCGAATGGACCAGCTGGCCAGGCTTATCAATCGCCATCGTCGTCGCTGGCCGCTGATAACAGGAGCCACGACAACAACAACGGCAGCGCTGTAGCCATGCTGCTGCCGCAAGATGGCGACGGAACCGGAGCAGTTGCCACGGCTGTTGCCCCCGCGTTGCCCATCTATGTAGCTCAGCCTAGCGCGAAAAAGCCAGAAAGTAAGTCCAATTTTACCTGAGATATACTGTTTCAGTTTTCCCTTTAAATTGTTTTGGCGAAGTCGAGAAACTTTTTTTTTAATAATTAAAACGAAAGGTGATATAGCTACAAAAATAAGTTTTACATCATTTTTGTTTCATCTATTTATATTTTCCTTAAATTCTTATGCAGATTTATATTTAAATAACATTAAAATCATTCTATTTGGTTAGTACTATGTTCTTTTTTAAGTGTATGTCGCGTGACTGTAACACCTCAAAGACTCTGAATGCTTCTAAAAGGCCGTCTTCGTCTGCCTATCCGCCTGTGGCTCCGATTCCGTTCCCATCTCGTGACGTCAGCTCGGTGTGGTGTCAATGAGCTGAGCCAGACAGCTCTCATGGCCCACTCCAACGCTGCCTGGCAGCAGACACCCCCACGTCTAGATGCATTTGCTTGCTGCAATCGGGCACTTGCAACTGCAGTCGGCGCAAAAAAAAATGTATAGAAAAAAAAAACAGGCCTAAGCACTGGATTCTCGCAGTCGGGGGAAGGAAAAACTGGTCGCATTGTCTGGCCCTCCACTTTGCACTTGTCTTCTCCGCGTCTGCTTTGTTAATGCTAAATGGTTTTGTTTTTGTTTCATCACGCTCTCGGCGGTGTCGGTGGATGTGGATATGGATGTCTGTCTGGGCGAGCGTGTGCCCGGCCAGGTGCCTCGGGGGCATGGTTATGGCAAATCCCATCTTGTGGTCACTGCCAAAGGAGATGCCAATCAGCGAGCGGTTGATTTATGGATATCTTCGTTGTCTAATTAGTTAATTTCTGCCAGCACCTAATTGATTGATTTGCTACAATCGGACTCTGGGCATTTTCTTAATCCGAGATGTTGGCTGTTTGCTAAACAGAGCTTGAAAACGATGAGCTTCGGATTCGTGTTTTACTTGTTTAAATAATAATTTAATTAATACCGTGTAAAATGAGCTGTTTAAGAGACTATTTGTTTACTAGGTTTCTTTGAATCCCAAATTAAAATGTCTTCTCTTTCTGAGAACGATTAATTATTTTGAGAGTTTAACTTATTTAAACAATACTTTTTACAAATTAAAACTTTCTGAGAATGGTTGTTTGTATAAGTTGACGTCTAGACATGATAGCCTAAACTGTTTTTGACCAATTACTTTTATAAGAATCATAAACAAAGCAGTAATAAAATAGTACCCTTTATTTATTAAAAATGATCTAACAACTTGTTTAAATCTCTTTAACCTATAGAAAGAATAAAGTGCCACTGCGACATCTGCAAGGATTCAAATAACATTTGCGAGACGGATGGCTATTGTTTCACATCGGTGGAGAAGAACGCGGATGACTCCATCATCTTTAGCTACAGGTGAGTTAAGAAGCCTTAGGAACAGGCCATCGAGTAGGTTAGCACTTGCATCTCAGAGCAGCTAGTGTCAATATATCTGATCCGAATGATCTGCGACGCAGATGTCTGAACAAGTCGCAAATCTTTCCACCGGGCCGATCCATCTGGTGCAACGATGGCTTGCACGGGGGACCCACCGCACGACCGGTGGGACGGAGTGGCGCCCATGCTTGCTGCAAGGACAGAGATTTTTGCAACCGTTTTCTGTGGCCCAAGGTGAAGGTCCAGCCATCTAAAGCTTTGGAAAGTCAGCCGCTTGGCGTCGAAGGTGCGTGCGCCTATGCACGTGTTTCGCTCCTCAAAAACCTTTCCTCTTTGACTGCTCCTTCTATTTACCGTTTACTCGCACGCTGTTCAACAAAAAGTTGCCCAGTTTTGATCGTTACTTGGACTGCTTTTCCCCCCACTTATGCTCGTTGAGTTGAAGTTTTTGAAATGATCATAACCCGAAATGCAGAGCACTACTAATGATGACCTTTTGAGAACCAGAGCGGCGTTATATACATTGTTTTAAATATAATTCTAATAATTTTATTGCTACTAACCAGACTGAAACTTCAATTAGCAACAAGCTGAAGGCAGCAACAACAACAGCGCAGAAGCAGCAGCAATCCAACAACCAATGCCAAGCAATACTAATTTCGTTTAATTGTTATTTTTTCTCTATCTCTCGCCATCTCTCCTTCGCTCCCTTCGGCCTCCACTCTAATATATCGACAATATATATTGAACAAATCGCATATATCCCCGCTCGTTTACATAATTGTGTACCGTGCTGTACGGTGATGTAGGTGCATGGATGTGAAATACAATATGCAGCGGAATAGGCCCCTCGAATGCCTCACCAGTAACGAAAAGTACAATTCGTTTAGGATTGAGTGCTGTAAGAGTGATTTCTGCAATAAGAATGAAATTATGAAGAGGATATTTGAACCAGGTACAGCCACATTCAAGTAACAACAACCACACCACAACCAACCAACAACAATACAATTTCTCTCTCTTTAGTTTGCACTCTTTCTCTAATTCACTCTGCCTAATTAAGCACTGCATCAGTACAATATTAAATAATTCAAGTAATAACAATCGAATAATCTGTAATAATATCTTTGGTCTCTTTATTCTAGTCTCTTTTTTTTTTTGATTCAGGTGTGCACACCGCCCAAGTTTTTTTTTTTTCTTTAGTTTATTATTTACTTTAACTATTTGCACCTTTTCCAGCTTTTTGGGCTCCCACTTCTATTTTTACTTTATCTTTTCCACTGTTTTCTTTCCTTCTTGCTTTTCCCTGTGGCACAAACACACACCATAAATCTTATACGGAATCCAGCTTACACCTTATCCTAATAAATTACACGTAACTTTATGCATGCCAAAGTATCTTTGCAATTTCGAATCGTGTTTGTAGTTTGTAGATATCTGACTTTTCACTCAAGGGGTGAATTTCTTTTGTCCTGGTGTCATTACTTTTTCGCTTTTCGCCCGCGGTTAGGAAATCTGCGGTTTTCCAAGGACACTTTTGTTTCAATGTCCCAATTTTCGAAGTTTTTAAGGAATATTTCTACTTTTTTAATATAAGATTCCCGATGAGAGGGCTCTGAATGTCCATAAAAAGAGTTGTAAATTGGTTTTTCTACGCTGTGTTGGTCTATTGTTTTGGAATATGTACAGTTCGGTTCTGCTTTTCACTTTTGCATGCTTTTTCCTGAAATATTTACTTAAAAGTTAAAACATTTGCTAGTGGCAAATCTAATTCAATCAAATTCCTGGAAAGTGAAACACAGAACTGCTCTGAAAAAACTGGTGTAGAAGTAAGCCCCACCTCTCCCACGAATGGCTGTGGTTTCTCCCCATATTTCCCTGGTATTTTGATGGCCGACCGACTCTGCTTACTGCCTTTGCACCCAAAATAATAAAAAAAACACAATTGAATCCACCTGCTGCAGCTGAAAAAAAATCCACCCCAACCCCTGTCCTGGCTGAACTACCACCAAAAATAAATAAACAAAAGCTGCTGCTAAATTTTAGCTTGTAAGTGGTAACAAAAGCTGCTTTGCAACTGCACACCGCAACAACTACAACAAGAACAACTAGAACAACTACAAGTGCTAATCTCTTACTACCCCAAAAAAAAAACCTAGAACCTAATTTAGATGTAGTACTAAAAAAATAAACAGCTAAAGCCACTTGGTAGATAAAAACAAAACCAACTAAATATTATGTATGTAGATGCATAACAGACCAGTTGCCACCTGAAGATCCGACTTCGTGCAAATTAAATTCGGAGGCAGCCTCTTCACAGTGCTGCGTCGAAGATTTTTGCAATACGCGTGAGAATTACAGTGGTGTCCTACCAGGTGAGATCAGCAATGCACCGCCAATAACGCCACCGCCACCGCCACCACAACCACCACCCAAAAATCCAACCACCAGACATTGAAGCAGCCACGCCCATGCCATTGCACCATCTCATTTGCGTAGTTTTTTTTTGGTATACTCAAATTTGTAACACATTGAATTCACACAAGAAATACATACATACACGCATATAAGCATACCTGGCTAACATACACACACCTAGCACACCCACGCTTCCAGCGAACACCCCCATCCCACCCCAGTCTACGTCCTTGTTCGTCCTTCGGGGGGAGAATAGGTATAATAAACCTCGAACCCTGTTTCCAATTTTGTTTATTTATGGATATTATTTTAAATACTTGTTTCCGGTTTTTTATATGTTAAAAAAATATTCTAATCATGTATTCATGCGATTGGAAACAGGGTTTTATTTCGCTCGTTAAAATTTGTTGTTTCGTTGGTTTGTCCTTGTTTCCTTGCCACATCTCATGTGAATTGTACGCACCACATTGTTACCTTGTCTGTGGCCTCGTCTGCTGGCCACAACACCCAACCGTCTAACCACCCCACCAACCTCCACCCGTTATTTAGGCCGCCACCTTTCACCTGTCAACTGAGTTTGTGCCGCACCGTTCTGGGGGTTTTGTCTGTTGACCTGACCTTTTGCGTCATCATCGTATTGACTTGTTAAAAACGCATTTAAGAAGGAAGTAAGCAAGGCATTTATCAGCAACAACAACAAACCCGTCTCAAGGGCCGTCAGCAGCGACAACAACACCAACCACACAACCGCCAAGGGAGAGGAGGAGTTTCAAGAAGCCCTTGCAGACGGTGGCCTTGTTTGCCCCCTCCTTAATTCATCCTCCTCTTCCGCTCACTCCTCCGAATGTCTGTGCCGTTGTGTCTGTGTGTGTGTGTGTGTCTGCCCTTTTTCATTCATGTGCAACGCCGCTTTCAGAGCTGCAGTTGCAACTGCAAGTCGCAGTCAACGTTCTCTCATTTCATTCATTAATGGCCGCATTTTTTGCCCCGCAGTCTGCCGTTTTTTCATACTCATTACCCTAGCAGAAGTTCCATTAGCCCACTCAATATGCTTTAATGCAATTAAATTGTATTTATAATTTTTCTGAATAATCATTTCTGGCAGTAGGGGATGCCCCAGAAAGCATTACACACAGAGGTTAACCAAAAGTCATCTATTGTAATGAAAATCTGACTAGTCATTACAAAATGAAGTTGGAATTTAAAACCTTTCAAAAATAATACTTTATTTTAAGTAAATTTACCTTTCATATTATATACATAAGGTATACATATAGGAAACCAAACTCCACTAAATTTCAATATAAATCATGCAACTTCTGATAGATAGAGTATTCAAGCGTCAGTGCGGCAAATTTATTCATATTGTTTTTCGTAGTTGTTCGCTCATTTCCATTGCACTTTTGTGTTTGTTCAGTGGGAGGTTGGTATGTGTGTATGAGTTAGTTCGTCTGCGGAATATCTCGGTTGGGATTGGGGTTTGGATTTGGTTCGTTTTGTTTTCTTATAAACAGCCAAAAAGTTTGTTTATTGTTTGATAAGTTTTGTTCATTATTTCGTAGTTTTGATGTAGATTTTAAGCTCGTTGACGTATGGTATGCCAAAGGTTTGTAAATAACTCGAATTATTCATGTGCAGGTCAGTGCTGTTTTTGTAAATAAATTACTACATTTAAGTAATATTAACCATTAACCGTGTTTGGAATGAGCTTTTGGGTTTGGATTTGTTACGTTTCGTTTTGCACCCTGATTTCTTACTGTTATCACGCACATTTACTTGTTAACGGCTTTCTGCATGCCAATCTCAATTGATTGACTAACATTCTGCATTCTCTTTGTATTTATTTTCCATTAATTCAATCACATTTACATGATTTACAATTGGTATGCCATCAATAATGAAACTCTTTGTGGATTCTGTCCAGATTATGTGCCACATCGTCTGACTAGCTGGGAGTTTGTGGCCATCATCCTAGGGGCCACCCTTTTCGTCTGCTTCACTGGCACCAGTACATGGTACTACTGCCAGCGCCGGAAGCGTTTGGCCAGCGGCAGGCCGTTTGCCCGAGAGGATTCTGTGTATGATCCTATACTAAATGGTAATACCACAATACACGACATCATAGAGATGACCACCTCTGGTTCGGGTTCGGGTGAGTTCCATGGGGTGAAGTTTCCATCTGCAACTTGGTCTAATTCTGCGCCTTCTCTTTTAGCTGGTTTACCTCTGCTAGTGCAGCGTTCCATTGCCCGCCAGGTGCAGCTGTGCCATGTCATTGGAAAGGGACGTTTTGGCGAGGTCTGGCGTGGACGTTGGCGCGGCGAAAACGTGGCGGTTAAAATCTTCTCAAGTCGCGAGGAGTGCTCCTGGTTCCGAGAGGCTGAAATCTATCAGACGGTAATGCTACGGCACGAGAATATTCTGGGTTTCATAGCTGCGGACAACAAAGGTGAGCCATCAGCCTCTCTTCTTAGACATTCCTTAAAATCATGCCTCCTTGACTTATTTCTTTTATAGACAACGGAACTTGGACCCAACTGTGGCTGGTAACCGACTATCATGAGAACGGATCACTTTTTGACTATCTAACCACCCACACGGTGGACACCAACACCATGCTGAACATGTCGCTGAGTATTGCCACTGGTCTGGCTCATCTGCACATGGATATTGTGGGCACTCGCGGCAAGCCCGCCATCGCCCATCGAGATCTCAAATCGAAGAACATACTGGTCAAATCAAACTTGAGCTGTGCTATTGGGGATTTGGGTTTGGCCGTGCGTCACGTGGAGAAGAATGACTCGGTGGACATACCCTCCACGCATCGCGTTGGCACAAAGCGATACATGGCTCCCGAAGTGCTGGACGAGAGCATGAATGACCAGCACTTTGACTCATACAAGAGAGCTGATGTGTACGCTTTTGGCTTGATCCTCTGGGAGATTGCACGTCGCTGCAACATGGGCATGATCTACGATGAGTACCAATTGCCGTACTACGATGCCGTGCAGCCAGATCCCAGTATTGAGGAGATGAAGAAAGTAAGTGTTCGTTAATAAAAAAGTTAAGCAAATATTTGTCAACCTTTATATAATTTTGCTTAAGGTGGTTTGCATTGAGAAGAGCCGACCAAACATTCCAAACCGCTGGCATGCCTCCGATGTGCTACACAACATGGCCAAAGTAATGAAGGAATGCTGGTATCCCAATCCCGTGGCCCGTTTAACAGCGCTGCGCATCAAAAAGACACTCGCTAGCATCAGTGTGGAGGACAAGGTCAAGAACTGATTGTGGCTCTAGTTTGACGAGTAGCCCCCGTGTCCCGACCCCTGGGGATCGGGGGGAGACATACATTAGTAACCTGTAACCTGGCCCCGTGTTACCTTAAATGTCCTGGCAGCGCCTGCGAAGCAGTTCCAGAAACCCGTTAAGAAATGAAATACAAAGAAAATTGTAAATATTAAGCGCTAACTCATCCTTAACGTTTCAAATGCTTTGCTTTGTTTCCGTTCAGAACGAGCTTGTTATTAGTTTTGTGTTTACACCATCCCAAACTATTGTACATACCCTTCGTTGACATTTTCGCTGAGATTTGCTTGTTTCCGGGCAGCGTGAGCAAAGCGGCGCGCCAAAGGAAACTGCCGCACTGCCATTAGAGCTATCAATTAGGGCCTAGTTATATACCAACAAACAAACAAACAAACAAAACACCTTATATACACAATATATATATTTTTTATAAATCCTGTTCGCGAGCGAGAGAATCCAGCAAACAAACCGATAAATACAAAACGAAAAATACAGTAAGACTTTGTCAAGACTGAGCAGCAGTGAAAAGCAGTGAGAAAAAAGATTCAACTTGCAGGCAATTTTTTGCCTGTAATATAGAAGATATGCATACCCAGCCACAAACAGATCATCAGCAAAGAAGATAATTAACAATTTTAGGCATTAACCAACAGATAAAGTTGATCAAACTCAGGAAATCGTAAAGTAAAAGTAAAATTTAAAGAATCAAACAATTTGGTGCGCCGCCTGCTCACGTACAGCTTGCCATGCCCACGTCGCTATTGCTGCTGCTGTGCCTCCTAAGCTTAATATATATACCAAGTCCTTCTCCCATAAGTATACACCAACTTGGCTTGAAGAGCTTCTTTTTGTAATCCTAGGTTCAAAATATTTTTAAAAATGTCTACACCAAAACTCTCGATCCTGGCAATCAACCAAAATTGGTTGCACCTTCATCCTCACGCATGCTTATTGTTTTTGTTATTTCATCTAATCATATCGCATATCAATCTGTCCTTTTATTAATTATGTTTCATGTGTTTTTTATAACCAAAGCTTGTTCTTCCTATTTTATTGTAGCCATAAAAATAAAGCAAAGTAAACAAAACTATAAAATAACAAAAGAAAATATATGATGGTATATTTAAATATGAATTGTATACTATATTTGCTTCTATTGTACATTTTAAGGAACCAAATGTTTCGTGAACAAACCTAAACCACTAATTTAAGTCTGTGCACATACAGTTTTGTGTGCTTATTCCGGATAATACAATATGTTTAACATTAATTAATTAATTAATTTCTCACATCAAATGCCATAAAGCTAAATGAGTCCATTATCAATGTATACCTGTACTAGACACAAAACCATTACCAGAATGCAATAGTGGTTTCAACACAACCCATGTTTCCTTAACCCATCATCGACACACGCCAGCTGAGAGATTAAAGTAAACATTAATTAACATTTTAATCATTTCGATGTAAGATACTTGTAAGCGAGTTTGTACGAGCAGTGCATGAAAGATTGTAATTAGGGTTATGATTATCTAGTACCTACATATTGTTATTTTTTCGGCCTGCGAAATTTACTTTCCTATTTTATTTTTAAGCTTACTAAAGTTAATCATTTCCTGTACGAACACAATCTATTTCTTTGGGAAACAAATCTAAACAAAATATTCTTAGCTATATATTTAGTTTTTGAAACTATTCCTGTAATTGTAAAATCTGTAAATAGTCTGTGCAAGTCAAACAAAGAAAAATGAGACACATGTTTCAAAGAATCGCGTTAACTGATTAATATTTGACTGTGTTCCAAGCTTAATCTAAGCCGAAAGTTGTTTTTAAGACACAAAACCCCCCAAAACAACCTCCGATGTGGGGCACTTCCTAAAACCCACGACCTTAGTCCCTGATCCAAACCAAAAAGTAAAAAACAACGTAAAAAACAACTGAGTTTAAGATTCAATTAAAACCGAAGAACACAAAATCAACAAAAGACTTTAACATGCGCAAAACATATAAAAATTAATTTTACATAAAAATAAATCCTATTTTGCGGGCAAAACGTAATTTTGGTTCGAAATTTCAAAGATCTTTGGAACTAAAACGATTAACTTTGTGCGATTTATGTTAGGCTCAAGTAAGCGAAAAGTGTCTCAGCCATAAAGTTAAGAGCGAAAGCATTTGTAATGTGTATTAATCGTAAATGGATTGGATCATGAGAGATATATAGAAAGGCAGAGAAAGAGAGAGAGAGAAGAGTGAAGAGAGAAGAGAGAAGAGAGAGGAGGAATGATTTACTTGGGTGTAATGTTAAAAACAAAAGCGTTGAAAGTGTAAACAGAGTCTAACTTTTAGCTTTAAGCTGCGTTTTTACTGGCACTTTAAATAAAATTACAAAAATAAAACAAACCGAAAATATTTGTAAAAGAATTTCTTTCGTTTATTATTCATTCTTTGTTTATCTTTCATGGGGTACACCTAATTAATTACTTATTATGTGGACTTTGTGAAGTGTATTTAATTTAATTTATGTGTATATTTTGGGACATTCATCCTCATTAATATTCTGGTCCTTTGGCTTTGGGGTTTTAAGAACAAGTTAAGCAAAAGCTACAAAACCAATGTGCTTGTGCGTGGGTGCATGAATATTTTATATATTTTTTGTCAAGTGTGGAAATTTGTTACTTAACCTAATGTGGAATATCGGGTCAGGATAGGTAGGTAGATTTTTGGACTTACCTTTATTATTTTTATTGAGAGGACTTTTGACCATTTATGGTTGAGTTAAAAAACAGATCTTTGCTAATGCCTTTATTGTATTCGATTTACATTTAGACGTGAAACGATTTAATTGTTGCTTGAATATGGTAAAATTGCATTGGAATACTCTGCTTCTGTTAATAACATTGAATGCCTCAGTCAGTATATTTGGAGTCTCTACTAAAAACACATTTAGATATCTAAGATTGTTTGAGTAATAATAAATATTCATATGCAGATTATATAAATCCAAATGCCCTAAGCTCTAGCAATTTGAACTTGATATGTATTCGTTTAACAATTGGATATTTTGCAATGTTGAAATAATTCCAAGGAATAACTTTTCAATCGGTTGTTAGGTTCATTTTTTTATTTGGCTGTTTCCCTTTTTTGGTTTCCTGAGCTTCGCTACCCAAGGACTTAGATCCCTAATTGCGGTGACGCTGTCCAATACAATTATATAATTTTATTGTTATTATAGGATAATAACTCTTACCTCTGTTCCTACCATGTCCACACAGTCGAAGGCATCGCGGAAATAGCCACAGCTTAGCTTAATGGCTGCCCGATGATGCAACCTTTGCTGCTGGCAGCACATGCCACTAAAATTAAGAATTTTTAAATATCCCTTTGATATCCTTGACTCCCTTGACTGGACTTACTTGATCACCTGACAGTCGCTGCTGCTGCTGCACTCACTGCCCAGAGGCTGCCTCTGCTTCAGTCCGAATATATCCTCCAGGAGTGACGTAGGCCCACCCGACTCCGCATCTGTCTCGCATCTCCAGACTCCCTCTTGGGCGACCAACATACAGGCGCTTCCCTGTGGACAGTCCGCATGACGCTGGCACAAGTCCCGCTGCCGTCCAAACACATAAACGCATTTGCCTTCTGCAAAATATATAGTTCGCTTAAGAAAATTTGGGTTTTATATTTTAATTTTGAATTTTCTACACAAAACTTCTATACAACTTCTTCGTGCTAACCCATAATGTAACGAACTTTTATTGCATATAAAACCGGTTATAAAAATACATTTCTTTAAGTGTAAAAGCATAGGATGGACCGCTGCGGCAATGCAATTAGGCCAACTTACCGCCGTATGTGTTGACGCACACTCCGGAGGGACAGCAATCGTCGTTGAGGAGACAGGCGCGGTCCGCGCAGGGCGTGTCCTCAATCAGCGGCTCCACAATTCCGTAAACTTCGGTCTGCTGGCGCATCTATGAAGGGAATGGTTAAATGCGGTGGCAATTAGAGTGGCATTTGTTCAGCGCACGGTGCGTATGTGCTATATTTCCCCCTCACTGCAATGCAGCCGTTGGTTATCAATAACGCTGACACTTCTCGTTCGTTAATTAATTTGAGTTTCACTCTGTGAACTCTGAACTTTCTCCTTGATTGAAACCCGTGAACCAAGTGGCCAATAAAACCATACCAGAATACGAGTTTCAGTTTCAATTTGCTGCAAACACTGCGCCAAATGCCTACGGCTATTTGTGGCTTGCCAGCATGGCGTATACGCATTGAAATGTGAACAAGCCAAAAGATTTTTAATCAATGGGGTAGAACTTAACAGAGCTCAGCAGGAATATTCCTGTAGTTCAGATCTATTATTATTCTTCACGTAATTTAGCTTGGATTATTAAAACTTTAACTTCGAATTTCGATTAGTAAAACCTTATTCTTTTCTAGAGACAGTCATTATGTATCAATCTCTGTCAGAGGTTATACGCTTGGTAGATTTGCCCTGCAATTACTTGCAATTACGCCCACCACACTCACCTGCTGCGGCGGCGGAAGCGGTTGATGCTGCTCCTGCTCAACGGTGGCATAGGGTCCAAGGTAATCATTGAGACTCATTTCTCCGGCGATGGGAAACGGGGCTCTGCGGTGCATCATGTTGCGTGAATCGCGCCCGAAGAATGTACGCTGCCAGGCGTGTCCGGATGAGAATGTGGATGGGGACGTGGCGAGCGAGGGGTCTAGCTGATGGGCCAAACCCAGGAGCAGCAGCAGGGCTGCCCATCGCGGTATGTTGTTCATGACGGCTACGTTAGTACATCATCATTGCCTGTAGAATGCCGCTGATGTTGTGGTTTCTTGCCTCTTTTTTCCCCCGATGAACTGTGAAAACGAAAACAGTTGGTATTCGCTTAATTAAAACGTATGCCTGGCTTGGTGGGAGTCGATTGCTGCCCTCCGGGATGAGCAAATTTCCGTGTGAATGCCGCTTGAATGAAGCGTGCGGCGTATAAATCGCTGCCTTCTAGCCCGGAGTCACATAGGCGGTGCCTTTAACGGTTCCCGGCAATATCCCTGTCAGGCAGCTCATTAAAATTGTCGGCTTGCTTTTAGTGTTATTACCGGCTGTGCCTTAATTTATGTATTCTCAGACCACTTTTATTGCCCGATGAAAGTCGCATATATAAATCGTGATGGGCACATGTCGGTGGTTAACAGTTCATACTCGTACATCAAATTATAGCCATTATGCTTATTTTCCACTTTTGTGGACTTAGTTAACTTTGACAATCAACCAGAGATCATATTTGGTTTTATTAGCTTTCCTAGAAAATTTCCATACGGTTATAATCTTTCAATATTTAATTCGGAAAGTTGAAGTATTATGATTTAACTCTATTTAAGCTTCTTACACGCCAAAAACCTCTTAAAGCGAGTTCATAAGTCAGAAAAAAAAACAAAGTGGAAGTTGAGCGTGCCTCGGGGAAAACAAAAACTCAAAAGTAAATTTTCCTTTCATTTTAAAAATGTATGTTAATTGTATTCAGTTTCATGATGGCCTCCCCAAGGAAAGGTAATTAAAACAATTTATGCAAAAGCTTCTAGCAAATTAATTTAAAGTTTCAACATTGCTTTTTAATAACCTTTTAGGTTTGTTTTGTTTTATGTTTTGAGTCAACTTAGTGGTTAAGTGGGCACCTCTTTCATCTTTTAAATTGTTTGTCCCTGAACTAAAAGTACTCAATTTCCCAGGAGCAAGAACAATTTGTCTTAAAATAGAAATGAATAAAAAATTGTTAAATATAATTGCCTACTTATTGGGGTGGTAATTTATATTATTAGCCAGGCAGATGATGGCTAACCTTGATGGCAGACATTTAATTTCAGGCCTTGACCTCCCATAAATGGTCGATTGGCAACAGTTGTTGGCGCTCTTCCATAAAAAAAGTCAGTGAGTGAAAGGCTGTTGACACACCAAAGGCAAAGAAAAACATTTTCCTGACTGTCTCAGGAATTCTTCCGGTGTGGGAGTGCAATTTCATTAATGTTTCTGTTCTTGAAGGAGGTACAGGCAAATGGAGTAGACGAAATAACTTTGAGTCCTTCTTTTCTTTGGGTTCTCTTTGGATCATTTTGTTAATTACTTTCTCTTACATTCACCGGACGTGGCTTGTCAAAGTTCTTGTCATCTAACTGGTTGGGTCTGTTGCCTGCCATTTGGCCCCTTTTTAACCCGGGGACAGTAATTACAATTAAACATCTGTAGCAGGTTATCAAATCTGAACTAATAGCATTTTAGCCGAAAAAAGGGCGTGCTTTTCGTTGCCAGGCAGGGAAATTAGAATTGGTTTCTTAATTTATCAAATTGGCGTTGACATATATATCTTCAGATTGGTGTTTGTTTCAGCTTGAATCGAATATCAAATTGTCATTTCGAGCGATGGCCGAACTTCGGTCTCCGTCTAAATATGGCTAATTGCTTTGGGCCACTTGAAAGTTTTGCAATTAGTTAGTTTGGCTATTATATTTTACACAATCGACCAAACTTTGTCAATAATTGGAAGGTGGTTTGAGTTTAGAAGCGCTTAAGCGATGAATTGATAAAAGTTTCCTAATTGAGCATCAGGTTTTCCCTAAAGTTGACCTTTCGTGAAAAATATGCTTGTTGCAAACTTTGGAAACTATAAACTGTAAGCTTATCACTATGACTTAAGTGGGTATCTTTATTAAGAAGCTACTCTAATTAAACACGTTTGTGCATTTCCTGGGCAAGGTGGCGTTCTAATGAATCATATATTAGGCAATTACCTTTGTCATAGTACAGCTTGTTGGCCTGGTTAAGTGGTTCTAATGACATTAGCGAATACTCGAACATAATGTTCGAAATTCATGTACACAAGGACCGTTTCTATCTTTTTCTTCTTTAAATTACTTAAATTTCTTTAAAATTCCCATATTTAATCAACCTTTAAAATTCAAATAAACTGAAAAGCTACTCAACTTACCAAAGTATCGTTTAATGTCTTACCAGATAAAAAGGTTTAGAATTGAGTGGGAACAAAATCCTTGCCAAATTAGCTTATAATTACGCACTTTGCCGCTAATGATATTCCTTTTAAGCCATATCCCATTTCAGAAACTAAGCCAGAACTCGGAGGGGAAATTTGATCAAATGCCGACCCACTTTTACCCGCACAGTAGTACCTACAGAAAAAAACATTTCTGCTGAAATTAGAAATTAGACCGTAATTTGCCAACAGTTGATTGCGACACGCCCGCAGATGCATTTAAAGGGCAGTTGCATTTGTGGCACCACCTCGCCGCACCCTTTACTCCCTGGATTGCCAGGATAGATTCGGTAAAACCAGATACGATACACGTGTCAACTTTCACTTTCACCGCACGCGAATGGAATTTAATCCATGGGGTTTTTTTCTGGGCCACATAAAAACATACCTGCTGGCTGCTCGTCCTGTCGGCTACTGACTGTCTGACTTGGCTTAAACAACACCTGTCGGCTAGCTGCCGCCACAGAGCTTTTTGGCCTCCAAAAGCTTTCGTTTGGATTTTTATGAATTAAGTGTGTTTGTGGCGCAGCCAAAGCTCCTAGGAATCAATTTTAATGTGTAGCATATTTTGGCCATGACGTCACTGTGATTTGTGGCAGTGCAGTGCAAATTTAATGAGCCTGCTCATGTTACCAACATGGGATCCTTGATTTTCGAGTGGCTGTCCTGCAGGCAAATCTGTTAAACGAAAAACACGCAATTTGCCAGCCAGCCAAATCGAGATGAAAAGAGCCAGACCTCTAGGACATTTTATGCATCAGGATAATGAGGACTGTACACTCATGGCATTCACTAACCACTTAGGCAGAGAGAGCCCTTGGCTCGGAATATTCAATATGCAAATGATGTTAGCCACTACGAGTGGAATGAGGAAAGGAAATAGTGTTGCGCCTGTAACAGGTATAATAAATTTATGCTCTGTAGATGTAAAAGTTTGCTAGAGGGTCTGGGCTGCATTAAATGAATGTTAGATTTAATTCTCTGAATTTAAATTAAGCTAAAGGAAACGATTTACATTTTATTAGGTTTGGTAAGGATAATGACTTTAAACAGGGGATAATATCTGTCTTATTTATGGCTCATCTTAAATAGTTGTTTATTAACGTTATTAAATGCTTTGATTTATTCAATCCTCCGAAACATAAGATTATAATGTTGAGTATAAAAACTTAAAAAATCTTTCTGAAAAAAGAATTTTTGATGTTTTATCTATATCGATTTAAGTTCAGTTGAAAAACTATTATCTTATTGCAGTAAATAACTTTAAGGCTTTAATGCTGAACTTAGAACAACACAGATGCAAAACGCTGGCAAGTGATTGCGGCTAAGAGTGTTAACCTTGTTTTCAGTTTACTGGCAGTGTTGGCATCTGGGGAAGTTAGAGCAGAAATTCCCCCAAGGAGCCACATAGAATATTTTACAAATGCGGAAAAGAGGCGAGGGCTGAGTGCAGTGGCAATTTTCCGAAAGAAGTAAAATGAGCTTCGTGGGGCGGAAATTGCATCAAGGCTTCCGCGTCAGTATATATCTGGAATTCCATTACTTTTGTTTGATTTTTGTGTAACTGACGTGGAGCATCGTAAAATGTGCAGACTTTAATGCTGAGGAACTGACATAAAAAGGTTCCCTCTGCAGAAAATGTCAAAAGTAACTCTTGTGAAATCTTAACTTTTGTTTAATTTTGTAAAGTTGAAAAGAGAAAAGTGCAAACAGTACAAAGTAAGAACCCTTTTAAATTTCTACTAATATTTATTTCGTTTATTTCGATCTCTTTTCGATTGGTTCGTTCACTTAACAATTAACATAAAACGTAATTAGATAAAAAAATTAATAATATAAATCGATAAATTAGTAAATTCAATTGAACTAAAAACATTTGCTCTCGCTTTCATTTGAACATAACAACAATTTGCCTATGAAAATAACAATTTTTTTAGTTGAATCAAACGCACAAATCGCTTCGTTTCGTCACATACTCGTACATAGATAAATAAATAGTCAAATAAATAGTCTTAGAACTATAATAAATATGTCTTATTAGCGTAATTCTCATTCAGACTCTACAAGTGTTAGGCACGCGTACTCAAAAAACGTAATCTGCAGGCGATATCTCGGAATATTGAGAATCCCCAGAGTATCTTATTTGAAGTTGCTGCAGTTGATTTTCAATTATGCTAATGAAATGATGGTAGCATGGAGGAGGAGGAGGAGGAGGTGGAAAGGGGTGAAAAAATGCGACGTCGCTAAAAAGTTGAATCAACTTTTTCCCACGCTTCTGCTCGCGACTCTTAAAACTCTACATTCTATTTACACTTGTTGCTCCTTCCCCTGCAGCTAAATGACATGAAGACCACGGAAGCCAGGGCTCTGGAGGCACCTCCTTATTTCACTCCCGTTATGCTACGCAGCCACGGCTTATAGAAGGTGGTACGCATATAGACGCCGGGCAGGTAGGGCGCCGCGCACTTGATGCCGTGAGACACGGTTCCGGCCAACTCGTAGCGTCCATCAGGACGCTGCAGCACCAGCGGACCGCCACTGTCACCCTGTGAGAGAAATGATAATGATTAGAGCCAGACAGTTGGGGGGTCCGGGATCTGGACTCACCTCGCAAGAGTCCTTTTGTCCATTGGCATAACCGGCGCACAGGAAGGAGTTGAGAATCTTCTTATTGTGGCCAGCAGTGTGGAACATCTCCTGGCAAACGCTGTTCTCGATAATCGGCACCTAATTTAATTTAGCCCGAGGGTTAGATAGTTTTCCAAAGAGGATTGTGATGGGTCAGTGCTTACCTGCACTTCCTGCAAAACTGAGGGCACTCCACCTCCGTACTTGAGTCGTCCCCAGCCGGTCACGGTGGCCATGCGTCCAGTGAAGTCCGCCACATCGTTGGGCATGCAAATGGGCACTGTGGAATAATATTAAACATTTAATAGGTGGCTGGAGTACCTTATCTCTTTACAAAAGGACTCAATGTAGGTAAAGAATATTTAACCATTTCCTTAGAACGCATGACTTACCTATATGGGTATCGTATTGCACGGGACTGTCCAGTTCCAGCAACGCCAGATCGTTTTCGAAGGTGGCAGGATCGTATTGCCGATGGACAATGACACGCTTCACATTCTTAGTCACAGAACGCTTGCTCTCCAGGTCGCCGGAAATGTCGAATTCACCCATGACGGCCACCAAAGAGGCCAGGAAGCTGAATAGGAGGAAGATCAGAAAGATATCCTTAATTAAAAATTATCTAATCCATGTCTGCTTATGGAACCTTACCCGGGCTGGCAATGGGCAGCGGTGATGACATAGCGGCTGGTTATGAGGACGCCGCCGCACTTGTTCTTGGTGAACAGACCTAGCCAGGTGGACTCCCGTACGAGAACCTGCCAGGGGAAGGCGCCGAAGGTGGAGCCCTTGCCGCCGACAATGCGGCCGGACTTGACATGGGGCCGCACACCGCACTCTGTTGATGGGGAGTGAAATGCGAGGTTAGGAGTGGGGAGTGTTCGAGAAGTCGAGTCTGAGAGTTTGGGGGAAAGCATAGAACTGATAGGACAATTACATGGAGCGGGAATGGAAAGGGGTCATCAGAAGGGGGGGTTTAATTTTTTGGGAAATTGTCTAATTGGATTTCTTGTTTCGCCGCTTGTGCTTGCGACGAGCTATATAGTTAAGGATCAGTCGAAAATGCAATGGTGGATTAGGGTTGAGGAAGCGTGGGGTTAGATGCGTGAGCGGTTAGGAACAGGTGAAGGGCAGGTGAGAGAACAAGAAATAGAGAGAGAAAGACAGTTGTTTCGGGTCCATGCTAGTCCATGCTACATTCAGTCCACACTTACGAATCTTCCGTCCATTGGCTCCGCCATACGAGCTGAGAGTGGCACCCTGGTCGATCTCATTGTCACTGGGATTCGGGTTCACGTCCTCTTCATCCTCTTCGTCTACGATCTCATCGTCCGCGGGTCTAGCCGAGCTTACGGTTGTGGTCTTTATGGTGCTGCTGACTCGACGGGTTGGCTTTCTGGTCGCTGGTTTTCGGGTAGTCGTGGTTACCTTTGCAGCCACAGTCGTGCGTCGGGTTACGGGCTTGCGAGTGGTACTGCTAACGGCGGAGGTCTTCTTGTTTGGTGCCTTGGTCGTGACTCGAGTCACAGGTTTCTTTGTGGTGACCTTTGGTCTGGCAGTTGTGGCTACCCTCACGGGCTTGCGAGTGGTAACTACCCTAACGGGCTTGGCGGTTCCACCTGCTCCAGCTTGGTAGGTGGCAACAGTCTTATTGCTTCCAGGCTCTTCAATCATATCAGCCAGCGCCTCGAAGTTACCCTGCAGAGAAGCTACCAACTTATGAACCAGGGTGTGCATTTTGTCCTTGAGGACAACATCCTCCACAAATGCGGGAGTGGAAAGGTCTAGATCGCTGGTCACTGCGCTGGAGGCAGCAGACATGTTGAGATTTGGATTCCTAACTGGCGGGAAGTTAACAAAGTCATTGGGCGAAGTGTAAGTCTCCTCCATCACATTCTGGCCAACTTTCTCGCCAGGAACTGAGAAGGCGGGATACGAGGGTGTGGGTCCAAAGTAGCCGGGGAAAGCGGGTTTATCATCGGAAGGCACAGCATAGATAGCCTCTGTGGTGGATTGTGTAAAGGCGACATGAACGGGACTGCTGCCAAAGTATCCGGGATCCTCGAAGTCGTTTGAGCTTACTCCCTGCGCTCCGGGTCTTCCGGTCACGTAAGCTCCCGTGCTGGAGGCCAGTTTGTTGCCATCGTCATTCAAAGAGCTGTAGGTCACCAGATTAATGGCAGTCGGCTTGGGTGTAATGAGAACCGTGGGCCGAGGAGGTTTGGGTGTTCCATTGATCTGCACGAATCCAGGTTTCTTATGTCCATAGCTACCACTGCTGGTGGGTCTTTGGGCGTAGATTGGGGTGGAAGCAGTAGCCACCAGAGGAGGCTGATAGTTTCCGGGTGTGGAGCCCACAATGTTCTCTGCTGTGCTTTGGATAAAGGCATCAAGCTTGTCATCAGCCATGAATAGTGGTGGCACATTATCGTAGTGGTAGTCAACGGTGGCTGGTGGTCGTGGAGTGCTTGGTCCGGTCACGTAGCTGGTGGAAATGGGCTTGGCTGTTGCTGGTTTCCTTCCTGGCGAGCTAACCACGTGCTCCTCATCGTAGGTAAGTGATGGCATCGGCGCCAGTTGATCGTAACTGGGGGATGGAGCTGATGGCTGGTCGTACTGGCTGGGAGGGGCATCTGGCTTGTCGTAGTTGAGAGCCGGAGCCGCTGGCGCAGGAGCTGAGGCAGTCGTTTGTTCGTATACAGCACTAGCAGGTCTTGGGTAGCCAGTTTGCTCTTGCCCCTTGTGAGGATTAGCCACTGGCTTCTTGATCTGAATGTGCGTGATGGGCGACTCGGGTACGTTATCGTATCCGCTGGACACAGGTTTCCTGGTGCTATGCTCGCTGATCTTCTCTTGGTTGTAGGCACCAGCACTTGGCTGCGGCTGTGGCTTCTTCTTGGTGTTCTCCCCGTTGATGGGTCTCTTCACGGCAGGTCGCTTGGTACTAGGCTTGGGGCGAGGTCTGGGACTGGCAGTCACCAAAACAGGTCGCTCCGAGGAGGCATCTTCTTGAACAGAGTCGTACTGAGGACGCTGAGCTGCAGGAGGCGTAGCAGTTGGTGGGGATACATAACCGGAAGTGGTTTCAGACTGCTGATAGACATTCGAGGTGTCGTCGATCTCCTCCTCCACCTTGGTGGTGTGTGAGGACACGGATACTTCGGGTGGAACTTGAGCCTGATAGTCACCATTTCCGGGTTGGGGACTGTAGTGTTGCATGGTCACCATGCCGATGTAAGAGGCCACTGGACGATTCTGCTTATTGACATTGGTGGTGGGACGAATATATGTAGGAACTGGCTTCGGTTCCTCAGTTTGGACGGTGGATAGCTTCTGATATGCGGATTCTGTGCTTGCCTCGTATGAGTCACTGCTAACCTGGCCATAGCCAGCGGCCGTGGCCGGAAGATTCTCATCCTCCTCCATGTAGGACATATCCACTGGGTAAGCAACGCCCACAGGCATCTTGTTGAACTCAGAAGTCTGCGGAGCAAGTGGAGCCATAGCATCGTGGTAGCCACTGGCCGGTAGTGTATGATCCTCCATCACAGCGGAAACATCTTCTCCGTAACCGGGACGCGCGGTGGGCATCTCAGCGGACTGGCTGACAGCTGCCGATGCATCCTGCTCATCGGAAACCTTATTGTACGAAGACTCGTAGTTAACTGTGGTGGTGTAACCATAATCGGACTGTGAATCCTGTTCCTGGATCTTTTCTGACTCGTTATCCTGGTAGAAAGATGAAGGCTGAGTAGCTGGCTCTGTGTGAACTGCCGCTGCTTCGGGGTATCCATATGAGGGAGTCTGCTGGCTCACCACATTGTAACTGGGACCGTGGCTAGTGTTGTTCAGCTGCAGGATGATGGATTCAATGGAGTCCACATGGGTGGTAATCGAGGAAATAGTAGTGGGACTGTTCTGACCGGTTGTTGGACGTTTGGCACTGGTGCTGGAGGAGATGTAGCTCTGCTCTGCTGGTTGCTGATGCTGCTGCTGTTGCTGCTTTGGTGGTTCCGCGTATACAGGCTGAGGACCATAGCCTGTGGAGAACTGTAGATCCTCTACGAGATCGGCATCTGCTCCGGGGTGGGTAATATCACTGTGAGTGAACTCTCCACCATCAAGGATCAAATGGTTGTGGTGGTGATGATTGCTAACACTCTGGGCTGGCTTTGGACTTGGCTGTTGCTTCACCACCTGTGGCTTCTGCTGGATGGGTCGCTTCATGCTCTCCGCCAATTGAGGGACGGGTTTCGGCTTGGCTTTCTGCGTAGGCTTTGGAGTGGGCTTCGTTGTGGGCTTCGGAGTGGGTCTCTGAGTGGCTTTCTGGGTTGGTTTTGTCTTGGGTTTTTGGGTGGCTGCAGGCGTTGAGGAAACCTCTTCGAAAGAGCTGGACTCGGAGCTCGTTTGATCCTGCAAGCCGCTGGCAATCTTTGTTGGCACCTCAGTGGTGAAGACAATATGATGATCATCAGCATGTTCTGGAGGCAGAGTGCTGAGCACCTGCATCACGAAATCATCATTTTGTGGCGGCGACGAGGGTGAGTTGATGGTCACGGAATTCTTGTGCACATGGAAGTTAGGTGGCTGGACGGGCTGAACGGGTTGCTTGGTAATCTTCTGAGTGGTCTGATCATTAGAGATGTCTGCCTGCTGGGAAGGCTCCTGCTCGAACTCCACACTGGCGGAGGAAGACTGCGATTGAGTAGCCTCTGTGGACAAACTGCTGCTAGAGTAACCAGGCTCATCTTGAACGGGTGCCTCCGACTCAGGCTGATAGTCAAGCTGTTGGGGTTCATCACCATAAGAACTGCTGGGTGGACTGATGCTACTGCTGCTGCCCAACTGCTGGTAAACCTTGTCCAGGTTCTGTTGATCATAAATGTTCTGCGATGGCTGGGGTGCCACCTGCTCTTCACTCAGGGATTGCTGCTGCTGCTCGCCATAGCTCTCGAACGACGATTGGGCTGCTGATTGCTGGAGCTTTGTCTGCTGCTGGTGCTGTTGGAAGTAAGCGTTTTGGGCTTCGTTGATCAAAGTACTGGCTAACTCGTGGGTGGGTGGAATCTGACAGCAGGCGCCGAACAGGAAGCCATCCATGCAGGCACCAACCACCTCGCCACCCCGTTGGGCGCACTCGTGGTTGAACATGCAGATGGTGGGTCCATTGGCTCGCGGATCCGAGCTGGGCAGCGTCTTGGTGGCACGGCAGTGCTTTGGGGTGATGCGATAGCCTCCAAAAAGTTTGCGACCACCTGTAAAAGTATTAGAAGAAAATAAATAAATTAGGAAAATTTGACACTTTTTAATAAAAGAATATTATTAAGAGGCAGTATAATAGTTTCCCCAATTAAAGATTCGATTTCAATTTACCCAGATTTTCAAACAGATTTCGCTTGCCAATAATCTGAAAGCCAACTGTCAAATTCCCCGTGGCCAAAGCTTAATTAACATGCCATTCAGGCATCTCTTTTTGGCTCAACTGTAGTTGATTGGATTATGACTTGAGGGGGTAGTGAAAATGTGGGAAATTCCTTAAATGAAAGTGACAACACTGAACGATAAACGCTGAACATATCAATGCCGCACAAATGCCATCTATATAATTGCTATTTTCAGTGCTAATTGTGGCCAACAGCCTTGAGCAAACATCAACAGCAGCCGCCACACAGACATAAACTTAAAGGTATATAAACTCAATTAACAGTCACTATATATTTTCCCTGTTCTGTGGGCATTCAACTAAAGAAACTTAAGACCACTCGAAAACTGAAAAACCGCCAAGTGAAAGTGGCCCTGGCTGGCAGCCCAAGTGTTAAGCCACATAGCAGCCACTTGCCGTGTCAAAGTTCAGCTGCGGCCCAGGTGTGGGCAATGCACTTGAGAGTTTTTCCACCTCATTTGCCAAATTACGACAGCAACTGAGGAAAATGGAGAAAGGTTAGCCTGGGCCAGCTTGCGGCTTTCAATACCCTTTCGGGTGCCATTTCCCATAAGTTTGTTTGATTTATTAAAATTCCTTTTATTTTATTTTTTAATTTTAAAATCTTATCATTCAAACTACTTTGTTTAATATGAAAAGATTGCTTTAAAGGTATTAAACTAGCCATTAATTCATTTATATTTACCATGAGACTATAACAATCCGCTTTAGTTTTTATGACCGTAACAATAGTACAGAATTTAATGGCTATTAATACATTACCGATTTTCTGCTCGTAGATAGTAGGCAATAATCGTTAAATTTAACACAACTTAATATTTAAGTTTTACTTAAAAGCCTAGTAAAGTGGGACCCCTGAAAGCATTATATTATTTAAATAGAAAGTTTAGAGTTAGAGTTAGAGTTCTCAGCATGAGTTAGAGTTAGAGTTAGAGTTCTTCAGTTTGTAGGGTATCTAAGGAACCACCCAAGACCGTTTAAAATTCTGGAAAGAAGACCGCCTTTAAAGTAAGTATACAAATCCTGTAATTTGGAACGAAATTGATTTTGGCAGCAATTAAACCTGAAGTGGGAAAGCCGCGTCCGCCGAGTTCTGACGGGTTTATGCTGACAAATTAACACCTCGCGGACGCTCCAGTTGCGAGTGGTGGCCCCAATCCGCATCGGGGACTGTGTCAATGTTTGGTCATGAAATTGGAGCATAAGAGCGCCCAGTGCAAACACGGCCAGCGAACTAGATTCGGAGGCTTAGTGGCAATTAGTTCGTTGCTAATTAAATGAAAATCAGAAGGTAACGAAAACGAAATTGCAGGGAATGGCCACCACGAAATGAAGGCAATCATGACTCAAGCCGATTGAGAGTATGCCGGACACGTAGCGCCAGTGAAAGTAATGCAAAGTACGGCTCCAGAGTCAAGTGTATTAGCCGAAAGTAGTGAAAAAAAAGTAGTGCAAAAGCCTCTATTAGAATAGCAGTCCAAAAAAATACCATCTTACATACATAATTGAGTAAAAGTGATAGTGTTTCTCCATCTCCACCGCCATCTCTACGTATTCCCGACCACTTTTCTCTATTTTCGCTCGGGCCCATTCATCTCTCTGAAAGCGATTTCGTTTTTTGTGGCGTCTACTAATAAAATAACAATAATGTTTTTTGCAGCTTTATTATTTGAAGACATTTCGCGTTTTTACGATTAGACACTTAAGTGCTCTTAAGTATTCTTCCGCAAATCGTTAAAAGCGGACGCAAACACGGCCCCAAAGAGATTCGTCGAAGAGACGTGAGAAAAGGCCGGCGGCGTCGGGAGTAACTCCAAAACAATAGCTTCTCATTCCCGTAGAAAAAGAGCCGATTAACAGAACCACGGACTCTAAGAGAGAAGGTTAGGTTTGTATGTAGCTCCATCACCTAACAGAGCCACCAAGACTTCACTCTCGAGTTTCGGAGTCAATGAATTAATTACCAACCCGGGGCTGACTTAATGAAGTATGGCAACCAGCGATAATTATGCAGTTTAACATAATTTATTTGATCTAGCTCGAGCAAATTGAATGTTGTACCTACAACATGATTATGCATTTTGAAAGTTACACTAAATAAATATGTTTGATAATAGAGATGCTCTACAACTTATGATTAGTCTATGCATGATATATGGAAGTTAAGGAATTTGTAAAGATAAAATCCATTTCTATTAGCTTGGTTCCACTGTCAAATGAAACGTGTTGAACATTCCATGTGGAGATTAGACCCTTGTTCAGCCAACACCTTGAGATGCCGCAAATAAAATATGCTAAGAATGCATGAGCACGCCCCGTTTCGATCCGAGAAATCCCCGCACCTTCTATATAGCATATATCACTTATAGATATCTGTCTGCTTGAGACTTCTGGCGGATAACTGATTATGATCTGCCAATCCTCTGACCCTAATTGGTGGATCGTGAAATTCAAGTCGATAAGCAATGCACCGTCATAATCGCAGGCGACGCATGCAAAATAGGTTACAGCATCGCACCTGAAGAGCCGGCTAAATCACATACATACTCGGGCATATATACAAACATATGACCACCTGAACGCCGAACGAAAGTGTGTCAAACGGCTGAATAATTTCGCGCCGCTTTTAAACATTTTTCGGTGTTTATTAAAAGAGGGGAAAAAGATCGGAAAAAAGACGAACGGAGGAAGCAGCTGCAAAATGAGATAACAAGTTTGTCTTCCCAAAAGCAAGCTCCGTGGCGGTGGCAATACCATTAATCATCCAAGAAAATTGGCCCCATAGCCGAATTCTGTTCTGTTGCATGCACCAAACTTCAAGACACCGGGACCTGGGCAGTGTGTCACTTGGCCCTTGGGGCAATGGGTTCTTTATATGGTATATAAGCTATACATAAACTTTTCTACCTTTTGGCCAATGGAACAGTTATCGGCTGTGCTGCCGGCCGTGCAGTGAAATTTATGCGCACAGCCATGGAATGGAAATTAATTAAATCATGAGTATGATGCTGGCCAAGATCGGGAGATGAGAAGAGAGCTCTGCTCTGCTCAGCAAGCGCTCTGCTCTGAGATTTCGTAGAACTTGTTTTCATGCCCGATCTCCGACCGTTCGACGTGCCGGAGTCCGAAGAATGTAAACAAACGAGGCGCTTTAACGGTAAATGGAAAATTATTATCGATCAATTAGCCCAAGACTGCAAAAAAAAAAAAAAGGAAAATATATGTATATACTTTCTTGCCCCAACATGCAACTCCACGTGTACCACACTGGGATCGGGCATTTTGGATCTCCGATTTGGATCTTGGCCAGTTTTGCATTTAACGAATCTTGCTCTAATTGCGTTGTGAAAGTGTTAAATATTCTTGGTCTACATTGGCACAAGTTATTAACCGATCAGTGGTAATGCCAGGCAAGTGAAATCGAAGAATCGAAGAGTTCGATTAGTCAGACACAGAAATAAAGTGCTAAATTAAACAGGTTGGCGCTAAGGCCAGTTCCAATTCAAACTTCTTTTTACTCCATAAAAATATTTATATAAAAAATAATATTTTTTAAAGAATGTTAATCATTTGGAGGGCATAGAGCGTGAAATGTATCTCCAGTCATTTCCACCGCCACAATTAATTAGAGAAACTCTTACTATCGACAGGAAAAAATTCACAAACGATTTATTGGCTGCAGAAAGAGCCCATCTAATGGCCAACGGACGATGTCGGCGAAGAGTAAAAAATAACCAATGTCACTTTTCATGGAATTAGCATAAAAAATCTTTTCATTCATCCCAAGCTAATTTCACTTTTCCTAGACAAAAGCGAAGAAAAACTGTTTACATTTCATGAATCGCTTGATTTGGGCTACTAATTATGACTTTGGTTAGTGGAAGCGAGAGTGCCGACTGCAGTTTACTAAACATCTTCTTTTTGCCTTTGTCTTTTCCTTTTTTTTTTTAGTATTTTATTAATTTTAATGGGCTTTACGTGCGGCTGTGCGTCTTTAGAAAAAAAAAACGTATCTTTCTCAAGCGATCTGTTCGGCGATGTCATCACGCAAAAAGATTTCCCGCTTTGCGTGAGAGAAATGGAAAGTTTCCGTTCGAGTCTTGACCTTTCTCGGCTTAAACAGCACATTTGGTTATCCGATTCGGAAGATGGTTAGCCCAGCCTGGGCACGCATCCCACTCCATATGGCAGCCGATCCGCAACCAAACATACCAACCCACCATTAATCGCATTGTAATTGAATTGTTAAGCTATGGGTATATCAGCATCAGCATAAACATAACCCGCTCCATGCTCTACTACGCTCTCTGCGAATTGGACTGTGGCGTGCGCTATATAACTAGGCCCGGCTATAACCGATTTGCACGCGACCGTGCTCCGGAGAGTGCTTGGGAGCCACCTTGAATTACATAAAATTGGATTTGAAAGTCGCACCGATACAATTTCCATCGATTTGCTCCGATCTGCTCGAGTGTCGCTGTGTCGAATTGGGCACAGCATCCGAGCGTGAGCTGTGCAGTGTCTTCCCATTCCCAGTGGTCGGTGGCCGGTGGTTTCAATAGTTCCTCGTCCGCCTTGTCAGCGGCGTAAATTGTAACAGTGACCCAAATAAAATTGCGACGACTGCGACGGGCGGCGACCAAAAAGACCGGTAAGCTAACAGTGAATGTGCCAGTGTCAGTGCCAGTGCCAGGCTGTCTGTCTTGGCTCACATACACATACAGACACTACGACTAGCAAGGTGGCCATAGGTGTAGGTATGAATTTTACGCATGCAATTCTAATGGAAACTGTAATTTTCCACCGGCCAAACCAGAAAAATTCAAGACAACCCAAATCAGAGATGAGCAAGTGACACATGAAAAACTTCTGCAACAAATAGGATTTCCATTTTGTATGTAAGAGAAGACAAAGCTAAGAAATTTAAGTTCACTAAGTTATTTACTGTAATGCTTATATAACTCCCTGCAATTACGTTTCACTAAATCAATAAATAACATAAGAAAGACATTAAATTTCTAATAAAATTGTAATTCTGACCAAACCGCAAGTTTGGCCGCAATCTAAACATTTTGTTAGCCAATCCAAGCGGTCAAGTGTGGTCAGTGTGGCAGCCACAAGACCATAAATACAAATCACTTTATGGTTTAGCTTGGTGAGTAATACTTTTTCATCCATTTATGGCATAACTTTGGTCTTCCTCACGTGGCCAACTCTGTTGGCTTGCTCTTCTGGCCGTAATAAGAAAGGTAATCACACGGTGTCAACCACGAGTCCAGCTCAACTCTGTGCAGCTCGACTCACCTGGGAACAGGTTCTAGTGACTCCACACCAGCGTTTTGCAAGAGAAGAGGCACATTTCTGGGTGGCAGGCCAGCTTGGATCATTTTGGCCACAGCTTAGAGGCGGTTTCGTTTGCCACCGTGTTACATGTGTGCACGACTTGTATTGTTTTCATTACTATTATTATTCTTTTGGTGGTCACTTTTTGCCAGGTCATGAGGCTCTGGATCTCTGTTTGTTTGGCCAAACAATGGCTGCCCGGAAAACATTCAATTTGGGTGAAAATTGTGCACAATGGGAAATTTATTGAATGCTTTTTCTGGTGACAAAAGATTTTGCGGCATAGATAAATCAAAATGAAAACGTTTTGCCAACCAATTTGTTTGAAAAATCATATCAAATGCGACGAGCTGTTGTAAAAGAAGCGATTTTGTGTGTGAATGAGCAGTGAAAGTTTCTTGGCCGCAATAAATGACATCATTTTTGGCAAATATACCCCAATACCCCTGATTCCCATTCCGATCCACCATCGATATCCAAAAAGCAATGAGCATTTCGGCGGAAATGTGCCGCAGAATCGCAATAACCTTTTTGTTTTTATGGATGCACGAAGATCGGTCCGAACTTTAATGCGTTTTGTTGATTTCCATGCGAAAACCCAGGCACCGAAGAATGTGTGTTGTCATGCAGCGGAAGCCAGCGCAGAGCGGAGAATTTCACTTTCACCGCCAAACATGTCAAAACAAATTCGAAGTTTGCCGCCGTGTATTTCCTGTTAGACGGGCGCATCCCATAACATGGATCTATCGCTTTCTGCCAGCGGTGTTGACAGTCCGATAATTTGTGACTACTCGGCATCGATACCAGGCCGTAGATACAATACTAGCAGCACTTGAAGCAATGCCGATGAGCTTGAAAGATAAGCTAGACTACAAATGTGTTTGAGCACCAAGAAGACAGTCATTCCAATTGAGTAGCTACTGTTTTCAGCTCCATTCACATGATCTGGATGGTACAGTAGAACATGAGTAACCGGAACTTCTGTGTTGTAGGTTTTTGTAACTCTAAGAAACCATAGTTTTGTTTAGAATTTTATTGTAAATTACTTATAAAAACAAATAGTAATTCAAAGTATTTTTAACTCATATTTTCTTTCTTCAAATAATAAGTTTATGTTACTGACGCTCCACTGTAGTTTCACTTGAGTGCTCTATGGTAGGAAGTGCAATCCATACTCGGCCGAGGTGAAATGCTCTCCCGCCACTCGATGTTCATGATCTGTCACAGTTTTAATGCGATTGCGTTAAGTTTATGAAGTGTAAAATGTCTGTGGGAAAATCGTTTTGGCCCTCTCGCCAGCCCAGAAGAAAGTCAAATGTCGCTTTCACATTAATTGCATGTGGAAGCGGGGGGGAGTGTGAAGAAGATGAACTTTATATATGTGGAATTATGGAATTTGTAATTTGCATAAACTGAGAATTTTGAACCGAGTGAGTGTGTGTATGACTAACGGTACGACAATTAGCCAAACGAGAAGAAAAGAGTTATGAATTGATTTTTAAGTAGCCAACCGGGCCGAGACCGATTGAGAGGCCGAGATCTATGTGGAGCAACAATTGACCAAGTCGATGATCGGCCAGTGCAGCGGTAAAAACGTGATCTTGAAATTACATCGCTGTCGACCATCGACCATCGACCATCAACCATCTACCATCGAACACTGTCCATCGAAGTCAGCTTCCTTCCCGCAGGCCGAGTCTCAAATTACCGTAAAGTCAACTGCAGGCAATGTCGACAAGTGCAGCGGCAGCGTCTTGGTCTTTTCCATGGCTAAAAACCACGACTTCAACGACTTGAACGACTGACAGCGACAAGAAAGCCACAAACTGGCACACGCTTCCATCAGAATCTCTGTGGTGTGGTGTGGTATGGTTTGGTTTGGTTGTTGGGCTACGATTGCGGCTACTGGCCAAGACATTTTCATTTCGCACGCGTTTTTCCTGAACTGCTTTCCTGGTTTTCTTTCTGTTCAACAAACAACAGCTTGAATAGAAATTGAAAATTGTTTTACGTGTTTTATACTAATGATCAGGTGTGTATGTGCCCGATGATTGGCATTTGCTGACTTCCACCTCACTGACGCAGCACAGTTCTGCGATTGCTGGCAAACGGAAGTATTGATTTTCTCTTCTTGTACTGTCTCCCTAGGTTTTCCCAAACCTTTTGGAAAAGGGTAGAGCAGCAGGCAGATGAACAAGGGGAATCGTTGGGAAAACCGCCTCAAAGAAAAGCCATTGCATGGCATGAAGTCTTAATAAGTGTGGGACTTTTAGTTGTCCGAACTTGTGTTTGTTTGTAAACTAAATAAATATAAATTTATTTAAATAATCGTAATCTTAATATATGTAGTTTCTTATTTTACTCAAAATGGTTGCATTCAAAGGCTATCTGAAGCAACTTCCCTTTCCTTGGTTTAACTTTCTTACCCATATTACTTTCAAGGGTACAACAAACTTCGATGACTCCTTATGTTTTTATAGGAAAGTGTTTATCAAAGGACTTGTTAAGGCTGCAGGTTGATTTTGCAGCGTAAGCTGCACAAATAAAAGACTCACTTTATAAGAGCTCTGAACTTGAAGGAAAGTATTGATTGCATAGGAACATGCTTTCAGCTTCATAAAGATTCCCCTTAGGGCCATAATAACTTAACAACATACTTATGAATGTTTTCACCAATTTAACGATCTTGGAGAAATGAAAATGGTGTGTGAGATTTCACATATCAAAGAAGCTTGATTCTTATTTTTTGGTGCTAGAAATGGCGCTGACGATTATCACGAGTAGTTTGTTTTCCCCCCAATTTTCATTGTGTTTGGGTTTTTTATTGAGTTTGCACCTCGAGTCTTTTGTTAGCTGGACACTTGGTCTCAATCTGAATTGAATGGTGCCGATTCGAACTAATAACCAGGTACTCTAGAAATTTGTTTCACTTTTTAAAGCAGCCAAATGACCTCGACAATTAACGGCAATGGGATGCTGAGATGCTGAGCTGCGGGCCGAAAGCCAGCACAAACTACTCGTAAAATCGTCAAATGGTAAAATGGTAAAAACTGTCACAAGGAAAGTCGACGTCTGTGTCTAACATCTCGAGGTCTTTTGTGGCTGCTTTGTGGCCGTAATGTAGCATAAAACGAACCAAATAATTGCCAAGTGCGTGGAGTGTGGAGTGTGGAAAGTCATTCGAAGAGCACCAGCTACAGCCGCAGTTTTCTGTGCCAAAGTTTTTCTGATTCATTTATTGACACAAAGGCATAGTTTGTGTGTGTGTTTTTTTTTTTTTTTTTTTTTTGCCATGAGCATTGTCAACTTGGCCAGGCCAAGACATTGAGTGAAAGCCCCTGGTAGAGGGGATGAGGATGGAAGTATGAGGATGGCTAAGTGAGCCAAAGTGAGGCAGCAAAAGCCAAACCACTGACACGATTCGATTTGCAGCGACATGAGCTTGCAATTTGGCAAATTGATTTTCTTTTTGCCATAATTCTACATTTTATTGTGTGCTAAACTTTCTTCTTCTCCAAAAGCCTTTCATCGATTCATTCGGACAAGTCAATGAGCTAAATGATCTCTCACTTACCGCCATTCGTTTCAATTGATCTAAATCCACTTGTTGTCGGCACAAATGATGCGACTATTATTATTAAACTTGTTAAAGCGATGGAAAGTAGTTGTGGTTTTGTTGTTCTCGCCGTGGCTGTTGCTGTTCTCGTTGTTGTTGTTGTTGCCGCTGTTAGTGTGCAGCGGGACAACGTCGCCGTTGAGGCCGGCGTAACCCACTTAAACATGTTTGCTGCTGGCCGGACGACACTTGCTTCGAGTTCTTGGCCTAGACCGTCTGGCAGCGTTATAAATATAATAATTTTTTTTTATATATTTAATAGAGCTCGTTATGATATTCGCCCAGCTTGTTTCGAAATCACTAAGCCAAACAAAATCGGGCTAGTAAGTGCGAAAACAATGTTGTAACGGCGCGCGCTAAAACGAAAGACTTAGGCGACGAACGCGAAATGAAGTTGTAACTGTAGATCCGATTTCGATTCCGATTTCAATTCGATTTAATTGCGACGACCGCACTTTCTTTGGGCGAATTTACAGTTGCTCGCACCAAAACACTAACACACTGCACCACATGTATATATAGTATAGGATAGTTTAGTATCTGACATCGGTTAGCTATATCTTATATCTTATATCAGCGACCATGCGTCCGGTCGACTGAACGCTCCGCGTGTGTCTGACTGTCTGATTGCAAGTTGGTCGGAACAGCGGCCAAGATAACGGACCTTCGCCACTTTTGTGTGGAAAACTTTCACTTTAACGCGGGAGAGCGCGTTCGTTGCAGAGAGCCAAGAGCGGTACGTGAGAGTATTCCTATTAGGTGTCGCTTAAATGGTAAACATTTCTAATTCGGCGTCTGCTCGGCTTCTTCTTCAGCCGCTGTTGCTTCTACTGTTGCTGCTTTTGCCACCGATCGGCTATTCCTGTTTTCGCCGCCTTTCTGCTTTCTTTCGCCAAGTCGCTGCTGCTCTTTCTCTCGGCGTCCGTACGCGTGCGCGTTTCAAACCCAACTGAATCGGTTTACAGCGCGGCCTTGCGGTTAAGAGCTCTGTGCCATCCCGGCCTAACAGTGGCGCTCGCTGTTGCCGGGACGGGATGCGTCCGGCGTTGATGTCACCCGCAGCAGACCGCTGCAGCTTTCGCCTGCGTCGATCCAGGTGACCGATATCCCTAGTGAACACTTTGTTTGCTCGAATTTTGAATCGATTTTTCCAGTTTAGACTGGATTATAGCCACAAAACCCTTCAGGATAATAATATATAATAATAATAATGCGAAGATGAGGGAAATAAAACCACAGTTAGTTAGTATTTTTTCTAGGTCAAGTTAATGTCTTCATTTGACAAAGGTAGGATAACATCACCTATTATAGATATGGCTCTATCTTTACATTTAACCAAATGATGAGATGCTGATCCATGAGATTGGAAAGGTTGATGTTACAGATTCACGTAAATTGCATTGCCATGCAGGGGGTCAAGAAAGGTTATTCCATCAGAGAGCCTGGCAATTAGTGGCCCGCAAAATACCGGCAAAAGTTGGCGGCTAATAACGGTCATCTGGCTATCTGACCATGTGCCCACTTGAAGCGCAGGAGGTAGGAGGAGCAACCTGTCGATTGGCATTTCCTTGACCCAAATTTCACTGCGCGCATATGAGACGCGGCTGGAAAATCCGACGGCGACAGCGGTTTGTTATTGTTTGGCTTTCTTGGCTGTTGGGGCTTGGCCTAGTCGGCATTATAATGTCGGGGGTAAACGCCTGACCAGGCTGGCACTGGCACTGGCACTGGCACTGGCACTAGTACTGGTGGCTGCCCAAGCGTGGACTCCGCTCCGCCATCACGATCTTTGTGTAGAATTTCACTTTCGTTATTGTTGTCGCCGTTTGCCGTTTTTTCTGTTTGGTTTTTTTAGTTTCTGTCCAGTTAATGTTTTTCTGTATGTACATATATTTTTTCTGTTTAAATTTATTTGTTGTTTATTTTCTCGTGGTAAGCCCATCGAAATGGAAAACGCAGCGAGAGCCATGGACTCCGACTGATTTGGACATGCCGGTCACGTGGGTGGTGGTAGTGGGGACTAAGCCCGGCCAGAACCAGTTGGGATTGGAGCTGATGGCTTTCTCATTGAGTTGTCGCGCAGAGAGTCTTCCCATGATTCATTAGATGCGGTATTACGACACCAAAACCACGGATGCGCCGAATTATGAACGATTTTAAATGATTTTAGCATAATCAACGGTATGGCATCTAAGACAAAGACCCTGCGAATCGTTGACTTTCTCTTCATTGACCAGTCGCCCCCTTGGACAATGGAGCTCGCCCAAGAAGGTGCCAAAATAAAGCAATAAGAAAAATCCGAAACGCAAAACCCAATAGCGAACTTTTAACAAATGGCTATGGGGCGAACCCAACGATCCACACACCAAATGATGAAACATTCGTAGCCATTCTTCGATCGCATCTGTTTTAGATGCCGCCACCAAGTTGGTCAGGTAATATTGGGTTATATAACCGCTAGACGAGGGTCTGCGAACAAGATCCATCAGGTAAATCGATCTTATTAAGATTATCTGAAAAAGAGTCTGAATTTTTAATTTGTTTTTGCTTTTAGATTGCTTTATACGATGACCTTATTTTGAAGTTATTAATCAAAAGATGTTTGTAAAAAGGAACTAGATACAGTTAATAAATGAAATGGCAGGACAAAATAAATTAATGAATACTAAATTTTAAGTATTTAAAATTAAGTTATAGGTAAAATGTGTAATAAATCTAAGCCACTTAAAAGAAAATCTTTTATTAATAGGCTATTCAGTACATATACTTTCCATAATTTCATACATTGATTGGTTTCAATTTATAGTTTTTTCGTTGAACAATTTCATTGTTTTTTTTTTGTCATGCTAATTGCAATGGCCACTTGATTTTCGATTTGCATACAGACATCTCTCAATGATGAGCCGTCAAAATTTCTATTTCACAGCTGGCAAAATAATTTGCAGACTAAGCAGAAATATCGACAGGGGGCCGGACGATCGATGAAAACATCAACATAATGATCGGCGAGTGAGCGACAAGTGTGAGAAATTCAATTTCCAAGACAAGCCAAAAGCTATCCAGCATCTCACTCCACAAAGTGAAGGTTGGATTTTGAACAATGTTGCAGGGATGTTGCCATGTCAACGCCTACCAAATTGCCAATTCGCCGTGTGTTCCCCTATGGCTTACAGTTTATTAACTGCCATTAATTTGTTTTCAACGTCGGCGATTGAAAACGAAAGCCATCAAGTTCATAATGCCGGCCTGTTGTGATTTGGTCAATGGTCTCCGGTCTGTCTGGGCTGGAAGTCTGCGTTGGATTAGGACCCAATTAATCAAAATGAGGCGTCGACGTGTTTTTTTTTATGATTTATTACCTGCAAATTGAACCGAAAACTCATCTTGACGGGGCTTTCTTCTAATTTCGCAGCTTCAAAGGGTTTGAACTTCGGAGTTCAGTAGCCCAGCGGATCGGTATTTGGGGATCTGTGACTAATTGAAAAGGCAATAATTTCACTTTTAGCAAGTTGTGAGCCGTGTTTGCCCACTAAGCCAAACAAGACAGGGCAGAAAAGAAACTTCGGCATAATAAATGAAAGTGAGTAGTGGTAGCCAACGGCAGCAGCAAGTACAAATCATATACAGCCAACGATTGTTAAGCCAATGTATGACATGTTGGCTGTGACCAGGACTACCTTCCAACCCCCCTCTTTAAACATACATACACATATCCCCTTGCTAGCTAAGTACACATGTGTCTTGTTTTCTAAAACGACAACAAATCACGCATACGCCACCGTTTGACAACTTGCGCTTTCAATTAGCTCGTGTCAATGGCCCACGAAAAGGGTTTCCCTAGGCGTCTCAGGTAGATGGTATACCTATGATTTAATTTCGGTTTCTTTTCGCACAAATTTAATTACGCAAATGTTATTCAATAAACTCCTAAACGAGTCGAGCCCGCTCGCGATTAGAGAAATGGGGGAAACTTTTGGCACCGCTTTCGGGGCAGGCTAAGAGTTGGTTGGCTTTGGTATCGGTTTGGTAATAGAGGAAACTTAATATTTTATAGGAAAATAAAGTTATTATTAATCTTCTGAAGAAGTAAAAAAGTTTATTTATAAAGCGGACATATTGTTTTTTATTTTGTTGATGAAAAATACAAATTAAACAAAAATGATTGAGAATTATATGGGCTTTTTTAAGTTTAATATTTTATTAAATTTTATATGTTATTTCCCTAATCTGATTTTATAATCTACTTGCAAGTGGCAATCAGTTTGTTTAAGACATTATTTGTTAACTTCATTTTTAAATAAAGAGTATTTGTCTGAAAGCTATTTGCTTTACCCACTTTTTGGCACTGGCTTTGTTGGTGGTCATATTGGCCAGCTTGGGGCTCGTCTAATTGCACTATTATTTCATTTTGATGCCATTTTAATTTAATTCCATTTGCGCAACAACTTTCGTCTTCATTAGGTGCGTTTTTTCTGCACATTGTTTGTCTGGCGGCTCTCCATAAAAATTTTGCACCTTTCACAGAATCCATTTGACTTCCGTCACCGCTTTTTTTCGCTTCCCTTCAGCTGGCTTGTGTGTATTTTCTTTTCTTATATTTTTTTTTTTACTTATTTGTTTAGTTGGCTGGTAATCAAGGCTTGACTGTGCGGCCATTTAATTGGCGAAAATTAAAAAGGGAAAACATTTTACATCAAAAACGTTTTGTGTAGGCGTCCACCGCAGATAATGCAATTAATTAGAAAGCGAAACTAAAAAATTCGTTTAGATTATGCGAGATGGGCGGCGGGCAGAGAAGCAAGTTTTTAATATTTTCTTGATAAATGTTGGCCCGAAAACTATATATTTTTTTTTCAATTGCCTTCACTTTTTTGTTTTGATGATGTCCGAAGGGCAAAGGCCAGAAAAAGGTTTACATTTTGGGAAAAGGAAAGGGAAGACTCGATGGCCTGAGGCCACGGGTAAATGATTTACTTTGACTGCCGGTGAAATGGAGAAGTTCAGCAGGCTGGGCAATAGTTTTCCCCAAAATGTTTAACGAGACCTAAAATCGCAATTCTCATGGCTTCGATGAGTTTGAGACTGCCATATTTAGACATTCAACCGACACGACACACCTGTAAACATTTGGCTCCCAAATAAAGATCTATCGGAGCCGATGGCAGTGTGAAGACGCTGGTTGCATCCGAAAAAAAAAACGCTAGATATCTGTCTGGCGATCGATCTATCAAGATGTGAAGAAGAAGACCCAAGACCAATAATTACCGGATGAGCAGTAATTTCCTACGGGTTACGTTTCAAATGGGCTGGCAGGGCCGTCAAATTAATGACCATCTTGAGTCTTGGGTCTTGTGCGATTTCATTAAGCGATACTGGAGGAATAGGTGGGAGATGGCTCCTATCCGGGCTACCACCAGAACGGTGGCATTTCCCAGAGTCAACTCAATGCCCCATTCCCCATCGCCCAATTGAAGAAAGGGAAAATATTGTCCATGAGTACTTTTCAATTGTTTCCATAGATGGGCCTATAAATCTGGAGAAAGATCTTATATTATTGTAGCACTTGGACTTTCGTTTTTTGTTTGCTTCTCAAGTGGCGGCTCCGCCGGCAATTCCTATAAATCTTTTTGCCCAGAAAAATAAGAAATTTCCATTGTATGGAGCGCTGGGAAAGTCCAAGAGTCGTCATTGTGCATTCGGTTCGGGTAACTGCTCGCGGAGTAGTTGGTGGTCATCTCTGGGCCAGAAGCCCCATGATCTCTGCCTGACACTCGCCCCCTCACTCATTGTGATCGTGTGTATGTGCGGCTTTTGATGATGCTTGAAGAGTTTTAATTGTGCAACGTTTCTTTAGAAATTAAATGCAAGACTCTTGAATTACTTCATAGCTTTCGTTTTCCCTGGGAATGCTCTGGATTCCGTTCGAACGAGCTCACCGCTTTTTTATTTTTATATATTTTTCTTATTTTTCTAGCCAATAACAATAAAGTTTTTTTGCGACTATGCGTTGCGCAAAGCTATGGAAATTTCACTGCGTATTATATAAAGCGAGCCATAAATAAAGCCATCGAATGTCATAAATCCCCCAATTTGTCGACCAATTAATTCAAATGGAGCAGTCTGGCCAAAACGAAGATTAAATCGGTTAAATTTTCACTTTCGCCAGGCGCAGTTTTCGCCTATTACTTTGATTCAGTTAGCTAATCATACCAGAGGATCATCGCCTGCCAGGTAATCCACTAATCTGAGGCCCATTACCGCCACGAATCGCATGTGAAAGTTCAAGTTCCAAGGACCGAAGCGCCAGCTCGTGATCGCAGCCGTTGATAATCCGGACGCATGACCCCAGTCCGAGTACGTGATATCCGTACAAATTATGATATGCCCCTTGCCGAAGATCTCGAGTTGTGGCCACGACATGCACTTGCAACGCACTCGAGGCCCGAACTCTGGCTCCCACACGCCATAAATAAAATGTGGAGGTGGGGGAGCGGCACTTGGGTCGTCATATGCAAATGACCAGCAATTATCAGCCATCAACCGAGAGCGAAAGTTCCACGACATGCCGGCAATTGTAGGGCATTCATACCGATCCCCAGACAACAATGACTTTGTTTCCAACCCAGCAGTTGGTTGGATTTGGTATTGAATATTAGAAATATTCTATTGAACAGAAGTTCTAAAGATTTGTGGTGGTTTTACAATAATAACTTCGAAACTTAAAATATAATATTCATATCTGGCATGTTATCATCAAAATACTGTATTTTTAGAAGTTTTATAATGATTTCTAAGTAATATTTGCAATATTTTATCTAGATTTTAGCCTATAAAATAGTCAAAACAAGACGTAGGGCTAAAAGAAATACTGTTTTGTGCAGCTAACGACCTAAACTTATCATTTCTTTCACTATCCACATGATTGTGTGAAATTAATTTTTTTGTCATTTTTCGCATTTTTGATAAGGGGTACCATCATCCTTTTTTGCGAAAAATGGCCAAAAATTGACATTTTTAGGTGTGGACACAGTTTTATAGGAAATTTAATTACAAACTCAACGAGATATCGCATTCCATGTTCCGACCAAAATACTGACATGATCCGATAAATCAGAACAACGATTTGTATACAAACTCAACTTCAGATTCCAACCATTTTTGGTTGAGCTATGTTGAAATTACTGACTTTTTTGTCGATAAGCCGGGAAAAGACTCGATATATTTTTTACCGACCTGGCACCTTACTAGTTTTCCGCCTTTGCGTGTTAATCTCAGGCGACATGTTTCGCATATGCAAAACAAATGTTGGAAATTTTTCTATTTATTAGAGACGTGCGCCCGCCCTCCACGCGAAGAAAGTTTTAAGTTCGGCCGCAGTGGCACCTGCCAAATAATATTTGAATCGTCGCCTATGTTCGGCGTCGTCTCATGCATAAGGAATTCAGTTTTTGTTTATCGAGGAGCTTCTATACTTTGCATTTGTTGTATACACACAGAAAAATAGTAGCAACGTCAAACGTCTTAAATTGAAATGATTTTTAAATAAGTTATCTTTCTTGGAAAAAATTATTTAAAAAAGTGAGAACTTTGAGTAATTCTCTTGACTAGATTTTTTACTGACTAGCTAAGCCATGCATACTTTTGGGAGCATTCAAATTTTACAGAAAATGCAAGTGAGAATTTCTTAGAGATGATATCATTGCCCAGTGTTTTAAATGTGTAAAATGGAATAGTGGTTGTTGGTTTTAACATGGCTGTTATTAACATTACAGTGGTTGATGTATATACTAAACTATTTATCTAGGATATCTACCAAGTTGTGTACAAAACATTTTCACGATAGATGGCGCCACAATTAGATTTGTAGAAATTGTGTAGAAAATAAATTATTTACTTCGGAAAGTAATGGCTTGAGGTTGGAACTCTTTAAACTAACTCTCTTTTTTATCAATAAACTGCGTTATTAACCTGACAGGGGAAGAAAAAACACGGATTTTTGTTTTGTTTTAAACATTTTAATTGAATTAATTTTGTAGTGCATGAGCTGCTATAAATAAATAATTACAGTACGTTATAAAATAAAATTACAATAGCTTCTGCCGCGTGGTTCGGTTCGGTTAGAAGCGACTTACGTGATAATGATGCCCTACCAAAGGACCCAACCGCCGTCGAGTCCCCTTAATTAATATTGTTTAGGACTAAAGCTAAGTGTAAATGTTATGCAATAATTTAGAAAATTATGTACAGCAAATGGGAATAAATTAGGAGTCCAATCGATTAATACGTTACATGAGCCGTGACTGCAACAGTGATCTCTGGTTAATCACATTCACTAACTAGATTTTAGGGCTAGGCTAGGCTAGGCTAGGCTAGGCAACGCTAAGTGTAAGATTACGATTATGACAATGGAAGTGCTATATCAGTTTCTGGTTCAGTGGTTGCTGTGCGGGCAGGTGGAGGTAAATGGTGGCAACTGGAATCGTTGCTCGGGTTATGGCTGATCTGATCCGCCGATCTCTCCATAACCGGAGCACGAGTCCGAGTTTCAGTTGGATTCCGATGCCGTTTTGTGGGGAAGACGTGCTAGGCATTCACTAAGGATCAGGCCTCTGCGGCATTTAGAACTGCAGAATCTGGTTGATCCAGTCCCGGAACTCAGAGATGCGGGTGTAAACGCCCGGCTGGTTGGCCTCCGCACAACCAATACCCCATGAGATAACACCTCCAAGCTGGAATCGCTTATCCGACTCCCTTTGTAGCACCATTGGGCCACCGGAATCGCCTGAGGGAAGACAGAGTGGTTTACAGAAGTGCTATTTAAACTCTGACCATTACTCACCTTCGCAGGAGTCATAGCCGCCCTTCTTCCACCCAGCGCAGATAAATATGTGCGGTATGTGCTCGATGTAGCCCGCAGAGCGGTACATGGACTCGCAGATGGTATTATTGATTACGGGCACGGCCACCTCCTGCAGCACACTGGGCAGGGGTCCATCCTCATAGAGGCGGCCCCAGCCGGTGACGAAGGCAGTCTGGCCAATAAAGTTCTCATCGTTGTCGGGCACGCAAACTGGGATGATGTTGGGCTGGAAGACCACGGGCTCATAGAACCTGTTGAAGAAACGGAAGTTGTAATTAATATTCCCTCTTAGGTGCGACATAACTTACCTCAGCAGAGCCAGATCGTATTCGAAAGTACGAGGATCGAATTGAGGATGCGAGGCGACGATCTGCACACGTCGCTCCTGGTAGCCGTAGGGCTCTTCCTCCTCCGCCAGATCGTATTCGCCCAGGCGCAGCAGGAGATCAGAAGGTGGCACACTGAAAAATAAATATTATGATTACTGGAATTTGGAAATGCCATCGGTTACTCACTTGTCCACGCAATGAGCAGCCGTAATTGCCCAGTTCTCGTTCAGCAGGGCAGCTCCGCATTTGTGAAGGTAAGTAGAGGTACGCCACTGACGCAGTGAGATCTGCCAGGGCCAGCGTCCGAAGGCGGCATTAGCTCCTCCAACGATCCTGGGCTCGGGGAACATGCGACGACCGCAGACTAAGAAACAGAAAGAAGATTCAGAGTGGGATCTTGGTTAATAGGCCTGCGCCAGGTCACAATTAAAGTAATGGGCTCGCCAGGGCCTTAAACATTTTAATCACTCCGCCTGGCACTCAGTCATTTCGGCCCAAATGTAATGTGCTTTGGCCAAGGAGGCGCAGCAGCAGACCCAGTCCTTGACTTTGGCCAGCCGCAAGGCAGGCAGTCAACGGCCTACTTTATGGCCAGCAACTTGTCTTGGCCCGAACCGAACCGATCCAAACCGAACTGCACCGCACCGCGACTCGTTTCGATTCGTGTATCAAGATTGCCTTTTGCCGCCGCAAATCGGTCAACGGGCTGCAGGGGGAGGAGGGAAGTGCGGATTGCATTGGCGTGGTTTTCGGTTTTGGGCTTTGGCAGACGACCGACAACGTGACCCATGCGGCACAATGACCGACGCGATCCCATACACGATGCAGTCATTATGGTAAATGATTGCTGTAAAAATTGTTGTGGACTGCGTCTAGCAAAAGTCCTGCTTAGGAGTGGTCTTGCACGGTGAGAAAATATCACATTAAATTGAATGTAATACTTAAAATTACAAATTAGTATAAAGATTCTGATTTAAAAGGTTCGATTCCCAAGAATACAAATTCGCATGATAATAAAGATCACATAAAAATGATTGATAACTTCAATAATTGCAACTAATTTGATTTTACTTTCTCCCTGTGTAATCATTTATGAGCTGGCTCAGGACAGCATCTCGGAAGATGTCTCCGCTTCTTGGTCTTCAGTCCGACCACGCTCAAGGCCAGCGTTTAGCCTTCAAATTGAATTTAATGGCCACGCACGTTGGCTTTGTCTTATGGCCAAAGTCAGCCACGAGGTATTAATAGATTTCTCCCGGGAGGAAACGGGTTTTCTCAGCACTCACCTTCCTTGTAATCGACGCCCTCCAATGCATTGGCGGGTGCCACGGTGGTGCTGCCTGTAGCCTCGATGGTCGTTGTGTTCGGTTCTTCGCCGCTATAATCGGTGGTTTCAGCTGTGGTTGTTGGGCTGCTGGTGGTGCTAGCACTGCTGCTGCTGCTGCTGCTGCTGCTGCTCGATGCCACCTCACTGCTGAGATCCGTGTAAGATGATGTAGATGAGGCTAATTCTATGCTGCTCGATGGTGCCTCTGTGGTTTTTTCTGTTGTTGTTGTTGGTGCTGCCGTGGTTGTTGTTGTTGTCTTTGTTGTGGGCTTGGCTGGGATAGTGGATATCGGTGGCTTTGTGGTCTTGTGCGGCTTGCCAGGACCATGAGTCTCCACTTCACTGACGCTGGTGGCCACCGAGATGACCACTTTGTCGGTGGAACTGGGTGGTGCTGTGAAAGGAGAGAAAAACAGGCATTAGTTTCGCTCTCGAATGTATTTCCTTTGCTTATTGTAAGACTCACCTGCTGTTGCCGATGTTTTGTTCGTTATCTCTGGTGCTTGGGTGGATAGTGCCACCCAGTTTGGAGGCGGTGCTGGCTGCCAATCGTTTGAAATGCTGGCATTGGTCGGTGGCTCAGCCTCCACATCTGTCCATGTGATCAGGCCGGTCTTTTTGGTGGTTGTTGTTAAGGGTGCAATGGTGGGTGCCTCGGTGGTGAGCAGTGGCTTTGCAGTAGTTGTTGTTGTGGTGCTGGTTGTTGCCTTGGTTGTGGTTGTTGTAGCCTTTGTGGTGGTTGTTGTTGGAGCTTTTGTTGTGGTTCTCCGCGTAGGTTTCGGCGTTGTGGTGGATGTAGTAGTGGTTGTTGGTGGTGATGCAGTGGTGGTGGTTGGCTTCCTTTTGGTCACCAAAGGAGTGGTGCTACTTGCTGGCGACTTTGAAGGACTAGTGCTGCTGGATGAATCTGTTGTCAGGGTGGTTGTTGGTTCAGCAAGCAGAGCAGGCACTTTGACAATTTCCCCGGTGGGTTTTGGTTTGGGTCGCGGAGCTTGGGTGGTGCGCTCTGGCAACCTTGTGGTGGTCCGGTTCTTCGTTACTTCATCTTTGAACACACTGGTTGTTGATGTTGAGCTCGACGTGCTGATGCTACTACTGCTGCTGCTGCTGCTGCTGCTTGTCTGAATGACTGGCCTGCGAGCTGGCAAAGTTGTGGCTGAGGTGGCATTCGCTGAGGTGCTGCTACTGGCTAGACTGTCTACCGGCTTCCGTGTGGATTGCGTTCCACTGGCGGTGGTTGTTGTCGCATTTGTAGGCTTTTTCGCAGGCGTTGGCCTCCTGCTGGAATGCGTCTTATGCGGCTTAGCTGTGGTGGTTCGAAGCGGTGGTGTGGGCCTTTGGGTGGTAACTGGTGCTTTTGTTGTTGTTGTTGTTGTTGTGGGTGGAGCAGCCGTTGTAGTTGTGGTGGTGGTGCTAGTTGTTGTTGTTGTTTTGCTGGTTGTCCTGCTGGCTACTGAGCTACTCCCCGTTGGCCTTGTGTGCCGCCTGGTCGTTGTTGTTGTAGTCTCCTGCTGATGTGTGGGTTCTGTCACGGGTGGTGTCGTCGTCTCCACAATTTGGAAAGTCACAAACTTGGTGGGTATAGAGGTGGTTTCAATGCGCTGCTCCACTATCGCAGCGGTTGTCAGCACCGGTTTGGCGGTTGTGGTGCGACGGCGTGGCGGCTTAATAGTTGGATTCAACGTCGTGGTCGGAACCACATTGGGTTTTAGAGTGGTGCGAACCACGAAGTGTGAGTTTTTGTGTGTGGTGTGTGCCATCGGTGGGCGGCGAGTGGTTAAGAGAGAACTGTTGCTAGTGGTGCGAACAGGTGCAGGCTTGGCAGTGCTCAGGTAGGATTGGGTGACGTTCTTGAGCAGCTCGTTGGTGGTGTGGTGGTGGGTGGTGCTGCTACCACTGCTACTGCTGCTGCTGCTGCTACTGCTACTGCTGGATAAGCTGCTTTCGGTGGTTAACTTGAAGAGGGCGCTGGTTGGTAGCGTGGTGGACTCGTGGGCAAAGTGGGAAATGGTGTTCTGGTCAATGCTATTGTCGTTGATCTCTGGAGCGAAGAGGGAGGCTTCCTCCTGGGGATTTAAAATAAGGAATTATTGGCACCCAAAGAAGGTTTTGTAGGTGCTAATTACTCACCTTCATGGCACAGCACGAGCCAAAGTAAAACCGATCAATGCAGGTGCCCAGGTGCGTGCCATTCTGCTTGATGCAATCGATGGCAAACATACAGACTCCCGAACGTCCCGATTTGCGAACGATGCAGGGCAGATGACGGATATTTCGACCAGATTGGACTGTCAATAGGAAGATAATTACCAGAACAATCAGTATAATGGTGGCACAGAACAACCATCATAATTATAATGACGATAATGATTGGGGGATAGGGAACAAAGCAAAAACGACTTCTATTCTGGTTCCACCGACTCGAATCGACTGCTCCACACCATTTCCGTTTGCTGCGGCGATTAACGCCTTCGAATTTGTACGCCAATTTGAGCCCAGGCCTATACCGTTAGGCAAACAGTTAAGACAAGTGAAAATGAAGTGGCAACAAACGAAGACACGAACATGGCTACGAACACGAACATGAACCAAAAGCCAAAGTCAACGCCAAAAGCCCAGCACGAGGAGAACCCATAAAAGCCCCCAGATCGCTGAAGGGCGTCATCATCACCCGGCCAAAACATACACATAAGACCGCCCGATGAGGCAACAGTAGCCCATCCGCATTATTGTTATTTATTTATGATTTCTGCTTTTCTGCGGCAGACCCTGCTACTTCTTTAAGAACCGCCAACATCGTCGTCTTCATCATCATCTTCATTGTGTAATCGAGCCGAGAATTATCCGAGAGCTCGAGCTTTGAACTTATATAATTACAGGCAGCAGCACGGGGCCAAGAGTTATTTGTGTTTTGGGGCTCTGACAAATCGCGGCCAGGGACGAGAGAACTTGCAACTTTAAGAGTGTCCGAAGAAAGCGCAGTTGGCGATCCTGATATCCCCCTTTTGGCCATAAATTAACTTAACAAGCTTAACGCTTAAAATACTCGCACATAAATAAGCCACTTTTTGCTGCTAAATGCAAGGAAAACAAATTGAGTATCGTTTAAGCAAAACGATTTCTTAAATACCTTTCTGGAAAGCATTATAGAAGGTGCGAACTTCGGATTTAAATTTCATTTTGGATTTTATAGACTATCAATTACTCATTTTCGGTAGAACTTTTGAGAAGTAAGTCTTTATAAACGCTGCTTAAAATAATAATTTCTTCTTCAAATATTGAAAGTAAAATCGTAACTTATTTTTAATAAATTCAAAAGGCAATTTGTGGAGTTAATCTTAAAGCAACCCAAACTCAATGATATTCCCGCCCTTGTGAAGGGTATTCGAATAAATATTGCCAACTGCCTTTTTGGTGTTTTGCGTTTATTGAACTTTTGGCCGCAAAGTGTCGCGCATTTCTTATGCAATTAACACGACATTTTGGCCTGAGCTCTCCCGGGCATTTGAGTTTCCGTGCCCAGAAAGGCGGCCCAAAAAAACAGATGACTCAAGACACGAACTTGCGAGCAGCAGAGCCTAAAAACTGAAAATCAATCCATCGAAAAGTGGATTCAGTACGAGACATTGTCACGTTCCATAGATCGTGGCCAAGACGCCGGCAGCGGTTCTGTTTCTGTTTGCATTTCGTTTTGTGGCTTTTTGGGTCAACAGCTTAGCATATGTTTCGCTAGCCACTCGCCTGGCCTACCAAATAGCCAGAATCGAAGGTGGCTTGATGGAGAGGAGGAAGGTAGGAAATGTGGTGGCTCAGACCCGCATTGCAATGTAGGAAATTCGTTTTTGGCATGCGAATGCGCGGCAGCACCTTTTCGTGGCCCGATTGTGGGTGAGTGGCGCAGCGGTTAAGTGGGTCAGAACCGAGCCGGGCTCGGTTCGGTTCTGTTCGATCTCCGGGTTTGTTTGTCTTATTTCCCTTTCACTTGCCATCAAATTTACTTTCCGCTTTCTGCAGCCGCCTCTTCCCGTCTCCGGGTATCTGACTGTTTGTCTCTCTGTCTGTCTGTCTGCCTGTCTGCCCGACTGTGTGTATCCATATTATTTATATTTTCTTTGTTGCCGCTGCGGTCCAGTCAGAAAACATGAAATGTTAGCCGGCCCCGGCACACGCTTTCTTGGCCAGAGTCTTGGCCAGTTCGAGTATGATTCCGATTCCGAATCCGATTCCCGGTCCGCGTCCGAGTGTCCAAGTCGGACTGGCCTGACTGGCGGCAGTGGTTGCTTATTTTATGGCAACATTCTTTGATGGCTGACCTCAATTGCTTTTGCTCGCTGACGTTTGGCCAGTTTGGCTCTTTGGCCAGCCAGTCAGTCAGTCAGTACGCCAGTCAGGCAGTCAGCTTCGGTTTATATGAAAGTTTTGTAGTTTTATTTTCATCTCTCCGCTGGCCGCTAAAAAGGCTGCGCTTTGTTGTCTTTCGGCAGACAAATTGGCAGCTGTGCGGCGCTGGAGAGGAAGTGCTAATAGCGTATAAATTTGATTCTTAATGGCTGTGACCCAATTAATCTTCGTTCCCGGCAACGCCTGTCTCTATTGTCATTAATTTTGATTACTTTCATTAGAAATGCTCTGGCTATGGCTCTTGCTCTTCTGTGGCTGTTTCTGTTCTCATTTTGGTCTCACTGTGAACGCGTTCGTCGCTAAAGTCTTTTGTTTTCAGCTACTAAGCTCTCGTCTTTTTGGCAATAAAGTTTATTGCCGGCAGCAGCTGTTATCGTGAGATGGTTGTTTATGAACAAGAACTTTAACTTTAAACATAATTGTCGAAGCATAAAGGTCAGAAACTTTGTTAAGTATTGTAAAATTTCTGTAGGTTTTTCTATGATTTAAATCTTGGTTTTATCAAATTAGTTATCTGCCACGAATTTATTATTTATGAACGGAACGATCTTAATAAAGTTAAAAAACTGGTTTAGTTTTATAGATTCTTAAACCGCATTTCTCCAATCGTTAACCATTTCTTAATAAGTTTTATTTTGGTTGATATTTGCAATGCTCTTTGTGCTACTTGGAAGCTCTGAAAATTTTGATTTTCAGTTTTGTTTTTTTCCAAAGGAGATGAATCACGCGTTGCATTGTTCTTGAAACAATTTGGGTTATGCCAGACTTATCTTCCCATACTTACTACATCAAACGTGCTTATTATATTTTCTTAAGTTTCTTTTTGGCTTCTGGTTGAAGGTGCGGCTACTTGGGATCTGCGTTTAATTCCATTGTAATCACTGTGGATGCTACCCCAGACCGTGGCTACCCGAAAGAGAAATAACATTTAATTGTCTACGTGAGAGAAAGTGCTGGAGTTCTTGGGAAACAAAGTAGAAGAAAAGGCAAGATGGGATCGGTATCTAAATCTTCCCGCTGAGTAATTCCAGCTAAGTGAGAGCGTCAATTGCTTGACACCCATAAACTTGATTGGACCGATGATTCAATAAGGGAAGTGAGAGTGGCACTTACACTGTGCTAAGCTGGGATTATCCACGAAGACTGGAGTGGCGTCTATCGTCAGCAGCATCAGACTGACCAGTGTGAGGAGGATGAAGACAAGGCTGGGGCGTGGCATCTTAGCTGGGGTTATCGCTGATGCTCTATTTTTGTTGGGGGTCAGATCTGAGACTTCTACCGCCCTGGCTGCTGTGTATGTATAGGTGTCTGTATCCGTGTGTTGTTCACCCATCTGCAAAAAGAGAGTAAAAATGTTAGTCTTCTGCTCTGCATATGAGTCATGTGAAATGTGAAACGTTTTTACGGCCCTATTCAAATTGATCACCAAACTTATCCATAATTTTTTCTACACCAAACCAATGGGCACGGCCCAACAACCACAGAGACAACAACAATAAAGAAGCGGGCGAAACCGAGGAAGCAACAAGTGCGTAGAAGCCGCTGACTCAAGTAGGTGAAAGTCTGTCTTCGGTGACTTGCATATGCAAAAAAAAACCCAGGGCGTATGTGTAATATGCCGGACTGCTTGTTTAGTCATGCCTAAAATGCCCCAAATGGAAAGCAAAAGTGTGTGCATAGAAAGCGACCCAAGCGGGAACCATTTAACTGATTGTATAATCTGTCCAACGTTTATATAACCGTACGGAAATGCATTTTAACCCCCGTGAGTTCAAATCGCATTCCCAGGGCCAGGTTGGTCGTGTGGTGCCAACAGGTTCTCATAGACCAGCTCAGATACGAGTTCAACACACGCCTAATTGAGCCGGAGTTCGAACTGGCAAAGAAAGTTCAGAGCTGGAAAATGTACAGAAATGATGACATAAACCGGAGCAATCAAAGAAAGCGAACCAATAACTGGCGACAGCAGAATGATGATGATGAGTTGGCTGGAGTTAACTGGACCTGCTCCGGGATCCGATGACAAGGCGCGTCTATATCTCGCATACTTATGCCCATGCCCGGAGGCCTATCTTGCGGTGACAACACATTCATTGATCGACAACACATTCTATTCTATGGTGTTCTGGGTTCTGTGTTTGGTTTGCTTGGTTTCTTTGGGCTCTTTCTTTCAGTCACGATTTTGCAGCGTTGAGAAATTAGCTGCGTTTGGCGCTGGAAGGGGGCAGAGATAGAGTAACTCTCATTGTTAGCACGACTCTTCTGGGAGTTGCGTAATACGGTCGTTGAACCTGGCAACAGAGCAACTTGGACCGCAGCTCAGTAAATAGCTTTAATTAAGCCCGAATGCTAAATCCGTATCAAGAATCCGTAATCAAGAACGGAAGCCATAAAACATATCTATGCAGGCGGATTGCTTCAATTAAATGCTGGAATCGAACTAGTACCAGTACTATAAACACGATCTCAAGTCCAGTTCCACGATTGTTTGGCTTTTCGCAGCCTCAAAAATGTTGGCCAGCTATTTGTGTATTTGGGTCACGTTCAGACCATATCGGTATGCGTATCTGTATAATTGTGTTGGCGTTGGCTGTGTGTGCAAATTAACATGAATTTCTGAGCGATAACCAGAATGCCTGGGAAGAGCGAGATGTGTTGTGGCCGGATCTGGGTCAGAAGCAGCGGATGATTTGCATGATTTCCATCGGTTTTCGTCCGGGGCTGTCCCTCCAACTTCAGTTCCAGCTCCAGCTACACCTCGCTTTATGGGCAATTAAGTAATTTCCACTCGCGACTCGATACAAGTGACAATTTCATTTGCTCGTTAAAAGTGAAATTACAATTTGTTTTGTTTGTTATTAAAAATACATTTTGCAGCCGCGTTTGCCCTGCGTAAAAGCGAAAGCCAACGAATTTCTTTGTGGCTTTACTTTTAGTATTTACTTAAAAGAAAAGTGAAATGCCAGCAACAGCAACAGCAACAGCAGCAGCAGCAGAAGCAACTTGTAATTTCAAATGCTGAACAAAAGAATTATGCCATTTGCTGTGGAACGGCTAGTTGTTCGTCAAAAGAAACCACATACACACCGGTTACTACGTTTCTAGTGTAATCAAATAAGAAGTGCGTCTCGCTTGGCGCTGCTTTCATTTCTGCTTACCAAAAACAGAGCTCGGAGAAATTTTGTTTGTATGTTTTATAAACTTTTTTTCATTTTTTTTTTCGTATTGTGTCCACTCAGCTGCGGGCTGCCATGGCTCAGCGATTTGGTATATCTCTGGGCTACCCAAGTGGCGGCCAAGGGAGCTCGGTACCAGTTCATTAGTTCATGAAACGAAAGACTCTGGCCACAAACTTAATGGCCAGGCGGGCGCATCGCCTGTCGTTGAGGGCTGGCTAATTGTTTCGGCAGCTGCAATCGCAGGTTCAATGCAACCATCAACGGCAATTTCTCAATTGCAAATGCCGAATGCAAATTACAATAATTACGCCAAGTGATTTTATGCTACTCTACGCAGCCTCATCCTATCATCCCATCAGCATCATCATCATCATCGACCTGGCAGGAGATCTGCCCAGGCAAACCTGTATAAACCAGAGCGGCCCCAGAACGTGAAATGCAAATAACGCAACAGGCATCCTACTGCCAGATCATCTGTGGCCGCAAGACAAACGTGCTCGTCCCCCCTTCCTCGTCATCTCTGCTTTTGAGTGCGTTTTAGACCAAAGACAGGCGGACTGGCAGGCCTCCAACAATAAGGAAGAGCCATGTGTGTTTTACACATAGTCGACCGGTTGGTACTCAGCTAAAGATATTTGTTAACTAAAGATGGACTAAGAACTTAGACTGCATTTTCTCAATCTAAGTCTCTTTCAAATCTTCCAAACTAACTTGTATATTGATCTTCTTTTGTGTCAAGACAACAAGATTCATTAAAGAATCTCGGATATCAGACAGCTTCCAGCTTAAGGTAAGTTATCCTAATCACTTGGAAGGAGCCCAACCAGTCTATCCAACCCATGATACCCTCTTGTGGGCATTGGCATAACCACTATCAGACCAGTTCTTTAAACCGAAAAGCAAAAATCGTTTGCCAAGTTGCAGAGGAGTAAGAGGATGAACCACTGGCAGAGGAAGCTGGAGAAGGCAAAGTTCTGCTCTTGCCTTTTCTCAACAGCAAAAAAGCAGCAAAAGCAGAAGCAGTCGCAGAGCAATTGAAACACTTGTACTAAGCTGCCGCTGACGCTGCTGCTGCTGCTGTTGTGGCGGCTGTTGCCAACTCTTGTGGCAGGCTCACTTTGGCTCGCTTGCACTTTACAGGAATTTCAATAAATTTTACAGAAGGAGCGACTTTTGCTTTGGACTCGTTTTTAAGCTTTGGCCGTGTTTGCGGCGCTTGAACTTGTTGCTCTTGTTTTGCTGCCTCTGCTGGTGCAGTTAGTTGCAGTTATGCGCATCTATCGGATGTATCTTTGTATCCCAGCATCTGAATCTGTATCTGTATCTGAACGTGAAACTGCATCTGTATCTGTATCGGTATTTGTGTGCCCATAGTGAGTTGGCGCTTAATTGACTTGTACGCGGTAGAAAGTGCACAGCTACTTTGGGCCAAAAGCCGGCTTATCTGGCGGATGCGTATCTTAGTCTCGGATCTTTTGCATTTACTTGCGTTGGCAGTGGCCAAGTAGACGCTGTTCGTGGTTCGGTTCACTGCGACCAGCTATTTTGGGTCATTTCTTTTAATTTGCTGTTACCATATGAGTGTTATTATAACTCTTATAGCATCGTGGCTGGTTCGTTTTATGAGTTTCTTCACTTTTGACTTCTTTGTTTGTTTGACACTGGCTCTTTTGGCCTTTTTCCGGAATTCTACCTTTTCTTGTTGGTTTCTTTTTTTTGGTTTTATAAGAAAAAAATCACACAAAGCACTGTTAGCCGGCTGGGAAAATCTTTGTTTCCCAAAATTCGTTTCCTTTCTTCCTACGTTATTGTATTCTCTTGCACTTGAACTTGCCTCGGGACTTTGGGTCAGGCCAATTATTTCACTAACACTAGCACACGGAGTCGTTTTGGTCCCCGCACACACACTCGCGGAAGACGGAAGACGAGCTGGAAGACCAAGTTAAGAGCGCGACAAGTTGCGCACGTCTGCCGAGTGGGGCTCACACAAAAGATCCACAAACCAGGTGAGACCAGGTGAAGTCGCTGTCGCTGCCGCTGCTGCTTCTGCTGCTGCCGGCGTTGACTGAGATTTGGCCACGCCGCTGCAGAGCTGAAGAACTTGGTAAGGCGAAATTGGTAAGTAAGCTCACTCTCTCGCTCGCTCCGGCTCAAAGGCAAAGCCAAAAGCCAAAACCAAAAGCCACCAACATGTGCGCATGCGTGCAGTCGGCGTCGGCTGCGCTACGCGCATAACGGTTTCCATTAAGGCCAACACCGAGAACGGCCAAAAGCTAGGCGCTTTTTCTGTGTTTTTCTGTTTCTTATTCAAATGAACCTCTCTCTCTTTTGGCCACCTCTCTCTTTTCTATTTTTTTTTGTTTTTTGAGGCGGCTCACAGCTGATTGGCGGCCAAAGGTGTTTGGCGGGGGGTGGTGGGGGTTGGTTTTGGGGCTAACAGCGCTTTCACATTAAAATAGCAAGAAGCAGACAAACAACAGAGCGGCCAACAAGCACACACACATCTACATATGCATATATACATATACACTGGCTTTTTCTTTTAATATTTTGTGGTGCAAATGAGTTTGTTTTTGCTGCCGCTTGCCATTCTTTGTCACCTGTGTAAGTGTGTGGGCCGCCGTTTGTTTGTGTTTTAATTTATGCACGTCGTCAGGTTAAGAAAGTCAATCTTTATTGTGGTGGAGTTTACAGGCAAACCAGTTCGCTGATAAGAATTGCATGGTGACTTCTTTTATTTTGGAGAATTCGTCACAGCATCTTGTGGGAAAGAACTTATTAGATTGTAAACTTCCAGCTAAATATTCACTTCCTATGTATTGACTTTAGAATTAAGTTTAATATTTATGTGGAAATCCTCTTCAATTCATCTATCAAATGCACTCTTTGCTGTAATTTGTATTTGTTTCATAAGATCATCACAAGCACTCATCATTAGGGCTTATGAAAAAGCCATTTAACTGCCAAAGAAACCCAATTATAAATCACACACAAATCGCGTCTCACAACATCTTTGTTTAATGAACCAAACAAAACAAAACGCACAATTAACCATCCAACCACTGACTGACTTGGCGATGACGCGTGTCTTTGGCCGTTCCTTGAACTCGAGAGACCTTGACACTGGCGCTGCTCCACAGCAACTGAGGACTGGAAACCCAAGCGATCCCCGATTCTTTGGTCAAATGGCCCAAAGAAGTGGATGCCAATGTGGATGCTAAGAGCGGAGAGTCAATAAAACTGGTAAGAGAGAGAGCAGCTGATAAGCTCCTTCATTACCTACTGTCCCGGGTATCTCTCCTCCCGTTGATTATGTTATTGAATTTTGATGGCCCAGCAATCCACATGATGCCCAATGATGATATTGGTTACTGGTTACTGGTTAGTGGCCAGCGGAAGTTGGTCTCATTAGAAATTCAGCTCAGGCACGGCATGTGGCACCTGTTGCATGGTCATAAACCCAGTTACTCTATCTTTGGACCTTTCAACTTATCTCAGTCACCGAAGATATCTCTGTTTGTTATTCGTGTCTTTTGTGCATTTCTGGCTGATGTTTGCTGCCTCTGTTTCTTATTTGTCTAACAAGATAAATACAGATTCCAATCTATTTTGGAATTGTTAGGTTGAGGTTTGTCTTGACATGGATGAAATGCTGACTAAAAGTATGCAATGCATTTTTACTTATTCAAGACACGAACCACCAACTATTGGTATGATCGAGCCAAACATCATGTCAAACTTTCGCTGTTGTGTCTTAAAATAGGAATAAACAAAAACAGAAAAAAAAATTGAATACAAAGGTTCGTCCCTCGTTCATTTCCCCCAAAAACTCGATATTAATTTTAATACTTTTTTATTTGTAATTTAAAACATAATTAAAGTTATAAATATATAAATGTAAGTGAAAGTGGATCTCAAATGTAGGAATCTTTCGTCGAACAGTGAATAATAAATATCGAAAACTTAAATCGAATGCGTGGAATGCAATGAGAAACGAGTGGAAGGCGAAAGGATCAACCGAAGTGAGCTGATGTGGAGGGCAGGGATCAATGGGAAGTGGAATATGGGTAAAATAAATACAAGGCCCCATTGGCCTTGGTCTTATACACTAGCAACCCCGAGTCGTAGAGGAATCACATGGCCTAGCTAACGGGATGCATCTCCGCAGCGGACGCACACGACTGCAGGACTCCTCGAGCGGTGACTGCAGTCTTCCGGTTCTGGTTTCAGTGGTGCAGTGGCGCCTACGCATTGTCATTGGCCATGACCTTGTTAATCCAGGGCACGAAGCGTTGGATGTTGGTGTAGACGCCGGGCAGATGCTCCCTCCCACAGCCGATACCCCAGGAAACGAGTCCGATCAAAGTCTTGCGACCATCCATGGTCAGCGTTAGCGGCCCGCCGCTGTCGCCTTGGCAAGAATCCCGCCCGCCATCCTTGTAGCCTGCGCACAGGAAGACCTGGAAAAGAGTTTCTGGTTAACATCTCTCGTTTTTAAGAAAATAATCTATTTAACTCACATCATGGATGGCCTCTCGTCGCCCTGCTGCACGGAACCATCGCTGACAGCGATCGTTGGAGATGACCTCCACATCAACTTCCTGCAATACAGAAGGTACTGTACTCTGCCCATGTCGAGTTCGCCCCCAGCCCGCAACGGTGGCCATTTTGCCTGTCAGTTTCGTAGACGAAGGTGGCAGGCAGACGGGTATGATGTGCTGCTTGTAGACCACATTCCTATCCAAACGTATCAGGGCTACGTCGTTCTTAAAGTCGGCGGGATTATAATGGGGATGAACCTCTTTCCTTTCAATGCCATATTCTTCATGATTCAACCGCTCCTCCTGGCCACGAACATCCCACTCGCCCAGGCGAATCTTCATGTTTGAGTTGGGAGTGCTGGATGGCAAATGAATGTATTTTTAGTATATATGAAAGTCTCTCTGATTGCTTTTCACACTTACGAAGCTACACAATGAGCAGCCGTGACTACCCATCGATTCGAGATTAATGCTCCGCCGCAGCTTAGTTTTCTGGTGAGGAATCCACTCTTGATCAGCGCCACCTGCCAGGGATGGGATCCGAAGCCCGTGGAATGTCCGCCAACAATGCGATTGGATCGTGTATATACCTCGCCGCAACCTGGTAATGAAGAGATGGACAAGTTATTACAAAGTTCAAATCAAGGAAACCCTTAAAAGATCACCAAAGTAAGTAATGGAAAGATCTACAGAATCTAAGAGAACAATAGGGTGAGTGGTGACAGAGTGGGTGAGTGGTTGTGTGGTGCATCTCAAAGGAAAACCAATTGCAGTGGTGCCAGAGAAGAGAGAGTTTGTGAGATTGCTTTGTACCCGGCACTGGACGATAGCTGGCATCGTGGTAGCCACCACTGCTTCCACTTTGGTATTCGTCGGCCGCCTCGCCTGCATTAAGGTCCAAGACATTGCCCACCGCAAAGGCCTGGGCGTTGGGAAGTGGTTCGTGAGGCGGTGGTGCGCCGGAGGAATCCAACGGAGTCGGGGATTCGGCATCGAAGAAGCTGTCCAGATGGTTGGTTATCCCATTGATGGATCCCAAGTGCCCGCCATTACTTTCATGCTCCCAGCTATTCAGGCCAGAGGAGGAGGAGGATGGTCGGCTGGATCCCCCACTGGAGCCTGGCTTGTAGGGATTTGAACCGCTGTAGAGGGTTGGTCGCTTGGTGCCGTAGTAGTTGCTGCTGGGATAAGCTGGTCGTGCGGAGGAGGACGCCGTGGATGATGTGGATGGGCCCGCTGACAGGCCGTTGCCACTGTGGTGGTGCAGGTGGTGTTGCGGCTTGTTGGCGTTCGTCGACAGGTCGGGATAAATGTCATGCAAGTGTATTATGTCGCCTGTGTGTGAGAATGATGATTCAGGATGATGGTCTGACCACCGATTCCGGAGTTCATGGAATGGAGTCGGTGTCAGACTTTCCCCAAAAAAACTAACCTAGTGACTGGCAAGCAATCATAATAAAAAGTGGAGACCCTAGACACGATTGCGATTATGTCAGTACAGGTTGGGGCCCAGACTGGTCAGTTTGGCCATTAAGACAAAGACTGGGTCTTTCGCACGTAATTCAAACCAATCCGAAAGCCATTTCGGGGGAGACACAGAACGGCGTCATGATTAACACTTTCGAGGAGCTCGGCCCGATTCGGGTATGCCGTAACTTTGTCGCTGTGATTTTTCCCACATTTGAAAGCAAACAAAATAATAAAGATCTCGGAGGAGCAGGGGCAGGGGCAGGGCCGGGCAGGGCAGGGTGCCTAGCCGAATTAAAACAAAGAAAGAAAACCAAAAATTTCACTTTTAAATGCGAAAACGTTCACCTTCGTTTATTTCCGCAAGTGAGTTTTGCCCATTTCGGGGGTTGGCTCTGATTTTTTTTTCGGCTTTATCATTGTCGCCAGACGTCTTGGGAAAATTTTACACATGAACTACCAAAGAAAGCACGCAGAACCCGCTTCTTTATAGGCTTCGTGGAAATGTTCAGCCGAAAAGTGGGGAAGCAAACTCTCAAAATTAAGTTAAATTGCGGTAAAAGAAAAGGTTGAAGTCAAGATTGATGTGCCTATGAAAAGCGGCGGCAACAGAAAGAAAGAGACGGTGGAAAACAAAATTTTCCACTAAGAATTATTCATAACATGTTGTAATGCTTTGTTATTGTTCAGGTTGCTTTTATGTTTGTAATGTGCGCATTCGAAAAAAAGAAGGCAGAAATCTAGAAAACTAAACAGAGCACAACAAAATAGCTGCGGAACAGCTGAAGAAGGAAAACAGCAACTTAAACTAGCCAAATAAATAAAAAAACCTGCGTGTGTGGCATAATATAACTGGCTATGCCTCTTCTCCGAAGTCTTCTAGCTGAAGTTATTGCCGAATTGGTAATTGCGATTACGATATAACCAATGCACTTGATGGCAAACCAATTGATCCATAAACTGGTGAAGTCTATGTTTGGCTTTTTGGAATGTGAACGTTTGAAGGAAAGGTTTTGAACGAAATAACTAATATGTGTTTTTAATCATTTTTCTTAACGGTTTGGTTTTAATTATAATATGAAATAGAATAAATGATTGATCTTTGAGAGAGTTCTACATTATACTGAGTATCAGAAAGTATAAAATACTTTAATTCAAGATATCCAATCATTATCATTAACAGAGGAGTTCCAAATATCTATATCCATCTCATTGTTGACTTCTGTATCTGGCTTATATCTTCTGTCCAATATTTGGTATATTCCCCTTTGAATTAACTTGTTCTCCGCTATTTTGTTGTATTTCCCCGGACAAGGCCCAAAGGCTCTCGTTTGTGTATATCTGCACAGAGCAATTTGTTGTCATTTTCGAAATGCAAGCTAATTTATAGCTCTATTATACGAAACCGAGTTGCATAACTCGAAGCGCAGCAATTTGCAATACGTAGGGAACGACGCGGGGGAAAGCAGGAGGCGAAATGTCTTTCAGAATCAACTGATTGTCTGGTTTTTGGGAATCGGTTTGAGGGGAAGCATGTGAATGTTGGGTCAGGCTATACTCACTCGTGTTGTTAACCGGGGCGGCATGCGGACTCTCCTCGGCGTCGAGATCTTTGTCCACGCAACACGACCAGATCATGCCGCCGGAGCAAAGATCCAGGGGCTTGCCGCCGCCCAAGACACATGAGATGGACAGGCCGCACTCGAACTTGTGGCCACGAAAGCGGCACGATTGCGGTATCACTGTAAAGACAGGGGCGATGGGGGAACGAAATTAGTTAAGAGGTCGGAGAATGGGGATCTGAGTCAAGTCAAATTGTTCGAGGTTAAGTACTTCGGGAAAGCATCTCCATCACGCTGTTCTCGCCATAATATCCGGTTCCACTACGGCGTGACAGGGCGTCCAGGATGAGCATGTCGTGCTCCTGCTGGGCACTCGGATATCCCAGGCCATCAGCTTGTCTAGGGGCTATCAAGCAGGTTATTACTCCCAGAAGCAGCAGCCGCAGCCAGGTGTCCTTGGAGTGCCTGGGTAATGGCAACATGGCAAAGTGAATGGAATGTAAGGGGGTGCTTCACGCGGACTTTCACTTTCGATGGGGTAGTTGCACTTTCGCTTTCTGGCTTATGATTGATACTTTTATGAGACACTGTAAGTGGATCAAGCTGAGCTACAATCCTGCCACTAGTTCACCAAGGATTTCACTTTTATTTTCATTTGCGGCTTCGTGTGCGGTTCACGCATGCGCAGTTTCGACGCACGAAAAAAGAAAATTGTAATCTCCGCTTCACTTTTATGCGCCTGGAATTATCTTTCTTTACGCATGCACACACAGGCGGCGAAGAGCGAGCCAACTGAAAAGGCGTCCGCGCGTCGGGAAAATCGGCTCAGAACTAAGTTAAGCTTTTGCGGCTGCCAACCCAAGAGCCGAGCAACTCGGTACGAAAAGCAACCGAAGACCCGAAGACATGCCGCTTTTGGCCATTTCACTTGCAGAGCAACTTCATGGAAACAGAGCAGAGCAGAGCGGCTGCGCAGCTGATGTTGCCAGCAAATCGAGCAACATGTTGCCAACCCATTGATTTGCTCGACTTCAATTGGACTGTTTTTGGTTTTTTTTTGGCCAAGGTTTCTGCTTACATAAAAGGCTAAATCCAAATAATCTATAATCTTTGGGGAAAATGGCCGACTCACGGCTTTTGCTGTTAACACTTTCGAATGCTGCGAGTGCGCAATTGAAGTTAATTGCAGTTGATTTTCCTGTCTGTGTATCGGTATCTGGAAACACTTTTGCTTTTCTCAGACTCGTATTACATATATCCGTGGCGGCAGCAGCTGCCATTGAACTTGTGCAGCAGCCATACTTTTATAGGCATTTTGATTTGTAATATTTTGCCCGGCTGGCCATCGTTTTAATAGTCATTCACAGTTGACCAAAAAACGCGGGCTTTCTTCGTGAATCTACATCTCGGAGTTTGTGCCTTTATGTTAATGTGTAATCACCTTAAGCTCGGTCTTAATTGGCTTTCGTGTCTTTCTTTTGGAAAGTCCAATTAAACAAGATGAATTGGGCAGACCAAGAACGGAATGTTCAACTTTCCCTGAGGGCCCAAGTCCAAATGTTTCAAAGGGCTTTCTCAATCGGGTAGATTGGGGAACTGGGTCCGAACTTGACATGGAGGAGCAGCGAAGATCAAGGTTAACCATGGCGTGTTAACTAATATGCAAATTGTGCCAGGCGAAACGAAAGACTTAGGCAACGAACTCGATTTGACTTGACTGCAGGGGAGGGGCGATTTCGTGTGTAATACTTACAGTCCAGCTCATCGAAGAACTTGGCCTCCTTGGGGAGCTCCTTATCAATGGCCTGCTTCAGCTCTGGCGGGATCACCTCGTTGTATACCGCATTGTAATTGCTATGGCCAGCGGCAGCAGCAACAGCCGCAGCAGCAACAGCAACTGTGGCAAGCAGCAACATCAACAGTTGCTGCGGCGAGCGCATTTTGCAATACTTTCGTTGTTGTTTACACTTGTTGTTGCCGCACCTGTCACTGATTTCTGCAATTGTGTTTCACTTAATTCACGTAGCGGCGCGAGTTTTTGATTGAATAATCACACCTCGTTTGCATAGCAGGCCGAGTCGAAGAGTGTTGGTGGCCCGGTAAATGGTATTAAGTTCACAATTTTCTCCACCTTCCACTCTGCTTCTTCTTTCACCGATTTTGCAATAATTCAGAGTGTATCTTTTAATATTTTACACTTCTCGTTTCTTTCTGCGGTTTCGCGTCGCCCAAAAAATGCAATCCCGCAGTTCGCGAACAGTATGCCGTCGCGTCGAAACACTTAATAAACAGTTGGCTGACAAATTCAAAATCAAAATGCCATCAACACCGCCACACACTGAATGGTGAGCGGTACGCAGCGAGCAGCCGAGCTCCGACTATTGAGTAATAGTCACCAAAGAGCGAAACGAGAGAAATGTTAAGCCAAGTTAAGACGGCGAGAGACCCGCATTGAAAACGAAAGTGGCCAAGGCAACGAGTTTTGTCGCTCAACTGGCAACTGGCAATTGCATATTGCTGCTGCTGGTGCTGCTGTCGCTGTTTGTTGTTGCTGCTTTTGTCGCCATGACTAATCTCCAATTTCTTTGCCCACTCGCGCCTCTCTAACTTCGCCATTCCAAAGAGGAAGTCGCTTTTTCCCCCGTAAAACTCAAATTGGTGTTTTAGCAAAACCAACAATTGCCGAACAAATTGCAGCCGGAAAATCCCACTCAACAACACCGAGCTTCGTCTCAAGCGTGACATTTACTTACGCAGTAAAGATGCTTTGGAGCTAGGCCTAATGATTACCTATCAATAATTATTGACCATTCAATGACACACATTTTCGATTTCATTGCCACCGCCCACCAACAAGCATATTGTATACGTTGCTGTGGTGCAGCAACCGAAAGAGTAGCAGCAGCAATTGCACTGCGCAACAACAATTGGGCAACGCAGGCTGCCAGGGCTTAATGTGCCTAATGTACAAATTACCGCCTGGCAGTTAGGGATTGTGCCATTTGTGGCACTCCACCAAATAGGCCAAAACCAGTGACATAACCCAACAAGAGGCTCGTTTGTTTTTGGGCCGTTTGGTTTTCTCTATTTATGGCGGCGGGCGGCGTTCAAGGTCGTTCGCCAACCCGCTTCCCCAAATGGCAAACGCAATTACAATTAGCTAATTGTATTGTTTATTAAATCTAATAAATATTGCGTCTCTGGCGGCGGATTGCACATTTCCATTGCCTAATGCTACGAGTCGTAAACTAATGAGATGGGTTGCATTGCCAAAGGTTCGGAGGGGATTTTCAGGGTCATCTCCAGCTATAACTCGTTGCGGGTCACCACTTCCTGTATCCACCTCACAGTCTTCTGAATGTTGTGATAGATGCCTGTGAAAATATTATGAAATACTGAATAATATTTAAAGGTTTCAAAATCGTACCTGGTTGATGATCTACTCCGCAACCGAAGCCCGCGCTGGTTATGCCTACGAGCACAAAACGTCCACGTTCCTTGATCACTAGCGGGCCACCAGAGTCCCCTGGCAAAGTACAGATTCAAAGATTATATTAAATTATAAGCCCAAAAGTATGCCTTGAATTTTTACGATTATAAATTTGCTAACAAACAGAAGTTTGCTTAGCATTGGTATTCCCACGACTATTTGATAGAACACAAACGGAATCTTAAAGAGAAGTTCAGTGACATTAGCTTACCCAAGCAGGCATCCATATGGCCATCGGAATGACCAGCACAAAACATCTCCGCCTTGATCTCCACATTTATCTGCTTGCTCTCATGCCAACGAATGCAGTCCAAGGTGGCTAAAAAAGATTGCAGTAAGTTTAAGGCAGGATTACGACCAACCCTACTCACTTATAATTGGAACACTGGCCACCTGCAGCATGTTAGTGCCGGCGTGTCCCATGTGCGCCTCCGTCTTGCCCCATCCGGCAATCAAACCCTTGCGACCAATTAGCCGGATTGGGTATTGCGGCAAGCAGATGGGCAAGATATGCTCCGTAAAGGCAGTCGGCTGAGCCAACTTAAGCAAAGCCAGGTCATACCGATCTGGCTGTGTCATACGGAAGTTAAAGCGCGGATGGATGATCTTCTGCAAAACGCTGTGTTTTTCCACTGGCAGCGGTTCGTGGATATGACCCAGATCCTGAGTGTCCAACTCTCCTAGGTATACTGTAATGTCCGACAATTGAGCCTGCTGAATGCAGTGGGCGGCTGTGGCCACCATATTGGCCGAGATTAACACTCCGCCGCACTGGTACTCTGCAATGCGGATGTGTGCCTGCCATGGATACTCCGCGAACTGCGCCGGACGACCGCCAATAATGCGCTTCTGGAGCGTGTTCTGTGCCGTTCTTGGTAGTCCACATTCGGGCTGTAATAAATGAGATTTTATTCAGATGATTAGCAATTAATCATGTCCCTTAAAGATTATCAGACCTGTGATATGGTTTTCAAAGTGACAGGGGGAATCCCGTACTTCATGGTTCATAATTTTAATTTTGAATTTTTTTCTTTCGCTTTCCAATTATTTAATAAATCACTTTCATAGTCATAATTTTCCCATTCGAAATTGGATTTCACATAATTTTTCATCGGTGATTGATTCTCTTTAAGACAGCCCTTCTTGATTGGTTACACTTCTTTAAATTACAAAAATTCCCCACTTCTTACCACATTTAATTACCAATTAAGATTTGATTTCAAAGTAGTAAACCCCAGAGATAAGAAAAAGCTATCCTTATTCTAGCCCTAATAAGGAAAATCCTATCTGTCTGTCAGCTGAAATTGCTCAATTATCCCGCTCTGCGGTTGCAATGGCTCAATTACTATTGCTAGCAACCTACCTTGAGATTGAGAAGCTCGTTATCGTCACGTCTGCGCAGCATGATTCGCTTGGGAAGGCTGTTCAGATTTAGCTTCAGCTTCCCATAGTCCACCAGATTGGCCAGTGGCGAGGGGGAGTGGTGCTGGTGCTGAGGCTCGGCGACGCAGCAGCTGAAGAGCCACTTGTTGCTGCCACATCCCTTGGCATGTTTGCCGCCCTGCAGCCAGCAGGAGAAGCTCAACTTGCAGGGCCAAACACCAGTTTGGTGGACGCATTCCGCAGGCACGCCCAGCAAAGTGTTGAGAATATCTGGAGGGGATCAAGGTCATTGAAGTTGTTTGAACACATACAATTGGTACTTACTAGCTTGGCTGGGACTACAATGACAGAGGAGCAGGAGGAGCAGGCACAGCCAAAGTAGCAACTGCATTTTCAAGTCTACTAAAATTCGGGGTCACAATTCACACTTCACTGTACCCCGGAGGAGGATGACACTCAAACGCTCATTGGAATGGACTATAACGCTTTTGTTGCTAATGAAAGCATGACAATTTCTTATTCACTTTTAAGCTGGCTTCTGCCGTTTTCTTCTTACATTTCCTATTATTGCTGCTCCACTTTTACTAGAAGACACGGCTGTTTATGGGCTGGTTTATGGGTGACTCACGGAGCTCATGCAGAGCTTCTCGACGAGAAAGAGATCTGTGTCCTTGATAGGCGAACAAGTTTCGGGTTCGTTTGCAAATGGGTCGGCAGTCGGGCTAATGGATTTTTATATAACAATCATCATAATGGGAACTGTGCCAAATCGTTGGCTCTATGGCTGGATGGCACAGTTTTCCATTAGTTTTCCTTTTCCCAGCAGCCACGCACCCGAGTTTCACACATTTTCCGTTTCCAAGAACTGTTCTTCGATGTTGGGAGTCACTAGCTGGGATATTATAAGCCACAACCGCACGCGCCGCTGGCCAAACGCAAACTAACTTCACGCCATTAGCCAAGACGCAGCAACAGGTTGATCTTGGTTCTTGTTTGGGTTGCTGCTGTCGCCAGTTGTTTATGTTGCTGCTGGGTTGAGTTGCTGCTGCCGCTTCAGTTGCTGCTGTTGCCACCGATCTTCTTCATCTTTACTAATTATTACGAAATGCTGATGACGACGCCAGCGGCGCAGGAAATGTTCTCCCCAGTCTGTTATAATTATTTTATGCGACATAATTGCAACAACCGCTGCCACATCTCGATGGAATGGGAACAATCCGAGTGTTTTTGGGTTAGGCCATCTAGACAAAGGCGAACCACTAACCGAAATGGGGGCCACATATCTATTTATGTAACTTTCTAATTTGTCGCCAGATGGGTAAAGTCTGGAGGGGGGATTAGCATACTAAATAGGGTTCTTGAGTGTCACTCTTTTTATTATCACTGGGTGAAAAAGTGAGATTGAATTTGGAAGAGGTGGTAAAGGAAAGCGATACTTAATATCTGTTTTAATTTTCTATTCCTATTGCTTTATCTAATAATTAACAAAAAACTGTTTAGGGGAATAGTTTCTTCTAATAGAACATCAAGCAGGCCCTGATCCCAAACCCTCCTGTCACCTAGTAGTTTCCCCCCCTCTTACTCAGTATATCGTTGTTTGTTTCGTTGCAAACACCTAACCGGAAACACAATCAAAACCCCAAAACGGACTCCTTAAACAGTACAATCCGGCAAAAAGCACGTTAAGTTGGCTTCCAACAAACGGTAACAATGGCCACGAACGATCCATCGCATCCTGGTAGCAAGGCTTCCAACGTGGCAATGGCCGCCACCATCTCTTATGTACAATGTCAGAATTTGAAGTACAATGTCATCATCATCGGCTGGCTAGGCGTAATCTTCTCCACCGTTATCCTGGGCAGCTCTGCGCTGACCATCCACTTGCGTCCGGACATCGAGCTGCTGCTCAACCAATGGCCATTGAATTTGGTTCCGGTTACAGAACAGCAGATACTGATCAATTGTGAGTACTGCTAGGTATTGGGTATAAAGATTGGAGGTACTAAATTTGTATTATTCCATCCCAGTGTTGACCATCTTTAGCTCCATTGTGTACGGACTGTCGTTGATCAACATGGGAGTCAGTCTCCTGCTGTTAATAGGTATAGCTCGGGTAAGTAACATGAATTAAAGATAATCTTAGATATGATATACCCATATAATAGGACTCAAGTTACTTGATGTATCCCTGGTTGATCTATAATGGCGTTATTTTTGGATTTGGTCTTTATTTGGGGGTTTTCTATGCAACCGCAGGTCTGTTTATTGACCTTTCAAGCTTTCTAATGTGTCTTCTGGTGTTCAACCTTGTGCTGGGTAGGTCTGATATATACCTAAGATGCCACTCATTATATATATCCACTCCGATAGTTATTTTTTACAAGATCTACCACGAGGTCTTCACCCTGTTTCGTGTGATTGAGCAGCAGTCGAAGGGTGGTGGATTGGGTGGGCTTTACTACCAGGATGCTGAGCATGCATGGACCGTCAGTGGAGTTCCCTATCAGCAGGTCTATATGCCGCGTCTGCCAATCCAAAAGTAACACAATCCACATTATCAACATCCAGACTGAAAATGCAACTGCAACAGCAACAGCAACGAATTGAGAAAATTAAAGAAAATGAAATTTGGACTACGTTTGTACGATTAATAAACGTTTGACGGGTTCGAAGTCATTTCAACATTTGTATAATTTATTTACACTCGAAATATGTAGTTCATAAATAGTTTTAAAATTACATAACAGCGCATATGACTAAGTAAATTAGACCGTAATTATCAGTTATAATTAATTTAAAGGTTTTTAGGTTTAGGTTTTGCAAATTTATCGCACACGTGTGCATCTTGCAGATACACACAGCCAATCCTAACTGCTAAATTGTACTGCGCTAATTTGTTTGTTAAATTATAATTATATTTTGTCTTGTGTAACCATAAATTAAGACGGCGTGTTTCGGAAGCGGAGTCAGGAGCAGAATGAAGTGAGTTATGTACAAAACAATCTGTGGCCCACTTAGCAGGCAGGTGCGAATACGATTGCGATTGCGATTGCGAATGCGATGAGAATAAATTAGTGTCGCCCCATCTAGATGTTCATCGTGAGTCCGACGACGTAGGATACCCAGTCCACGGTCTTGCTGACGCTGTGATAGATTCCAGGCTGGCCGCGGGATGCACAGGAGTAACCAGCAGAGACCACACCTAAAGTTCAATGAAAGGGTAAGTTAGAGGGCTACAATATTTAGATCCCTTTTCAGTACATACCAATTAAGTACCACCGCCCGTTCTTGTCGTGCATCAGTGGTCCTCCGGAATCGCCCTGGCACGAGTCCTTTCCCCATTGCGGTATCCCGCGCACAGCATCTCCTGGTAGATGACCACGTTGATACCGTTCTGTCTATGCCAGCGCTCGCAGATCCGGTTCTCGATCACAGGCACATCCACAGCCTGGAGGGTTTTAGGACGCAGCCGAGATCCCGGATTCAGAGCTCCCCAGCCAGCGGCCCAGCCGAACTTGCCCAGGAAGTCTTCATTCTTTTCCGGCAAACAGATGGGAGCTGAGAAGGCATTTTCGTTATTTTGTTGTTTAGATATTACTTTTTAGCGCTTCTATTATTAACTTAGGAATTGTATTTATAATTATCTCAATTTAGTTATCACCTTTCTAATTGCGATTCTAAAAATAGGAGGCAAATACTAAATGTGATTCTTTCTAATTCCAGAAAAGCCTGATTCAATTATTAACTACTAAAATATGTTTATTAACCTTTTGTATTATTAAGTTAAAACTGCTCCTAAGCAATACCCTAAAAACTCACCTATATGAGGCATAAAGTGCACTGTGCGTTCCAGCGTCAGCACTGAGATGTCAAAACGATCCGCCTGCGGTGTGAACTTGAAGTACGGATGCACATCGATTCGCCGGACTCCGAAAGTATAAGCAGGCAGCGGCTCCACGGCCGAGTTGATCACGTAATCGCCCAGCGTGACATGCACCTGGCGCGGAGTGGCCCGAGCCACACAATGACCGGCGGTGACCACGTGACGCCGCGAGATCAACGAACCTCCACATCTTAAAGGGAAAACTGTGAGTTCACGGAAAAGTAAGTTAAGCCGTTAGATGCTCACCTGGAGGAACCGATGCGGATGTATGCCTGCCAGGGAAAGGAACCGAAACCAGCATCATCGCCACCAACAATGCGCCGCTGTGCGGTCTGCTTGGCCAGCGAAATGCCGCAGCCTGAAAGGGTAAGGAAAAAGGATGTGAAATCAGTTGGAACCACGCACCAGGACCTCTTAGCTTAAGGGGGATTTCTGGGATCGGATTAGTGGAGAAGCATTAACAACGGGGGTTTTGGCCACCAAGCAAGCAATTAGGCAAACAAGCGAATATGGCAACGGGCAGCTGCCGGGTTCAAATCAGCTTTCTAGAGTCGAGTAATAGTCGTTGTCTTTGTGGTTGTCGTCGTTGTAGCGTCTTGATGGGATTTGGGGTCTCTAGTTGGTTGGGGTCTGGACATGGAGCGTAATGCCGTTAAGCTATGTGTAATATATGGCTTAATTATCATTAGCGTGCTGTGGTAATTAACATGCTCATGCCGGGCAATTAAACTTATACATTTTGTTTTTCTGTTGTATATTGTGCTCAGCCTTTCTTTTGCTCCCTCTTAGATGGATGGTGGCGCCTCCTTCGCGGGTGGCTTTTTTTGGTTTTTTTTTTTTTAGTGGCAGCGTGGCATGGCGTGTATTGTGTTATAGGCATTAGGCATCCATCTAAACAACTATAGCCAAATAGTTGCCAAGATTGAGGCTTAATTAGGCACTGAAAACTACCCAAGAGTGTAACATAAACAAATGCGAATTACGAGTGCATTACTACGATACATAACAAAACGAACTACAAACTATACGTAAATTGTTAAAAGGTGGCATGCAAATTATTTCTCAACTTTTTCGTTGAACCGATTTTTATTTATAGTTTTTTGTTTTTTTGGTATTTTGTATTTGGGTTTAGTGTGCACGTGCTTGGAGTTGGATTGAGTTGAGATTTGGTTTTGGTTTGGATTGGCTTGGCATTCGAGCTGAGGCTGCCACACACTCACTGGGTTCATTGTTAACGGGTCCATAGTTCTTTTGCGGCAGATCGGTGAGATCTACGGCATTGCCGACGAAGTCCGAGCTGCCCAGATTGGCCGACTTGGCCGTGCGGTGGCAACAGCCGCGCAGCAGTCCATCGCAGGTGCCCTGAATGAGGCCACCGGATAGCCAGCAGCCCAAAAAGAACTCGCACGTACCGCCACGGTGCTGGCACTCCGTGTCCGTTGTGATGTCGACTGTCGAATGGGAATCGGAATTGCAATCGGTATGTTCTAGTGTTTTGGGTGTTCTTTTTTCGAGGTGTGTTTTTAGGGTTTTGTGTGTTTTTCTGGGGTTCTGGGTTTCTGGGTGTTACGTGGCCTAGTGCAAGCAGTTTCCCAGCAGCTGACTGAAGCCCCATCCTAAGCCCTACTAAATGCGAGGAGAAGGTGCTGGTCGAGTCGGGTGCGCGGGCACTTACCTTTCTCCTTGAATGTACTGGCTGACTGTGGACTGCTAGTCGCCTCCGAGGCGTTGTCCAGTTCCTGCAGACTGTAGTCATTGCGAACATCCTGAACGGCAGCCAGTTCATTAATGCCAAAGTTCTGGTCCCTATTCGAATAGATAGGATTAAATATATACTTTTAGCATTAATCCTGTATAATAACTCACCTGAAAGCAATATTATCGCTGAAGTAAACTCCATTTCCGGATGGTCCGCTGCTGCCAGCAGGGCCACTTGGTCCTGTTGTTCCCACATTGTCGTTGGTGGGAAAGACGACTCGTGGACTGCGCGATGACTTGTAGGGATAGTAACGGCTCTTGCGGGATCCTTGGTATTCACTGGGCCCCACATACTCCTGGAAGTTCTTCTGCGGTCCAAATTGCCGGACTGGAGCGGGTGGGCCCGTTCGGAACTCGGTGTCGCCAAAGTAGAAGCCACGTTGTGGTCGCTGCTGGGGCAAGGCAGTAATTGGTCCATTGATGTCCCCGAATTTGGTCACATCATCGCGATACAGCTTGAGTCCATGTGGCTTGGAGTTGCTCACCAGGCCGGGGAATTCAAAGCTGGAGGAAGCCGTATCCGAGTCGAAGTAAAGCTGGCGGGTGTGCCGCGTCTCATGCTGCTCATACTGAGTTGGTGGTGGAGCAGGTGCAGCATCTTCGCTGTAAGGCTGAGGTTCATAGCCCCCAGCACTAGTTTCTCCGAAAATGGGATTATCCTCACGATAGGCTTGTGGGTGGAAGGGGCTGGCTGGCTTTAGGCTATAGCTCGGAAACTGGAAGCCCACACGCCGACTGGTATTCTCTGGCTCAGCGTACTCCAGTTTATCCGTGGAGCTTGCAGCAGCCATGAGATCACTGCGTTCCGTGCGCTCTGGTCCAAGTTCCAACTCTAGTGGTTGCTGTTCCGGACTGCCCTGGGTGGCCAGTTCGGCTCCAAATTCATGGGCCACGGCTGCAACACCATCAGCTGGAGGACCAAGAGCGGAGAGAGTAGCATTGCGACTGGGACGAAGTTGGAGCAAGGCTCCCGAGGATCCATTCTCGCTCTCCGTTTGCAGTGGGATGTACATATAGTTGCGTCTTCTACCCTGACGCGTCACATTCTCTGGCATGGTTGGCACCAGCTGCCTGGGCACCGTGATGAGCTCGCTCTGTGGCAGTTCCACGGAAGGAGCCGGAACGATTTCCACGGTAGAGTCAGATCGCCGCTGGGCGATAGTGGAGGCAGGGGAACTACCAAATTGACGAGCGGTGCGATAGGAACCGAAGGACTGGAAGACTGTGCCATCACTGCGTTGACGCACATCCTTGAAGCTGATGTCATCCTGCCGACTGAAGCTCTGGTAGGGAGCATAGAGATTGCGTGCTGTGGAGGGTGTGGTGGCTGCCGTTGCCGCTGCCGTTTGCCATGGCAATAATTGATGACCTGTTAGCAGGGCTGCCGTGGTCACTGCTGTGGTGGGCGTGGCCCCGGAGGAGGCACAACAGCAGTAGGCAAACAGATTAACGGCCAACGCCAGTCGGCTCCATCTCCATGAAATGTTGCGTGTGCTCTGGCTGGTGTTGGCGGTGGTATTGTTATTGTTGCTGGCCACTAACATCTTACATCGAGCAGGATGAGCGGCGGTGAATGGTGGATTGGATTGTGGATGGTTGGTCTGGCCCGGTGGTAATGACACTGGCTCTGGCTTTGGCTCCAATTAAGGTGCTGCCGCACACAACTTCCTGCTTAGCGCCGCCTGAACTTGAACGATGAACGTTGAATGCCGCCCAAACCAGGCTGGTCCGTTTCGCTTTTCTTACGCTCCGCTGGCTGCTGAAAAGTGGATACCAAATGCTGTCAGCTGCGTGCCGCGTTCATTGATCTCCCCACTGGTTTTTGGCCTGGTCTTGGTCTTGCTATTGCTGCCTATCAGCTTTTGGGATTTTCCGATTTTCCGGCGCGGCGTCTATGTTACAATTCAGCTGGATTTGCGGCAATCTGTGTGCCTGCCGCCGATAGCTCAGCTCGTGTGGCGGGTTTCGTTTGCCAGTTTCGATCGCTGAATTGGTCCGGGTGCCGGGATGGGTTCGGATCGGATTGGATCGGAATGGATTGGTGGGATGGTGTCTTGGTGTTTGGGTATGTGCTGTTGGGTCCAGCGGTTATTGGTCTGTGCTGCTCCAATGGCAATTATGGCAATTGCTGTTGACGCTTTAACAGCGACTTTTCAAGCGGTTTCATGTGGTTGCATGCTGCATCGCATCGCGACAACGTCCATGAAGGAAATCTGGCCACGAATTACTTCCTTAATTGCCTGCAACGGATAAACAGTAAACAGAGAGATATTATTAAACGAAAGACCGGTTTTATTTCGGCAATTAAGAGTGGGTGCCGTAAATGCTCCAACGCTCAAATGATCAAATGCGCTTTCGTCTCTCGCCTTATGACTTGCTGGAAAACATAATCTCCGCTTTGCGCATTAAATTCCCATTAATCCCGTGGCAAATTAATTTTAAATCATCAATTTACGCTAAAAACCCGTTGTTGCCGTGGCTGCACTTGCCACTGTTGCAACATGCGTTTCCTCGGTCACACCAATCCACAGCTGAGTTTTTGGGAAACCTGTCGCCGCGCTAAAAGCATCTGGGAAAACTGGAAAAACCATCATCACCAGCTGGCAAACTCGCTGTGTTTTTTATTTAATTTCCCTTTTTTACTTTTTGCCCATTTTTTTGTATAATTTTTTGTTTGTTTTTCTCGTTGTTGTTGCCTTGTTTTTACATTTTACGTTTAACGATAGAAGGAAATGAAATGAATGTAATGAAAAAGTGCAATAAAAGCGAAAAAGAGGTGTAGTTCAGTACCCTATGGATGCCGAAGAGGCATATGAGTTTTAGTTAGTTACTACTAACTAACAAGCAGTAATACGGAAGAACTTGATTGGGAAAGTGGCATTGTTAAGATTGGTTATCATATTTATATATTATGAATATGTGAAACTGATAAGTAGGATGGACACAAATGCACAGTCACAATTTCCATAACTCCGAAAGTACGCTGGTTACGATTTTCTTTGAAAATATCTTAGAGTAACCTTGCAATCACTACATAAAACTATAACTAAGATCATAAACCCATAGATTCATAAAATATCTTTTAGCTTCGGTAACATAAATCTTTTAAAAAAAAACATAAAAAAATATACAACTTGAATGTCTTCATTCTGAAATGTGGAAGGGATTTTCTGCCACTTTTGAGTATGAATCGATTTCCTGCCTCTCTCATCATCTCTCTGAGTCAAAACAGCAGTCGCCCAATCTCAGAACTCTTTGTTAACATGGACTACAGTGCCTGATCAACCGGGCTTGAGTGATTGCCTTGAAAGTAAGAGTTAGCCAGCTTTTTCGCTCTACTCGGCAGCGTTGGAGCCGAAGTCGTTGTATTTTCACTTTCATTTCGAGTTCAAGCACCACGAGAGCAGCTGCTCGGCGAATAGTTTTTTGCTGACGTTTTTTCTCTTTTTTTTTTTTGTTTATTTACCGCTCTGCCGAACGAACGCTTCCTTTAACTTTGTTCAAACTTGACATTTGGAACTTGATTCGCGGTGTGTTTTTCGCCGGCTAGGCTTTGCGATTTTCCAATGCACCAGGAAGCTGAGCTGCCTACCAAAAACGTGACTCGGCGCTTCGACAGCTTTGCATAATAGTTAACACATTTTGCGGACACTTTATGTATAGATGGTTGGGTTATGAAATATTTTTTTGGCGACTCAACTGGTTTTGCCAGCTGCTGTTTTTTTCTGTTTTTTTTATTAAACTTTTTTTGTTGCTGTTGTCTTCCCTCGCTGACGCACCATGATGCAACTGCAGCAAAAGTCAATTTACATTTTGGGCAGTGCATGCTAAGTCCGGGCTAATCCATCCTGGATCGAGTTACATAAGTCTGCACTTTACTGACAGCTGCCCCATCATCATGATGATGATCACCATCATCATCAGTATCATTATCAATGCGCATGCGTGACGCTTCCATATGGAAACGGCCTTGAGTGAAGGACGCCGGAAACTGGCTTTCTGCGGCTCTTTCTCTTTCTCTTTCTCTTTGCATCTTACGCATATTTTACAATCGCTTTGTTTTGTTGCTTTTCGCCTGGGGCTTTCGGTTTATTTGTTTTAATTAACAATACTTTGCTGGGATTTTCTGTAAGGGTCTCTAGAGCTATATGCTCGTATAGTACCCCCGGATTCCCTCATATTTCCCGCTCCAGCAACATCATTACTTTTGTTTTAGTTTTGCGCTGGCAGTGAAAGTTTTTTTCTGCTGCAAACAATGCGTCGTTCATTTCGTTTCGTTTCCATTTCGTTGTAAACAAGCGATTTTGTTGCTTTTCTGCTCGTAATTGAGATAAATGCATTTTAAATGCGCCACCGCAGCTGCAGCAGCAGCAGCAGCAGCCGCAACTGGTTGCAGTTGCACAGTTGCCTGGCTGTGTTGCGTATGCAGATGCTATATTCCACTGCTCATTTGCTTTTTGGGCAGTCGATTATGCTCCATCAATTCAAAAAGACTTTTCTCCTATCTGGCCACGCATAATTCACGACAAATGAATTCTCCCCGCAACTGAAGACAATGGCTAATGCGGCAGATGACAATGGCAATAGCTATCCAGCAGCAACATCTGCAACATCAACAACAATGGCAACCCAACAAAAGCTCAGCCAAAAAATTGTCATTTTCGTTGTCTGCCGTTTGTCGCTGGCTGATGAGTTGCGCATAAAATAAATGCGAGACAAGCTAAGCCCGCTGGCCTGAGGAAATTTTTATGCATTTTGTTGAATTGGCGGAAAATGCTTAAATTATAGAGGAGTAGGAAAACCCGACGCTTGCCTAATAAATTAAGAAAACCAAAAGCAGAAGACAGCTGAAATCTCTTTCATGCCACAACCAAGTTAGCGGCTCCTTAACAAGAAAAGCTGTGAAAAATGCCAGCTGCATACAATGCCTCCGAACTAATTGTAAACAAAGCTTTATTTCTTTTACCAACAAACCAGAATTAATATGCATAACTTGAGACCACTAAGATAAGAGTGACTTTAATCAAAAATTGTATGCTGTATGTGGAAAAAGTTTTCTAATTTTTAAGACCACTTGGCATGATTTTTGAAGAGTTTCTAAGTAAAGGGAAAATTTTCTTTAGATTTCTTTCATACAAAACATTTTAAGCAAATTTAAAATTAATATTTATATTATTCACCATAGCTAGCATTCACTGCATTTTTTCGGCACTTAATCGCCAACACACTTTTCGTGTTTTTCCAACTTTTCTTTGGCTAAACGTTTACATTTATTTAAGCAAGCAATCAGAAGACAATCACAGCAACCACAAAATTGATAGCTCCTCCGCCTCTCCTTACCCACACCCACTTTCGGTGGTTGTCTTCGCTGTCTTGGCAGAGTGGAATTAAAATAGATTTGCTCAATTATTTTGAATTGCTACCATTTGCAATTACGAATTGTTTGCACAAGCCAAAAGGTTAAACCCATTTGACTTTCCCACCAACGGCACCGCCATCACCTATCGCTCAAGTGGGTCAAACAGCTGGGCTCGTCTTGGCCTGGCCAAAGCCAAATTAAATGGAAAACGGTGTCATGCCATTGGCACATTTTGTCCAGCTCAAAACAGAGACAAAATATACATATTAGTGCCGCGAGAGTTGGGTAAGGTAAGTGCCGTTGTAAACCGCAGCCAAGAGCGTTTCAACACTCCCAACTACCTAATCAATCGATGGTCAAAATATGGCATCTGTGACGTCTGCTTTACGCACACTCACTCACACATTGCCAGAGTATAGAGTGTTAATTAATATTCCATACGCAAGGCTGATGCGCAATTGTTACGAATGTGTTAAGTCAACACCGGCAGCAGCCGAGTGTTAAGAAGTAGCCATGGTAACAGCAATAACAAAAACTGATAGCTTCAAATGTATATGTATATATTGCATGCAAATCGCCAGCGTTATACCAATGCTGATGATTATGTAATTAGCGCCACTCACACTACGCCAGGAACACACGGCGTATGAGCAATATTAATCAATAGATTGTGTGAGCTTCAAGCCGGCCGATTAGATAAGCACAATAAACTTTCAGAGATTTTCGTGCTAATGACTAGTGGCGTGCTGTAAGACTTCAAATATTGAGGGAAATGCCTTCTTCTAACCGCAAAGAAACAAATGACTTAGGCAACGAACTTGATCAGTTCGTGAAAATAAACTTCAAGCACAAACCTACTCAAATCACAATTTGCTGCTAGAGTTAACATATCCGGCTAGGGAAATTCCCTCCTCCATCTCTTCCAAAATTATACAAAACAAAAGACCCAGGGCTTAAGCTAACCCCAACCATAGAGATAAAGCTCAGTGAAATACAAATAATTAGCTGACCCAAAGCCAGTAGCTACTGCGGTCAACTCCCCCTCAAACAGAGCGCCCAATTAACAACAACAAGCCGATAAACAAACAACCCGAATGCATAATCAATTGGACTCAAAGCAGGGAAAAAAGAAAAATGATGAAAACAAAAATTGAGAAATCATTTGCATAAAAGCAGCAACAATTTTCGAGCATTTCGATTGGCTTACATAAGCCAGCAATGCACAAAGAAGGTAAAGGAGAGAAAAATATTTACATAAAGCATCAACCAAAAAAAAAAGAAAGAAAATAAAAGCAAGGCAAATGAAGCCAAGAAATCCATGGCCATGGTCACAATTTGGCGGAACTTGTTTTTCAACGCTCGACGATCGTATTTTTGGGATTTTATTACATGATGAAAAAGGGTCCAAAATCCCGAACCGGATTTAAGGCCACTGCAGCAGCAGCAACAACAGCTCCTAAAATTAAGTAATTTGTGTCGAGCAGCTGGAAAGAAAGTTCTCAGCTACAACAACCGAGTCATATATGTATATAGCTATATAAATATGGCACCTATATCTATATATAGTAAGTAGCATGCTCCAGAGAGCAGGCCGAGCAATACGAGTTTCTCCGCTTATGCAATAAGCCAGCCCTAAATTGAAAAAGCAAAATAAAATAAAACCACTTCAGGAAAACGAAAAAAAAGTAAAGAGATGTTACCAAAAAAATAAAAATAAAAAGACGGCATCGGCGTCGGCGTTGCTGATAATGAAGTTCATGTCATACTTATACTCGCACGAAAGTATATATATTGTGTAGTCAACACAAGACATCGACGGAGCCATAAAAACGTTGCCAAATAATTTGTGGCTCAAGCTGCAGTTAACCAAATTGAGGCTAAGACGATGCGCCACTCTTTTCCTCGTTTTTTTTTTCTTGGCTTTGGCTTTGGCTTTTGGCTTTTGACTCATTTCACATTTCGTTTGCCCTTCTTTTACGCACTTTTGTATGTGGCTCAGTATTTATGTTTTCCGGTTTGTTGTTTCTTTCCTTTTTGCATTTCGTTGGCTTTTATTTGTTTTATTGGCGACTTGACATGGTTTTTTTTTCTGTTTTGTTTTAGCCCTTTTAAGCCAACCTATTTATTATTCCGAGTCTGTGGCAGTTATATAACAATTATCAAGCCGTTAATGTGGAAATACATTGAATAATCGACCGACTTTTGGCATTGCTTTATTGCTTATTGGGTCATCAAGTGCGACTTTTGAAGTTCAGATATAATGTTATAGTTTGGGGACAAAAATAATGGATGTAAATTATGTTTTTTTGTGGTTAAGAGGTATTAGGAAAATTAGATATTGCCTATTTAATGTATTTTATATCAATTTAACATGATTAATTAATAAATTCTCTTGGATTAGTGAACTTGATTTAAGATATCTTAAAGTTTCTTCAAATATGGTTAGCTATTTAAGAGTTTAATTTAACATGTCAGTTATCGTCAATCAAATATGAATTAATGAAAAGACATTAGAATACCAACCAAACTCCTTTTTGGTAATTAAAATGGCTTTTTGTGCCCCAACGTTTTCCTCTCTTAACAGACAGCTGCCCCAATTTCTATCTGCATGCACTAAGAGCAATTAGTGCAGAGCATTCTAGTATATACGAATGATCGAAATATATATACAGGTATCACAGGTGGTACCAAGACCACAACCACTCCCCTAACTGGACACTTTGGTGGTGGATCGAATGCGGTGGATTATGTGTCCAGGCATTTTGCAAGCATTTAAGCGCAAATACTTTCCACATTTTGCAAGAGACCGCGACCACGCCATGAGGTTTGCGTTTTATGCATTTTGCCGAGTGGTACGAGTATATGGTAAGATTTATTAGATAATGACGCTTTACTTTTGCACCATAACTGAGTAGTTTCTTTTTTGCGGTTCGTGAGCTGTGCGAATGTTGCAACGTTCAAATGATTTAATCGCACTGGAAGCGGCACAAATCGATAAAACTCCATTTCCCAGCCATATTATAGTAAAATGAATTTAATTAACAAATTTAGTTGGTCTTACCTTTGAAAACAATCGTTTCAAATCAGCTGAGAATTAATCCAATTTAGGTTTGCTTTTGATTTGATGTGATTGATAGTTACACAGTGTCGTCACTGTGCGAAATGAGAGAAAGAAATTGTATTAGGATACCGATTACAAATTGCTTGCAATTTATGTGGCTGTTTTCTTTGCACTTTTCTTTATTGTTTCGCCGTGTTTTGTTTCGTTGGGTTAAAGCGAGAGTAATAATAAAAACAAAAAATGCTATATATACAATATATTTTTCCTTTATATTTTTGCTTTTTGCTTTTCGCTGCTGGCTGATCGGATCAGCAAACAAGCAGAAATATTGTTCAAAGTCGCTCGCAATAACAACAACAACAACAACAACAAGCGAAGCAGCAGCAGCAGCGATTGCGACTCCAATTGCAAAATCAAATCACTTTCACTGTCAGGCGCAGATCGGTGGGTGAGGGGTGGCGGTGGCGCGTTTGAAATTGCAGGCAACTGCAAGCTAAATCCAAAATCCGTAGCACTCACTCACTCTTTCTCTCTTTCTGCTATTATTGGGTGCCACTTTAATTGCAGTTTTTGGCCATATTTCGCCTGAAGTCCTGGGCTTTATCTTAATCCTGCACTCACACAATGACACTTACAGCGATCGCGATACGAGATATATATATATATCAATGTATATATATGTTAAACTGCAGTTGCGAACGCGAACCGAAGTGGAGCCGAAGTTGGACGAAACGAAGCGCGAACACGACCTTCTTGAGCGGAGTCTCAAAGAAGTCTGAACGGTCTGCGCAGGCGCAAAAGCTGAGCGAAGCTGAGCGCGAGCTTTTCAAGCGGCTGCGCTGCCGCAGTCGCAGCGCCGTCGCTACTCTTCCTACGAAGCAGAGGCCAAAGCGATACTGGGAAAATCAGCTGTCTGCCATCATCCTCAACGCCCCTCGACGTCACCCCTCACCATGCGTCGATTAGGCAACAATAAATGCACAGACAAGCGTTAAAGATATGAAAAGGGGGGTTGGTGAGCCAGGGGACCGATCGAGCAGGGAGATGGAGTACTGTAACAGCCACCGCATTGTACAAATAATACAAATTATTGCTTAATGCCGGCAGACGAACGTACACCGAAAATAAAGAAAATTTATAAAGTTTAATTCCAGGCTAGCCGATATCAGTGAATTTTCAGATCTTAACTCAAATCTGATAGCTTTTAACTATGTGGATTAGACTTGATACTAGGTGTAGGTATTTCTTTTTCATTTTCGTAAAACACTTTAAACAAAAGTTAAAGCAAACATCTAAGAAAGAGTTACATATCTACAGTTACTTAAATTTTCTGCAGTTCTGAAAATCAACAAAAATGTATAAATTCTACAAGCATTTTGACAGTCAGAAGAAAGTAATCTTAGTAAAGTTCAGAGTAGAGTCTAAAACTAATAGGTTGCCTTTCTTTCAGTGTACACCTACCTCCTTTGTTAGCCTTCATCTACCCCCCTAGCCACCCTTTTCTTAAGCTGCAATTATGATATGAAGTCGTAAAGCATCATTGGTTGCCATGGCCAATAGTAAGCACCACCGTTTTATTTCAGTTTTTTTTTTGTTTCTTTTATTGCCGGCCAAACATGACAGCCGCCAATTAAACATTTTCAGTTCATATTTTCCCAATGCCTTTTGGCCGCCAAGGAAAGCAGCACAGCCAGAAAAACAGAACCCGCAATTCACGAAAGCGTCGCAACATTTAATGCCTTTTGACAGACTGTGACAGGTTGTGACTCGGCTGTGACAGCTAATTGCAGTTGATTTGATTGAAATGTACATAAAGCAGCAGCGTGTGCGCCTTGTCCAGCTGACACCGACTAATGGTTAATGGAGAGCAAACAGAAAATTAACTGCAAGCCATATCTCAAGGGTGCGGCAGAGGTCCATCGTACAGTCAGAAGATTTTCAATGTGGAAAAGTTGCAAAATTATGAAAATATAAAAACCTAATACCTAAGCTCAGTAAAGTTTAAATCTTTACTGATAAAAAGTATCAGAGAAAGAAAGGTAAAAAATACAAAGACTTACGTAAACTTTAATTAAGTTTTCTATTTAATCTAATTCCAAGTCAACAGACCTTCTGCAGCTGCCCACAATTACCCGACCCCGAGTTCAAAAGCTGAAGTCTGACAACTTACTTACGGCCAAAACAAATCGCTCGGCACAATGGTTCATCTGTTATCTGCTTGAGCCACTCCAACGTTCAAGCCCGTACAGTGAATACTTAACAATTCAACGTCAAGGCTCGACGATGGGGAAGCCTTGATCTTAAAACGGGGTGGTACGGGTTTTACCCCGATACAAAAACATCGACGGATGGCATGTGATGATTTTTGTGTCGCCCATGCCATTTGGCATGGCCTTTGGGAAACCGCGAGGCGGTCAAGACAACATCCGCTGCCGCTTTCAGATGATTCATCCGGCATCGACTTTTTTGTCGAATTTCTTCTATTTACTTTTGATTGCTTGCCCCTTGCTATTTAGCAAAGCTAAAAGTCCGTTTTGCTCTCGATTCGGATTCGCACACGAATCGAAAGTGAAAGGAGCAGCGCCGGCATTTCTTCATCTGTTTCTGCAGTTGCTGTCAAGACGTTGATGCACAGAAAAAAACTAAGGTTACTAAGGAGAAAATAGAAAAAATGGTAACAAAACTAAAACTATTGAGATTTAAAATTAGAATTTATGTTTCTGTTGTTATACTTTCTTAAAATCTCTGTGGAATCTTACAAAAAATGAAAAATGTAACTTATAGACTGCATTTGTGTTTTGTGTGTCTTATGTCTGCGGGGCATGGGCATCGGCTTTGGCAATGGCATTGGGATTGGGTTGATGTTGGAGCTTTGGATTCCAATCTGGATTGGGATTGGTGCGGGTGCTGCTGCCGCGTGAACGCTTCAACTTCAACATCAACTCCAATTCCAATTCCAACGCCAGCTGCTGGCGGATGCTTGCGACAGTTGGAAAGTGTTTGCCACTTTGCCTTCTCCAAGTCGTGTTTTAATTTTGTTTTTATTTTTTGTTTTGCGGCCAGGGCAAATATTTGCATACTCTACGCCATCAGCAACCGCAAATTCGAGTAGCAATTGCTCTTAATTTCGTGTGGCACAATTTTGCAAAGAGGCAGCTGCTGCTACTCTCGGCTTTCTGGCCTGTCCGCAATTATGAATATTCATTAATCGATGACAGGCATTTGGTTTTGGCGTTTGGAATTCACCGGCAAGATTTCTCTACCGTTTGCCTTTTTGCCGAGTCAAAAATCGAAGGCAATTGAAGCATCGCCAAGGAAAGAAAACATACGAGGAAGTTGCAGTTGCGCTTTTCCACATACCCACAGAGTGGCACACCTCCAAAGAAAAGCCAGCAAAACGAAAATCGATAATTGAAAAAAAATATTTGCAGGCAAAAAAATGCAAAACTTCGGCATTAGCATATATTTGCCCCAAAAACAGGGTGCTGCGTGAGGGAACTGCGGGTGTGCGGCACTCACCCTGTGTGCCACATACAGGAAAATATTCGCAAACGAGTATTGGCGGAGAGGCCTCGCCGCGTATGCCATCATCACTTTCACCCAGAGGTGATATAATGAAGGCAGCCCAGCGAGCCCCTGACTACGTCACCACCGACACCAGATGCCTCTTCCTGAGACATTAACTGAAGATTATTGCCACTAATCTTCGCCTCTTCCTTCAATTGCCAATGATGGTGATCGTTAAAGTCAATCCACCTGCGTTGCGGAAAACAAATGTATTTCTTTGCCTAATAGTTCGTTGGGTAACAAAGTGTAAAAATCGTTTAAATCAATCTATATGGTTTTCTTAATGGTGGATAAAAGTCTTTTCGGGCTATTTCTTAAAAAACTATTAAATAAGTAAAGCAATAATCTGTTTCCTAGAAAGAAATAATCAATTTATTTTGCAACTGTAAAATCATAAACCATACTTAGGAAAATTCTCTGCATCTTTATACAAATTTCATTCATTATTACTTAAGGTAGATATAGTACGAGTTTATAGCAATAAAAATATCTTAAACCAAATCAAATTCTTTATCTTTCCTTTTCATCCCCCATTCTCTATACGTTCTTTGGGCTTTCCAAACCCCGTGATCCGTTTTAGCACCCCCAATACCATTTGCAGTTCCAAGAACAATTGAACCCCGGACTGATCTGATCTGCTTTTTGTTTATGCGAATTTAGCACCAGGTCTCGATCATTGCTAACGATTATCAACAACACCTTCTAATTCGATTAGCAAAGCTTGACAAATTGCCAATATTTAGTTAGCCAATTAGCAGATGTCGGTTCAGTTGAGACAAATAATGAATGCCAGAAATGCCGAGGAACCGAAACCTAATGAATGCAGTCAAGAAGAGGGAGATTGCCAGAGACGCGTGGCTAGGATGTTAAAAACTTTCCATTCCCATCTTGATATGTCGAAAACAGATATGATCTGTCAATATATGTGTATTCCTCAGTGCCAGGCAGAAATGTATATAAAGTAAATGGTTGTAGGGTCTGTGGCACGAGCCAAACTTGATCGCAAAACTCGCGGCAATTAGTGAGCTGCGGTTGAAAGATACGAAAACCAAATTTAGCCAAACATTAAGGAATGGGAAATACTCTTACTAATCTATAAAACCCTTTAATTATTAGTTCTTGAATAGTATTAATATTATTATTATATTTTTTTTATTACCGTAAAGTTACTTTGTTAAAGTCCAATAAACTTTTTTTATACAAATTAGAAATTATTACTAGGGGAAAGAAATTATAACTAGGGAAAAACCATTTGGCTTTAGTTTACCACTTTCAGTTATTAAAATGAATAATTAATTAATAAATGTTTTTCAAAGAGCCTTGTTTGTAGTTTTTTTTACCAATTATAATTAATCAATTCACTAAACAAATATTCAGTTTAAGCTCAAAACAAAGATTAATATCCAAGGCGGTAACAATGCACAATGCACATTTAATAAATCCCAGCGTTGTATAACACACCTTTCTGAAGAGCAGCCAGATATTAAACACCTCAAATGCCATAAATCAATTTAAGATGCGGCTGTCGAAAAAAAGAAGAGCTACCTCGAAGCTTAAGATGAAGAGAGATGGCCAACTGGCAGCTGTTGCTTTCCTCGATTGGGATTACCAAATGGAATCTGCAGACAATTGAACGGAATCGTAGAGCTGGAAATGTGTGACGTTATGAATAGACGTTTAGATCTTTTTGTCTAGCAACCGACGGCCCTCTTCCATATCCCGACTTTTTCTGGTTTCTTTCTTTTCGCTAATTACACAATTGTCTCGGCCGAGACTTTTTTTTTCACATTTTTGTGTCATATGCGGGAAGACTGAGACTGAGACTTATACAACACGCAGACTTCGATGGGGAGCATGCGTAACCGAGGGTGTTTCGGTGTATTTTCCTTTTGAAATATGACAAGAAATACCACATGACGAATGCGGGATGGCAAGACCATCTACTATTCGCTGGCTGAGCAGCCTAAAAGGCCCATAAAACTTAAGTGCAAGAAATTATGTTGAGTAAATGTAATTGCCCAGCCAGATGATATATGCAAAGCCATTTGGAAATGCGTTTAATTTGCACATTAGTGCGTGGGAGAGATTTGACGTTTCGTAAGTATAAACAAGTCAGAGACGATGAGCGACCTAGAAAATTGCTGCATACGCTGACAGTGCAAGACATTTCATAAGGCTCAGCCGAAATTGGCAATAAAATTGGTCCGTTTATGGCAATCGCTGTTGACGAGCGAACAACCGTTTTTGGCAGCGGGCCAGGAAATTGACTTTTGGCCTATTAAAATACAATTCAAAACGGCGTTCGCTGTTTGACTTTCATTCGAGAGAGCTTTTCATAAATAGACGTTTCCTTATTGCAGCAGCCGCTCACTTCATCGAAAGATCGATCAGTTAGCCTGATAATGCCTCCACTTAACGGACAACTGCAAGTTGCAGATTGGAAAATGAATCTGGCCGGAGGCCAAACGGAACCCATCTGTCTTTGTGCCATCAAAGTGCAATCAGCCAGCTGAAGTGGCACAAGCCAAAAGTACAAAAATAGATCCCAAGATGTTGGCCAAAAAATAATACGAAAAAAAAAATTACATTAAAAAGTAAAAGAAGCCAGCAATATCGCCACAACGAAAATGAAAGTAAAATTAATTTTTTATTTTCGGCTTTTCAAGAGGCGCCCGCTGCCTGATCGCCGCTCGCTTCTTGGCCATTTTTTGGCGATGATGTCAACATAATTTCTCCACCTACACAGCAGGCCATCATCCATCCCAATCCCGCCTTGCTCCACTCTCTCTCTCTCGTGCTCTCTCTCTCGCCCTCTCTCACTCTGACCCCTGTCGTCGCTGCGTGATTGTGGACTTTAATTTAAGGCGAGCACGCGCTTACGTAAGTCAAAACCTGGCCGTGGCGACCCCGGACTCGAGTTCGTGTCTTCAGTCTTTTGTTTTTGCAGGAATCGTAAGCTCCCTCATTTCCATGATAAATACTCGTACATTCTGAACCGAAAATTCGGCGTGCGGTGCGGATAATGATCCCCCGAAAAAAACTTCCACTCCAGCTGAAACTCCAACTCCAAAGAGAGATGCAACAAATGATAATTATGGCTCAGACATATCATTGTGTTATTGTAGTCGCACCGAAGAAAGGTTAACGCAGTGAAAAGAGCAAAGCGAACCGCCTGCAGGGCCCGCCGTCCAGCGGTGCGTATACATAATGCTCAGCCGACATTCGCATTTGTTGCTGTAACATTTTATTGCTTTTTATTCGACTGCGCTGCCATCATCACAGCGCGCGTCATAATATACATAATTTCTTAATTGCTTGGGGTCAGCTCTCGGATGGATGGATGGATGCTTACTTGGTTTTGTTATGGCTGATTGCTTCTTCTGTGTTTTTTCCCCCTCTTTGGACTCTTTTTTTCCTTCTTGGCTTCCATATTTTTGGGGCGCCACGCTGCGGCAGCTGGGTAAAACTCAGCATGGGATTTCGTCAAATAATCATAATTTTTGCGCGAGCGCGTGACGCTGATGGTGATCTGCAGTTTCTTCCTCAGCCCGAAGTTCGAGCTGATCTTTCTGCAACAGCCTGCTAATTCAACTCATCATCCGCAATCGTTATGAAAGTTAGCGCCGAAATATAATTACCTTACAACAGGACACAAGTCAAATCGATGAACAAAGTTTGCTGATGGGAAATTTACCTTGGCAAAGCACTAAAAAATCTTGGGGGCTTTGGTGAATTTGGCTTAAAATATGTTATTTTTTCTCTTAACAAGGCTTTAACTGAATTGTCAGGACCCTAAATGGTAAACACATATTTTAAGTGGGCAATAACTAGTTTAAAGACATGTTTTGAAGGATATTAAAGTAATTTCAGGTAAAAATATCAACAGAAAGGCTTTCCATTCTCAACTATGACCATCAATTTTAGGGTAATTAAATTAAGTAGAAAGAAGAAGTTTGATTTTAATTAAAATCTCACTTCCTTGACCTCAGCGATTTCACCAAGTCTTTCTTAACAGATCCTACTCGTAAGCTGGCTTTAAGCCACCTATTGTTTTGTCTTTTGCAAATCTGAACTTGACAATGGTCTCACGTAACAAAGCCATTTGGGGGTCTTATTCCCTGCTCTCCTATTCCCAAATCCCCGCACACACAATACCATATGCTAAAATACACTATTCACCTCTGATTTCGACCCATTGTGCTGGACTTAAGCCGAATTTCGTTTGTATTTGCTTACCCGTTCGTTTGTTAAAATATTTGCCACCAACAACGTGCCTGATGAATATGTAAACAAAATTCGCATATAACACTCACATACCCCTACACATGTTCCGAACTTGTTAACGAGTGCTCATATATGGGGATTTACTTTTTGGGTTAATGTTAATGCGAATGCATCTGCTGATGGGCAATTTAAAAAAGTTCACCAAATTGTCTGACATCGACATGCAAATTTCATTTAACTTGTTTTCCCTTTGCGGTTTCCGTTTCGGCTCTTTTCTCCAACCATCCATCCACACAGCATTCCCATACCCGTATATCTATGCATAATTTGGACACTTAACTCTTTATACTCTGCCAAAGGGGCTGTCCCAGTTTTGGCACAAAATTTGCAACTCAATAAGGTAAGATGCTGTAATTAAATAAGCTTACTTTTAGGTTTATCAAGTGAAATTTTTGCTTAAAAACGGCTCATAATACTATTTTTTAGATAATACTAATATTATAAAATATTAAATTTATAAAATTAAATTTCTAGAAGAGCATATAAAGTTTTGGTGGTTCTTTCTTTCTGATTTTGGTAACTGCTTGCATAAAAGCCAGAGAAATACCTGGATGGCGGCGTGGGTGCCTTTCACTCAACTCCGTTTCGGGACGGATGGGCGGCGTGCCATGTCAAAGTTGGATTCGAGTGGAGTCGAGTGTGCAGAGTCTGCTTCTGCTGCAGCTGGAAATGATTCAATTTCATGGCCATTCATTCCGCAGCCGCAGTGAGTGCGCGGCCACCGCAATTTGGCGCAATTAGCAGCAGGCAGACTTTTTTTCTAACTGACAGCCAAGCAGGCGGCACGCAATGCACTCGCCCATTCGCCCATTTGCCGCAGACGCCCCCACTCGAAAACCCCATCACGAACAAAAAAAAAGGAAATCCAGTTGCGAGGAAAAGCACTCGTCTAGCTAAATGAGGAACGCCTGCTGACGGGTTGGCCAAAAGGGGGAGGGCTGGCCAATCCACCGACCTTGCCGCCCGCGATTGCTCCACAATTTGTGGGGCCTGGACTTTGTCTTGGCTAATGACCATCGCTTGGACGCAGGCAGAACCGCTGACCTTTCGCCAGTCGCAGAGCAAGTGAAGCGTGCCAGCTGCAAGTCGCCAAGTCCGGCATGGCATCTTTAAGCCGAAAATGTTGTTCCCTAATTAAAAAAGGACAGAAACCATAATAAACTTTGTAAATAATATGCGTAAAGTATTTTTAAAATCCTTGTTTAATTATAAATAATTCTATACGAATGATTTAATTTCTTTCTATATTTTTAACTATGAACTTTATAATTTAATTTAAATAAAATATTATTATTAGTGAATATTCACCAATCTCTTCGACTAAAACCAGGGAAAGTGTATCTGTGACGTGGGCAAAATATATATCGTCATCTTGTCTGGCGACAACCACTGGAAGAGTGGCCGGGTCGGATGTGGATGTGACTGGTGGATGTGGCCACTGGCCAGTGGATGCAATCAAGCGGCGAACGCACAACGAGCTGCGGTGCGCTTGGATGGACAGGCTGTCGGCTCCGGATTGCGACACTTTAACGCAGCCAAAGCAACATTTCGAGGGCTCTTGGACTCTTGGAGGTTGCAGTGCAGCCGTCACCGATTATTTGTGGTCAAACATGATGGAAACTAAAAAGGAAAAGTCAAAGCTGCCCGCAACCGGAACCGATTTTCCAGCTGACTGGTGGACAGTTAGGAAATTCTCTTAGTTGTAAGAATAGATTGGCTTCCAGTTTTTTGAAAACAAGAAACAAATTGATAAAATATTTTCTTTCTTTTGGATTTTGTTAAACTTGTGATAACGCGGACTTATATTAAATGTGGAATAAAGCCTTTTTGTATGTTGTTCATCTTAGAAAATTAATTTTGTAATCATAGTAGGACTCAAGTTAATATAAAAATGATTCAAAAACATCATAAAATAATAATATCGGTTACATTTCAAATTTGAATCCAGTTTGTTTCGCGCCTTATCAGCACTCTTGTCATCCCCCTCTAACGGATGCGTTCTTGTATTAACCACCAGCACGCAAGATAGATGAAGTGCAAGTGAGACAACTAGTTTAAGTGAACCGCTTAATTTTTAAAACCGCTTCGTGCCAGGGCTGCGAAACACTTTTATTAAAACCGTTTTAAATTCAAATCAAAATTTGAAAATTAAATAAGTTTTAACAAAAAATTACAAGGTGTTTGATTAATCTTTGTGCGCTAGCTGAATTAAGCTCTTTGAAAGCTGACCTTGAAGTCGTCAAACAATTTCTGTAAAGATATAAGAATAATTGTTATGAATATTAATTTTAAAATATTTATTCTTACTTTTCTTGGTGGCAGTCCATCCAATCTTTGAATTGGCATCCTTATTGTATTTATTAACCCAATCCAAAACAGGTTGATAGTATTCCAGCAGTGCCAGGCTACTGAGTCCAGTGTTATTGGGCAGTATTTTGCCAACCACCTCTTTCCAGGGCTTAGTAGAACCCAAAGACATCATTGATCTGGGAAAGATAAGCTGTTTAGTCTATCTAATTACATAATAAGGAAAGGAAAACTCACTTTAAATCATTGCCCACAGCCAAGCTTCCATAGAAATCGCAGTTGTGAAGTGGTTTTCCGCTCAAACTCTTTTTGCAGAGCTCGCGGTAAAACTGATACCCAAGAATCTCCGAAATGAATTTCCTTAAATTCAAAATTCAAAATTACAGTCTATTATTAGAAATTAGTTTACTTAACTTACTGAGTCTGGAAGCTTTGATCAATGTTTACGTAGAACTTGTAGGGGAAATCAATAGCTCCTTCTGACCGATCCGAAGGCGGTTCGATTCCCGCATGCTGCTCCATGAGGCGCCAGTAGTGCTTGTTCACGGTGTCCATGTCCACTGTATCGTTGAGAAGATCATGCATCACCTTGGTGTGCACATAGTACAAGGGAATACTAAGAATTGTATGGATGGCCTGGAGTAGGGATTATACAGTCTTTAGACTTAAGTATATGATTAAGTACCTTTTAGTACTCACCATGCGGAAAAGACGACTCATCAGAGCGGTTTCGCTGAGTGCTTCCTTGGCCAAACGGCGACCAGTAAGATGTGCTGGCGAGGAGGCGGATAGGACCACAGCCTCACCAACAGCAAACTCCAAATTGTAGGCCTTGAAATAGTACGAGGGAAGGTTCCTCTTCTGCTGGGCATAGTAAACCCTGGCCATGTGACTGTGATACTGCATCATCTTCCGGAAACTGACCTTCTCGCAGTACATAAGGTAGACATGCGGGGTGAGGTCAAAGATGGAGGGTCGGCAGTCGTCATTTGGACTATCCTGATTGGGTTCCTTCAACTGGTTCTTGTGGAACTCCTCAGATAACGGCTCGAAGCCCAGCGAAGTGTAGAAATTCTCGGATTCATTCACCATAGCCCTGGCATTCAGGTCTTTGACAAACTCATCGAACTCCGGCAACTGGGCACGTGGATAGTACTGCTCCAGGATGCTGCCACTGGCCCAGGCCTGTTCAAGGACCTGTTGGAACAGATGATCCGGTATGGGTCCATTGAGATTTACAACATCGCCACCATATTTCTTATGCAGCTCCTGGCGGACGAAGGCGTGGAGTTGCTGGTAAGCTGGGCGAAGTTCCACCATCGCCTGTTCCATCTGCTGTAGCATCTCCTGGCTGTCGTATTTATACCACAACTTATGGACTGGTACCTCTAGGATTTTGGCAGCCTTCTGATAAGATTGAACAATGGTATAGAAATTGACAGATGCCCAGATCTGGTTCTTCTCGCGCCATGCCTCCCAGTAGTACTTCAATTCATCAGCATCCTGGCTGCTCTTAACAATCTTTTGGATGTCCGGGAAATAGGCCAGTGGACTGTCATCCTCGTTGGGCCTATTTGCTCCGCCCAGATACGGCTCGATATCCTGGTCCGTGGAGAGAGTTTGTAAGGCGGCCAAGTTCATTTGCACGGAGGAAAAGTAATCATCGCCCAGGACAAACAAATCTCCCGCAGTGCGCAGCTCTTGAAGAGCAGTCTTGGTCTCCGGATTGCGAACCCTGTCCAGATCAAATCTAGCAGCCTGCCGGGAAATGCTCACCAGCTCCTCGGCAATGCGTTTCACATTGTTCAGCTTGGAGAACAAGGCATCGAAGTCCTCCTCATTGTTGGCCGAATACGTTTCGGCGGCAATCTCGTTGTAGAATTTGTAGTAACGTTCACTCGATTGATTCACAAAAGTCTTGGCCTCGAGGTCAACATTGGCAGCCGCAGTTGAGCACTAAAATTAGATGAAAGAGATGAAGACCAAAATGAAACACATTTCTTGATACGCAATAAGATGAGTTAATTTGTGTTTCGAGCTATTTTGTTAAGATCTCATGGTTGAATCAAAGATTATTATTTAATCGCTATAATGCTTACGGCAATGCCGGCTATCAGCAGCACCAGCAGCAGCAGCAGGCTCATCTCCCCTGGAATCAGTTTCACTTTCGCACTCAACACCGGATCTCCTCGAACTGAGCTGCTTCCAACGTTAAGCTGGCATTTAAAGCTTTCCCCGGGTAGCTGATAAGCGCAATCAGCGAGAGATTCTCGTCCGGAGGCCGACCCACAATAATTGAGAACAAAACGTAGCTTTGTGGAATGCTTGACGATGATGTCTTGTTTATTAAGCGGCTCAATAAAGATGCAATAGATTGCTAAAAGTTATATATCTAGTAATGGGCAAGGCCATCGATTCGGGTCAGGGCGGTAAAATGTGGATCAGGAGCGGTTCGTCATCTAGTTCTGGCGCTGAACGGTGCGATTCTCGTGGCGAATGTTCACGTCTACAATGCTCATGTTGGGAGTGAGGAAGTTCACCAGGCGATCGACTCCAGAGCGGGGCAATCTATCGAAAGGATAACCCATGGACTGTCGATCCGGGTACAGGCGGTCACGGACACCACAGTAGGAAGCAGCATCACTGCAGCGACCCACCAGTTGCTGGTCAATCTGAGGGATATAAATAAGGTAAGGATCAGGAAAGATTCTTGGTAATCCTTGTCAGAAACATACCCTATCATTCTCATAGTTGGACACCATGATGAACAGCACACAAGGCAGTCCTTCGGGCAGACCCTTCGGTATCAACATGTGATTAGGCCATCCACAGCCGCAGAAGTTGAACTCCAGTTCCTCAGCAGTGCCGGCAGCCGGGCGATTGGCATCCAGATTACGGAAAGTGCGCTCGAATGGAATAGTCACACTCGATTCAGTGGATCGGCGACGAATCGTGTTGGGTCCCGGGTTCAGGGCAACCACAAACTTATCCAGTTCAATCATCAGGGAACGCTGTTCGCGCAACAACATGGGCTGACCACGCTCATCATTCTTGGGTGCAATGAAGATGCGCACGTAGCCGAATCTCTGGGCACCGCCATCGTTGTTCACACTGATAGTGTAGGTGAAGGGCAAGTACTGCAGATGGGTGAAGCGGGCGAAGACATTGCCACGGGGCAGGAAATCAAAGCCACGGGACATGTCGACATCCGACTGCTGCCAGAAGGTGGTCAGTGTGTTGGGCTGACCTCCATTGGTGTCCACTTGGATGCCCTCAATAGTGACGCCAGAGTAGTTTAGCCGAGTATCGGTATAAGCCGGCAGGCGGCTCTTGTGCTCCTGGAAGATGCGATCGATGTACGAGTGCCACTTGTAGAAGACCGGGTCTCGCATGGCGGTGGACACATCACCCATCACTCCAAAGGACTCCAGATGCTTGCTGGTCGGATCATGGGCATAAGAGATGAAGGTGTGGCCATTGTTGTGCAGATCACCATACTAGAAGGGAAGAGAGATTAATCTACAATCCGGCTAAGAAACCTGAAGAATATTACCAGGGTTCGGTTAGGTGACAGAATGGAGGACTCAATCATGTTGCCAAGGGTGTCGATGCCCGTAGCTTCATCCAATGGCACTCGGTTGCCACGCTCCTGAGAAGTTATTTATAATTTAACACACTACCTTAATAAAAATCAAACCTAACACTCACATCCATGACGAATCCTTGGTGGATAGCCTCATAGATGCGATCACGCCAGCGCTCCAAATCTCCGATTTCCACGTTAAGCTGATCAGCTTCTCGGTTGAGATCGCTCAGCCTGATGTTCTCGAAGCGAGGAGGCCAAGCGCGACTGGCCACCAAAGAGTCCATCTTGGGGAAGTATCCCTCGGCAATGGGGTCCCGCAGATTGTTGAAGGGCAGTACCCTAGCAAGGTTGTTGCTGAATCTCTCGGCATTGTAGCGGGCAATCACCTGCTGGTGCATGTAGTAGAACAGCTCACCACGGCGATCCTTGTTCACAATGCTGCGGTCAGAGGCCTCGAAGGGGTACACCAAATGCCAATGCCAATGGTGGAGGTTGATGCCCAAATCCTCACGGAAGTACCATAGCCTGTGCTCTGGATCAAGATCGGAGGCGGTGTAGTCCCTGGGAATGGTGATGGGAATACGGGAACCTGGTTGCACCACAAACGACTCCTCACGCATCTGACGAATAACCTGGGAGTCAATGAACCGATCGGGGAAGGTCTGCGAGAATGAGGGCAGATCCAGACCCTGGGTGTCTGGACGATGGAGTAGAGCCACCGATAAGGCGTAGTTGAAGAGAACTGGGTTAACACGATCCCTGGCATAGACGGCCACACTCTGCAGATCATCAACGGAGCGCATGTTCATGAAGATGTCTATCAGGCGACCGGCAATCCTGCGGTGCTTGGGCAGGAACAGCGAGAACTGCTCATCGCGTCCCAGTGACATGGGAATCCTCAGATCAGGAATGGAGATCTCCCGGACTGGAACTCGCTGCTCCACCTTATCGCCAACACGGCTCTGAACCTCATTGCTGATTGGGCGGTAACGATCGGTCAAGAAGGAATCAGGAACATCAAACACGGTCACCCGTTTGCCCTTGTCCATGAACACAGGCTCAGTGGGATGATCGAAGAGCAGGAGAAGATTCTTCTTATCGGCCATGTTTGATGAGTGTTCTACTACAGGATCTCGAAGGAAACTATCTGAGGAAATGTCACTGGAAGCCTGAACACTTCACAACTGTGACTATCCACTGAATGGTTTCCCTTTTTATAGCAAAGTTAGGAGGTACGAAATATCTAATATCTTTTGGAGAAACCGCAAGAACGCCTGTGAAAGTTTCTTCTCACGCGATGATAAGGATTTGAAAACCGCAAATTTTGTTTTTAGCATATTTCTAAAATGCATTTTTTTATTATTTCAAGAATATTTCATTATTAGTTTTTGTTTTGTTTTATTTTTTGGTTTTGCTTTTGCTTATCTATACATATGTACTATTGGAATGAAATCGGATTTGGTTATCTCTGGGTTATGCCTGCGTTGTAAATCAAAACTTCTCTACATAGACGCTCTTTTCGCTTACATCCCATCCAAACAATTAATTATATATATATATGTATATATATGTCGCTACATGCATTATACGGCAATAATAATAATAATAATAATAATTACAACTCGGCTATAATCGATCAACACTTCCCTAATTCCCTACAACTTCGTTATTATATAGTATAGCGCTAAAGACAGATATATATAGAGACAACGAGATATTTGGCGAATGAGAACATGAGAAATATCGTACGACAAGCGGATCTATATAGCGTGTATATACAAGAAATCTGTAGAAATTGCTATATTTTGCTGCATTTGTTAGTCGCTCCGTTTTCGTTGTGTACGAGTATAGGCGATAGTTGTTGTTGTTTCTCAGTTGGTTACATATGTGTAGATCTTGTAAAAAGTATCTTAGAAAAGCCCTGGGCATGTCCCGTGTTCCTTGGCCATGATATGTTGTGTTTAAGCTCTTAGAATATATATATAGAGAGAGAGATAGAGTTAATGGTAGGAGGGGGTCTTCAGCTTGGTTCCGATCTCTCAGCCCGAAGAGAAAGTAAGAATGGTTAGCTGGGTGTTTGTGTATAAAGACTTTAATCACATCCAAAAATGCATACACATGTATTTACATAATATCGTGCAGTATAAATCAAGAGTTATAGAAAAATATATGTCTATGTGTATATATATAAATATGTGTGTCTGTGTCGTGTATATATATACGTAATTCAAAAAAGAATTCAGTGCTGTTTAACAACTTAAAAACTGTTGTTCGAATCGATGTGTTTTGATGGTTAGAATTTGATTTTAGTTCGGTTTAAAGCGCAGTTAGCTACTCCTTGTATATATATAATATATATATATATATATCAAAATCATATATTGGAATATGATTTGGTAACGTCGGGGCAATAGATATACATACATAGTTACAAATAGTTGTCGGTACATACATACATATAATACTTGTTCGATTTTGATTTGCTTCTCAACTTTGTAGGGTCTCTCGTCGGTTGTCGTTAAGGTTTGCATGTGTATATTGGTGCCCAAAAAGTTTCAGACTACGCTAAAGCTACGGATAACATCTAGTTCTAGTTTGGTTTTGGTTTTAGTTTTTCTTCGATTTTTCATTCAATTCGTTTTCGTCAATTTTTGATGCCTTTCTGAGCGTACATAAAAACATACATACATATATACGAGTATCGAGGAACTTTCACTACTTTCAACAATATCGACATCAACAACGGGGATCCAACGAAATGGAAAATAACTATCCGGTGCAAATATGCAGGGGTCTTTGCTCGATCGGAGATAATGCCTGGCCTTTGTACTGAGGTTCGCCCGTATCACTTTTCCACTAGCCAATACAACACTGTGCCTACTACTTACTTACGCAGATACTTTGAACGTCTGGGACTCAGGTACAAGTTTCTTTCGATGCGACATGGTGCAGCTGTGTTAACCAACCGAAGGTGAACTTAAAAGTTTCAACCCAAAACAAAAAAACAAATATACGATCCCTAACCCGCACCCTAAATCGTAAGTTGACTTCCGTTCCATTCCGGCCAGCCTAACGACCGACCGACCACTTAGTTCGTTGAGGTGGCATTCTGGAATTCCTGCCGGCAGTAACCCATCACAATATCCGACCGGCAGTCGCCGCCCATAAGTCCCGGCAGGAGCACTGCCGCCCCCAAGATAGTCACCAGGGCACCAAAGACCACCAGGCCCAAGGCGGGCAGCTTCTCGCGGCTAAGCAGGGCATGCGGCTCCATCTGGATGTAGGCCAGACCGGGCAGGATGTAGGCCAAGGGTATGGCCGCCAGGAGACCCTGAAATGGGTGAATGGTTGGGGCATAAATTTGCATGGCAAATACACAGACGCTTTTTGGGCCACAATTTGTGGATGCCATTTGGGATCGGCAATGTGGCCAATACCCGTGACCAGAATACAAGGGGCAAACGACTTACTGATGATAATAAACTTGGCCATAAGGTTGCCCCATTTGGCCGGGACAATGTGAATGCTGAAGTTCGAATTAGTCTCAGATGTATTTAATAAAGCTCTTGAAATGTATGGATTCTTTGTTGGTTAGCCCTCAACTTGACGATGCCTTTCTAGGATTTATACTTTCCTATTTCAGCGATAACATCAGAAAACGGAATAATAAATAGGTTTATCCAGAAACCAGTTTATAAATTGGTAATAAATAAGTTTTTAACTTGCAAAGACAAATGTCTTTAATAATATTCCTAGAAATCTATAGCCTAAGTACCTTCCCTACTTCAACGTTTATTTAATTTTTGCCTACTTGTTCTGGTCAAGGGTACAAAGCCTCGTTTTCCTTTTTTTTTTCCAACCGGACGTGAACAGAAATCATGGATTAAGGACATGGGAAAATCCTACTCACATTCAGCTCCAAAACAGAACCGAGGCAGTCGGTCATGGGCGAGATGACGAAGGCGCTGAACACGATGGCCATGGTAATGGCTTTCGAGTACTCATCGATTATGGCCCCCTTCTCCAGGCTGGGGTCCTTGTCCTGGGTGAACTCGCTGATGGGCTCCTTCAGCACGAACCGATGGACGAGGGCGCGCACAATCTGTTGGGAGGAAATAGCCCCAAAATACACATAAGTTTTGTGAAACTTTCTCTTAAGTATCTGGGATCAAACCTCGCGGGAAACGAAGCACTCGATGGGGAAGGTCAGTAGTATCGATATAGAGAAGAGTACACGCGAGAAGTTCATCAGGTCGTCATCCCAGCAATAGTTCTCCAGCAGGTCGCCTGCAAAATACAAAGAAACAAAGGAAATCCCAAAAGGGGAATTGGTGGGCGGTAAATAGTAAAATAGTAAAATAGTAAAAAAGTAAATGCCAAAAACAGCAGACAGGATACATCCGCAAATTGCCTGTCAGTGCAATTAAATGCAATTTGTGTCAATCCCTCACCTTGGGATAAGGCGCGGAAGGTGGAGTAGCCAGCGATGCCGAACAGGGCCGCCACCGTCCAGGCAAATCCAATCGAAATGTGGGTGACCTTCTCCCAGCGCTCCATGGTCGCGTCGCGCATCGATTGATAAACGAGAAAGGTGTTGTGATGACACATGAAAGCTGCACAGACAGATGTCCAATAGATAGATAGATAGATAGATAGAAAGATATATATATAGAAGGACATTCGAGTGGAAAATCCACCCACAACTCACCGAAGACCATGATGCCCGTGGCCGGGATAAGATCCGAGTTGGCGAACCGCCAAGACTCCGCCGTGTCCGTTCTGAGAACAAATCATCGCATCCGTGAAGAGCATAAAAGAGGTGGTGAAAAAAGGTTTTTCCAGGAAACATTACACAAAAGTTAACACCAAATTAACATTTCGTTGGCTCGCCCTCGGACAGCCCCAGGAAATGTGAATTATTCGCATAAAAAATGAGTAAAAACAAAAGGTGCGGACCGTAAGATAAGACGAAAACGTGGAAAAAGCCAGGCAGCCGCAAATTGGAAATTTATTTAAATTTTATACCAAGCCGCAGACGCAGCATTCAAGGTTCACCCATCCAAAAGCAGAAAAAGGGGACCTGCTGACCTTGAAACTGCAGGGGAAAGTGTTGCGTCCTCCGCTTTTCCAGCGCATATGTATGTATGCATACAACTTAGTTGCCACTGCAACAGACTCAACTCGACTCGCCTAATGAAAAGCCATAAAAGGCAAACAAGTGGCACACTAAATTTTATGAGCTCTGTGCTCCCCAGCAGCTTCTGCATCACCAGGGATGGGAGTGGATAAGGGAGTGGAGGGCTGGAGAGCCACCGCCCTGGGCAGTTGCCACAGATTTGAAAGCACTAAAGCGCCACTTAGCACTAAAGCCCAGAACCACCCCCAACCCCCAACCCAGACAAAACCACCATCAACCATCCTCCATCCACCATCCACCATCCATAGCCCTATTCCCAAGCTCAGGTCCAACTGGTTGCAACTTTGTTAGCGGTTTTCGGGAAAATCGAGCAAAGTACACAATTTGTAATTAAAATGTAAATAAATCTTCACGCGTTTAACCAGCTATATTTTGCTTCTGTTTTTTGTTTGGTAATTTTTATAAATTGCTTTGGCGGCTAGAAAGTTCCCAGCCAAGTTGGCGGTAAAATGTTTTAGGCAACTTTCAAGGCATGTTACCTTTTAAATTTCGGTTAATTTTTCTTTTATTGCCTCCTTAATCGAATTTTTAAAACAAATTGTGCTCAAGTCACACAAATCATAATTAAATTTCGAATAAATTTATATTTTCAGTCTTTTTACAAATTGCTTTTGCTTTAATTAAGACGAAGAGTTTTGTGGAAAACAGTCAAAGTCCAGAGCCATCATATTCTTTATAATCGAATTCAATGAAATCAATACTTTTGAAAAGTGAAACCAATTGAATGACATTTCGACGCTTTGTGCATGCCAATAATTGATCTGATACTCCTATTATAATTGTCACTAATTGAAAACGCGAAGCTCGAAATGAAAATGGGTTAATTTTCAAAATCTCATTTGTTATATGTCTTCTTTCCCACTGGCTGAACTCGGCTAATGAATTATTTATGTGGGTCAGCCGTCAGGTAGTTGCAATTGGAATTTATTAGCTGAAATCCAGCGTTAATTGACTCAATCGATGGAGGTTGGCATTTCGGTGAAAACATTATTCGATTAATTACACACGCCAACTATTTTGACATAGATATATATCTTGATCCTAACTCTTGTAGAAAAGGGTTGACATTCTAAACTTAAGGATACTAAAATCAAGAGTTTTTTAAACCAACTGAGTTAATCAGACATTGTATGTCCCCATTCTTGTTAAGAAAAAACACTGATTATTAACCCAACATACTTACACTTTATAATCGCCCGACATGAGCTTGATGATGACCGCAAACAGGATGAAGACCACACAGGCCAGGCTAATGAAGCTTGCACGGGCCAGTCGGGAGACGTTCTTATAAAGACATAGAGGCATTACCACGCCCACATTGACGAAGAAGACAACGCCCAGTCGAACAGCGCCCATGGAACCGCCCCAGGAGGGAAAGAAGCGAACCAGCACTTTCGACAACGTATCGCCCACCACCACATTGTAGGATATCATGGCTGTAAAGAGAGAGTTTGGTGAAAGCATCAGAAAAAATTCTATCACAAAAAATGCTCATCAAATTTATATGACGTAATAAAAATGTTGGATTCAAAGATATCTAGCAGGATATCGCGAATACCGAAATGTAACTTGAAAATGTTAGAATATCTTTTATTAATAAAGTATTAAAAAAACTAGTTATTAGAAGTTCTTTTAAGTTAAATATTTTTCTTATAACAGAAAGCAACAATTGGTTCTAATAGTAAAGCAAATAAGTAAAACATTTCTTCTTTCTCATTAATTAATATAATAAATAAGTGATAAATTTACAGATTTACTTAGCAAAATAAAAATGATTTATTGGCAATGCCGATATGGCCACCAAAAACACATTTATCTCTGTACAATGTTATTTTAGCCTCCAGTAAAGGAGGAGTTGACAAACTCACCCAGGAAGGGATACATGAACTGCAGAAGGGAGAGCAAGTAGTAGCCGTACTTGCCGTAGGCGGCCTCCATGATGCCCGGATAGCTGAACCGGCCGCAAATGTGGCCGCATCTGACCTGTAAATGAAATGAGGCTTAAACGGCTGCACACGCCCTCGCAAATGAGTGCGCTCGTTAATTATGGAGAAAATGCTAGGCCCGGAATCGAACGGAAATGCGTTTTGCATGTGACTTCGGTGTAGCGAGGCCTGATTGCCACTTTAAACCGATTTTAGGAAGGAGGAAGGCATCTCATTAGTTAGGGCTTGCACACACTCACCATTAGGATGAGTGAGTAGTCGGTGATGTAGGCCACCAGGATGAGCAGGGCCAAACCTAGGCCGAATCCGGCCCTGTGGAGAGCGTAGGGTATGCCAATGACGCCGCTGCCCACAATGGAGTTGATGTAGTTGAACGATGCCTGTGGCAGCGAGGACAACGTGTCGCCCAGTCCAGCATCCTGGTGTGGTTGCTGCTGCGAAGGTTGACGATGTTGCTGCTGCTGTTGCTGTTGCTGTAGCTGCTGCTGTTGCTGTTGCTGCTGATGTTGCTGTTGCGGCTGGCCCTGTTGCTGATGTGTCTGATGGTTATTCTAGGACGGTGTAACGTACAACAAAGGTTAGCAATCGGTCTCCCTTGTGCTCTCCATTACTGCACGTTGATTGGGATAAGAGCGCAAAATTGCCTCGAGTGCCTCTTTACATCAAAAGCAAAACCAACAGAGGACCTGCACATCTCTACACAGCTACCCATCTACCTCACATACCACCCGCTAGCCAATGTTGCGTATACGCAATATTCAGGTAGAGGTAAAGACAAAGGCAGCTCGTATCCGTATCGTAAATTGCGGTTGTGCCAAAAACCCTTCTCCACCTCTACTCTGGAAGTGGGTGTGTACACTGATAAAAATGATTGAGCAAGAATGGAAATTCTTGATTTTTTCTATTTAAAAAAACTTTTTATTAAGAATCAAATAAACAGTTTATGTGAACTTTTTAAGCTGAGAAGTATAATTAACATTTTCTACGGGTAAATCTATCCAATTAAAAATATCCTTTTGCATTTTTTCTGTGTGTTTATGGACGTGTGGTGGTAGCACGGGTCGCCCAGATCCCCGGCTCCAGCCGACTGCCATAAAAGACAATTTTATATCAAGAGCTCTCACATAAACATAAATAAAATTCCTCAGCCACGTCATAAAGTCACGAAAAGCAGGCCAATGTTGTTGTCCGCATTTACAGCATGGCAACTAAAAAATAAAACACCAGCAGCAACAGCAGTAGCCGTGGCAGGAAAATAATAAAAACCGAAGGGATAAGGATAAATTGGAGAAAAAACTTTAGCCAGCTGGCAATTAAAGAACTTCTGGCAACTGAACTTCGAGGGAAAAGGCAAACAAACAATGGAAAAGTTTACACTTCTCTGCAGCCTTACCTCCCAACACCCTTTATTAAAAGAGAGCGAGTGTAAAGTAAACATTTGCCAGAACTACTTTAAAATGGTTTTTGGAGGTGTTTTGGCTAATGAACATTTCCAAAGGCAAATTACGCGCGAGTTGAGTTGAGTTTTCAATTCAATTAAGTGGCGTCAAAGGTCGCCGAGAGGTTTTTTCTGGCTCTGGTGGCCCCCCTGTTGAGTATCAAAGAAAATGGCTAATTATGAGGCTCGGGCACGGGAAACCCATCGCCCAATCGCCAAAGTCACAAGCTAGAAGTCTCAGTGCCAAGGCTGATACAGCAAGGCCAGGTTACGGCAGCTGCGGCCCAATGAAATTACAGAGTGTCCGTTGTCAGTGGCCCACAGTCCTTCGTCCTTTAAAAAAAAAAGTCAAAAGAAAAGCGAAAAACAAAAAACAAGAAAGGAAAAAACAAATTGCGCCGTCGAAGGCAAATGGGCCAACGTTAATCTCGAGCCGGGGCGGAAAAGCCCTTGAAGGGTGGGGAGGAAGCGGCACTCTCAACAGGATAATTTATAGCCAGCTGCCTTGATTAGTTTATCATATAGAAGATTACCCCGCCATTAAATTGTGATGGGCACTTGTCCTTGGACGAGTTAAAGTTTCATCACCGAATCCAGCCAAGCGCATCAGAAATCATAAATAATTGCCTGAATAAATGATATCGATGAATGAATAAATCTGTTTCCGGTGCTCAATCGAGCGTATTTTCGGGTCAAATTCGCATTTTCGGTTAAAACTGCCAACATTATATTTCGCTGGAATTCACATAAATAATTTTCTAGCATATATCCCCCCAGTCAGCAATTAAGCCCTGAAAATCCAATTAATTTAACAAGGGAAAAAAGCAGAAAAACCAAAAACCAACCAACAAAAATCCCAGTCGGAACTCAATTGACTCAAAAGCGTGTGAAACTTGGGAAAAGCGAAGGGGGAAAACAAAAAAAAAAGGGAAAACATGAGATGAAAATTGTTTGGTGGCTTCTCAGGTGCACGTGCCCACAGGTTGGCCCACCCAACTGGCAGAAATACCTGTGTCTAACAGAACGTTTCTAATAAAAGACAAACATTGTCGAAGGCAAATACAAACTCAAACACAAATAGAAACGCCGCACACGAAAGCCAATCTCCACTGGGGGAATCTCCCAAAACAGATCCTGAAAATATTCTAGGATCCCCGTTTCTAATGGCAAACAAACCATTTTATGCACTGCACGATTTTAATTAATAACACTCATGTCCTTCGCCCGTGTCCCAAACTCTCATTTCCAACTCCTATTTCCTGCTCAGCAGCAGAAAAACAAAGTTGAACCCTTGTACCCCGAAATGGAATTAAAAATACCCTTTGCTTATATAAGAGCATATATAAGTGAAGAAAGGCTAATAAAGGGTTTGAAAAAGAGAAAAATAATTGAAATTTTAATTAATTTTAAAGGATATTACTAAGACATAAAATGTACAAAAAATATGAAAGGGAAAAGAAACTTTCTTAGGAGGAAAAGTAATTGAAAACAAAAGTATAAGAAAGTTTTATATAAATAATAAAAAATCACCCAAAACAAATATCAAGATATATACTAAAAGGCATTTAAAATATTAAACAAATATTTTTTTATTAAGAATTTAAAAATGGAATGTTGTATTTTTATATTAGTAAACCTCTGGGATAAGCACCACCCATAACTAGACATACCCCAGACATAATACCATAAAGAGACCAAACAATTTGTTTGGCCAAAACTCTGGACACATATTTGGCTGGCCTAATGAAATTAGAGAACGACGACAGGACAATGGGAGCAACCAATTTGCACTTTAATGAAAGCGTTTTGGTCAACACCAGGCGCACACACACACACAAACATTCCCATGCCAGATTGAAAAGGGTTGGAGCATATTTAGGTGGTCCTGGTCCACTGGGCCAGGCCAAACAATTAACCAGGGACCTGAAAATTATGAGCGAGCCAAAATGGCACAATGACAGTACCATAAAAGCCGCCAGTTGCCGCAGAAATTGCAGCCAGTTTTTGCAATGCAATTCGTTCGTGTCCCGCTGAACTATTGACATAGCCATGTCGGCATTGTTGTCATTTCAGTTTCAGCCGTTGCCAGGGGTTGCCCGGGGTTGCACCCCATGCCGATAGACAAACAGGGCCTATGGTCCCTGTCCTCCGATCTGCCCGATTCATGCACATATACTTGTATAGTGAAAAAGTAAACACAAACATGCAAGGCAGCCAAATGGTCCTAGGGTCAGGTTTATCACGGGGCAGGGGCGAGGAATGTGCTCTGAATGGGGTGTTGTTTTAGGGAAATGGAAAAGGGTTTGACCTTTTGCCGCCTGCACAGCAAAAATAATACGAAATTGGCGACACAGTTAAGTTTTGTTGGAACTTCAATGAACCGAAAAGTTTCGTTTTAATTTAATAATTTCCAACTCAGTTCCCCATAAAAAGAGTTTCAAAGAAAGTTTAAACTTTTCGAAATATGCATTTACAGTATGATTGGATTGGAATTAACTAGAGAAGCGTCTAAAATTTGCATTTGAGAGTGTTAAGAAAAATTAAAATCTTTTCTTCAAAGTTTTTTGTTTTCTAGAAACTAAGCTTTTTTCCTGGAAACTCTTCTCTCTTAAAACCAGAAACATAGAAATGTTATATTTATCTTTCAAAAATGTAAAACTTCTCTCCAAATTAATTCAATGTTCTTTAAGTGTATATTTTCTTTGCTCATACTGTGCTCTGTAATTTTGGTGCTTAATTTAATTTGTGCAGTTCCCTTTCATTGCAATTAATGAGTAGTCTTTGCCGAGCTGGCCAAGAGCTGGCTGTTCCACTTTTTTGCTGGAACTAACCTAATTGAGAAACAGCCGGGCGAGTGTCCCAACTATTGGCAATTCGCCTTTGAGTTTGAGCCGGCGCGCGACCATTAGTTGTGCAAACAATCAGGGCTTTTTGGCTTCTTTTATTCGCACCCTCTCCCACTCGTTAATGCTGGAATTTTTTTTATTTCGGACAGCCTTGGCTTGGCCTAATGGCTTTGCCAACAACAAGAAAAACAGCAAAAGTTTCGGTGCGAGGCCTAAGAAAACAACAAAGGGCCAACACACTCACTCACATTCCCTGGCATTCCTTACTTATGCATGGTAATGCATCAAATATTACACAATGTTCCCATCAAGTTCTGGCCTTCATTTCCTTCCCCTGTCCCTCCGGAGAAAAACCCCAACTAAATATGTTCGAGTATATGTATGGGAAATCCTTTCCTGCTTTTTCCGACAGACATTCTCTGGTATTAGTTGCCGGGATTAGATTCGGCTTAAAGCCAAGTCAGCTTGCAGTGGCCTTAGCACACTTTTTTGGTAGTATTTAATAAGCTGTAAGCTAGATGGATGAGTTTATTTCTTATCAGTAAAGGAAGGCTTTGAAACATGGCTTTAGGAATCGCATTAGCTTTAAGAATTTTACAAGTTTTATGGATGTATTAAAATGATTTTCTCTTTAAAATGATTTTTTCCTAATACAACATTTCCTACTATTAATTTGTTCTAAAAGTTTTGACAGTTTTATGCATTTCAAGTTTTAATAACTCACTTATCTTGTTAGCCATACCATCCCGTGCTAAAATTTTCTCTTTAATGCCAGTAAACTAGTTTAATATTCCCAAGCGCCGCACAATAAATTCTTATAAAACTTTTTATTTTCCCAGAAATTCTGGCTAAAAGTATGCAATAAAAGAGCACACTTTCAATCGTAATTTGTCTTCGTTAAGAACTCGCACATGACTTTGCTCAATGCAATATTTAATAAGGCGCCGCGAAGTAGGCAAGAAAAGTATTTCTTAATAAGAAAATTCTTTTGATGTCCAGAGACCAAAAGCAATTTGTACCGCCCGAAAGACCCAGAGAAGGTCGCGGCCAGAATGCCAGATATGTGTGTCCCACTCTATCCGTCTCTATCACTTCTCCTTCTTCCCGTCTCTCTCTCTCTCTCAGACCGAGTGTGTAGGCGTTACTCGGAATTTAATGAATGTGAAGGAGAAACTGGAGTGAAGTGTGAATACGACTACGGTTCGCTATGCAAGTGCAGTGCCGGCAATGGGAATGTGAATGCGAATGTGGGTCAAAGTTTACCTTCATTATATTGTTGAAGTCATCGAATGCATAAGCCTCGGCGACCGACACATCGCTGCCCTGATGGAATGCATGAAAATCAAATTGTTAGCCATTAAATCGAGTTCACTTCAACAACAATCGAGTGCCCTCTCTGAATGATTCGCTTAAAAAACATAAACGTAAAATACATATCAAATCAAACAAGCATGCATATACGAATCATATCGCAAAAAAATTCCAATTTATTCGCATGCCGAATATATATATACATAGACTATCTGTATATACTGTATATATCTTATATATACCCGCACATATCTTTATGGAACACGTGTTTCTATATATATACGTATATCGCTGAGGGAAATGCGAGCGCGAGTTTCAGTGGTTGGCTGAGTTTTCCTCTTTTTTTTTTCATTTTATCGTTTTGGCCGTCAATTTCCGAGATACAGTGTTTGGTTTTATTGTTCTGCTGCCACAGCGGGGAGTTCGCGAGGCGCTTGGAATCCGTAAGGCGCCGAAATCGAAACCATTTAAGACACCCATTGTACGGACCACCACACTCCCACACTTGAGACCCTGGAGATGGACTTAGTCGGGTCTCGAAAGGGATTTGGCGATTCACCTTGATTGCCTGCGAGCCGGAATTGCTGACAAGCCGTGGGGTATGCAACAGTTATTGCATAACTTTAGCGGTGGCGTATGCGTGATGTTTAGTATTACCCATACGCCACGTGAACTTAACTTGGCTCAAACACTACGTCCACTTTACTTCCTGTCAGTGGCAGGATACCCTGTTGAGCACCATCAATGGCCATTGCCTTTGAAATTTATTTAAATTGGGTTTTCCGGACAACGATTTCCCATTCCTCGCCGAACAATGTTTGATTTAATTGGGTCAATTGAAATTGGGATTGAGTTAAGCGTTCGAGAGAGGCTTGCGGGCCAATTTGAAATTCCAATGTGAACTTAATTGTCGGCACGAAGTGTCTGAGAACTGAATGTTCCCCCAGGGCCAAGTGAACTGCAGGCTGCAGCTGACATTGATTTCTGTTATCTCACAAGGGATGGAAGGGGTGAGCTGCCGTTGACATTCTTATTTGATGCCTCAGCTGGCACAGCTGCAACAGGGGGAGCAGCACAAGGATCGAGAGAAGGAGGAGCTGCAGGAGAATCAGCAGGTCCAAGGCCAGACAGCAGATGCGCGGCGTTGCCACCACATGCCATGCATACTAAGCGACGATTAAGTGGATGCGGATATGGCTGTGACCATAGATATATAACTGGAGCAGAAATCTCATAAATCCTTCGCCGCCTCTTTGTGGGTGCTGTTGTAATTGTTGTTGTTGTGTAATTAAAGGTCGAGCTCTCCGCCTTATTGATTTTCTGGTTATCTCAAGTATTTTGGCGGCCGCCCCCTAGGGAGAACTTAATTAAATCTTGAAGGATCTCGGACAAATTTTCACGCCCGTCAAAGGTCATCGGTGAGACAATAAATAGCTGAATCCTTGGAAGACCCCAAGTGATTCAATTGCTTGTCATCAATCATAGCATGTTGTGAATTGTGTTTGGGATAATCACTCAATCAGGACACGATTCGATGGTTCTAATGTGTCATTGTCTCAGACACACTGTGGGGGGTCGGAAAAACTCGCTGCTATACAGCACTTGAGGGGTGCTGAAAACAAATTGATTTAACAATCTTTTTCACAGTACAAATTTACGAGTTGCGAGCCACGATTTCAAGTATGTGTGATTGCGTGTATGTACGAGTATATACATACATCCATACATATGTGCTGACAGACAGACAGACACGCAAGCCAATAATTCCAGCAGTTGAGCGAAATGGAATTCATAACGAGCTTAAGGGATTATCGGGCATAACCCGTCGGCAGCTCCCAAAATCCCCAGCCAAATCCCCTTGGCCAGATTCATATGCAAATGTCGGGCTGGGGCATCTATTAAGCCATGATTGATCGACGGGGCATTTTGTTTATTAACAATTCATTGGGCACAGCAAGGAATATGCCTTCATGAAAATGTGTCGTTAAATCTTTTGTGGCTTTCCACTTGCAAAAATTTAATTTGCCTTAACCGAAAAGTTGACAAAAAGCTCGAAATTGATTACGCTCTACAGGATTTATGACAGCCACATTTTTCATTTTGCAGTTTGAATTTTGGAAATATTTTTGTGGAGGATAAAATAAGAGAGAAAATTTGCATGTTTTCTGACAGACAAAGCGCGAAATTGATTACGTTTTAGAGATTTTATGAATGCTTAATTTTAAAATATGCAAAGGGGGAAAAAGATAAAAAATTATAGAGAAAATTTCAGGAAAAACGTGAAATTTAAAGTTTATATACAAACATTTTTTAACTACAGTTGAAAGGGAAACTCCAATGATGTGCAAATATTAATAAAATATAAAAAGATTTTTGTTGATTCACCTTATGAATGCGTAATCGAAGGAAAATATTGATAAACTGAATTACAACTTATTTATATAATTCTGGTTTAAAGATCTTAACTGCAAGCTACATGACAACTTTATAGTGAGAAATTGATTCCTTAGAATGAAACTACATAGCAGTTCTGAGAAACACCGACTTTTGGCCACATTCCCGGCCATTATGCACTCTGCGGGGGCAGTTGGCCAATCAGTCAGTTCGTGTGGTTGCAATTAGTCGGAGTTCCTGCGGCTGGGAAGTGTGCAATTAGGGTGCTGCTGGGGAAGTGCTTGAGTTGTGGTTGCCTTCAGTGATTTCTCAGGGTGAGGACTCGAAAAAGAAGGCGCTCCTCAAAAATAAAACTAAGTGCATATAATTACGGACCCACTCACCTGGCGCTGCAGTATATAGCTGAATTCCGTGGCCGTGTTGCGTCGACTGTCGTTCATGTTCATTTTGCTTGGTCTGAGATTCTTTTGGTCTTCCTCTGTTTTTTTTTTTTTTTGGTCTAACTTTAGCTAATAGTAAAAGTTGTAAGAGCCTCTGGCTTCAATTTTAGTTTAGTTCGTTTACTTAGTCGAGTTTAGCTTTAGTTTTAGTTGTAGTTGTAGTTGTAGTTGTAGTTTTAGTTGTGATTTTGGTTATTTTTTTTTTTTTTTGATTTTGGTTTAGCTTAGGTGGGTAGTTGGCTGGCCTTTATGAAGTAGCTGGATATGTACGAGCAGCCCGCCTGCAAGCAAATAAACAAATTTACAACTGAAATAAGATAAAACAACTGCCAAGAAACGCAATTTGGCCGCAGGCACAACACAGTTTTAGTTTCCTTGTTAATTATGAAGAAGTTATACAAGAACTGGAGCGCATATCTTGCCACTGTCACCGAATGATAAATAAACTGGGAATTTAAAGGATATCTTGTTTGGTGTTTTGTTTTTCAGTATTTCCTGTTATATTTTATTATGTATTTTTGTTTCTTTATTTTTTTTTGTAAGGATGTATGTTTGTTAATGGAGTTTTGCATTGTTGTCTAACCGATTTATCGGGTGTTCGATGCGATTTGGTTGCTTCGACGCTTTCGATGAGACTGCTGCAATAAAAATATATTGCGAAACTCTCAACAAGGATACACCGTTAGCGTCGCTGCCCGAAGTCCTGCCTCCGCTCTGGCCTCTCTCTCCGCGCGTCGCAGTCGCTTTCTCTTTCGCTCATTATGCTCACGTTGTTGTTGTTGTTGTTGTTGCTGCTGCTTCTGTCTGACTTTGAAATCGCCACACACATTCACAAGTGCACCAACACACTCACACGACACAGCGCTCTCACAATAACAACAAACAGAAGCCGGAAACGAAAGCGAAAGTTGCCACACTGTCGCATCAGCTGTTGGCTCCTAAAAGCTCGCTCTCAAGCCAAGCTTTCACTCCTACTCGAAAGCAGTCTGGTAGCACTGCCTCCTCTTCATTCATCGGGAATGCTAGAGTGAGAGTCAGAGAGAGTGGGCACGTGGTTCAAAAGCTTCCTTCGCACAGTGGGACAGGAATTATGATTACTATAACTTATAAGTACTTTAAAATATAGAACAGCATAACCTTTCGGTCAAGTTACAGAACACTGTTACACAATTTATAGCATACTTACTGGCGCCATATATCTTTTACTTGCAGATTAAAAAAAAGTCTTTAAAAACCTTAAAGAGACATCATTCAATTCTACAAAGAATTTTATTAGTAACTTTTGTTTTAATTTCCCATTAATAAATCTATTTGCACACAGAACCAATACTTTACCAACCATTTTCTATCTCCAAGGCACTACCCTGTAATCCTGCAGAGCCTCGTCGTAGGTATAACTAATGTCCAGCTCGGAGTGAAGAACGACCTCCGCGTCCAGCAGACGACGCACAATCATAGCCGTACGCGAATCGAACGTATTACCATACAAGGTAAGGCGCTCCAGCTTGCAACGCTTTTTCATGGCCAAAAGGATTAAATTCACTGCCTCACTGCCTATTTCGTTGTAGTTCAAGTGTAGGCTCTGCAGCTTGCGACAGGAGGTGAGGTACTTGGCCACCCACTCGCCACCATGGGTGCCAATTGAACAGTATCTAATGTCTAGCAACTCCAGATACCCACCTAAGGACATCCCACGCATGAGAAAAAAGACTCCATCCGGGCCAATCTTATTGCAGGCGATTCGCAGACGCCGGAATCGCGAATCGGGCAGTGCCAAGTATTCGGCGATAGGAATCATATCCTGGGCGGTCAGTTCACAGTGCTCCAACGTTAGGCTCCAGAGTGTGTTCTGCATCAGCAGTGAACCAAGTATGGAGGCCATTTTTTCTGAGTCCAGAGTAAGACCCTTTCCTAACAGCCGGCTGGCATTTAAGCGACGGACTCCTGGCGACTTGTAGACTCCATCCGCAATCAGTGCAAAGTTATATTGGGTCAGGCTGCATCTAGAGACGTTTAATTTTCGTAGGGTCTTGCTGACCAGAAGAAATTCTCTAAGGATGCGCACATCATTGTCTGTGAGTGGAGTGCCTGCGGGATCACAAGAGGGACCTTGGGACAGGAAACATATTTTAATTCGAAGCACCACTAACCTTGCAAGCTCAAATGGCTAACATTCAACTTTCCCGCATTGAGCCGCATCATCACGAAGAACTCATGGGGAAAGTTCATTAGTGTCAAGTCTATATACCAAACGGGAATTAGGGCTCGTATAAAGTCCTTCAGGAGACCCGCATCCCAGTTGCTAACGACCAGGCTAGAAATGTTCACGGATAACTGTGGACGCCTCAGGAGATAGTTAACAATGACCCGAAGGTCGCGGATGCAGTGGTACTTCCGACCAATCCTCTCCTCAAACTCTAACCGTTTGAACTGAAATTGACGATAGGGTCGCTTGTCATACTCCCTTTGCCAACAGTAAAGAAGTAGATTCGTGAAGAGACGTGGTTTTTCCTTGGGAAGACTGGGACATTCCTTTGGATTGTATTCACATGGTAGAATCACTTCACACATCTTGATCTTCGTAGTGTATAATAATTGTAAATTAAATATTTTAAATTGTAATAGTTAATTTTTGACAGTTAAAACCAGCGCAGATAGTGTTTAAAAAGAAATTTAAGTATTTCTTAAAGCCTTGCATACTTTTCGGCTGGATACCAACTGCATTTCTACATTTCTTATGTTTAAGGCATAGATTATTTACACGGATACTTAAGTTTAATACAGGTCAAATATAGGCATGACGAATCTATAATCGAATTTGAGCTTACACTATTCCCTTTAACCTTTTTACTATTTCAGCCCAAAGTTACTTTAGAAAATAGGGTTCTGTAAGTTGTTTTCTGTTTATTTCCCTAAGCGTAAAACTTGCCTCCAAGTCTGTTGTCTCTCGACTAAACTAAAATCGTCGCTTTCCAAATCGATGGTAAAAAGTTTTATCGTCAAGGCACTGTGGGAACCAAAAACAAAAATAGTTCATATAAAATATACTTGTAAATTCTGATAAATAGTAAAAATAACTTTAACAGTTTTTCAGGCCAGGATTTAAAACAGGTAAAAGTCCGTTGGCAGTAGTTCCTCGAAGGACTAAAGTGTTGTCACCTTAAATAGAGCGGAATGCTTCCTCATTTTCGTCATATTCCCCATCAGCAGGATGGCAAGAAATCCGCTTTTGGAGCCCAAGGCATCCACGGTCTCATTAGCATAGTTTGAGAACTGGCTGCACAAACTTGGTGCGAATTACCATAAACGCCATTTCATTCATTTATGTATCCTATTCCACAATGGGAACTCATTGTCCGCCACGTGGTCTCCAAGCAATGGCATCCTGGCGTGCCGGCACGCGTCGTTCCTGTCCTATAAATAAAGTTGGAACCCAAAACCAATATAGCTATATACTCGTATATATATGTACGAGTACTTATTGACATCAGGCAGGAGGTGCACGTAGCCAGTGGGGAATGCAGGAGTATGAATGGTATTTGCACCATTTATGGTCAGGTTGCATCTTCATTTATTTGATTACCTTGGCAGTGCTTCGAAGACTTCGAAGAACGTGGCCAGTCAAGGACAGTGCTGTCGTTTTAGCTCTTTTGCTATATGGAGAATTCTTTAGAAATATCAAAGTAGTTTATATTTATTTAGGTTCAGCTAAAATAAATTATCCAAAAATTGAATGAGAGTCTTAGATTATGTTTATGAAAAGTCTAAAGAAAAAAATACAAAACAGTAAAATTAATGACAGTGTTTAAGAATATTTCTTGGCATCTCTGCTAGAAAAGAGAACTCACCGCCTTTGTCTGCGTCTGAATGGGAAGCTTCTCTAAGGCCGACGACAGGTGCCTAATCAATAGACCAAATGACAACTGACAGCCATTGGCTGGGAATTATTTTTCACTTTTACTACCTGGCCATGGCCACAAGATTGGCGATTCCACTTTGGGACCAAGACCTGGCCATGGCCATGGACTGGCTCCAATCTGCATTAATTTACGGCCCGCGATGGTCAGACGTCCAGAAAGCAGACAGCCGGGAGCCCAAGAGGCTCCAAGAGGCATCAAGACTTACTCCAGGGCTTAGTCATCAAGATGGCTGCTCCTGCTGCTGTTGACCAGAGGCAATTAACAGTGGCGACAATTCGGCCTGCCTTCGGGGCCTCAAATTGAAATTCGAAAAGTGGCAGGAGTGTAAAAAGAGCAGCAGCTCTCCTCCTTCAGTCGCTCAGATGCTTATCTGTGCTTAGAAAAAAACGCGATAATTAAAAATATTGTAAAATGCCAGACGGCCAGACGCTCATAATTGCTGGCAATGGCAGAGGCAATGGTAAAGGCAGTGGCAAAGGCCCATGCCCAGGCAAAATCGCAGACGACAGAGAATCAGTCGAAGTCTCAGTTTACAGCTACCAGACAACGCGACGCGACGGAGGAGCACTGCATGTGCATATCATTTAAATAACTTTCAGCTGCTCAGCACAAGTGTGAAACTGCAGCAGCCACTATCCATCGGTTCACCTGCTCCGCCGTCGCCTCGCTCCAGTATCGAGCATCCAAACCAGCAGCCATGGTCCATATTTGGATGCAACAACGTCGGCGCATCTGCATTACTTAAGGACAACATATCGAAATCGCCAACAGCAGCGGCAATAGCAACAGCACTGAGTGTCTGCCACGGCCTCCAGACAAACTGCAGACGCGAGACATGCACTTGTCTCCGGCTGGCTGGGTCAGCCTCCAACTCCATTCCAACTGCCCCTGCATCCTCCGGCGAACGCATTCATTGTCAATTTTGACAATCAACAAGACGCGGCTACACATACGCCTGCTTAAATGCCTCTGCTGCATCAACAACAGCATCAACAGCATCACCATACAGACGAAAAACTGATATACCAAAATCGAATATTTCACAAGTACCTACGCACTCTCCTTATTTACATTCAAATATTTTTAATACTTATGTAAACAGCTGAAAAAAAAATGAACATCAAATGGTAATTGTTTGTTTATATAAAAACTTCTGCTTAACAAGAAACGGAAAAGAATTTAAATGTTGTTTATAATTTGGGTTTAATTGACACCTATCAAAGTTTACCTCAAAATTCCATTATAGAGAAAAATTTTTGGGTATTTTTTATGAATTTTGTGTTTACTTCTAGAATACTCAAAATATATATTGGAATACGTAAGCTCAAGCTATCTCTATAATTAATCTAATTTTATATAAAACAAACATATATTCGGTGATGTACTTAAACAAGAATTTTTCTCCGTGTAGCACCTCCAGCCACAGTCTCTGCGACGGACTGTCTGGCTCTCGGGGTCTTGGTCTCGGTCTGCATCTTCGTCTGCTGAGATCTGGATCTGGCTGGAAGGGGCTGGGCCCAAACAAAACACCAACAGAAGCCAAACGACGGCACGCGAAAGTCTTAAAAACCGAAAATGAAAATGCGCAAAAATTAATAACAATCAGCCAAGGGGATAACATTTCCATGATGAATGCCAAATACCCTTATCAGGTAGTTGACTTATTTTCCAAAATTCATCAAACAAGCTTTTAGAAAACAATAAAAGATAAAGAAAAGAGTTTACTTATAGAGTATGTATAGATAAATGCGTAAGGAACCCAACTATCCTACAAATTCCCATAAAAGTATACATGAAAGTCACACCACTGGGCGTATGAATGATACCCTAACCAAAAGATAGGGTATACCCAAAAACAGCCAAGGAAGAAGCGGCTGCAAATAAACGGTAGCTCCGGCCCGGAGGGCAGAAAACAACACAATAACAAATTGGCTTCTGGTCTTTGCATTCCACATGCAATCTGAGACAACAATCACGACAACTGCATTCAGCGGTTGCACCGACAACCCAGGAACCTGGCAATCGGTACTCAGCTTTGGGCAACCGGCACCAGTCGCCATCACTTACCATGGCTAAAAGCCAGTAGCCAAGATCCAGAGATGGTAACACCCTCGGTGCCTGCTCTTCCAACAACCGGCTAACTAACCAGCACACATGCTATATGTCTGGACCCTGGAAACTCTTCTTGGTTCGAGGGACTGAGACTGAGACTGAGAATGAGTATGAGCCGGTGCTGACTTGACACGTCTGGTTCGCCGTCTGACGAACATCGTGTATTCTTAATAGACTTGCACCAGCCCACCGGACCTTATCGCACGCTGTCGGTCCCCCTGTCCATTATATGTTCTTCCATTCGATTCTTCTTAGACTGGGAAAAATTCAATCATCAATAACTAATCACAATTATTGGGAACTGTTATACAAATTGTTAGAAAGATAACTTGATTCCAGCTTTTTCTTTTATAGAAAAGGTACATACATTTTTTGTCAGTACATTCTTTTACTCTTTTAATTGTAGAAGGGAGTTGACTTGGGTTTGCATAGCCTCTTGAAACACGAAAGTACAGAAGTAAGGGATAATTATGCTAACTACGTGTTGATGGTTAAATAATTTTGCCTCCGTACTTGCATATTTAAAATCCATGGAAATGCCTTTGCATTTACACTGATCTAAAGTACATTGAAATTCCGAAATCTAATTTATTACTTAATTCCAAGAAGCGCCAGACCAAGTAACCTGGAAGACCAAATCACTCAGCACCCTAAAAGTATTTATAGTTTCATTAGTTACGCTATGACTGCTCAATAAAGTTTATGTTTAAGCCTTACAAACGCCGAAAACTGATGAGCGATAAGAACTATAAATCCAAAACAAGTCATAACAAAGCGATAAGCCAATATCTGGCATACCAATAGCAGTGTTAAACGTAAGTTTAGTGGATGCGACATTAGCCCATATTTAATCTATGGTTTCTTTTTTCCAAAACTGCTGAGTCCGCATATTTACTACGACACTGCGACAGAAATCTATAGAGTAACGGCCTTAAAAGGTCTGGTTAAGAACTAGTAAAAATAACACCGAAAGATAAAGACATACTCTAAATTAGTGATAAGGCTTGATTGAATTGTAATTTGTTAATTGCCAAAGAAATGATCATAAAATTATTCATATTACGTTATTACCAAAGCCACTTTACAGGTACTTTAAATACTTATCAGAAAATCAGTCAATTGGCTTAACGTATTCAAAATAAACTGGCAGGGTGTTCGAAATTCCCAGTAACTTTATCAGCTAGTTCACACTATTTCATAACATATACTGAGGTGTTAATGTGAGGTGTTATAACTTGGCCATATCAGTTTATTGTCCCCATTTGTATTTTCGCCTGATGCTATCAATTAAATATAGAACAGAGCTTAGCACTTGTAACCAACCATCCAGAAAATCATTTTAAAGTCAATAGCCAGATGTTTTTCAGAGGCCAGGTGGTGTTGTACGTGGCCATAGAGTGATAATAGTAATGGTGAAGTGCCCAAGTGGTGACGGTGGTGCTACCGGTCTTTAGAGTCTTTAGAGCCCTCGCGTGCCCACACCCAGCTGGAGGGGAAATTGTTGCTCATTGGCGGCAATTGCCGGCTACCGTTTAAAATTAAGCCCCACAAATTGGCACGAGCGTGAGACATACTACGGATTTGTCAGAAAATTGCTTTCAAAAATAGCCGCAAAGAAATGCCAAAACAAAAAGATCAAAAGGAAGACCAGAAGTATTTACATATTATGTTTAGAAATTAGCCAAATATATGTCCAAGATGTCCACGCGAACATTCAGCCTTGAAGAGTTAATGAAAAATCAAAAACCCAGACTTGACTTGACTCATTTCGCATACCAATTGTCTAGATATATCCATCCAATGTCTGGCTCTTTTTTTAGTGTTGTTGCTGACATATCCACATTGTCCACAAAGTGGGACAAATTCTATGCGAGCAGCGCTCAAATAAACAAACATTATTATATAAACTTCACGACAAGAGGCGCGCTGATTGCGTTCTACATATATGTATATATATCTTGTTTTCATTTATCCAGCAGGGAGATTATGAATCTGGGCATTTGATGCGATTGCAATTTTACATAACACTCGACGTCTGGACAAGCTACCCGGCATTCTCTTGCCACTCCTGGCCATCACTCTATTCAGAACTTAAACGGTGTGTAGACACATCATATGAATGGACAGTCAGCGGGACAGCGGTACCGAATCCAGACTTTATAAAGTGCTTCGAATTATACAATCATTTTGAAATTCAATTTTGGTCCAGACGAAATGCTGGGAAAGATGTGTGTTTAGATGTTGCAAATAAATAAATAAATCAAGAACGTCCTTGAAGTCTGGGATCTGTTTGGATTTCCGTATGCGAATGGAATGAATAATAACGTGTTAGCGTTAGCGGAATAGCGGAAGAGCTGGTAAAAGGATGGGGCTTTCTGGGGTTAATGCCGTACCAGGCACCACACGCACCTCCTAATAGGATATATCCGCCCAATTCACCTTTCAATTGATGGACTACGCACTTTCTGGCCTATCTTGTTGTCCGTTGATTAATCAGCACGCACTACCCTGGGCTGGCGACAACTGAAAGTCAAGAGCAACGGCATCTTGGATTTTGTGCCCCAAAAAATAACAACCAAACTGATAATAATAGTCAGGTTATCTACATACATAACTTACCTATCAAAACAATTTGATTAAGTCATACTAATTGTGCGGTCGCCTGAAGAACATCACTTAAGAATAATCTAATCCGTCACGCACATAATGTTCGGAAAAACCAGGTCTAGTATTTACGGACATATAGTGAGCTGCGATGAGTGCAAAAGCATTTAATAGATTAAATACAGTGATTTTAGACTGCTGGTTAATTTGCAAGTTCAAGTATTTCAGTTTTGGTGTTTGGAGTGTGTCGTCCAATGTGAAGCTATAGACACGTTTCTATCCGATAGTTCTATCTGATAGCACTTAACACTTAAGGGAGTCGCCAAACAAACCTAGGTTAGGACCAGAAGTATCACTTTCGGGCCCACAGATAAGCCATCTCGAGCACGCAAGGCACACTGCACACATACACATATAACCATATGTATAATCATAAGCATAGTCATACCCACACAAACACGACGACGTCAGCTGCGCCGGCAGATCCTCAAGCGGCGTTGATTGGTCGGCCACCGCATTTCCGAGCGCCAGCCGAACCACCGACCGAAGTCTGCAAGCGCTACACTGCAAACTTAGTTCGACTGCAAAGTGGTTTTACTTGGAAAGTGCAGTGCTATATTAGGAAAAATAAATCACAGTATTATTTTAGTAAGTGTTTGATTGTTAAATTATGTTTATAAAGTGCTAAAATATCAAACAAGCTAATAAAAACTAACCAATGATAATAATAAATACTACTAGATGAAGTATAACCCTTACCTTAGCATGGCTTATTATATTTTTATTATTTTTAAGATAGCGAATTACCCATTGCTTATCAAAAATAAAATGAAAAAATATTCCAACTAAAATCAGCATTAAACAAGCCCTCCAACATTTCCTGACATTCCCAATTGCCAACATTTTCTAGCAGTGTCGGCAGCAACGCAGCGTTTACGACCATAACAAAGTAGATATGCCCCGGCACAACCAAATTTTTTCTTATTTAAGACTAAAAAACCGACTGGCGCAAATCACTTCATACTTGGTTCTTAGAGCGAACACATCGAGAAGCTGAACAACGGCCAGAGAGCAAGAAACAAAAATCAAATCACCTATAAAAAAATACACAAAATCCAGTTGAAGGAAAAGAAAACATTTAAAATTGGTGGCCAAGATGCAGTGAACAATGTGCAAGAAATAAATAAAAATTAATTTGTTTCACGATCTAGTGTTGGCTAATCAAAAAGAGACAACAATTTCCCAGTGAAAACATTTTTAGCTTGGTTAAAATAGAAAATAAATAGAACTGAAAAATGGCAAGTGCTGTGCGTGGTGAGAAATGTGGAAGGAATCGTTTGAGAGGGCTAATTATGGTCCTGTTTTTGGTCATAATGTCCGGAAACTCGAAGGCCACTCCCTTCGATCCTGCCTTCTTCATAGAGGGTGTGCAATCAGAGGTGGTCAATCCTTTCAACAGGACCATCTTGAACCGATTCAACTTGACCGAGGAGCAAATCCTGAGCATCCAGAACCGCAGCAATCCAAACATGAGGGACGATACGGCCCAGTCTTCTAATCAGCAATATCTGCAGCAGGTCGCCACTCACCGGTAAGTGCCAATCACCTCGAAATTGTCAATCACTGTCACACGCCTTTTCCCAGAATAGAAACCCATTTTCCTAAGAATAGAAAGCTAAATAGAAAATCAACCAAACAAAGCGCTCTGCTCAAACAAATGACTTGCCGAAAAGAAATGTGTAACAAAAAATAATAAAAAGTTGCTAGCTAAATTGTATACAACAATTTCAAACGGTGCACTTCGCAATTAAATGCTCAATCTGTTTCGGCCATACAATGTGTATAAACACACAATTTCCCTGCTGCCAAATTGCCAGAAAAAATATTTGAATATTTGACGTCTGTTAAGTGAGAGATTTGTCCAAACACGGGCCAGTCTCAGTCAAGGCTAAAACCATTTGTGCATCTCGCAATTGTGGCCAAAAACCCGAACAAAAAATCTATAGCGCCTTATTCGAGTTTATTTTGAAAAGTACATTGTACACGATTTGCTTCATTTGGTTTATCTTCAACACGATTTGCCCTCATGGAAACCGATTCGGCGAATTAATATATATAAGTTAAGAAAATATAGATTTTCCCATGGGAATTTTCCATATGTGTACTTAATTTCTATATATTTTTATTTATTGATTGAATGCTTCACCGAATGCATGATGTTCTTACCAAAAGTCATAAATGTAATGGCCTCGCTTAGCAGACCGAAACTTATGATCAATAAATTATTTTAGCTATACACGAGAAGCGTGCCCACAAATTGCGCCTTTTGTTTGTGATTATCGGAAAAGAAGACCGATTAGGATCACAAAAGCTTAAAGATTTTATTTAACTACTATAAAGTGAATATTTTAAATTGAATTTTTTATGGGATTGTCGAGCTGGTATGTGTTTTCCTTTAAAACAGTTTCAGTAAAATGTAAAAGTTACAAAATAAAATAGGTCAAAGTGACAAGGGTATGACTGCATCGATCTATCAATAGGCACATCATTTATTATTTTTTACTGGAATTTATACCTGATGCCTTATGAAGTTCAACCAACATTCTGACCAACCAATTTTCAACAATCCCAAGTTAAAAAGGCATCTATTGTATCCATCAGATACTCCAATTACCCTAATTTCTAAAATATTATTCAAAATAAGAATTTCTAATGCGGTTTAACCAACTTTCTGACCACTCACCATCAAATAGATCAAAGCGACGAGGGCCTGGCAGCCCCAGATCTATCAATGGTATCTGTTGTATCCATCAGATACGGTAGTGCAACTGTCGCGACGCCGCTGCACAATGCGGACACTCTGACACCCGCACTCTCAGAAAACTGCAGGCTGCATCGAATTCCGTCGTCGTCGTCGTTGGCGGCAGCGGCGGCGACCTCTGTATCTTTGTATGGATGTCTGGCACATGTCTGGGAGCAGTCTGGGCCATGTCTAGCTATCCGGGCTCCGAGTACGACTCCGACTCCGTCTCTGTCTCCGGGTCTCCGGTAATGAACTTTTTGTAGGTCGTTGCTATGCCAGTCGGGCATTCGTGGGGGCCAACAGCTGATATCTAAATTGTTTCATCTTATTTGATTGCTTTGGCAGAGTTTTGTTCTGTTCCGCTCAGCACAGACACAGGCAAATACAAAACAAAAACGGGCAAAAAGGCAAAACTTATGACGTATGAGTAATATCGGGACAGCAGACATGTCTGCCCCCAGCAACTGGCGCAATGGTGCAATGCAAACAGTTGTAGGCGTGTGCATTTAAGACCGACTGCAGTTCGCTGTTGGTTGCATGATAATGAAGTGCAGCCGGCGAGACACTGTCTAGCCGTTGTTGCTACTGGTATTGATGGTGTTGCTGTTGCTGCTGTGGCCAAAGGCAACGGACTGCAAAACCGCAGACGCAGACACTGAGGCGATGCATTCAGAGATGTCTGCCCCAAGCAAATGGAGGCCAATGCAAATTTCCTTCTGCCCCCAAGGCACCTGCCCCCCAAATTGGAACCCTGCCTCTGCGCATGCGTGACTCACGCATGAACAGAAATAGTATCTACAGCGGGCAGAGTATCACGGTAGCATCTATAGAGCACCGGAAAAAAGAATAATAAGCCAAAAATAGACACAAAACCATAAAAAAAACTGCTTAATAGGAATAGAAAAGTAAACATAAATCTTAACCAGAATCCGCTTATTACCTATTACCCTTTACATTAGGCCATTTTTAGCATGAATTCGATCAGATCGACCTGGATTCCGTGTGAGTTTTTTTCGGTGCAGCATCTAGGCCCGCAGACAGGCAACGAGCAAAAGCAAACAACAAGCGGACGGAAAGACCGCCTGTCTGACAGACTGACAATATGTCTAGACGGTGGCCAGACAGACGGCACGACTCAACGAGTTTTCAAGTTCATGCCACACAGCCAGCTCCAGACGACTCCGCATTCTGGCATTCCTTGGCCAGCCAACCAGCCAACCAGCCAGCCAGTTAGCCTGGCTAACTGGCTAGCCAGCTAGCCAGACAGATTCGATTCGGTGCGATTGATGCGATCACAGAGTAAACATAAACATAAACAAGAACCGATAATCAGCCATGGGGCTTGGTTCAGTTTTGGAACGGAGCAAAAGGCCAAAAGATCTGAAAACTGGAAGGCAGACAGTCAGCCGGCGACCGTGTTTCATAATTGTATTTTTGGCTAGACAAATTGCGCCGCGGGCAACACCAAAGACCCAAAAACAATTAATCAGTTATTTTTTCGTGATCTTTTTATGCATTTCGAGAGGTGGAAAGGGGGGCATATAAAAAAAACGAAACATCAAGAGCTTCTCAATTACCGATCCAGACGCATACAATTGTCCAATTCTCTGGCAACTGAGTGTGGACAGATTAGATCATAGCTAACTAACTATTGTTGTCTGTCCGGCTTCCGAAGATCGTGCACTTAGAGAAAAGGTGTTATTGCCTATTCCTATTTGTGGATAAGTTCAGTTTCAAATCTGCTCTAGCATCTAAGGTGTTTTCCCATTCATATTTGTTCAAGCCTTCGATAAAATAATCTAATTATTTTCTCTGCATTTTACATTTAAAGAACAAAAACTAATGTAATATGTTCTGACTGGAAACATCATTTTTATTATTTTAACTAACTACTTATCTTTTTTAACCTTTTTAACCTTTTTCTCAGTGTATTGGCACACTCACAGACAGATTCCTGTCTCGATCTGAATGGGTTTTTAAGTGACACGGGTCTGTCATTCGCTCCACTATGCGCACTTAGCTAATAATCAAGTTTGGGAAATATCCCAAGCGAGCGAATCATGTGGAAGCATTTAATCAGCACAGATATCACGGGCCAGTCGCATTTTTTATATTTTTAGTTTAAGGAAGAAAAATAGTTAAGTAGGCGGCAAGTCGAATATTTGGTCATAGTCTGAAGTGCTCACGTAGTTTATTCCGTAAATAAATAATTATTTGCCCTGAATATTGAAGAACATTTTCAATGATGTATTTTAAGAACTCCTGCAATCTCAGATTTTGAGGGCGAGCAGTCAGTCCAAAGTAGATGGATTATCTTAGTTTCTAAAATGCTTACTATCATAAATTGATAAACGTTTGGGAATTAGTTTTATGCCCAAACAGTGCACTGAACTCTGGCTATCACGCGATTGGTTTTTATGGATGGAAAATAGTTTAATCATTATGGGTGGTTCCCAACACATTTGGCTCCCGTTTGGCGGCAGTTTTGCCAGTCCCTCGATAAGAACTAGTTTATTCGCTGCGAGTGTTGTCCGACTAAATTGAATCAAAGTTATAAATTCTCGTCAAATGGAAGCGGGCACGTATTTCACGCTGCCCATCTCTGGGCTTTTCTATTGTGAATGTCTGTAACGCTGACCGCTCTCTAATGTCAATTAAGTGAGCCTTACATAAACACTTGAACTAAATTTTCTGAACTGGACAACTCGGGCATACAAATAGTTTTGAGATGAGCCACGGAATGATGCCAGTTCTTAGTACACATCAACCATGAGAAGGGGGACTATATGAATTCCAAGTCAAAAAATGTCATAATATATATCATTATTTGTTCTCTAATATTTTCCAGACTCAATGACATCTATAAGCGCGTGCAAAAGGCCATCTCCAATGAACCCAATGGCAGTGTCTCCAAGGAAAAGGCCGGATTTCCCATTTGTAATACGGAAACTACCAGTCCGGAGGAGTGGCCTTTGGGCAACAACGTGACTCTTCAGTTTGCCAGCAGCGTTTTCATTTCCAACAATGGCGACCGTTTGAGCAGTGCACTGCTTCGCCTCTACAAGATCAATCCTGGCCAGAATCGCGACCAAAATCCCACTCAGCTTCCATCTCAGTCTGTGAGCACAGAGACTCCGGGCAGCATGGCAAATTGCGCCGAGCAGCCGCCAGTAGGTCCCCAAATCCGAGTCACCGTCTCCATTGTCCATCAGCAGAGGAAGAAACGTAAGTTAGGTAGGAAGACTCCACAAAATTATTATAGTTACATTTACTAACAATCAATTAATCAATTGCAATGCAAAATAACTTAAATCTTGAATTGTTTTTTAAAAGGCAAAATCAAATAATATGCTGGTTAATATTGTATGGAAAAATAAAACAAAAATTGCCTTAATTCGGAAGCTTTGATTTGTCAGCAATATTCCTTTATTTATTTATATCATAAAACCCAGCATTCAGCATAGGAATATTTCATGTTGGCAATAATTTAGCTTACATAACAAGTACTACCAAATATATTAAAATGTTACATGTTTAAAAGTAGCTTACCTGATTCTCTTTTCCATTTCCAGAGCGCAAGAAGCGCACCTGCAACACCGCTATGTTGAGCACCTCCTCCACTGGCTGGGTGGAGATCGATGTAAAGTGCGCCCTCGCCTACTGGGAGCAGCAACACCGCCAGGAGCAACAGCACCGCCAGCTACTACGCCAACAGCAACCACTACATCCCCAGTTGACCTCCAGTATGGTGGGCATTCTGATGATCGAGGTGCACGACGACGAAGAGAATCCCCTGAAGCCGGGTCTCTACTTCGACCCACCCACTTGTGATCAGGCAGGTAAGCGTGTTGTTTGCCATGTCCAACTAACTGCTCTTTGGGAATGGAGTGGAGGTGCCTAGACCTCCCCATCAGTCACTTTCACTATCTCTCACTTTTCACATTTATATCCCATCCATATCGTTAGCGACAGGCCCCTTTCCCACCATCTCGACGACTTGAATTTATTTACATTCCCGAAAAGGTCATTACTCAGGCGATTTTGGGGGGCCGGACAGCAGGCAGACGTAAATTGAGCTTATCGAATAAAAAAGAGACAAAAAAATGTAATTCCAATGTAATTTCAGACCGAATTCGAATATCGGTAGACGTAATTCAAAATTTACCTAGTCATCGAATTGTGGCTGCACAGTCGGCAGAATCAAAGTCTCAATTTACAATTTACCTTAGCAGCCTGCACGTTTTTCTTACGAAATGCTTCCGTCCGTATATTTTTAAAATTCATGGGCTTGGGTTTTGGGTGCTCAAAGTGGAGCGGAAGTAACGAATGTGCAGAGATTTGTTTGTTTAGGATTGACTCAGGTCTTGAAAGATATCGCCCTGGATCGGTAAGATACAAAATCGCAGATGCAGATCTAGCTCAAGGTGCTACTAATCGAAATTGCTCATACGCACCGTTGTGCGCAGTGCTCGGCTTTCATTGTTGTTCAGTTTATGCGCTTTTCACTGGCCAAAAGTGTTATTGTTGTTGTTTTTTGCTCTTTTGCATGCCCTTCATTTGCCCGATTTTCAATTTGCATTGCATGACCTACCATATATTTTTGACAGAATTTTAATGGTATTCTTTGGCCACATATATTATTGCAGACGTTGCTGTCCCATGGGGCGTTTACCGAACAGAACCGTTTAAGTCTTATCTGGAGAGTTGGACATTGCCAAGGTAAGTGTAAAATGGAATTGCATTTAGTCGTTTTGCTCTCCAACTTTCGATTTCGATTTAAATCTTGCCGCCAAGCACTGCTTTAGACAGTAGACTGCTTGTCAAGTGCTTGTCAACTGCTTGCAAATGATCTCGGCTAAGGTTATGGCGTTTCACAACACTAAGCAGTGTATGACCCTACTAAATTTGTTTGAATAACGGTGTTCAGTTACTAGTGCCTAATTAGTTATTTAAATTATTTAAATACAATATTTGTTTGTTTCAAACTGTTCGTAGTTAAAAAGTGTAATATTTATTTATTTATATTTTAATACAATGTCTATCCAATTAATGTTTTTGCTTTTAAATATTTAATATTCATTTTTATAAACATTTATTAGTTAGCATTAGGTTCTCAATCTTCAAATTGGAAATAATTAAATACAATTCGAAATTAAAATTCAAATTTTTAGTTTTTTAAACAAATGAACTTTTTTATTTTACAGAAAACCAAGGTTAGATATTCTCTTCAACGGCAGCAGCTTTATGAAGAGCATTTACAACACACCCAAGAACAAAGTGCACATCGAATCCACCACATCCAACTCACCCACGATCGACAACCAGCTGGACGAGAGCGGCGATTACGACAGTCAGCAGCGAGGTCGGACTCACCAGCACCATCAGCGCCACCACCACAGTCACCAGCGCCCGGAATCGGACTCCGAATCCGCCCAAATTGAGGCCGAGCTCGAGGCCGAGGAGCTGATGTCTTCGGCGAGTAATAGCGAACAGCAGATGGAGCCTGTCTCGAATCACCATCGCCATCGAACTGGCCACCACCATACGCACCATCAGCTGCATCAGCATCGCCAGCACCATCATCGTCATCCCAAACACCATAAGAGCCAGACCCACAAGCAGGAATAGATGTCACAATCATCCAACCGAACCCACATTCTCTCTCACCCACACTCATGCTGGTCTTATATTAATTTCTTGTTTTATATTTGTAACTTTAGGGCCAGTTGACTTAATTAGTTTTTAGTTGAACGGTTTCCTCTACCGCGTAACCTTATTTAAATTATATATTTTTAAAATTCGTTGTAAGCTAAGCCAATTTTCGGTCGAAATTTGATTTTAATTTTTAAAATCTCTCTTATATTAGAAGCCTGTGATTTAGATGGGGTTGAATTCGTACATTTTTGCGCAACAAAAAAAAATTGTTAGAACCTCAAGAATGGAAAACAAACCCGGAAAACATTTAATACGAATTTAAGTAATATTTTTAGATCGTAAACAAAATTAATCGATGCCTTATCGAAGCATTACAATCCCAGACTTCTGCACAATCCACTCGAAAAACCAGCAAGCCAAGGACGAACCAAATCAAGCATTTTCGATTCCATTGATAAGCGATTATAGTCCCGACACACAATTTTGTTATATAAATAAGTCACTAGGTTAAAAGTGCCTTCCTGCTAGCAACAGAGCGCCAATGAGCAGCCCTAAATCTCGAAATTCCTTTGCAAATTGGAACCTTTGGAACCCAATGTTCTGTTTTGTTTTTAAGATTTCATAAGAACCACATGTTCATTAAGTCAAACAGCTTACGATGCCTAATCCTTCACCTCCATCCTAACTAAGTGCATTTGTATGTCGATTGCAATTATGAATAAAAAATGAAAAAAATAAATATATTAAATAAATATAAGACGCAAACGTATAAAGTTGCGAATTGAATAAGATTAATACAGTTGACTACCGTTTCCCTTATGTTATCCCCCCATTTGGATCTTGTTGCCACACCAGGGGCTTGACGATAAGATATGTTTTCTTATAAAATCCGATTGCTAATCTCTTTCAACTTTGCACTTGACTATTTATGACTACCACCGATTGGCCAATCAATTGGAACATTTTTGTAATCGCCGGTGCCCTCGACCACCAGTAGAGGACTTTATCAATGGGCGGGTGTACGACTCCGTATCGCGACAGCCGAACACCTTTAGTACCTCTACACTATCGTAATCATATTCCTCAAACGTCATTGCTATCGCTAAAAATCTGGTTTATGGCCCTCCTGGAAATTATCTCGCTATAATATCGGCATGGAAGGCAGGCCGAGAGCGTATCACTCTAAACAAGCAGCTGATAAAACAGCATACATGTCATCCCAATTACCTATTCAGCGGTACACTGCCATTGGAGATGTATTCCGCTTAATTGGCCAGATAAATAGAGAGAAAAATACAGAAATAATTTTTATTGCACAGCAAAAAAATAGGGTTAAATATAGAAGACAAATGAAGGGGATCCACACGTTAAGATCTCTTCAAAATCAGTTAAAACGGCTCTAGCAACTGTATAATAAAAATCTCTAACAATGTTTCTGTCATTTTACTTTAATAGGCTTGGAGAAAATGCTGTAACTCAATCAAGAAATCAATATTTATTTCCCTGTGTATTTAAGCAAATTAACGCCTTACCAAAAACGTAGCTAAATAAAGTAACGGCTGAGAGGTACCCATGGCTAATAGAAATTAAGTAAAACAGATAGAGAAATTCTCAATCGGAATTTCTGTAAACTTGAGATTAGACTTGCCTTTAAATTATACTACCTCTCTTAATTGACAAGGTCAAATGGTATCAATATATTATAAATCATTAGATACAAAAGTAACTAATCGAGCTGTGTCGACCCGAACCTGATATTCCCTTATCAAATACCGTGTACTTGCGATCGTATTAAAAACACCCGGACGGAGTTAAAAAAATTTAGTCTTTCCGCGAGTTTCAACGGGCAACGATGGCAGTTAGCCACAGTTTCTAGCCAGGCTAAGCAGATGCATTAATCAGTCATTAGTATTCGGCCAGTACGCATCGAGAGTAACGACTTTGAAAACCCGTTTCGGCTATACACCGACAGTACTCATTAAATACAAAGCGAAAACAAACAATATAAAAAGGTGAATCAACAGGTGTTGCACGACATCAAGGTGCTATAATTATAAAGACTTTATTTAGCTGTGTTGCAAGAGGAGTTTAACTTAAATATGATTATTTTGCTACAATTTACAGTGAAATAAATACATTATCTAGGGTAGACACGTGTGGTTTAGTGACATGTTTACGAGGTGCACAGAACACGGAAAATATTTCCGTTTTCTAAGAACATTATGATTATACACAAGAGCTTTATTAACTTTCACGAGTTTGGCTAAATGCCACTCAGATAGTGCTATCAACACGCTTTCGATTACCCTTAATGGAAAATCCTAACCGAAATACCTCCCAACGTGGATCTATACTATATTGAAGGGGATTTACAACCTGAGCTTATCAAGAATAAAAGTTAAAGTGGCATATATACGACCAATTTCATAGTTTATCACCGATACCAGCCCTTAACCCTTTGATGCATTAACCGGAAGTTATATGATTATCAATCCGCGTGGTGGAGTAAAGCCATTGACTTTTAAAATAATAATCTCCAAGTGGAATGAACTCGCGCCCACGTGCAGTTTTGGAAAACGTCTTTTCAACACTTATCGCTTTCTTTTGAGTGGGCATGAGTTGTCCAACTCGTCCAATCTTGATTTAGCTGGCCAAAAGAAACCTATCTTGTGCCGTTAGACACTTGACATATCTGCCCATTCAATGGCTGTGATACTTTGATACAGATTATACCTGATTACGATTGCGGCCCATAACCAATAATGTCGTGTGCTATAATTTCGTTCTAGATGTCAGCCGAATCACCAAAAGGAGCTATTAACAATGGCTACGAACTGGATCACGTAAGTTATCTTTTTAAAATGCCAATCATGATTAAATTTGGTTTAAATATAAGAGAGTTATTATAGAAAGAATTGGAAATTCATGACTCTGAAGAATTCAAAGAGCTGCCACCGGTAGACCATTCCGAGGACTCACAGAAAAATGGATATTTCGATAACAATCCGAAAGTGGCGCGTATTGTAAAGATCTCTTGCTATATACTGCTTCACCTCGTTGTTGTGGGTTACTTCTCATATGCGACCTATCACTATCACGACATATGTAAGTATACCACGAAGTAATCCTTAATACAGATAATAATCTCTTTATTCCTGAAGCCAATTATGAGTGCTACTGGTCACAAAACCCACTGTGTGGGATTAACTTCTGCACTGGTTATGGAATGCTCTTGCTCCTCCTCGGATTTATCTATTTCGGACTGTTCTACTACTATATTTTTAAGCCAACGGTTGGTCGAAACCTACACAGGAACTACCTAAGCCCCTTGTCCAAGAAGTGGCACAACTTCAGCAGAACTAGGTAGGACTATCACTAACTTTAAACTCATAAACTCTCATAAAGTTAAAACTTTCCGTTCATTTTTCTCTAGGGTTGTCTCATTTGCCAGTATCGCCATACTCTTGGCTCTCTTGGCCATTTTCGTGTACTTCGAGACCCGTAACGATACACAAAAGCTAGTATCCCTAGTGGGTCCATGCTTCTTTATCCTATGTGGCTATGTTTTCTCTACAAAGCGTAGTGCCATTAAGTGGCGCATCGTCATCACAGGGATTACGTGTCAATTCCTGCTCGGCATCTTCTGCATTCGCTGGGATGTGGGGCGCAAAATCTTTGAATGTTTGGGTAACAAGGTGGCTACTTTCCTGGGCTACGCCACCGAGGGAGCCGAGTTCGTCTTTGGCGAATTTCTAGTGAAAAACGATGTGTTTGCCTTCGCCATCCTGCCGGTGATCTTTTTCTTCAGTTTCTTCATCTCTATTCTGTACTACTTGGGTACGATGCAATGGGTGGTGATCAAGCTGGGATGGATCCTTCAACAGCTTTTGGGCACCACTGTCTGCGAGAGCGTGACGGCGGCTGCAAATATTTTTCTGGGAATGTCCGAGAGTCCTCTGCTCATACGGCCATACATCAACAAGTTGACAAAGAGCGAAATCCATAGTATCATGGTTTCCGGCTTTGCGACCGTGTCTGGAACCGTCCTGGCAGCCTACTTATCCTTTGGCGCCTCGGCTGCTCACTTGATCACTTCCTCGGTGATGGCAGCTCCCGCCACGCTGGCCATATCCAAGCTTTACATGCCCGAGACTGAGGAGAGCCAGACCTCATCGGATTCAATTGAACTGGAAAAATCGTAAGTATCTCAAAAAAGCCTGTCCTTAGCAAAAATTTTGGAATCAATTCGAAAAATTCATTGAATTGTCTCTTTATAGACAGGACTCGTCGCTATTAGATGCAGCTTCCAGTGGAGCCAGCAACGCCGTGCCTATTGTCCTTGGTATTATCGCCAACATAGTCGCTTTTGTGGCCTTCGTCGCTTTCCTCAATGGTCTGGTTAGCTGGTTTGGATATTTAGTGGGTCTGGACGACATCGACTTTGAGTGGATATTTTCTAAGCTGTTCATCCCGCTCGTTTGGGCAATGGGTGTGCCGACACAGGATTGCGATATCATTGCTAAGGTGGTGGCCACCAAGACCATAATCAACGAGTTTGTGGCCTATGAGCGTCTCGGTCAATACATCGAAAGTGGAGAAATCACTGTAAGTTATCAAATTATTAAAAGTAACCATTTAGCAGGAAATTAAAACCCATTGAATTTACACAGGCCCGCAGTGCTGGTATCGCCACATTCGCCATTTGTGGATTTGCCAATCCCAGTTCCTTGGGTATCCTCATCGGATCCCTCAGTGCCATGGCGCCTCATCGACGCTCCACCATCACATCCGTGGCTTTCCGAGCCTTTGTGGTGGGCAGCATAGTCTGCTTTGTTTCCGCCAGTTTTGCAGGTCAGTAGTTAAGCTATCTAAAATATCTATTTATTTATTTTAATATTATATTTTTGTTTTATTGCAGGAATCCTTATTCAAGAAGACGATGAACGGGCAAACTACAACAAGATATTTCAAAAATTGGGTCGGACAAACGCCACACAGTTTTAGTTCCTTGCAATTTTAGATCGTAATAATTAGCTGATGAAATACAACAAATTCTTATTTATTAAATAAATATTGTTTCTAAGATTATTTCAAGTTAAAAGAGGGCTTTGATTTGTTAGTCATACATACCCTTTTCTTTAAAAGGAGCACAATAAAATTTTATGTTAAATGGCTGAACCGGAAGAGGAATCTCCAGAGGAAAAGCCGCCTCCAACGAAGGCCCAAAGAATCATTCGAATTATACTCCATGTGCTTTTTCATGTATTGTTCATTTCGTATTTTATTGCAGCAACAGTAATTTTTAGTTTGTATGGTGAGTGTATAACCCGCCCTATCAATTATAAACTGATATAAGAAAAACGAATTCAGACAAGGGATCCGACGATTGCTTTCCTCCTCCCGAACCAGAAACAACAGAAGCTTCTACTGCATCTGACGATGTTACCACAGAAGCAACTGAAACTACTGAAAAGCCGAAAGAGGACAAATTTAAGCCATATATTCTGTGTGAAATGTTCTGGTGCACTGGTTATGGGCTACTTATCATCCTATTTGTTTTATTTTACATATTTTGGCTGTACTATTGGGTATTCAAGCCATACGTTGGCATCAAGCTATATAACAATTTCCTGGAACCTGCTATCGACAAATGGATAGAGTTTAGTCGCCAAATGTAAGTAGTAAATGGTTAAAAACTGAATGTTTGAAAAATTACTATTTGGTTTTAATTTTAAAATACGAAATATATTTTTTTAACAACGATTACAAAATAAAACAAATCATTAACTTTAACTTTTAACTAAAACGAAATATTTTCCAAAATATTTGTTAAATTTTTCAAATCTAGGATAGTCTCCGGCGTAATGCTGGTGGCTGTAATATCACTGACGGTGGCGTACCTTGGCTTCGAGTGTCGCGATAACGGCTACAAGGCGATCGGACTGTTGGGTCCATTCCTTTTTATTCTGATCGGATATGCAGTGAGCAAACACCATAAAAGTGTCCCTTGGCGCATTGTGACACACGGTATACTGGGCCAGCTTCTACTGGGTATCCTTTGCCTGCGCGTCCCTATTGGACGCTCAATCTTCCAATGTCTTGGGGAAAAGATGACAACATTTCTGCACTTTGCTCAGCATGGAGCCCGTTTTGTTTACGGAGACCGTATATGTGATGAGTTTGTTTTTGCTTTTGCCATACTGGCAGTGGTGTTCTTCTTCAGCGTGATCACAAACATAATGTACTACCTGGGCTGGATGCAATTCGTCCTGAACTGTTTTGGGTTTCTACTGCAATCCACGGTGGGCACCACGGTATGTGAAAGCGTAAATGCAGCGGCTAACGTCTTCCTGAGTATGTCCGAGAGCCCTCTCGTCATCCGGCCGTATATCCTAATACTAACAGTGAGTGAATTACATACAATCTGTACTTCTGGCTATGCTTCAGCGTCAGGTACCGTTCTGGGGGCGTATGTCGCCTTTGGTGCCTCACCCGCCCTTCTGATCGCGGCAAGCGTGATGGCTGCTCCTGGGTCGCTGGCCTTCTCCAAGTTGTTCTATCCGGAGACCGAAGAATCGCAGACCAGGTCCGATAACATTCAGCTTGAAAAATCGTAAGTTATATTTCTTGTGGAATAATTACATTTAGGAAATTTATAACTTAAATCCTTGCTTAGACCCGATTCGTCCATTCTGGATGCAGCCGCCAGTGGAGCTATGACTGCCATGTGGATTGTTCTGGGAATCGTGGCGAACATCATTGCTCTTCTGTCTCTTGTTTTCTTCCTTGATGCCGTAACAGAGTGGAGCTTTGAGCTGCTCGGCCTAAAAAAAATCACCCTGCTTTTTATTCTTTCTCAGATATTTATACCTATAGTCTTCGTTATGGGAGTGCCGTGGTATGATTGTCAAGACATTGGCTTGGTGGTGGCTGAGAAATCGCTGATCAACGAGTTTGTCGCCTTTCAACATTTAGGAAAGCTGATCAGTGAAAATAGTGTTGAAGTTAGTATACATTTTATGCACCATTACTATTTGTAAACAAAATAATACTTATAGCCACGAAGCGCTGCAATTGCTACTTTCGCGCTTTGCGGATTTGCGAACCCCGGTTCATTGGCTATTCTGATCGCTGCATTAAGTGCAATGGCACCATCTCGACGAACAGACATCATCAAGGTGGCCTTTCGAGCCTATTTCGCTGGCAGCTTCGTCAGCTTTACATCAGCTTCCTTTGCAGGTAATATTATATTTTAATTTTACTATTAACTCCACACCTTGTCTTTATTAGGCATTCTCTATTAAAAAAAACTCTGCGATATTTAAATGCATAATTATCGGAATTCATTGGGCGATATATGTCTAAACAAAGTTGGATCCTGGAACGATTTTACTTAAATTTGACATCACTTTTTTATGAAGATCCCAATCGGAAGCATCGAAATCCTCACTACACTGGCCTAACTGAAGAGTGCCTTCATAGATTTCACGTAGGATTTCCTTAGGCCGCATTATACTCCGCTTACGTTTTAGCCCAGAGCCTCGGCAATTGTGTTCAGACTGGCGCGTGTAGCTTGATTTAGCTACATTTACTAAACCCTCAATGGATGCTTTATCCAGAGTTCCCAGTTTCTGCTGCAAAGCCTTATACAATAGCTCATCACACCCAATGACGTGGCGGGCACTAAACGCTTTTAATTGACCATCATCACTGAATTTACAAGCTGCCACGAATTTCTGTCGATGCCAGTTTGTGCAATCAGTAGTTGGATCCAATCCTCGTAATATCAGCAATTGAGTAGATTTATTTCCAAAGGCAAGCAGCTTGAAATAAGCACTGGTAAAAATTGAACTCTTGCCAATGCTTAGAAGTTTCTTGACCATATCTGATGTCCTCTGAAACCACTGGGAGCAGTCAGTTTGATTCTGCTGCACTAACAGTTCTAGAAGAGCCGCCTAAAGGTAAGTCAAAATTTAGATATGCTTAAAACTCAATTTAGGCTTACCATTTCATAGTAGATCTCGACTTTCGTAGGCACTGCAACAGAGATGTGATCTAAACGTTCCAATAGTTTACTTCCTAATTGCGCGTTTGCTTTTGCTACCGCAGATAGGTGACGAAAGTTTTGGGTGCTCATGGCCGGAAGTCCTTGCTTTCCCAGACGGTGAAAATACTTTAGAAATCTTTGCACATGCAATTGGCTGATATTTGTAGAAAACATGGCATAGGAATTATTGCACTTATTCCAAAAAACTGCAGCTTGCTGTATGGCTTTGTCAGTCCAACACTTATTAACCTCTTTCAAGCTAAATTATAGATTTCTATTAAAAATAATTTGTTTTTAAAAAGTTAATTTAATGCGTTTACTAACTGAAAGCACAACATAAGTATATCCGCACACACTTGCGATGAAATGATATCCTTTAGAAACAAGCCGGCGCAGAAATATCTATGTATATCTTTGTCAGGCACCAAATATAAGAAGCATGCATAGGCATTCAGTACTCTTTCGTAGCGTTCAGCATGGATAAAGTTGGTTGCATCTATGGTTCAAGTAGATAAGAAGAAAAGAAGATAATCTGAAGGAACCCTTACCTTTAAACAAATACTCAAAAATTTTCTGCATTGTTTGACAAGTATTCGGAAGGAAAGCTGAGTTGTCTGCAGATACAGCAGTTATAAAATCTATGCAAACGTCGAAGTAATCGAATTCTGGTGTATACTGCATACTTATGGTTAAGTACTGAAATAAAAACTCTCCATTATTATAAGCTGGGATTAGAAAATAAGATTTTTTTTACCTTTTGACATTCGTCAAATGAGTAAACCAGTTTAAAAAGATCCATTTCGTAGGGACTCACATATGTAGATATAAGTTGATGAACATGGTTGTCGGAATAATTTGAAAGCTTCCTGAAGAAAGGGAAATTAATAAAAATGTTTATTCATTTTAAAAAACTTACGTTTCCTCACACATAATTAAATCCATGATGCAAGTAGCGACATCATCGTTAATTTGTGTCATATTATTATTGAAAATCTGAAGCAACATTAAGTAGTAACTTTGTACAATTTTCAAATAATCTTCCAAACTATCCATGGTAACAGTTAGTTTTCCCTAAAAATTAATGGTAATTATAATAAGTTATTGATAGGAGTTCGACTTGTTATGTCTGACATACCTTATTAAAAAGATCCTCCAAGTAACCGTGAATCATTTCACATAAATACGATATAGTTTCTTTTAGCCATTCGGGTATTTGTTCATCCTTGAAATTAACGTAAGACATGTAGTGCAAGCTGATGTAAGTTAACGTCTCGCTAGTCTTTACGAGTATCATTACATCCTTAATATTCTTTCTTTCAATATCGCCGACATACATTATCTTCTGCATCACTAAAAGTTAGAGAATATAATTTTGATGTTTCTTATCGCAGTGTCGCTAACTTACAGGGTGTGAGGAGCGGGTGAACCTTTTCTGATCCAGTGGTAATCTCTTTTACCAGTGAAAGCACAGCAATCTGAAGATCTACAACGAGGTGATGTTCACTACTGTCACTGTATAAAATATAAATATTTATAACTATTTTAAACCTATTTATAACATTTGGACGCAGAGTACCTTCCTCCCAGAAAAAATTCAATTAATGAAAATAAAAGGTAGGCCAAGATATGAATCAAACGTTCGCCTGCTGTCAACAAATGACTTCTAGATATGGTTATAAAGGCAAGCGCATCTTTAAGCAGTTTTATATGGGCTTTGTGAATTTCAACACCAGAGTCCATTTCCTGAGGATGAAGTTAACTTTTATTAACTTGAAAATAATATATAACGAAACCTACAATTTTAAACCATTTGCACATTTCCTTAGCCGCTCTGACGCAGCACACAGATTTATTAATGTACGCCCTTAATAGCTTACTGAACCACAGGGACAAGACATCCACAGGATTTGCCGATTTGTCTGTGACACATTCTTTGGAGATATTTATAGCGGAGTCCACATCTATAAGCAGGATAATATCATCCTGGTCTATAGCCTCTAACTCGCTGTAGCTTACGGATATACCCAAATCACCAGACTCCTTGGACATTTTGGGATCTAAAATCCCTTGTGTGTTTACAAAATGATGGCGCCAATAGAGAACTAGAGATGAGAAAACCAACCTATCGATAGCCGAGAAAGAAATTATTAAAATACAAAATTCATTTGTTTGAATTTAGGATCTAAATTATTTAAATAGATTAAATAAAATAAATAAATATATTTCCTAACAAATATTTTGTATTTTTTCGATTTAATAGAGGATATTAGAAATAATTTAATTATCGACAGTTCTATACTGCTACCGATTGTAAACATTTTCTCATCCCTAGTTAATGCGCACGTTGTTTTCGTTTTTTATTTCGTTGTATTTTTATTTGTTAAAATGCAACGGAAGGAGGCCAATCCGTTCCAGATCCTGGGCCTGCGTCCTTGGCTTGTGAAGCAACTGACCAAGTTGGGTAATGACAAGACTGCCGATGTCTGAACCAAGGAAATAAACCACTACTCATTTCAGGCCTGAAAGGAGCAACTCCCATTCAACAAAACTGCATTCCGGCGATTTTGGCAGGAAAGGATTGCATTGGAGCGGCCAAGACAGGCTCGGGAAAGACTTTCGCTTTTGCCCTGCCCATTCTGGAGCGTCTGAGCGAGGAACCGGTTAGTCACTTCGCCCTGGTACTGACTCCCACACACGAGTTGGCCTACCAGATATCAGAGCAGTTCATGGTAGCTGGACAAGCGATGGGTGTGCGGGTGTGTGTCGTTTCTGGCGGCACAGACCAGATGATCGAGAGTCAGAAGCTTATGCAGCGGCCGCACATTGTTGTTGCGATGCCCGGACGCTTGGCGGATCATCTGACCGGCTGCGACACTTTTTCTTTCGATAATCTCAAATATCTGGTTGTCGACGAAGCTGATCGAATGCTGAACGGCGACTTTGACGAAAGCCTGTCCATAATAGAAAGTTGTCTTCCCAAGACAAGGCAGAACCTTTTCTTTTCCGCCACCATGAAGGACTTTATGAAGGAGTCTAGCATCTTTCCCATTGCCCAAGATGTCAGTTTGTAAGATTTGCTATTGGGCTGATTTGTTTAATGCTTTTGTTCTGTTTGTAGTGTCTCGAGTGGTCACAAGACTCAGATGTAGCCACTGTGGATACTTTGGACCAGCGGTATTTACTTTGCGCCGACTACGATCGGGACATGGTTTTGATCGAGGCACTCAGGAAATATCGGGAGGATAATGAAAACGCCAATGTAATGATATTTACCAACACAAAAAAGTAGGTCTAAAAAGCATAAGGCATCTAAGTATATTTTAAAATCTTTTAAAATCATTTTTAGATACTGCCAGCTTCTCTCCATGACCCTAAAAAATATGGATATTGACAATGTATGCCTGCATGGCTTCATGCGGCAAAAGGAACGCGTGGCTGCTCTCAGCCGGTTTAAGTCGAACCATATACGGACACTTATCGCAACGGATGTGGCTGCCAGAGGTCTGGACATACCCAGTGTCCAGCTTGTTATGAATCACATGCTTCCCAGGACACCCAAAGAGTATATCCACCGCGTCGGCAGAACAGCCAGAGCGGGACGCAAGGGTATGTCCATCTCTATTTTTCGATTTCCGCGTGATCTGGAACTCTTAGGCGCAATCGAAGAGGAAATCAACACTAAACTTACAGAGCATCCCATCGATCGTAAGTTTTTAAGAGAAAAATTGAGTCTTCCCTTTGTTAATAAACTTAAATATACTTTAGAGCGCATGGTGGAGCGAATCTTTATGCAAGTGAATGTGACGCGTCGTGAATCTGAAATGCAATTGGACAATAACGATTTCGATGAACGAGCGCAGAACTACAGGAGGAAGACGTGGATTATGGAGGGCAAAGATCCTGATCAAATGGAAGCGCTGTAAGCTTTGAAAAACACTCCCAATCCTTATATACCTAAACGTTGTTGTTTTAAAATTCAGCTATAAGAAAAAGCAAAAGGATAAACTGAAGGAAATACGTAGGAAAAGAAAACTTCAGCAGGCGGAGTCAGCTGCTAGTGAGGAAGGCAAGGCTCTACTGCAAGATGAGCGCTTTAAATCTGTAGACAGTGCGCGTTTCGAGAAAAAGGGTAAAGGAAAAGGTCGTGCGCCTAAAGACGGTAGAGAGATAAAAAATAAACCGTTAAAAAGGTTCGACAAAAGCAAGCAACTTTTCCAAAAGGGCAAACCAAATATCAAAAAGTCAAAGGGGAAGCTTAAGCGTGATGTTTAAATATACGTTTATATAATAACAAAATAACTTTTGAGCTTACATTTCTAAGTAGTTGCAAAATGCATACTTAAATAATTTCAAAAATTCAGACATGCTAGATAACCAGGCACTTGGGACGCATCACTGGGTTCAGTCTAAAGCGATTGTCAGAAGGGCATCCTCTGGATGAACCTCCAGCAAGGCTTTGGCGCCATCATTGAAAGGGAACGAAATGCTTCCATCTATAACCAGGTCTGTGAAATGGTAATTAACATTACAGAATTATATCTTGTTTTGTGGTTTGATATAAAACTACTCACTGGCATCGATGCAATGCGACTTCACAAACACAGTTTGCGCAAAGTCGCGTTCCTTAAACGTCTTTGGCGAGGGCCACACACCTACGCAGATTTGTTCCCGGATCGAGTAACAGAGACGAGGATCATCTGGCGCGAATAGCAGCCCTTGGTTGTACCGCTGGGCAATCTCCCCCGATTTCTTTCGCAGAGTCATAACTTCCTTGGAGCCACTGTTGGGCAGCGAGCGCAAAAGGTCGTCCACATCCCGGCTGGTGATGCGATTGATGCTGGTGTGCCAGGAAGTTGAGCCCGTCCCAGTGCTGACACATAACCCGGAGCATTTGGTCTTGTTAACCACGTCCTGGTGGTCCAGCACCAGCTGCAAGTGGGACACTCGTGCTGAGAGATGTTCGCCGATAAATACCTATCGAACATAAATTATGAAACATAGTGATTAGTGGTTAATCCTTATTCATAACTTCACTGTCATACCTCGTTTAGAGCCAAGTACGGGAGAATACGTTTCATTTTGGCTTTATATTTATAAGCCATGTTCTGATCAAGCATTTCTGGGGCCGTGGTGACCTGCTCCATCTTAACCTCTGTATGCCGGAAGAGGTCCGTCGACTCCGGGATCTTACCGTTGCTGCCCAACAGCGTGGTCCGCACCCTAGAGCGATGCATCCACTTGAAGTCACCCTGTAAGGGATCAAAATATTTCATAGTATAACCAAATGAAATTGCTGATTTCAGGACTTACACTTTTTATTCGGGAAACGGCATCGGCAGGATTGTCGGAATAGTGTTTGGGTAGCATAAGTCTACCCTCGGAATGAAGAGGATCCGAGTTGAAGCCCACGATCGGTGTCTTTTGCTGGCTGAGGGCGAAGAGTGGACTGGCGCGACCGGCTGATAGAAGGAAGGTACCATCACCGCCCACCGGCACGATGACGTCCGCCCAGCTCATGACATCCTTGCTCAACGAGCTTCTAAATTCAAGTCTGCTCGTTTAGTAAAGTCAACACACAAGGCGATGGGCCGCATGGGGAGACACGTAGTGTGTGGATGGTAGAGATCAATTGTAGTGGATAGTAGTCACGAATCGAAGATACATATAAAGTATAGTATGTGACGAGGTGACGAGATACAAAACACAACATTGGGAGCAGTGATTGGAAGTCTCTAGATAGGGTTTTTCGGTACATATCCTAATTCGTAGATTATATATAAAGTAATCATAGTACAAAAACAAAAGTCTTAGGGAGAATTCTGTATGAATTCTAATTAACAAACATATTTTGAGGTATAGTCATTTATAAAACAAGTGAATTGGATCAAAATCATGTACGGAGCCTCCCTACGGTTAAATCCGATCACCGATCTGGAGGGCAAATTGGGACTTGTTTTACGCACCTGCTGGATAACTTCACCTCGCAACCAACATTCTGGAAACTCTGCACTACCCGCCGCTCGAAATCCTTGTGCACCTTGTGCAGGTGAAGGACCATCTCCACGTCTGTGCCCCGGTCCCGGAGTTTTTGTTGCAGTTGATCTGGAGATAGTTCCGGGTACCGAAGCTGCTCGAACTCATAGCGGGACAACTTGGTGACCACTAGTGCCCGTTTTAGCTTAAAGTTAGTCGGCGTAAATTTCGCGTACTCTGTAAAATATTCAATTTCAGGTTGATGGCCTGTTAGTCCAATATTTATTGTGTCCTGCGGACAGGAAATTTACGCAACCCTTCTGGGACAATTTTCCTGCCACTCTTAATCATTTTGCGCCCAAATAAGAAAAGCCAATGTTTCGGTTTCGATGGGGATTTCCTGGAGCAGCTGATGAAACTTACAGTGAGATACGAAAGTATTTTCCCATCTACTTTTGATTTCCTATCATTATTTTCCTTTCGAAATTTAACTTTTTGTTGCCAGCATTTTATTTTAGGCAAGCTTATCTGAACACACATTTGCTATCTTTGAATTATCATTATTGACAAATATTACCCATTAAACAATATAAAATCAATTCAAAGCTATTATAGGTATTATATAAATATAATTATTGTATGTTTTTAGGTAACATAAATTTATTGAGAGAATAATTTTCTTAACGAGTGTAGCTGGGGAAAGTTCATCATGACAAAGAATTTGGCAAAAAAAAAGTGTTTACTGATAATCTTCGGCTTGGCCAGAGTCAGATGCGATTAAGGCCTGTCAAGGCGAGCCTACGTTTAGTCTGGTAATATAGTATTATGTTTATTCCAGCACATGCCTAATGCTGATAATACAGGCGGCAACGAAAACACAGATAGCCAATGCGTGTAAATATAACTTATATTGCGCCATTTCGACTCCGGAACATAGGAATCCTTACCTTTGGAAAACTGCTGGAACAACTGCTTCGATTTCAACATGCTGAGCACTAGGAAAGACCAACCACACACATTTAGGGTATTTATTTAAGTCTATTTCAAATTCTTTGAAAAAAAAGAATGTAGCTTAAGACAAGTTTCTGATCTAAAAGTTACTAAACGAAGAATCGATGGCTCTTTGTTCTCTTGGCTGCTGTCGGCACCTAACAAAAAAAACCAAATAACTAAGTGGCCGTGCTCTATATTCGACAAGCAGAATACATAGGTTGAGGTTATTGTTAGTCCTATTCGGATTTACGATCACTGCTCACTGCTATCCGTTTCCGTTCATCATTTTCACGTCCACTCTCCGGCGATTTTGCAGATTAACTGATTAATTATTACTCTATTCCTCTTTGACACATCGCTTATGTATGAAAATTCGCATTTGCTGTAAATTTATCGCCGTTTGTTTCTATTTTCGTCCGCTTTCGCTTCTTACATCTCTCCCGTCCGTGTGTACATCTTGTTGTGCATTGCTGATAAGGGGCCCAGCCTGTTCTTATCAGCCGAAATATGTATTGTATATAAAAAAACTCCGTTGGCGACTATTCACTCTCTGCCATTCACTTGTACACATTGAAGTCTTCTTCTTGCCGGATTAGCAATTCAAACAGAATTTTCGCGCCAATCCTACTACGAATTTGATTTAAAACATCATTAGCTGGTACTTAACGTAAACTTAATTTAGATTGTCCGCTGTCTAGTTAAAACGTTACTGCTGGTACTGTCCACTTACATTCTGAATCGAGTCATTTTGGGGCTCATCTTTCAGCCCGTTTAACCAGTCTAGATTCTAGAAAAGAGAATTCAAAAGTATATCTTTATAAACATGGGATCAATAGGATGCAGCCCCTGAGTTTACAAATTGTACAAGCATGCGTATAGGTTATCTCAAAATAAAAATCTTATTTTTGTCATAGCACTACCTGAAAAAGTTCAGAGGGTTCCCCTTGAGCTGTCTTCTGGGCGACGCTTTTCAGCAAAAGCAGAACGTTATGTGCCATTTTACTGACTTTAATGCTCTCGGAATCCGCCGTGGTTGTGTCCAGGCTCGGCTCGAGAAGACAATTAGCCGGCGCTCCTGCGGCAAATACTTCGTTAGAGAGATTCGGAGAGTGCGAGATGGTTTCAGAGGCTAAACGATTATTGATGCGATTATCCGGAATGCGGGATACCGAATCGATTAGAGAGCTGATTGAACTGGAGCTGGTCCTGTTGTATAGATTGGTGCTTGTATGGAGATCAATGGGTACATTGTTAGTGTACTGATATTCATTCCTTATAGTCATTACAATGTCAGCTGACTGTTTGGCTTGGTTCGTTTGGCTGTTGAAGGTATTATAGGGGGTACGCAGGCGCTGCTCCTTAGCTCCCTGAGTCTGCTGCTGACGACGGTGAAACTCGTTACGTTTCTTGAGGTTTTTAAGGTTGCGCCACTGATTGTGTTGATTCCGGAAACGAGAGCCACCTCTAAGATCAAGGCGTGACTTGACAGGATCACGTGCCTGGTTATTGGAAGTCAATGGAGCTGCTCCGTCTGCCCGGTTAATGTTGTTGCCGTAAATACGCCATTGGGCAGAATTTTTAGTGTGTTCCGGTTCGGACGACTCCTCGCAGAACACCTTGTTAAAGTCATTAATTTCAAAGTTATTTTGGCTCGTACTAGAATGGATCTCGCTGGCACCATATCCGTCGACATCATCATTTAACACCAGTTCGGAGTCCAGGAAATCCTCATCCTCTTCGTCTTCCTCATCATCTTGTCTTACGTCTTTATAAGATCGCAACCTCCCCGCCTGACGATTGCACCTCTTTGGGATGGGATTACTAGAGTACCGGCGTGGTACTCTGGGTTTTGGTACTACGCACTGCTCATAGTATTCATCTGTTGTATTGGCAAGCGAACTTTTTAAGATGGGAATTTCGAATGGAGAAGAAACTAATACAAACCCAAAGGCATCATTGCGCCAGTCGCATTGAAATGCGTCATTTTGTGTTTTCCCTCCCGCGTTAAAATCAAGAAGTTTTAAAATTTAGCAAAAGCTCGCGTCTCTTTGGTTACCGAAAATAACTGTTAAAATAGAATAGCCGCTGTCGCACAAGTGAAATCTCAACTATCGAATAATTCAGTCGATGCAAAGAATGTATTTACCAACACTGAACGCAATTTATATTTTAAAAATTTCAATTTGGAATTACAATATTTAGCGAGAGCAAACATTTAGATGATGTGAAACCCATGAGGAACTAAAATAACAAATTTTCTTTTACACCCTTACTAACATCTTTGTTTAGCTTCTTAGCCCACATTTTCGAAAATATAATCTCATATTTTCAAAAATGTCAAAGACCGGGAAAACACATTTTCCGGCTCAGCAGAGCGACCAGATACCACTTTTGACAGGCATTTCAGTATTTTGAGAGATACCTGCTGTGTGCACACTGCAAAAATGCGACTATCGCAGCCAACTTCACCGACTTCTCACTTTACTGGAAAACGTGGAACGAACATCACTTTGTTTCAAAAACGGCTGTCAAAATGTAAGTAATTTAGATAAATGGATAAGCCCAAAATTGCAGCCAATATAACTGCGAATAGAGTTCTATTGGCTTGTTTGCAGAACTCAATGTTGCAAGATTGATTTGCGATGCGCAGGGAATGCACTTTACCGGTTGCAACTCAAATTGCAGTCACGTGGTTAAGGATCCTTTGCAATCTCAACAAGCAATTAATTTTATAAGTATTATATTTAAATGATGAATTTTCTTATATTGTAGGTGATCCACTTATGGGATGCTGCGTTCAAGCGCTCGAAAATGATAAATGGTAAGTTAAATCTTTAACCATAAATATAAAATTTATATTTAAAATTTTCCTATGCGAACACGAGTCGCTGGTGTAAAGAAACTTACCTTTAGCTAGTGCTTTTTACTTGTTCGCAGATCAAATACTTTGCCCAAGCATAACCCAAATTTGTATACCCGAATTTGCGGTGCATATTTTATTCGCAAAGCCGACATTACTTTTAAATCTAAATTAATTGCTTATGATATTTGTAGTGTTTAATTTGTATAAATTTTTTTTTTCAGAAACAAAATGGAGTTGCAGACCAACACGTGCTTTCTAAAAAGATCAATATGGTAAGAATACTTTGAAATCTTATGATAGTCTCTCGTCATTCTATGATGATTTATTATTTTATTTTCTGACATCTCTTATGAACCGTTGTGATTCAAATCAGTTATAACTAAATCTGAAGTTAAACAATTAAACAATCGTTTTATACCTAGTAGCTTTAACTAATTAAAACTTTCTGCTTATTTACAGATCTAAATATGAAATTATCACGATCGCCATCTTTACAGTTGGGAGGAGGGTTAACATGTTAAATTGGTAATTTATATTCCTATTATGAAAAAAAATATATACAGTCCTCTTAGCGTAGAATTGCAATTACTTTCTGATGAATGAAACTTACACCATCTTTCGACTGAAAAATATATTGATGCTATATAAGTTTTCACTGAATTTTAACACACAATGTTGGATTTTTGTAAAAACTTGGGATTATCTTGTTTCTCATTACCCCAACTTTATTTTTCTGATTACAGTCGGTAGAAACAAGTCCATTATTTTGTCTTATGGAAATCTAGAGGCAACTAGAAAAGGTAAATGTTTTCTTCATTTAACATCAAACATTCAGTTTGAATATTTTAATATTTAAGAAGAAAAAACTAGTGATGAATGAAACTTACACCATCTTTCGACTGAAAAATGTATTGATGCTATACAAGTTTTCACTGATTTCGTTTTCTTAAATTTTGTTTTTATGTAAAAAAAAAAATGTTGACTCTAAATGACAGGTTTTTTTTTATTTTGCAGTTGAGGAACATTCCACAGTCGATGCCCCAATATCATATTGAAAAGGTAATTTACAAGATACTTCAAAACCTTATTAAGATTATATGATGCTTAAATTTTCTGACATCTCTAATGAACCGTTGTGATTCAATCTCCATACTATATTCAACTGATGACTTTTAAACTAATTAAAGCGAATCTGGTATATTTTTGTGCTAATACATTTTTTTTTTTTTAATATTTTACAGGTTATTGAAACAGAAGAAGAAATCCTTTTTTGGTCAGATATTAATCCCAAGGTTAGTATAAAAATATGTTTTATGAGGGATATAAAGCTCTATGATGATCACTTAAACCATTCACAGACAACATATAAAGGTCAAGCGCTGACAAACTCCTCCAATATTCTTTTGGAGATAGCGAGTCTTGCTTGGCTGGTTATGGACCCTGGTTAAAAACTTGGCACTGAGTCTTATAATAAACCTTTAACTTTATCCATGACTTCAGAAATATAACTAATCCAGGCCGTTTATATCTTTTCAGATTTCAATCCGTTGCAGGACACCAACTAAAATCTTGTTAACCCATACAATGAATAAAATTCTTAATTTGAAAGGTTAAAAATCGTTTTTTACTAAATTTGCACGCTCCCGAAGGGCTAGTTCCTTATCCTGCTTAGCAATCATTCGTTCGCCTTTAGACTTTTTGCCTATGCCTAACTTGGGTAATCCTCTATTGAGACCCTCGAGGAGAACGCAAGCCTTGCAGGGCTGCTGTGAGGAAACAAAGCCACATCGAGTACAGATGCCGCGCACTGGCTTTTTTACGGTGTCCTTGAACCGTAGCTGTTCTCCAGAGTATATGATGTCCATGATAACCGAAGGGCGCACCTTTTCCAAATCCTTAAGAAATGCTCTGGCATGTCCACGATACGCATTGGGAGCAAATACACACTCCGTGGAGAAGTAGACAAGCTTTTTATAGTGAGCATACATAACGATCTCCTTCTCGTAGCTGTACTTAAGGGGTTTTACTCTCGGAATAGAATCCTCTCCGCCGCCGGTCCGTATGTCAGTGCAGCGTCGGAGGCGTGCCGTGTCCCCGCGGAGCACGTTCATCAGGACTGTCTCTGCAATGTCATCGGCATTGTGACCGGTGGCTATACTGTCCACGCCCAGCAGCTTGGCCCCGCGATCTAAAGCTTGTCGGCGGAAAACTCCGCAAAAGGTGCAGTTGTTGGAACGTCCGATTTGTCCTACAATGCGGTCCATAGTCCATCCGTAGAGCTCCTCGTAGGACAAAATCTTCAAGGGCATTTGATAGTCATCACGATTCTGCTTGACTGTCTCCAAACTGTCGTCCCGGTAACCAGTAATCCCCTCGTCAATGGACAGAAGTACCAGTTCAAGACCATAATCATGTCGTTCGTTAAGCAGTTTCATGCTGACAAATAATTTAAATGTTAGATTGGTGGGATTAGGGAAAATCAAGAACATACACATGAGCCAAGACAGTGGAATCCTTGCCTCCACTAGCTGCCACTGCCACCTTTTCACCACGCCGAAACAAATTGCTCGAGGAGATTGTGTGATGAATCTCCGCCTCGAAGGCGGCAAAGAAGCACTCCTTGCATAGGGCATCGCCGGTTTTGGGACGCTTCAAAGGATGAATTATTGGATTTATTTCAGTTTTATGTTAAAAAGGCTTACCTTCAAGGCAGCTCGATTGCCGCACTGGGATTTGCAGTTTATAGGCATTTTGAGTCACATTTAATTCTCAATCCACCAGAAACGAAACCAGCTGTTGCATGTATTCCTGCACTGACTAACACTGGCTTTTTAGAGAAAACATTATCCATCACTGTTCCGAACAGTCTGTGGCATTTTAGAATAAATAATAAATATTTATATTTACAATGAGCGCCGGAAAAGAGATAAAGGCCTTAATCAAGGACATCCGGGATACGATCAAGCTGGGCAAACATGCAGAGGCCATACCCAAGTGTCAAGTGACGTCACCGTGGTAGAATATCCTTATTGCGCATAATCCTAATGACGTTTATTGCAGCGCTTACTGAAATCGGAACCAAAAAACGCAATGGGCTACTTGTTGCTCGGAGCCGCCTACCAAAATCTGGACAAGGCAGAGGCTGCTAAGAACCTGAGGCAATGCATCGAATTCACTGAGGGACCCGCCACCGCTGCACTTCTGGGGCTGGCCAACTGTGCGCCCATTAACGAACTGCCGGAAATCTATGATCAACTGGCTGATTTGCAACCGTAAGAAAGTGGTCGCTTTCGTGGGTAAATTGATTTCACGTCTTACATTTTTAGAGAACAGTCCCTGGAATATTGGGAAAAGCTTTTTAACTTGGCCTCGGACGCGAGTATTGCACCCGCTTGCTTTTCTGTTCTGAAAAAGAGAGTTAAGAACATAAAGGATAATAATTTTTTAAAAATACAGGAATATTTGGGACGTATTTGGTTCGCTAACGATTTAGAAATAAACCCAGAGGATACTCAACTTGTAAGCAACCGAATCCTAAGTCGGTTTATAGCTACTAATTAAAATTATTCTTAGTACAAGACAACGATAGAAACTCTGCTGGAGAGCTCGGATGCAAATGCAAAGAGTGTCGTCTACAAGCGTTATCTCAAATGGCTTTATAAGGAAAAGGACTATTTGGCCTGTGTGCGGAACGCCTGCAATATGACCGAATCGCACCCAAAAGATGCCTATGGCTACGAGTGGATATGCAAGACATACTGCGAAAACCATGATCAACCCAAAAAAGAACTGTGGCAGAAAGAGCTAAGGCATCCCATTCAGATTTACGCTGAGCAGCTCCTGGAACTGAATCCAAACTCTAACTTGGCTTTGTTGATCAAGGCACTTGATCTGTATCATGAGGGTCAGTTTGTGGCATCGAGACAGTTGGTGTTACAGGCGCAGCAAAGTCATCCCACATACAAGGTTACACTGGAGCTGTTGGCTCGCATTCACATGGAACTGGGCGCGTATAAGCTTGCAGTTCACCTGTGGCAGCAATTAGGTGAGAAAAATAGTGCTTATGCTCTATGTTTGTCCCACGAAAAGGATGATTCAAAATTAAGGGAAGCCGTTCGTATGTTGCAAGCGTTAGAGAAGACCGAGGACAATGTTAAGTCTTTGGCTCGGTAAGCTATCAATAATATTCTAGTAAATTATCCACTTAAAAAAATTTATTTATTTCAGTTGCTACTTCAAGCTGGGTGAAGTGCAGTTGTTGAAAGATTTGCCTTTGGATGAAGTTTCCAAAGCGGAATTCATCTTGTAAGTGAAGTAACAAAAATCAAAAAAATAATTGATAACATAGTTATTACCTTATCTAGATCTCCAGTTGAAGCTCTGCAAGCAATTGGAAACCGGGAGTCGTTTGAAGCTCATCTGCTTTGTGGCAAGCTCAACATGTCCCTGAAAAACTATTCAGAATCCTTGAACTATGTTTTAAAGGCAACTCGTCTGCGTCCCCACTTTTCCGAATGCTTCGGATATTTGGGAAAACTGTATCCATTGGCCACCGGGGATTTAGCGCGTGCCCGTAAGTGCTATGAAAAGTGTATTAGCCTCAATGCCCTAGCCGAGGAAGCTGTGGATGCTCTCAGCTTTATCTACCAGGAACTGGGCGAGGAGGAGTTAAACGAGACGCTGCTACTGAATACCTTGCGGCATCTAGGCAACGACGAATCAATCCGACTGCAGTATAAGCTGGGACTGCACTTCTTGCAAGTGAAAAAGTGGGACAATGTAGGTAACTGGTTATTTATGAAGTACACTTTTTAACACATTCATTGCAGGCAATTCAATGTTTTCGCATTGCCATTAAGCATGAATCACGCTGTATGGTCTACTGGGAGTCACTGGGCGATGCTTATGCGGCTCGTGGTTCCTACAACTCGGCCATTCGGGTCTTCCAAAAGATCCTGGAACTGTCCCCGGAGAATAGTTATGCACTGCTTCAGATTGCTTCAATTAAAACGGTGCAAAGATGATAAACAAAACATAAAACATAAAAAAATAATAATTACTATATTATTTAGACAATTCGCATGTATCCGGAGGCTATTGAAGATTACGATGCGCTGTTAAGGATGAATCCTAGTTACCTGCCTGGTCTTCGAGGAGCAGCTGAGGCGCATTTTGGCATGGCGCTTAGTCTGAAGACTCAGAATCTGTACGGAAGATCTAAGGAGCACTTCCAATTGGCGTCCGGACACCTTCAAAGGTTTAAAAATTCAGTATTTTAGTAATACAGCTGATATATATATATATGACATCCCTTTCAGCGCCTTTCTTCAGCCAGAGGCTCAGACCATGGTATGGTTGTGGCGTCTCTCGGCCAGTGTATTTGTTCAGACAGCCCAACTACCGCGTTCGTTGGCCAACCTCGATGTGGCCGGCAGTCTGGCCAAGCGCGATGAACCCATTGCGTATCTGTCTCGTAAGGATCTCTTGCAGCTGGCGCAGCGTTTTTATCTATGCGCTTTAAAGCTGAAGCAGAATACCTACTTGTGGTACGAGATGTCTGTGGCCAGCTACTACAGTGCCATTTATATTCCGGAAGAAGCAAAAAGTCATTTAGAGACAGCTGCTAAGGTATGCAAAATGGCCATAAAGGAACGTTGTAATCGATGGCAGAATTGGAATCTACTAGGGGTGATTAACATGCATTCCGAATATGAAAATCTGCCCTTGGCTCAGCACTGTTTAATTCAGGCTGTGGAGCTGGAAAGAAAATGTTATACGGCGTGGACCAATCTTGGTGTCCTTTATATTAAGTTGAACGAAATCCGACTAGCCAACGATGCTTTTACGCGAGCGCAACAGTCGAGTCCTGTGTATGCCAATGCTTGGATCGGCCAGGCAATGGTGGCCGAGACGATTGGTGACCGAGAAGAAGCTTTTGACCTGTTCCGCCACTGCCAGCAATTTGACTATCATCCGGAAGCAGCGTTGGGTTTCACCCACTGGGTGTGCGAAATGCTGTCGGATCCAAGCTCCCGGAATAAGCCGCACATCAGGCACGCTATCGAGCATATGTATGCGGATGTCTATGCACTGGATGCCATTAATTGGTAGGTACTAAGGAATTTAAGTTTTAAAACATTTTAAAAAGCATTTATATTTTTATTTATATATTTATTTATATTAGGTACGTGCAAAATGAGGAGGCTGATGCTAGTATAGCATCTCTGTCATTCCAGGGATTTTTGTACGATAGGAAAAAGCTGTATCATCAAGCAATTGAAACCCTTAACCGAGCCTGCAAGCTGTGCGAGCCTGGAGAGGATCGTGATAAGCTGTACACAAATCTGGGATACCTATACCTGAAGATTGACCAGCCAGAGCAAGCTGCAAATGCGCTGAACACTGTAGCTCATGCATCATTTAAGCCAATTATAGGTCTGGCCCAAGCCTATTACCGTTCTGGTCAGCTGCAGGAATCCTATTCGATTTACAACTCTGTTCTCAGTAACGTGGTTGGTCATGATGATGACAAAGCTGCTACCATTTTAGTGGCGATGGCATCGATGATTTACGCATTCCAGGGAGAAGCGGACACCAAAACCCTACTCTATCAATGGTTTGTGCAAGAATACTTTATTGATTCCACTGTTCCTAACATTTAGACTTTGCAAAGTGTTCTGTTGAAGGAAGTACCAATTCAGGCTTTGTTTTCGGCCTTTGCCTTGGGAATAATTCATAGAGATAATGAATTGAGCCGGACAATAATGACGGAGCTAGAAGCATACGCTTTTGAGGAGGAATATTGTGCCGATATGTCTTATCTAAAGGCCTATTATATATTGATAAATGTGCGTTGAAGTGGCTAACTGTGCTGGGTTTACAAAAATGATGCTTAAATTGTTTCAGGAAGGAGTCCGGCAGGCATTGTGCTTTCTACAGACCCGTGTCCGCATGTTTCCTCAATCCACCAGTCTTCGAAGGGTCTTTCTTAAGTTTCTTCTTGACTATTTCCACGACGATCGATCCTACCAACTGGTCACCTCAAATATGGCTCTGAAAGCTCTCACGCTGGGCCACACCAACCAGCAAAACGGGTGAGATTAGAGGATATTCTATAAAATATGTTTTGTTGGTTACATTTACTTTTTTATATAGCATATTGGCTAGCGAGGAAGCGCAGATGGCAATATATGCCAGCCAGGCGGTAAGTCCAGTGGACAAGGCCTGTTCATTGAAGTTGGTACAACGTGCCATTCGGCTGAGCCCAACTGATCAGCAAGCCAGGCAATTACTGTCCGTAATCACTGCCCATTAAGTTAAATATCTAATAAAAGTAAATTAGCGATTTAAACTTATATATTTTTGCCACCTAAGATCAAAGTGTTGAAAAACGTCAAAGAGCAGTGTGACCGTACTGCTAGCTTCAGTACGACGGTCGCAGTGCGTCGGGGGTGAAGCCAAGTCCACGAAAAAGTGAATAAAAAGCGTAAAATGTGTATGAAATGGTAAAAATGCAAATGAAATAGCAAGCAAAGAGACCCAATGTGACAATGTTCCGTAAAATTTGTCAGAGATTCAGCTCAAGATCGCTGTGAAAGGTATGCACTGCGCCCTGCATACCTGCATATGAAAAACCTGCTTCCGCGGCCGTAATTACAGTTAGACACTAAAATAGCTGCACGGTCAGGTTGCGAGGTGATTTGGGGTTCTCAACTAGGAGAGAAGGGGTTTCGGGATCGGGTGTAACCCACGCACTCTAGCCCAACTGCAATGGAAAACGAATCCGTCAAGTCGGAACACAGTGGACGCTCCAGACGCTCGCGAAATCACAATAACAACGGTGGTGGGGGGGAGGAGGAGGCGGTGGCGGCGGAGGTGGCAGTGTAAACAACGGCTACCATAGGGAACGGGATCGCTCGAGGCACTCGCATCGCAGCACGCACTCCTCCAAGTCTGGCAAGGGATTCCAGCGAAGTGACATGGCACCTTACCAGACCAGTGTTAATATGACAGGTGAGTTTCATGGATATATTAGTCAAAGACCACCCTTCAAACATTTTTCGCTCACCAGGAGACGGCAGTCACGATGGTCAGGAAGTTATTGAAGTGCAAATCCTGCCACAGGACGAGAATTGGGGTGAGAATACCACTGCTGTGACGGGCAACACCTCGGAGCAGAGCATCTCCATGGAGGACATCAACAACATGTGGCACCGCGAGAACGACAAAGGATTCGGCTTTGCCTGCCGTCGCTACGTGGAGTCTATCTTTTACTTCTTGCTCGGATGCGGCGCCTTCTTTTCGCCAGTGGCCATGGTGGTGATGCCCTATGTGGGCTTCTTTCCCTCAGCTTTCGATCACCCGGAGCTGACGCAGACAGTGCGAACCCAGCTGCTGGCTTGCAGCGAACAGTGTAAGGGCCAACTGGTCTCGTTGACTGCACGCCTTCTTCTCCTGGCCATCGGTCTGTGGGCGGTCTTCATGCGACGCACCTCGGCCAGCATGCCACGGATTTTCCTGTACCGTGCATTGGTTCTCCTGCTGGTCACTATCTGCACGTTCGCGTACTGGCTATTCTACATTGTGCAGGTCACGAATGGGGCCAAGATCGTGGTGGAGACGGGCGGCGATGCCGTGGACTACAAATCTTTGGTGGGATATGCCACCAATTTTGTGGACACTCTGCTATTCATCCATTACGTGGCAGTGGTTTTACTGGAGCTGCGCCATCAACAACCCTGTTACTATGTCAAGATTATTCGTTCTCCGGATGGCGTTTCGCGCTCCTACATGCTGGGCCAACTGAGCATACAGCGTGCAGCCGTGTGGGTGCTACAGCATTACTACGTAGATTTCCCAATTTTTAACCCGTACCTGGAGCGCATTCCCATCTCGGTCTCCAAGTCGCAGCGCAACAAAATATCAAACAGTTTTAAGTACTACGAAGTGGACGGGGTGAGCAATTCGCAGCAGCAAAGCCAAAGCCGGGCAGTTTTGGCGGCCAATGCCAGAAGGCGCGACTCTTCACATAACGAGCGATTCTACGAGGAACACGAGTACGAGCGTCGCGTGAAGAAGCGGCGTGCCCGTCTTATTACCGCTGCTGAGGAGGCATTCACCCACATTAAGCGCATCCATAATGAACCAGCTCCTGCCCTTCCGCTCGATCCGCAGGAAGCAGCATCGGCGGTCTTTCCCTCAATGGCCCGAGCCCTGCAAAAATACTTGCGGGTAACACGCCAACAGCCCCGACACACCTTTGAAAGCATCCTGAAGCATTTGGCACACTGTCTTAAGCACGATCTATCGCCACGCGCCTTCCTGGAACCATATTTGACCGAATCGCCGGTAATGCAAAGCGAGAAGGAGCGCCGCTGGGTTCAGTCGTGGTCACTGATCTGTGATGAGATCGTGTCCCGGCCAATCGGTAACGAATGTACGTTTCAGCTTATCCAGAACGATGTTTCCCTTATGGTCACCGTGCACAAGCTGCCACACTTTAACCTGGCCGAGGAGGTTGTGGATCCCAAAAGCAATAAGTTTGTATTGAAACTGAATTCTGAAACATCCGTATGACACCACCACAATGCCCCCCCGATCGTAACACCTACGCACAGCAACCAGACCCAATCGTCCTATCTCCATGTGTTTGTCTGATAATCCCAACTAGTACCCTTATATTCCTATTCCTAATGTTTCAGCCTGATCGCGAATTCCCTTAGGTATTAGGTCTTGATTTTGAGGGACTTTTAAAAAGTAATTAATATTTATATACTAAAACTTCATCATAATCAATCAAATTAAGCAATCAAAATTATTTATTAATGAATATGACCCGAAAAAAACTAGCTGTCCGGAAATAGAAAAAATCCTTGAATTTTGAAAAACAGAAACTGATAGCTAGGTTGAAAGCGAACAAATTTTATAAAATCAAAAAGTCAAAACAGGTCCTTACTTTGTTTGTTCATATGAATTATTGTTTACATACTTATCAGCTATGAACTTAAACTTATGCCCCCAATATCAACGCCAATGCTCAAAAGCCCAATGTATTATCCTAAACCTACTCGAACATATCACACGACCCTTTGATACGAAACCATGACTTACAAGTTCCCAAAGTATTAATTATAAGAATAATGGTTTGGCTTGCAGAACCGCAAAACATAAGATATCAACTCTTCAGTGCAGCTCTTTTTATACACGTTTTTTATTTTAGGAAATATGTTTAGTATAAAGTTAAGCTTAATCGTCTCGGAATATCTATTATTTTACCGAATTTCTGTGTGACGTTTAAGCCCCATTGCTAGCCTTAAGATATGTGGATTGAGCCATTGGCTAACCCAAGAAATTTTAGCTAAGTCTCGGACTTGCGCGAAAAGTGGCTGCTACACTTTTAGCGCGACTCAGTAGGATTTTACATACGCACATTTTAAGCCGAAACCGAAAGGTCCTAAACTCATCTGCCACGAATGTTGAGAAACGACAAAACTATAACTCGAATGCAACTGATGACAAATACATAATTTAAGCAAAGACTGCCTGAATATGCATTTTATACACACAAATTGCCAACAGCCACTAACAGGTGTATGTACTAACCTGTGCATAGCAACCACATATATACAAAAACTGTGTATTTTTAGAAACAAAATTATAGCGATAAGAGCGCGAATTCGTATTTGAAAATATGTACGTTCCAGTGAGCCCAATCATATACATATTTATATAGTATATATACCTATTTACAAAACTACTTAGAGAACTTTTGCTTGAGGTTTGATTTAATTTTCGTTTTCTAGCTAAATGTCTTCTTACGAAGCACTCCTTTATATTGCAATTCTATAGCAATTACTTAAAGCAATTGGAAAACTTTTAAGCTACATACCATCTATATATCAACTCTCAAACTGTAACTGTTGTAACTGTAATTAGCTTATAAAAACACATGGCGTAAAATAAACTGAAACCCACTTTTTTAACAGCTTTAAACGAGATGTTTTTCTGTCGATACGATGACGCAAATTATGGCAATACGCACGTAATTAATTTATTCATTCAGCACTTATAATATTGCCTGAAACAGACCTTATCAGCTTTCGATTAATAAGCAGTTCCGATAATGATAAATGAGCCAGCTGCGGGTTACCATATTGCACATAAGTACAATATATGAGGTCTAGATTTAATCCCACATCAATCAGTTTTAAAGTCTGCTTATCGCCAAGACTCAAGTTTTGATGATAAGGCGTTAAGTGTAATTAGTTCAAGTGCGGTGAGACCCCTGGCGGTTGCCTCTACCACATCTTTTAGATAAGGAAGTAAAATGAACAATTGCTCTGTTTGGCTAATCAAATATCAAATTTATGCAACTGATATGATTCTGGTGGTGCCTGGTGGATAATAGCGTTCGCTTTTATTTACACGGTTTCATAAATATTCGCCTAATGTAAATCGAGTACTAACATATCAGATATACTTTTAAGACTAATAGTCAACAGCTTGCACAACTGTTGCTTTTTGGCTTGTGCGTCAGTGCTGTTATTATAGATCTTAATAATTTTAGCCAGGTAAATATGACAGATATTTCGTCCATTTCCCATTGTTTTCTCAAAAGAGGCCTCTCAGATTAGTCTTTCTTGCGCTGCAGCCCGTTCTTAGTTGGCTCGTAGAATTCCTCGACAAGGGCGTCCACCATAATCTTCATTGTGTTAGTCAGTTTGGCCCAATTCTTCTCGTCCGGCTTGCCACACATCTCGGCGTAGTACTTCATCTTAGGCTCCGTGCCGCTTGTTCGTAGTGTTACCACTAGGCCGTTCTTAAAGGTGAATGTTATCATTTGGGATGAGGAACTGGTCGGTAGTGTGGCTTTCTTGTCGCCGGTGCTGCTGTCATAGCCAGTCGTAAGATCTCGAACGTTTTCAATTTCGAACTCGCCGTTCATGATGCTGGTCGGATAGGTGTCCGCCTTACCCTCATCCCACGTGCGCAGACGCTCGAAGATCTGCACAATTACCGGCGGGCAGCGGCAGATGACATAAGAAGATATGGTCGTATGGAACCCATACGTCTCGTAGATGTCGCGAAGCTTCTCCTGCAGCGTCATGCACTTTTTGCAGCGTAGGTAGGTGGCCATGGTGGCCACGTGGGCAGCGGCACTGACACCATCCTTGTCCAGCACAGCAGTGCCTACCATGAATCCAATAGCTTCTTCAAAGGCAAACAACACCGTCTTGCCCGCCTGCTGCTGCTCAATGGCCTTGTTACCCATCCACTTAAATCCTGTCAGCGTTTCAAAGAATTGGAAACCATCCCGGTCGGCCATAGCTCTTAGAATCTTCGAACTCACCGTACTGGCTATCATTACACAATTGCTTACGTCGCAGTCGGGTTCGCGCATCTTGTGCAACTCCAGAGCCCACCAGCCTAGGAGGGCGCCTACCTCGTTGCCGCTAAACAACTTGTAACTACCATCGTCACGCACTTCGGCTACTGCTAGACGATCTGCATCCGGGTCGTTGGCGAGAATAATTTGGCTGCCGTTGGCCTTCGCCGTTTTGATGGATAAATCCAGCGAAGTTTTTCCCTCCTCCGGATTTGGCATGGGGGTGGTGGGAAACTCCGGATCCGGCTCTTGCTGCTCGCACACCGAAATAAATGGCTTTAGATTCACTCGGGCGAAAGCCTGCTTTACAAACTCATAACCCACGCCATGCATGGCGGTGTAGGTGAAGGAGATCGGGCACCTTCCGTTTACCTCCAGCAGTGTGCAAGGCAAATCTTTCTTAAGGAAATCGAAATATGGCGGCACAACTATATCGTACGGATCCTCTAGCAAGGGGTTTGAACACATAGCTGAATCGTCCCAGGAAGATTCTTTGGGCTCTAGGTTATTCAGGATTGCCTCCTGGATTCCCTCATCGTGGGGCGGGATGATTTGGGCCCCGTTGCTCCAGTACACCTTGTAACCATTATCCTCCTTAGGATTGTGTGAGGCAGTCACCATGACTCCGGCCAGGCACTGCAACCTCAAGATTGCGTATGGAACCATGGGTGTGGCTATATAGCGTGTGTACTTCCACACCTTAAAATCGTTGTTCAAGAAGACAATAGCAGAAAGCTCGGCAAAGCGGTGGCTGTTGTATCGACCGTCATACCCGAAAACGATGCCACGCTTGGACCAGTCCTCCGGATCCGGGAACTGCTCTTTTATGTACTCGCATAAGCCCTGTGCCGTCCTGTCAAAAGGTTCGATTAGGTAATCACTCGTTGGATTTAATTAAAATTGAACTTACTGGATGACTACTAGCTCGTTCATAGAGTCAAAGCCAGCTCGCATGCAGGCCCGCAATCCAGCCGTGCCGAAACTGATGCGGTTGCACAACCTTTTGCGTAGCCTGTTCAAGGATAAAGGTAAGCCAATTAAACTAGAATAGCTTTAGATATTATTGACCTTACGTATCCCAATCCTGCGCCCGAACGGCGTCCATGATTTGGCAAGCGGTACTGGCGCATTTGTCCCAACGAATCCACTTACGGATCTGGCCGTCCAGCTCCGGATCGCCCGATAGCGCCATGTTCTTGATCTCGCAGACCATCTGCCCCGTGGGTTGACACATGGTGGTGGCTCAGTGTTTTTGACCAAAAGATCGCTGTGCGGAAAATCTGTTTATTTTCAAGTAGAATTTAGAAGGAAGCCGAACGGGAGCGGAGAAAAGGGAGCACTCGCTTCCTGACAGTGATGTCACAGCCCGGCAACAAAGCACACTGAGCTGCCGTTGTGAGCGACAATTAACGATCGACTGGTTAGGTTGTGCTGCTTTAGATTGATAAAGTTCGCTGGTGGGGCCACATACACACAATCAATCTACCACGCCCCCTTTTATACGCTAATTTTGACAATGCGGCACGGCGACTTTTTGAATGCCGTGAGGTAGAGATGGCGGCGTGACTGTGCGCTGTCACGATATTCAGGGATGCAGAAATATCGACGTTATGTCGGATTAGAAAGTGTACTTGTGGGGAAATTGATTCAAGCCTCCGCTGAATAATGTATGTACTTTTATTTTAATTAGTTAAAGTCCATTTTTTATGTCAGTTGTAGAAATAATTAAGTAACAAGTTTCTGGGTTCCATATATTAAAGTTACCTGCGGTGTTGCGCCCGTACGCCCTTTTTAGTCGTGTATCAAATTAAAATGACCTGGAACTTCTATTATATTTTGATCGCATCGTAAACTAAAATAATGTTCACAGTAAATTCTTCAAACATTTTTTCCGAACATTAACCGATATATCTGTATTAACCAACACTACAACACATGTCATCTCTAGTCTTGCGGCTGACCAGACGCGGAACAAAAATAAAATAAACCATTTGATTTCCTTTCAAATAACTAATTCAATAAAGAAAATGGCAGATGTATTGGACATTGATAATGCGGAGGAGTTTGAAGTGGACGAGGACGGTGACCGTAAGTAGTGCAAATGCGCTTTTTTTTCCACCGGCGTCATGCTTCCTTTTTTCTCCCACGCCGAACCGTACACCCTACACTCAAAACAGAGGGCATTGTACGTCTGAAGGAGAAGGCAAAGCACCGCAAGGGACGCGGATTTGGGAGCGACAGCAATACACGGGAAGCTATCCACAGCTATGAGCGAGTGCGTAACGAGGATGATGATGAGCTGGAGCCCGGACCACAGCGATCCGTCGAGGGTTGGATCCTATTCGTGACCTCCATTCACGAGGAAGCGCAGGAGGATGAGATTCAGGAAAAGTTTTGCGACTACGGCGAGATCAAGAACATCCACCTAAATCTCGACCGGCGCACTGGGTTCTCCAAGGGCTACGCCCTTGTCGAATACGAAACCCACAAGCAAGCACTCGCTGCTAAGGAGGCACTGAACGGCTCTGAAATAATGGGACAGACCATCCAAGTGGACTGGTGCTTTGTCAAGGGACCAAAGCGCGTGAAAAAGTCCGACAAGCGCCGCAGATAGACGTCTCCCGATTACAAGAATACATTTTAATTAGTTTAATGCATAGGCAACCGTACAAAGTCTATTTGAAGTGAAATAAAGCAGATACTAAACTCTATCGACTACCTTTATACATTCAATTGGATACAAATGGTTAGAAATAGTTCTTATATTAGTATTTATCTAATACAGGGGTTTTAGACCCAAAGACTACTATTTCATCTTCTTCTGATGTAATAGATGTTTCCTCAGAGCTTGCTGCTTATCCTTAAAGCTCTTTTTGACCTTAGAGCGCGCCTTGTGTCGCAGCATGCCAAAGTTCTTAGTCTTCCGCTTTTCGCGGTTCGTCTTAGAGCAGTTCTCGTTTACCCGTCCGTCCTTCCAACCAAAGCGCTCGCGATCTTGCCGGCCCGCCTGCACAGTCTCCAGACGCGACTCCTTGTCGTGCTTGCGCTTCTTATAAATCATCTCGATGCTGTTTAGTTTGACGAATTCGGCACGGTCCTGTTCTAAGGGACGTTTCCGTGCACTGGTAACAGTCTTCTTCAGATTTGCCGCATTAATGCGCTTAAAGTCCTCGTCCGTAAATATGCGCGTAAGAGCCAGTTCTTGAGCTGCTTCTTTTTGGTTGAGGATTTTAATATCTTTCTTCTCCTTCTTGGCCTTTGCGGATTCTTCTCCACTTTCCACGCCTTCATCGGAGTTTTCGTCCTCTTCATCATCCTGGTCACTGTTGTCCTCTTCATCATCATCTTCCTCTTCATCATCGTCGACATCTTCTTCATCCAAATCGTCTCCGCCTCCTTCACCATCACTGTGTGTAACATTAACCCACTCCCCATCATTGGAGTCCGTATCGTCATCGCTCTCAATGTCAATGGTCTTGGAGTCCCTGAGTAGAGCCTCTGCACCCAGCACAGTATCGTGGACTTCCCGCTCTCCATAGGCTCGGACCTTTCGTTCGGCCTGGGCTTCTGTTTGTCTGCCTCGATCCTTCTTGTGCAAGAGAGCCGGCAGCTGTTCCCGATATAGTGTGATTAGGGACCGTGCTGCCATCATAACAGATTTCTCCTTATAAGTTTTGTACATTGCAAGGTCCTGTATCAGATCCTCGCCCATGGCAAGAGGACAGCGCATGCAAATTTCACGAGTGGCATTTAGACCAATGGCCATTACATCACTGGAGTTTCGCTCTGTAATGAAGTTGTTGGCTATCGTCTTAAGGATAGGTTCGATGATGTCTCCAGGGACAAGTTCGTGAGACGCCTGAGCGGCAAACTGAAGTACACGAGTCACTTGACGTTGGTGGGGCTGTAGAAAGCGAGTTATATACGGATAGAAACCGAAAAGGAATAGTTCATGGATGCCAATAAGGCGGGAAATGACGTCCAAATGCATCAGTTTAACCTCAAATCGCTCGTTGGTGGCCTGGAGCTGTTTAAAGAGACCCTCGGCCATGCCTTGGGGATTGTGTACCAGGTGAATGCCCGAAAAGTTAAATGCGGGAGCATTTTTCTTCTTCTTCTGCGCCTTTATCGCCTGCTTCTTAATCTGCGCCAACTGTTTAGTCCGCTTCTTAGTTTTCTTGTTGACACGATTGGCCATCAGAGCGCCCTTAAGGTCCACCTCGTTTTCGCTATCAGAGTCCTCCTCCTCGTCCTCTTCGTCGTGACCAAGGAAGAACTTGAGCGAGGTGACCAGCACCTTCGTCACCTTGGAGAAGCAGCCAACGGTGGCTATTACGTTTACTGTTTTGGGATCATTCCAGATGTTCTTCTTGTACAACTCGATCATGATATCAGCTGACATCTTAGCCGCCTTGGGATTAGCGTCCTTCAGCATGGAGTACATAAATGCTTGCAAGCTCTATAATGAAATGCCAGATTACTAAAATTAATTTAAACCTGATTATGTAGTTCTCTATCTTACCGAATTAAGCTTCATATCTTTGTGCTTTGCATTCATGTTTTTAATGTCGGTCACGATGTGAGTTTGCAGAAAGGTTCGCAAATTCTTGTCCGGACACCGGAGCAGTTGGAAGAAAAGTTCCAGTATATCCAGGGCGGGCACAAGATTCTTGTTTCTTAGCAGGATAAGGGCTTTCACAAAGCAATTGCGCATGGCGGGATCCAGGACGGTGGCGTAGTTTTTTAGCAGATCGGCCAGGCGCTTGGGGAACTCTTCACAAACGGCCGGATAGCACTGGGCTACCTGGGCAACGAACATGACGATGTCATCCAGGGATTTGTTCTCCTCGCTGGGATTCAACGCGAACACCTCTAGCAAGCTGAGGAAGTGCTGATACTGGATGTGGAACTCATCGCTGTACGACTCCGGATCTCGCTTGATCAGGTTCTGCAGCTGTGGCAGGTTCTCCGGCAGCTGATTGTTGTTGGGCCGCACCATGGTGAGGCGTGAATTCTATACAGAAATTACGTTCTTTCCAACCACGTTATGTTCGGCTAAAGCAAATGCACGTGTGGTGTGTGACCAGTTGAGGGTGGAATTGAAATACCTGACCAACGTCCAATTTTGGTTTTATAACTCAGGCATATTTAACAAATTATTTTTCAATTGCAAAAAATAGCTATTCTAGATTTTATTTAAACCTAGAATTATTTAAAAAAATAAATAAATAAAATAAATTGGGAATACAATTCAACATTACCGAAGTAACAACAAACGGTCAGTCTGCCGCTCTCTCGTCTTGGCTGGAAAAATGATGGAGCTGCACTCGAACGACGTTGATCTGGAGGACGGCGAGGTAACACCACTCATTCCTTGGAGCCACCAATGACCACCTCTGCTGCCGTTTCAGCTATCTGACAGTGACGGCGACGGCGTTTATACGCCGCTGCAGCGACCTGCAGGTGCGGAAAAGGTGGCCAGCCCCCTTACCACCTGCCACCAGATCCAGACGGCGCTAGAGGACGAATCACAGAGCAACAGCGAATCCTCGACGGCTGAGTCCTCCGAGGATGGGTGCATCAAGAAACTGCGCACTGATTCTAGTGGACAGGGAGGGCACAAGAAGCGAAAAAAGCGGATTCGGCGTACGGTTATGCGACGCGTACCGCCTACAGACGCCGAAATGCAACCCAATCGAGCACGCTTTAAAAAGTACAACGTATGGGCCTCAGCTCTGCAGGAAGACGCCCTCAGTGAGAACATGCGTGGCTGCGACGTTACTCGTAGCGGCCGGGATCGGAATGTGGAGAACTACGATTTTTCGCTGCGTTACCGGCTCAACGGCGAAAACAACCTAAAACGAAGGCTCTCAAATTCTTCGGAGGACGGCGGCGAGTCCTCTCACCCAGCCCACAAACGAGGAAGGCCTTCTAGCCGGCCCACAGACGAGTACCCACAGCGCGGATCGGTCAAAAGCCGACTCGGCCACCGGTCACAACGGGGCACTTCATCGGCCAGCGGTTCATCAGATTCTTGCGAGCCCAGGCACATTTTGGATCTCAACGAAGTGGCAGGTAGGGACCCCTCGGATGTGGCCACAGAGATGGCAAGCAAACTATACGAGGAAAAAGATGAATTACTAGGTGAGATGGTGGAATATCCATATCATACTTATTTACTGTAATATTTTTTTCATCAGTTCGGGTTGTAGAAGTCCTCGGAGTGGACTTGCCCCTTGAGCTATACAAAGAAACACAGCGCATCGAAGCCGATGGCGGCATGATGATCAAAGTGAGTGAGCCTAAACACCTCCAATCAATATACTGATTACCATTTCCCATGTAGAACGGCAACCGGAGACGTACACCAGGCGGTGTATTTCTGTTCCTACTAAAACACCACGACAGCATAACCCAGGAACAGCAGAAGTCCATTTTTAGCGAGGATCGCCAAAGCCTCAGCAAGTCGAGAAAACAGATCGAGACGTTGATGCGGGACCGCAAAGTGGAGGAGTTAAAGAAGTGCCTCAGCAAGCAAGTCACTGAGCTGCCTACCCTGAGCCAGCGAAAGGAGCACTACATGCAGGGCGACGAGCTTAGAGAAGATAATCAGCCAGAAAACTGTAAGGATACACCATAAATATATTTAAACCTTTACTAACTGGTACAATGATACCCAAAGTGTCCAATCCGCCGCCCTCTCCCGTTGGTGCTGGTCAGGAGCAGGATAGTCCCGAATACAGGACGCACGAAATCAACATAAATCTAGTAGACAACACCGAACTACCCTCTACATCCAAGGCAGCGGCGGCGGCAGCGGCTAAAGGAGAACCACTCAAGGAATTAATTAGCTACGACGACGACTTTCTAGACGTCAATTGCGGGGACATGGACTTTTTCTAGGCCCACGCCAAGCGCTGGGCCCCTTTTATACCACGAACTTGCATAGATAGACCCATATTTGTACAATTAAATAAATGCCTAGCGAATTAGGACTAAAAAAGTAACGGCTAAAAACAGTAAACAAAATAACGCGTTAGGGTATTTTCCAGCGTCGAAGCTGACGAGGCGTTAGGGTATTTTGGATGAGTGTCGATCGATAGTGACAACTCTAGAACTGGCAAGTCGCGACGACGCCGAGGAAAATATTTTCTGTTTCGGCCGCAATAGTTAAAAACCTGCTTAAAGTGTTTGTTTATATATGTCGTCCGCGTAGCAGGCAAATGCAACCAAGTCCGCGACTGCAATTGCTGACCGCCTAAACGCCGCCAAGGACAGAAAATAACAGTAATGCGAAAGACCCGCTCGCAGACGGCTCGCACGCAGGCGGAAAATGCCGCAACATCTTCGAGCCCTGGGCACCAATCTACAGCATCAGCGCCAATAGCAGTGAATCCCTTTGATGCGGGCAAATACAAGGTTTGTTTCCGCCAGCAGCTTTTAATTCAATCCATGAATATTTTCCATAAATATGGGGGGATAAATTTATATAGGCAGAGTGGCCGCAGCAAAAACAGTGTGGCTGCCCCCCGCCGAGTGGGTGAACAACGCGAAATAGTCTGCTTTCGCTATTCAACACTGCTATCCGCCATATTTCTTCAGACCGTGCGGACAAAACAAAATTCGTGTGGTGACAAAAAAGAGCATTTTTGCGGTCATTTGTTTTAGAGCATTTTGCGGAAAAAAAGAAATCCGCTCGTTGTGTCCACTTGATGTACTCAAGTTCTACAGTTGTCCTGTATTATAAGCCATTGAAAGCGAATCGGTTTAACCAAATGAGGCTCTTTTTGTGAACGCCATGTTTGAGCAGCTAGGTAAAGATATGTTGGCATGCCAGAATTTCGGGACCTGTTAACGTCAGATGAATTGAAAATATGTAGAGCTAAAGCTCTGCTCGAATATCACATATCTGCCGGAAAGGCTCAAGCATTTGAAACTTCAGTTTATAATGCCGCACGGGTACATACACATGTGTACATATTTGCGAAAACGCGATATTCGCACATAGTTCGCGCTTGTGTGTGTGTGAACGTTGGTGCTTGGTGTGAAGTCCCGCTATTCGGTCTCAGACATTTTGCCAATTTATCTCATCCCCTTTTCATTGTACGCCATCCTTCCAGGAATGTGAGCAAATGGTGCAGATGCTCCGAGTGGTTGAGCTACAAAAAGTTCTGTCGTTTCTGAACATCTCCTTCGCTGGACGAAAAACTGACTTGCAGAGCCGTATCCTTTCGTTTCTGCGCACCAATTTGGATTTGCTAGCCCCGAAGATCCAGGAAGTTTACGCCCAGTCCGTGCAGGAGCAAAGCGCCACGCTGCAGTACATCGACCCAACCAGGATGTACTCGCACATCCAGCTGACGCCCGCCGTTCAGGCGAATCCGGTGGGCCTGGTGGGCGGAGGTCCAGGCGTCCAGGTGCCTGGTGGCCAGATGAACGTAGTCGGCGGCACACCCTTCCTCCACACGCACAACATCAACAGTCAGCTGCCTATCCATCCAGATGTCCGGTTAAAGAAGCTAGCCTTCTACGATGTCCTTGGCACACTGATCAAGCCTTCTACGCTGGTGCCACGCAACACACAGCGCGTTCAAGAGGTGCCTTTCTACTTCACACTTACGCCACAGCAGGCCACCGAGATTGCCTCTAATCGAGACATCCGCAACAGCTCCAAAGTGGAGCATGCAATTCAGGTGCAGCTACGCTTCTGCCTCGTAGAGACCTCGTGCGATCAGGAAGATTGTTTTCCGCCAAACGTAAACGTTAAAGTCAACAACAAGCTGTGTCAGCTGCCTGTGAGTATCCATCAAGCGTCCAGTCGGAACAAAGTTATATCTTCCTAATCCCACAGAATGTCATTCCTACAAATCGACCAAATGTGGAACCCAAGCGGCCACCGCGCCCTGTCAACGTCACCTCCAATGTTAAGCTGTCGCCAACCGTGACCAACACCATCATGGTGCAGTGGTGCCCCGATTACACGCGCAGCTACTGCCTAGCCGTATACCTGGTAAAGAAGCTAACCTCCGCGCAGCTGTTACAGCGAATGAAGACCAAAGGCGTTAAGCCTGCCGACTATACCCGCGGCCTGAGTGAGTTTCCACTGCCTAAAAGTTTTACCGTTACTAATGAAAACCTTAAATATAGTCAAGGAGAAACTAACTGAGGATGCCGATTGTGAGATAGCCACAACTATGCTTAAAGTTTCACTCAACTGCCCGCTGGGTAAGATGAAAATGTTGCTGCCTTGCCGAGCATCAACTTGCTCGCACCTGCAATGTTTTGACGCTAGTTTATACCTCCAAATGAACGAGCGAAAGCCAACATGGAACTGCCCCGTGTGCGACAAACCAGCCATATATGACAACCTGGTTATAGATGGGTATGGTAATAACGATTCATAAAGCACGAGCAATTAACTGACTCCATCATTATTTTGCAGGTACTTCCAAGAGGTGTTAGGTTCGTCGCTGCTGAAGAGTGATGACACTGAGATCCAACTACACCAAGATGGGTCGTGGAGCACACCAGGACTTCGAAGCGTGGCGCAGATTCTAGATACACCCTCAAAGCCCGTTCAGAAGGTGGAAGTTATATCGGACGATATAGGTAAACTTTCTCTGCTAGTGATAAATAACATTGCCATAAATTAACTTACGTTGCTACCAGAGCTCATCTCGGACGATGCTAAGCCTGTAAAAAGCGATTTGACTCCAGCACAGGACGACCAGCCAACCTCCACGTCAAACAGTGAAACTGTAAGTTGAATGCTGAATTTGGAAATCTGTGCTATAATGTGATTGTCTTCCGTCTATGCAACAGGTTGATCTAACGTTGAGTGATTCCGACGATGACATGCCGCTGGCTAAACGTCGTCCGCCCGCGAAGCAAGCTGTTGCCAGTTCAACGTCGAATGGCAGCGGTGGCGGCCAACGTGCCTACACCCCGGCACAGCAGCCGCAGCAATCCGGTACGTTGGATCCCTTTTTGCAATAAGCCAGTAAACCAATTATAACTGTATAGCCAAGAAACCTTTATAAGTTTACAAAAATTCTAATTGTAGACTGTAGGTTAAAGTATATATAAGAATCCATACATATCCCATTTTCATTCACACAAACTCACGCTTTCGAACCAAGAACCTTTACCAGAGTTAACATCATCCCAAGTTCAAGTCTCCCCATGAAAGATTCGTTTCACATTTAATATAAAAAAAAACACTTCGCCTGCTCTGCGGCGATTGTATTATTTTTGGTGCATAATTTATCTCAAATATTTATGAGTATACATGTCTTTGTTTTTAATTATAAACCACTTGAAACGAAACTTGCATTGGGATTTTAAGAAAAAGGTGTTTTTAAATTAAAAGAGAAAATATCTTCTGGTTTCAATTTTCTAACAACAAGATTGTTACTCGAATATTTTTGATCGTCATTTCCTTTAAATTTTAGTTCCTCAATCGATTTTAGTGCACAGTTCATATGAATCCCATTTTAGATTTTTATTAGGTTTGCGTATATAACTTAAACTTAACTATTAACATTCTTAAACGGATTAACGGATTATTTTGTTGAGCTAAAATTAGGTGCGGCACAGGATAAAAGAAAATCCAGCCTGCCTCAAGAATGTGCTTAAATTTTAATATATTTCCTAGCCAAGACTTTTATAGACTAAGTAGGCAAAGATATTATTCTCCACTGCACAGAAAAGCTAGGAACAGATTTTGATTTTTTATTCTCTTCGATTTGGTTGTTTGTATTGTAGATGGTGAAGTTTTTAAGAAACCTAAAACGACAACGGAGCTTTACCGTCGTGTTAATAAACGAGATTATCTGCGCTCACGGTAGGTTTCCCCATCGATCAATCGTGACATGGCTCGGGTGCCCAACAAATTCCCATACTTAAATAAGTATATTTTTTACAGAAAGCCCAAGCCAGACAGTTCAAGGCGCCCAAACGTGGGCTAACTAGTTATTAGCATATTTTTCGGTTTCAAAACCACTAATTGTTGTCCATGCATTGTCATTTGATATGTATTTTGTGTTGTCACCGATTCTAAATTATTCCGCAAAATGTACTCTTATGTTAAGTGATATTTAAATAAATCATTCTATTTTGGTTAGTGGAGGTTTTTGTTAGAAAGCTTTTTTTTAATTGCTGTTGTTTTTAACCCCACGTTGATATGATCATTATAATTGAACTAATTGAAGTAACTTGTGCATTTCTTTGTCTTTTCTCTTTCTCTCTCTTTCTCTTCTTCCCCTGATATTTTTGTGTGACCCGTCCATGCTGCCGCCGATGAAACTTGTAGAGTCCCCAGAACAGCAGGCCCGTCGCCAATCGCCAGAGATGCAGCCAGTTTTAGACCAGCAACTGCAGCAGCAACACCCCGAGCAGCCAGCGGCGGCAGCCGTCCATGCCTCTCTCCTGGAATCCCTAGCTGCTGCGGTCGCGGATCAAAAGCACTTCCAACTGTTGGATCTGGCTGCGGTTGCGGCTGCTGCAGCTGCCACGGCGTCTTCCGGCCAGAGTCAGAATGCCGGCCCGTAGGCAGGACCCACATCCATCGCACACCTCATGGCTAGCACCTCATTCTCATGATTCTTGATTTGGCTACCCAGTTTAGTTTTTCGTTTCTCTTTCGGCGGCATACGGCCAGACCTTTCCTTAGAGTTAGAGGCTATTATCGGCGTTCCATTCGCAGTCACCTCATCTTTCATACGCACTCGATCGCGACCCACCAACTGATGCTTGTAATTCTTGTGTTGCAGGACGCAGGCAAAACAGACAGGCTTTATAGGATCCCCTGGTTCTTAGTAACAGCTCCTGATCCCCCATCGGATAGATTGTTCCTGCCCCCTTTAATTTGGCTCACCCTGCATTGGCTATGTTGTGTCTTTCGTTTCTGTATTGTCTCGAGTAGTTGTGTAACGCTTCCCCAGGGTTCTTAGCAACACAAACTCACCCTCCTACACATACCAACTGAAATAATCCTAGATATAATTATACAAACTAGCACCAGCATTAATTAGCAATTCCCATAGGAAACTCAATTAATTTATTTTATTTTGAAGCAGGCTGCTGAATGACCACAGCATTGTCCTGAAAACCTAATCGCCCTACGCACTACTAACTTTATAACTTAAGCTTAAGCCTGAATCAGATGTTAGTCCTAAGTCCTGCCAATGCAAGTTGGGCGTATTTATATTCCTATTCAAGAAGCGCGAGAGGAGCAGGCCAGGCGGCAGCCAGCCGCGGCGCCGACATTTAAGTTAGTTAAGTTATTTTACTTGCTTTACGGATACTGAGTGTGTGGAGCGGTGGGTGCTGCCTATCAAGTACGTATTTATATTGTGTTTGCAAGTCGGGGCGAAGTTGCATTAAATGTACACGTAAAATGGCAACAAACGAACGCATTTTTATTGATAAAACCCGATTGGGAACGGGCGGTATTTTCATGACGTCCAGTTAGACACTCAATTGATAAGCAAGCCCCCAGACTTTTGTCGTTTATTTAAGCTCAAACCGTACCATTACGGATTTATATTATATGTTAAGATTTAAAATTTAAATTAATGCTTTGACTTTGATTTGATGCCAAAACCCCTTAAATATCTGAACGAACAAATATGAAATCAATGTACAAGGAGATGTGTACTTTAACTATATTATTAAACAATTTTCAACCAAACCCTGCTGTTGTTTTATTTACCAACGGGGGTCAAGTTCTGTTTTAAGTTTATACCGATCTTTAATTTAGCATCCCGTTTTTAATTGAGCCCACCCGAAACCTTTTCTTTACTTGCAGAAGAGATTGACGGAAACGTTCCGGATAAGGTGGTCAAAGAGGATTCCGTAATTGAACTTTTAGATTCACCATAGCCAGCCCGCCGCACGATCTTACAAGTAAGATCCTACGCAATAATGGGCGACCCCAAAGAATTAGACTTGGACTGTTTAGCGCATTTTATAATGCGCCACAATTCGTTGGTTAATATTATACCAATTTAATTATTGTATAAAAAAGTATTCGTTAGGGTAAGACAATGTGGCTAATACATAGATATATCTAAGCACTGCATCAATAAAGTTGAAGTCAACTTGTGGCATTTTGAATTTCCCGCGCATCAGCTGTGTTAGGCGACACCACAGGTTGGCAGCTCTACATTAACTTTCTCTTTCGGTCATAGACGTATTACCCATTTTGTAGGGGGATTCAACAAAAAAAAATATGTAACTTCTCGGGTGACAGTTATAATTTATATATATTATGGCTCGGTTTTGAATTGAAAACCAAAACGGAATTCCAATTAGTAGTATTAAAAATTATAATTGGTGAAAGGTTTACCTTGTTCCGTCTAAAGCTACGCCTATGCTTTTGGCATCTCGTTCACCTTGATCGCCATTAATTGTGTGAAATCTTTAAGAGAATGTCGAAGCCAACGTTGTACTACGCCCTGTTTAGCCCTCCGGCCAGAGCTTGTATCCTCATAGCCAAACTAATTGGTCTGGACTTGGACCTTAAGTAAGTCAACTCATTTTCATCCATAGTGGAAAGTAATGGCGCCTTTTAATTCTTTAGACCCGTTGATTTTGCCAAGAAGGAGCACCTCAGCGAAGAGTTTATTAAGGTTCGAGGGATCTCAAATCTAAAAGTTCGTTATGTAACAATGGTTCCTTATAGCTCAACCCACAGCATCAGATTCCGGTGTTCGTGGACAGTGATGGGGAGGTGTACGTCGACAGTCACGCCATCGTGTGTTTCCTGGTAGCCAAGTACGCTGGAAACGACCAGCTGTATCCGAAAGATTTAAAAAGGCGAGCCCACATCGACCATCGCATGCACTATGAGAACGGAGTTCTCTTTCAGGTGATCAAGGACATTGTGGCTCGAAACATTTACGGTGGAGAAGCAGAGTTCAACCCTCGATCTTTGACCCTCTGCCAAAACGCCTATGCCGATTTGGAGCACTTTTTGCAGAAAGGTAGCTTTGTTGTGGGAAACGAGCTGAGCGTGGCCGATGTGTCTATTCACACTACTTTGGTGACTTTGGATTTGCTTATACCAGTGGAGTTGGAGAAGTATCCACAGACCAATAATTGGATGGAGCGCATGAATAAGCTGTTGCCGGACAACGAAGAAATCAACCTTAACGGTGCACGGGCCCTGCAGACCCGCATTCGGAATTGCATGGCCGATAACAAAACCAAAAATCAGTAGATTGATCATTAATCACGAAATCTCCATTCTGACAAATTACCTTTAAGTGGTATATGGTATTACTCCAAATTATACTCAATCCTTACAGAGGAGGATATTAAACAATTGTCAGTAAAACTCAGTCGAAAACTGTAAAAGCCAATTATCTTGAGCCAGATATTTTTACTGGAATTTATTTTGTATTTTATTTGTAATTTGTTAGGCTAGTTGGCTTAAATTCATGCTACTCTAGATTCTTGTGTCTTTTGATTTGGAAGTCCAGTGTACAATATGTATATGTTAGCAACAGTTCCAATTCATGCAAATTGCTAAAACTTGCCACTAAACAGTTATTTACACAAACAAGCGTTTTACTTTGATCCTTTGCTGAACGGGGCCACTGAATATAACTAACTGACTATGGTTGACATACAATTTGGGTATTTAGGGTTTACTTTACTATCATCGGTCTCCTTATCCTTGATTCTGCCTATCTCTCCTAGCTATTTACAACACAATGTATTAATCACACTTATTTTGGTATCATATTTGAAGCGAGTTGTCCACACCAATGTCCCTCTAATCGAATGTTGTCCAGTTGTTCATCCCCTTTCCAGTGGTGAGCTGCTGAGGCTTCTCCGTTCCATTGGCGTTCAGGGTGAACTGATCCAGTCCGTACTTGCGGAGCAGCTCGAAATCGTCATCGGGCTTAGCGGCAATGGTGCTACGCTGGTTTTGCGACGGTGGATGCATCGGCGGCGTCCGTCCTGTTACCGCTGCTACTGTTGCCATGTGCTTTGGCGCGAAGTATGGGTAGAGCGGATTGCTGACGCTATTCGCCACCACACTGCTGTTGACGCCAGCGGGCAGTGTGCTGCACTTCTTACCAAATGCCTTGCTGAGCGGCGGTAGCGGACGAGCATTCTGATTCAGCGGATCGAAGTCCTCCAGGTCAAAGCTGGTGTTGTTGCTATCGCTCAGCGATATCAGATCGTTCATGCTGTCCTCCAGTGGCTGGTGCTGCTGCGGGTTGGGGAGGTACGGGTTGTTAGAAAGCTCTGGGAGTGAGTTTCTTGGACTCTACGGTGCTTATCGCAACTTATACGAAACATACATACATTCAACTCAAGTTACTTTAAAGCAGTTACAAGCATCTAAATACGATTGAAAACTACAATGAGTGCAGTAGAATAATGAACAGTGAAATGAATTTAAGAAAAAAAGCTGGATAAAAATATAATAAAGATCTTTAAACCACCGGAATCAAATTAAACGCCCTTTCGGGTAAGCAAATAAATTACAATGGGATACGATAATGAGCTAATGGTTGCAGGAAAAAGTTCGTTATGAATTCATGGTACTATTATCCTAAATGGAAGTAATTTATATAAAAGGTTAACTTTAGCTAGTAAATGGCGTTAGTTTAGATTCATGGAGAGACTACATGAGGGCCCTTTGATGAGTGTTAGTGTGATTTTGACTGGGAGACCACAACCAGGATGGGCTTAGTTATCTAACGTCGCAGCTGGTGTACCTCTCTCTTGGTCCGCGGTGTCGGAATAGGCGGATCGGAGACATTTAGGTGCGAGAACGTCGAAGCCGCCGTCACAAAGGATGCGCCCGAAGAGCAGGATGATGTGGCCGACGATGAAGATGCATTCGAGTTGCGAACTGAGTCGTTTCCGGTAGGCTCGTCTTCCCAGCAGTTGCGTTCCAGCTTGCTGATTTCTGCACTGACGGCTGCTGCTGTTGCTGCAACAATAGTATTCGAGCTGCCTTGCCTTCGGGGCGGAATCGGTGGAGATTGCACATCCGGAGGACTATCAAAGCTAGAATCAGCGGTGGGCAGTGGTTGGCGTGCTCTGGTTGGCGTAGAAGTGTGCCTCGGTGGCTTCGATTCCACATGAGGATGCGCGGCATAGGGATGGTTGTAGTAGGAGGCGGGCGTGGACTGCGGAGGCGGTGGTCGCGCTGGCGGTGCTGCTCCTCTCCTGTGCTCTGCGTTTGGCTTAAGCTGCGTGGGCCAATGGGCAATGGGCAATGCCGGGATGGGGGGTGGGTGCAAATGGAAGTCGAGTGTGATCGGTTATATCGGTGTGTTGGGTGTGGAGTGTGATGTTTTTGTGGGCATGACATGGGAGCAGACGATCGATCGATGGCGACATACAGTTGGACACAGACACGACACAGACAAGGAAACAAAAACAAGAAGAGCATGAGAACAACATAAATTCACAGCACATCAAGATGAGTGGTCGATTAAGCTTAGCGGCAAGCATGTGTACGGCTGCACTTTTGCTGTCCAATTATTGGAGCTGTTGCAGCCGAAGCTCGTACGCCCGCACCAGACTACTTACACTGCGGTCCACGGCCGGCGTCTTGAAGAGCGGATGGTTCTGTAGCTCCTGGGATAGGTTCATCTCCGACGATGAGCAGAGCGAGCTCGCTGAGCTAACAGCAGGAGACGCAGCGAGGTGATGACCATAATGACCACCAGCACTCGAACCGTACGCATGGCCATTCGGCTGAATGTGGCTGCTTGAGCTAGACATGGCCAGCGGTATGGGACCACGTCGCAAGAACTCCCTCTGCTCCCTGGCGCCGGTTCCACCGCTGCTGCTGCTTCCTGTGACGGAGGCAATCCCATCTAGCCGCTTGCTAGTCACTGGTGAACTGGGTGCCGAATGGTGTGCAGCTCCAATGGCTTTGCCACCGCGAACGTAACCTCCGCTGGCACCGTCCGGACGATCTGAGTGGTTCGGAGATCCCAGGCCAAAGTGAAAGTGAGTACCGCCAAACTGGTTGCCGTTCTCGCGGAGCTTTGTCTTGAATCCCTTGTAAGCTGTTTTCATGCCCCGTGAGCCTTCCTTTACCTGAGGGGATGTAAATCAAATTAGTCAAGTGATCTTCCACAACCTGAACAAATTAACAAAAGCGTACGCGGGAACAACACAGAAACGGGCATTAAACGGGGGGATTGGACCACTCACCGATTTGACGGCAGACTTTACAGCCGGATTAGTCTGCAATGGTTAGACAGACGCATGTTTTGGATCAGAAAACGATTGGTCAAACCGCAGCGAGAGCAGAAAGCACAGAGTAGTGTAGGATGAGCGATCCAAGCGGCATATGGAAGAGAGACACACAAGATACGAGCGAGACACGGTGTGAATGAGATGCGCAGAACAACCAGTGGGTTATTTAAGCTACGGCTAACTACGGCTTAATGACTACGATGACAAAGTTGATTTGGGTAATGGGTACTGAGGATCACGGGCAATGGGGCTTGACATGTTGTGTCGATGATTATAACCTGCGATTAAAAGGTGCGTTCTAAACGAAACCCAAGTTGAAGGCCATATATTGCAGTGTAGAATGTTAATACGTTAAGGGATTAGTTCAAAAGCAAAACTACAAGATATTTAGTAATTCGATCTACATTTGCGCTGGTAGCACTTGTCAAGAAAGTAGATTAAATGTTTGTTTACATATTTTTAAAATTACATATTAAATTTATCAAAGTTTCGAAAGAGAATTTCATTTTAAGCCAATGTGTTAGTATGAAAGCTTCTTGGAAGTTTAAGTACACGGGACCATCACCAATTCATCAAGGTTACTTATGCCTTTAGTCTGAATAAATAAAATTTCAATTGATTAATTTGGAAAACAAAAATGTTTAGAATTTGGTTGCACACCTAGAGGTGACAAAAAAGAAGAATAATAAACAATTGCTAACTAAACATAGAATGATAAATTATAAGATATAAATTGAGAATAAATTAACAAACATTTAGACGTTTCTTTTTTAGTTTATGGCAACATAAATTATTCGGTGCGGTTGCTTGTTAGGACGTTAAATAATTTGTTTGCATAAGAATAAGAAATAATTTGAACTAACATTGCAAATAAGGTGTGTGGGAATTTACATTCTACTCGTTTATATATTGGTATTTGGTTTTGGTGGATTTGGCATGGTTGGCAGTCTAAATATTGTTCTTGGCAAACAATCGCGACAAACTGCGCTTTCCCAAATACTGTGGAATAGATTAAATCAAATCAGATAAAAGAACATCATAAGGTGGGCAAAGGTGGTAAAAGTAAAACTTAAGAATACAGTGAGTTAGCGGGTCAGCGCAGAGAGAGGCGATAACGAAATGCAAGCCCTGTTCCCAGGTACCTTCCAAGCCAGGCAACTGAGGAGGATGATGGTGGTTTTTTTTAAGGCGGATGTGACACCATGAGGGTTAGGTTAAGAGTATTGGCCCAACGGTGATGGCCAGTGGGGTAGCCACAGCTTCCTCGGCTCACCTTGTCCTTCAGGTTCTTCATAATGGTGTAGTTTCGTCCGCGCTTCTTTTTTTCCGCATAGCGCACCGTCTCCAGCTCGAACTCGTCGGAGAAGCCGAGTCCGCTGTTGAGCATCTTCAGGCGATCATCGATGAACTGTGCAAAGATCTGCAGGTCCATCATTTTGGCAAGAAACGGGCGCAGATGCGCCGGCCGAGATTCGATGAATTTTTGGGAGTTGAAAGTCTTGCTGTTCTCATGGTACTCGACTGCGTCCCGATAGCCACCGATCAGTTGTACAAGAGCATTAAGAAAAATCTTCGAGATCCGGTCGCCGATGTGGTCATGTGTATGATTTAGATACTTTTTCAGCTGTGAGACAATCTCCGTCGGCAGATTGTGCACATCGTCGAATGGGCTTTCGAATATTTTCGTATCACAGTTCAGGATCACAACTTCACCAAGTTCATCGCTGGTCACCTGGTCGAGAAAGGAAATCATAAGTATTTTCTGGAACCTAAAGTTTTTTTGTTTTGTTTTGGAGCTTACAGTTTCGAGCACTGGTTCTGGCACACCAATCAGATATGGCATGGGCGCCCCCAGGTAGTCTTTGAACTCCCACGGCAGCACTGGTATAAAGATGTGCTGCCAGACCATAGGATATAGGAATGCATTCGCCGCTTGGATGCAGGAGGACAGTCGGTCCAGGTGTCTGGATGTGAAGATAATTCGACGCTCAGCCAGCATAGCAGCAAACACAGCAATCATCTCCTTGGGTTCCACGAAATTGTAATATAAATTCAAGTTGTGCTAAAACGAAACAGTTTTTTAACTTTCACATTATTTTAAAAAACTTGATAAAACTTACATTTTCCGGCATGCTGGGCAACTGAAACTGCAGTGGACGCTCAAAGGTAAAGTGCTGTTTAAAAGAGAGGAAATTGGATTAAAATTTATACATAACTAATCAAATACTATTCACTTACACTTTGCCCTGCGTTATAGAAAACTTTTAGACTACCACCACAGTCTGGTATCCCCTGGTTGTAGGCCTCGGACAGGAAGACGCGGAATCCATTGGAATCCGTACGCTTTAGCTCGGAGAGAATGGGTAGTAGTTTCAGGAAGGTGTCGTGCCACGGCAGGTAGGTTATAAGCACCATGGCCGTGTTCGTCCTGGGATCCTGCCGACAGAAGCCAAACCGCCATTTCGAATCGCCGGTGGTATGCACAAAGGAATATGTTTGCACCGAGGAGCTGAAAGTTCACGAAGAAAATATTATATGTTATATAAAATATGCAATAACTTTTAATAGGCTAACAACAGCTATGTTTCCAACGTAAGTTTAAAGTCAATTTGCCCTAGCCGCGGAATGTTTGGCCTTGCTCATCGTGCGTTGCCCAATGTTATGCATGATGAATTCGATGATGTTTGATTGAGCACCGGATAAAAATAAATATGTATACATAAATATATACTACACTTGCGGTCAACTGGATTGGTCTTACTGGTGTTAGAGAAATTATTTCTATATGTAATCAATGTTTCTGGTGAGCAACTAAATAAGGCTAGTTTTCTAAATATACAAAGTAGAAAGTTCAAATCGATTATTTTCCCCACAACTGTGGATGAGTACGAGCTACCACGAATTGCCCCAAGTGTACAATGCTCCATGAGTAATACCCCGAGTTCCTCTTGATTTTCAACTCATAGCCCACATAAATGTGATTTTTCGCACGACTTACGCTTTTTAGTCGTAAAGTGACGAAACAAGATGCCAACAAACTTGGCTAATGAATTCAGGGTTAATTATAAAAGCATACAAATCATTTAGATTTTTATTATTCTTTCCGCTCCACTTTCAGCGATTTTCCCAATGCCCAATTGAGAAATACCCTAACAAATACGTTAGTGTTCAAAGTTAATAGTAAACAACTTGTTTTGATATCCTGATTTCAAAATATTGTTTTACTTGGCCACTCATTGACAAATGATACTCTCCACCTTTTGGTGATTCAATCGTTTTACCTTTATGGTGGGAATTTTGGACAAAGGGGACTACTCTGAAGTCAACATGCCTAGTTTCTGCTTTCTTTCCATTTGTTTGATATTTTTCTTTTGCCTTTTATGCGACGCGCTGTCCGGATTAATTATTATTGTGTTGAAATCGCATTTAACAAATTAAATAAATCGCAATTTTGCAACAATGACGGCGCAGTCTCATTACTCGGGCACGTTTCCCATTGTGAGGCGATTTGCATATTGTTTGGCCTCAGCTTCGAATGCGTCTCTTTTTCTTTTCGCGCCTAGTTACATAAAGTCGTTAGATCTAAGTGTTTCGGATCGTGCCATTACTCAATTTAATATGCAAAGTCAGGCGGCGGACTACGCCGAATCCGCAGCTGATACCGCTGCTCCCAGAGCTCGAGGAAGTGGAGACAAAATGTGAAGTGTAAGGGAGGCTATCTTGGACGGTTGGGACGTTGACTTGGACTTGACTTTCTTTATCGCCCTTTCTGTGTCCGAATAAACAGCTGCGGTTAAGATAAATCAACTGTTTGCCCTTCCAACTTTACAAACTATCAAAATGTTTCGCACAACATTTTTTTTGTGCAAAGCTTTCATAAAAACGTACTTTTAAGCTAGTTAATTTATTTTTATTACAGACTTCGGCTAAGTGAAAATTTTTTCATTAGAAAATTTTATATTCATTCAATACTTTTCCATTTTTTTTTTTGTAGTCCTATTATTTTAACCTCTGCTGTCTATGAGTAAATGAAATCCCTGCTCGAATATAAACAACGGTGGCTGGCGTGGCTTCCAAGAAACGATAAGCTATGAGGTCAAACCAATTTTTGTCTAAAGCAAAAGTAGGTAATCTGGCAGACAAACTTAGAAATACCAACAACGAAAAGTTAATTAATCGCCAATAATGTTTTTCCCCAATGTTTTATCAAGTGATGAGTTAGCGGTGTAACACGGACAGCTGGCCAGATAAGCGAGAATGGGATGAGTCCGAGGGCACTCGCAAACATATGACTAAGCAGGTGGCCACCAAGGAGCCAATTGATACAGTTCCAGGTCATCCAGGAAATGCTAAGCGAATTGCGTCGAACAATGGCCATTGAATAATACAGTTCATTACGCGAACTCGCTGTGTAAACAAACACCGAAAGCGAAACAGCAACAGAAACAGAAACGGCACAACAGGTTATTCGTTTCATGGACAAGATATCTGTTGTTAGTTGGTGGAAGTGGTCGGGTCGAGTGGTGACTCATCAACGCCGGAACCCTCTTTATGTCTGTCTATGGACGATCGTTGGTTATTCGTCTGCGTCTGGCTAGCCTGTTAGTGTTGCATATTATTTATAAAACGGACGCCCCTCTGACTAATGCCATTTCCGGATCCTATAAATCAAAGACATTGCTGATCAGCATCACCAGCTTGATTGAAAAGTGCCCGTTCCTTTTTAATGTACGCTTTAAAAGTTTGGGGGAGTATTACTATCTGCTTTAGCTGGCATAAAACATTTTACTTTTTTAATGCTGACGTCGATTGTTTTTCAAAATAATTGTGTAAAAATGTGGTTGTTGTCGACTTATACTACTTTTGAGGGAATCTTGAAAGTATCATTTAATAGATCTTTTAGCGATATAGACCGAGAAATAAAAAACTCTTACCGGAAGTGAGGAGGATTAAATAATAATCCCCACTTGTATACGCACCTTAATGTTTCCCAGGGAAAGGCAAACGATGGGATGCCGGTAAGCACCTCCTGGTCGCGGAATCCCTCAGGAAAGCTCTCTACGATGACACCGGCGGGAGCCGCTGGGCCACCGCTTCTGGGACTCGTGCCTCTCTCCAATCCCGGCGTTGGCGAGACCTCGCACCAGAACTCGAAGAGCTTCTTCACGTCATTTCTGGGAAGGAGCGGGGAGATTGGCGATGACTCGTGGGAGTAAAAGTGCTGCGATAGTGACCAGTGGAGCGGAACGCCCACAGCAGCCACTAGCTGGAACTGGGCAGCATACTCACTTGATACGCGATCCCATTTCGAGGAGATCTAGCACATGTTTCTGTTTCGGTTAGTGGGGGATGTTCGTTTGACTTGTGTATTCAATCCGGGCTGCTAATACTGATTATGCTGACACAATACGGGTGTATGACCACCACTTTCCTCCTACTGCTCTTTGTCGCCACAGATTCGCGACGTCATTGGTTAGTGTTCGTTGTTCGCGGAATTTTCGCACCTGCTTGCTTTAATTTCGGGGCGGGAAGCACTGCTCACTAATTTTCTGGCATTTTTATTCCACAACAATAAATGTTTCACTTGGAACCCGCAGTTTTATGCAAGCAAATAGAACAAAAACACTTTTACAACAAAAATCGCGAACAATGTGACCGTCCTTTGTCTGTTAGAAAACCGTACTAACTGAAAATCCACTGGCTTATCCAAGTCTCAAACCACGTACTATTTAGTTCTCGCCTCAGTTTGGTCACACTGTAGTTGCACCGTTAGCGTCCCGCAAATGTGTTTATATTTTGGTAGTGTGCGCCCTGCATCATTTTTTCTAAGTTTCTTTGCATCCCAGAAGGTTTTTTTCAAGGTTCCTCTCTCGGCGGGCGTACAAAAAATGCATAATATTTTTTAAAAGGTTACATAAGTGCGTGTAACCGACGGACCAGCTTGCCTCAAAAAAGTTCCTGTATATATGTCTACGAACTACAATACGTAGTATACAATAGTTTCGATTCCGTCATACTTGGCACGGTAATTACCTGCACCCACTAAACTGGGGGAATCGATAGAACACCATTTTTACCGCCCACCACCCACTCACGCTCATTGTTTTGTTGCTGCACGTGATGACGCCGAGGAGAAGTCCGAAAGCCCGGGGTCAATCCAATAATTACTGATACTATCGCTCTGCGGGCATAGTTTCGATTTGTGTCACAACCCAGTCACAGATTTTTGAAGTCGCCTTGTCTAAATTTGTATTTATTCTTTTATTTCAACCTCTATTTTAAGGTAAGCACCCAAAAATTCTGGAACTTAATGCCAGGCAGCACAATTGGCAGAACCCCCGGACACAAATCCTCGTTTTAAGCACACCATACTAGTAGTCTTTAGATTAAAGTCGCCATGCTGTGCGCCCTTGTTCGTAGTCCATCCACTGGTCAGAAGGCCCTATATCGCTCCGTGACCGAGCTATTTGGCGCGGTTCACGATGTCCGTTGGCTGTCCGCCGGAAGAGGCGTCTATCAGCGGCAGCCCCAGTCACAGTTCCAGAACCCAACCCACCGTCAAGATCTGCTGTGAGTGAGCGATAAGCGCCGTAAACGAGCCAAGTGTACCTGAACCCGTTCCGTCCCGCCTGCACCCAATTAAGGGCGTGTGTCGTCTGCCTTTTGATACGGACGACCACTCGTTTAATCAAAATCCATGTGCATACATTACCGCGCGGCGATTAGATATGCCTTCTTGTACTTATTAGCCCAAAATAGCCCATTCATACCTTTAGCAAGTCGTGCCAGTCTGTAATTTCATTTCATTTTTGGCTTGTTCGCTATTTCAGCTCACTTTCCCGGCTAGCGGAGAGTTCAAAATTATCAGTGCGAAGCCTTCACTCGGAGCACGACGCCATGTTCTACTCGATGTACGCCTACCTATCCAACCTTCCACGCCTTCATGTTTTGGGCATGGCAGTGGTGGCCTATGTAGTTTATTACCTAATCCAGGTGGTCAAGGTGAGTGTAATGCCAATGATTGCATCACATCCGACGCGTGACTAATCATCAAATTGGGCTTATAATTACAGCGACCGATTATCGCTTGTTCGGACGGACCGTTCAAGCAATATCTTATTCGCAAGGTCCCAACGCTAGAGAACAAGTTCTGGCCTACCTTCTGGTGTGTGGAGAGCCGTGCCCAGACCGTTCTTGCGAGCCTGCTGCGCTCCAAGAGTCTACCTGGCGTTAACTACCGCCGTGAAATTCTGTCGTTAAAGGATGGTGGCGAGGTAGCACTGGACTGGATGGAAGAAGGCTGCGACGCCAGTTCTCCATGTATCATAATTTTACCAGGTCTGACCGGAGAGTCGCAAGCGGAGTACATCAAATGCCTGGTCTTCGCCGCCCAGCAGGCTGGAATGCGTGTGGTGGTATTCAACAACCGCGGACTCGGTGGCATAGAGCTTAAGACACCGCGCCTTTACTGTGCCGCCAATTGTGAAGATCTGTGTGAAGTTATTCAACATGTGCGCCGCACTTTGCCCGCACAGTGCAAGCTTGGAGCCACTGGAATCTCCATGGGTGGTTTGATTCTAGGAAATTATTTGGCCCGTAAGAGCGACGAGGCTAGGAACATTTTATCGGCGGCAAAGATTATATCGGTGCCTTGGGACGTTCACAAGGGCAGCGCAAGCATCGAGAAGCCCGTTATTAACAGCCTGCTCGGCCGCCATTTGGCTGGAAGCTTGTGTCGTACCTTGCGCAACCACCTTGACATATACAGAGATATTTACCAGGACTCTGACATCGACATTCAACGAATTCTGCGCTGTAAAACCATCAAAGAGTTCGACGAACTGTTCACGGCCAAGCAGTTCGGCTATGCCCATGTGAATGACTACTACTCGGATGCCACACTGCACAACAAACTGGATCACATCTCAGTGCCGCTGCTCTGCCTAAGTGCTGCCGATGATCCGTTCCAGCCACTGGATGCCATCCCCATCAAGGCGGCCAACCAGTGCACTCATGTGGCTATTGTGATTACTGCACGTGGTGGGCACATCGGGTTCCTCGAGGGTTGGTGGCCATCCACTAAAGACCAGTACATGGGTCGTCTGTTCACTGAATACTTCACCAAGGCGTTGTTTGACGAAGATGGGGAGTTCCAGCATACGGCCAATAAGATGCATGAACGATTTTTGGCCAAGCAAACAGTGGCCATGGCAGCCTCATCACCAGTGCTGCTTGCCAAGAAGTTAGACGCCGATCAGTTGGACCATAAGGTCAAGCTGATGTGAACGAGATGTGCTACTCTTGCTCAGTTTTTGTCCATTTAGGATTTCCAATTAAATACATAGATATTCGAAAATGTATTTCGATAGATTTCCGTGACCGAAGACTTTCGTACACATGTGATATGAAACGTTGAACAAAATCCAAAGTGTTGTTATACTCTAAGTCAGCGAACAGGGAACCAAATTGTCAGTTAATACGCATAGTTGCTTAAATTACTCTTAGAACGTGACATTAGTGACATATCAAGTTGAAATGGCTTTACAAATCGTAGTGTTAAATTCAAATAAAAAAAAAGATAACTATCTGACACAATGCAATAATCTTATATATTTTTACAAGTTCCGTATATATTTATAACTAATAAAAATACAACGCTTAATAAAGAGAAAAATAAAAACACTTTCACTGCATTATAAGGTAAATTTGACAAGCGAGACGTATGTTGGGCTTGGGGTATTCCACGAATCGTTTAAAGGGCTCCGGGATTACCCACACATAAAAACCAGGTTCCTACAGCTAAAATACCAATTGCGAGTTGCCTAAATAGGCTTGTACAGCAGTGTGGTCACGTACTTCTTGCGATAACGATGTGTGGCACTCAGGACCATGACGCCATCCTTGATGGACAGTGCGTACAAGTGGTTCAGCATCACATGGTTTGGTTCTGGCAGCAGAGTGGGTTCGCACTGGAAAAAAAAATTTTTCGTTAAAGAAGCCAACTCTCGATATACATGGAAATACCCACAGAGAGCGGTGTATCCTTGTTCAGGATGACCTGCAGCAAGTGAGGCGGCAGAACCGGTGGACCTGATACCTTCTCCCAGGGCTTAGCCTGGGGCACCTCCTGAGAGTACTCTTTCTCCGCGTAGTTTGTCACGTTCTCGCTGTCTTTGGCCAGGGCCTGGAACACTTCGAAATCGGATTCTCGCACGGACACCAGATTATTTCTTTGTCCCTCGTCGTTCTCAACGCTTTTCTGAAATCGCAAAACCATGAGCAATAATTAATTTTTTGTAATTAAAGCTGTGTAAGCAGTGACGTAAGTAATAATTCCTAGCCCCTTAGATGCCTGCCATTAATGGGCAAGAACCCAAATACAATTCCATGATTCTGTTGGTTTTAATAAAACTGATGCAATTAAATTGCGGCATAAGCGATAAAATAGAAATTGGGTGGACTATTCGATGTATTAAGTTCTAGGGGGTATCTGGTTTCTTCTTATTTGGGTTTAATAACTTATATGAAATATGGCCGTTGATAGGATAAATATACACATTCATATTAATTTTCTTTTTGTTGAGATAAACAAACATATTATCGTTCGCACAGCGAAATTAGGTATCGTAATGAAACTAGGCTAAATATTTTCTTTGAGTAGAAAGTTTAGTTAGTTTGCGCTGGCTTAATTGAATTTTTATGAAATGTTTATAAAGGATGATGACTTGATTAAAGTATAAAGTTAGACAATTGTATAAGAAGGGTTTCCCCAAACTGTAATCTATAATAATAAATCTCTGCTTGATAACAACTAAAACTAATTAATTGTTTCCGTTTTTAATAATCTAAAAAGAGTTTTATCTCGAAAATCCCACTTAGCAAACCACTTTGAAAGGGTTCCCGAAAATAGCTAAATCTGGCTGGATGAGCATCTCTGAACCCAATTGAAATCCACTACTGATTACTGGGGAGAGTTCGTTTTGTTTACGATGATTACACAACCCGCGGGCGAAAATCGGTAACTGCGTCATTCGGGCGCCCGAATCGTAAACACTGCCCATGAAAAGGGTACTATATTGATTTTCCGCCCAACTGACCAGCTTGGGATCGTGCTTCCATTCGCCGTCCACGCAGAATTTGTACTGATGGTCGCCTTCCGGCAGATCGATTATGGTCACAAAGTTCTGGTGACTCCTGACCATTGTGATTGGTTTCCAGTTCGAAAAGGTGCCCGAGATGGTAACATTCTTGCCGCCGCCATCCCACCGGAGTACGGTAGGCAGAGCAGTCTTTCGGATGTCATCCTCTTCGCCGAGTAACTGTGATCCCGTCGCTGGCTCCGTTCCTGTCTCTTCCTCCTCGTTGTTATCCATGCTGGACTGTTCTCGCGGAACAGCTGATGCCGAGTCGTCGGTGGTGCCGCGTCTAGTTGATCCAGTTCCAGTTCCCGTGTAGTACGGGTCGTCGTCTTCTTGCGACGAACCCTCGTTCAAGACTGCCGTATGTTTTTTGTCGAACGAGAAAGCTTGGCCTCCGACACCTCCACCTCCCGCCGCCCCCGTTGCCCCACCCAATGCTGCTGCGCCAGCACTGCCACCCTGTACCGCTCCCCCTCCCGAACCAACTACTCCAGCTCCTCCACCAACAACCGAATCGCGGAAATGTGCGGGAGAGCTCGGCGTGGACAAGTCGGTAGACTTATGACGCTCGCGTTGCATGTGCACGGTGGAGCTGGCGTTACCCATGTTTATTGCCGTTCTCACTCGCTCTTCGGCAGGTCACGGACCGAGTTTAAAGATTTGCGTTTGGGTTTGGGTTCTATGGCCCCCCTTTGTTTTGGCACTGCGTTTTCTTGTTTATAAGTCTAGTGTTTCTCGTTGCTCTAATCAAATCACTTGTCACGGCTTGCAGTCTGTTTGTTATATTTGGCATTCAGTGTGCAGAAAACTGCATTATTTAATCATTTGTTTCGTAGAAAAATGGCTAATTTTAAACAATTTACATATATACAGTTCCAATTGGCGAGAACCTATGCAGAGTTGCATTTCTCGGGGGAGGGGATTCAAAACAAAGAAGCTATCGGGCGATAATATAGCTTTGTCCGCCCTGGTTGTAACAGCTGCTACAGTTATCGGTGCTGCCACTGGCTTTGAAATTACTTTAAAAATAAGGGATAGAAATTTGTTAATAATATTACTTTAAAAGAAAATTTGTTTTGTATTCATTTAATTGTTTTAAAAATTTTATTGTGCTGCATTTGTCAGATTTTTTTTACAAAGTTAAAATACAAAATGCCAAAAAATTACCTCTACTGATCATATCAATACAATTAATAGATTGCCTTTTTCTATTGAATTTAAGGCAGACAGTTAACTATATAGATATCACTCATATTTTAATTAGGTCAATGAATCATTTTGTTTACTATCAATATAGGAATTCAAGAGAATTTGTGGGTGAATGAATGAAGTTTTTAAAAATAGCGTATCAAATCTAAAAATAGAGTGATTATAAAGTCGCATATTCCCTTGTAAGTGCGTAAAAACAAGCATTACAACAGAGGAAAAGCCAAAGGTACAAAGTCCACTACAAACAATCAAGATGCATCAGCACAACAAAAAAGTAGAGAATGACGAGAAAAGAGAAGACAGAAAAATAAAACAAAGAGCGAGGGCGGAAGTTCGATGGCAAGGCTACTCTGTGATGAACTATGTAGAACGTAAATTTAGCTGCCAAAGCAGATGCAACCAAAAAACAGACCAAACAGACGAATTACTGAAAAGAAACGATGATCAAAACAAACTAGAAAAACCGCCTCGAAAAGTCAGGTCTGAATACTAGAAATCAGACGCTTTCCAGACAGTGGAAACAATACCCAAACAAACTCGAGGAAAACACATATGTGTACAATGCTATAGCAAACATACATACTTATGTATACACTTTGGAAAAATTAAGCGATTTAAAATTATACTTTCAAATACTAACAGTATTTATATAAACCTTATTAAATAATGTGACAAATTTTTCAAAGATCAAAAGATTTATGGTTTTCATTATTAATATTATAGGCATATTAATATTTTTGAAATCGTCGTTTTTTTTTTTTGAAAATCAAAATTTACACAATTTCTTTCGGCGTATAAATGGTGTTTTGTATGGGTGCCTGCGTGGTAGACACTCACACTCGTACAAACCCGACGCCTTCGCATTTCAAATTGATTAAAACTAAAAACACTCGATGCCGATGTGAAGCCGTGCCTTGTTTCGTTTTCAGTGCGATCGCAGACATTGTGCAAAACGGTTCACAGTTCTCTCCTCGCGACTGGAAGTGATCTGTTATATTTTGTGGGAGTGCACTGAGAAAGAAGTCGGGAATATCGGTGTCAAATTGATTGGGATTCATTAAACTTGCAACAGAGTCAAACATTTTAATCACGACGCAAGTGGCAAGCGCGCAATTGAGGTAGGTCTTGGTTGTATAGTTGACCTCGCCCGGTTATCAGTCCCGCATACCCAATACTACTTTCTTCATATCGATGTGTTTCCAAGGCCCTCCACCTCCTCTTATCGTGCCACGTCCGACTAACCAACTAGTTAATCTAAGCAAACGAGAACCCAAACAACTTAAATATTTATTTCCCATGGCTCCCGAGGGCGGCGCGTGTTCCCATCGATTCCTGACCAGAAGATTATCAGCTTAGTCAGTGAACTGTTTTGAACTGCTAATTGATAATATGTATGCGGCAACACCTATATATTTAGATTGGCATGCGATTTAACTCGAAACTACGACGCACTTGCCACTTACCTGCAATTTTATCAAAGTTTGTTTGAACAGCCAAAGTAAATGAAAAATAACTTGCTATATATATGTACATTCATATACTCTTTTCGAATGGAGAACAAAAGACCCCACTACCACTTTCTTGAAAAAAAAAAAAACAGAAATAAGCAAACAGAAACCTTCAAGATGGCCACCCCACCTGGAGCAGATACGATAATATTAAATGTATACCATATTGCCTTATCAATAACTTGACTTGTTTTCTAACTGCACCTTAAATTAATTCAATATACATAGATCGTATGACAGCCAAAAAAAAAAAATCCCACACTGGGAAACAACTTGGTGGGCACGAGCCCACCGAAAAACAAGATTTCAGTCAAAATAAATAAATTATGGTGTCTTCATCTATATATTTTTAGCTTTATCAATTTCGGGCGTTTCTTCGGAGGCTCGACAAATATACACAGCCAATCGGAACGAGACTCGCAGCGAGGGTCGCAACATGGATAGCGTCAAGTCGTTCTTCGCCGGTTCCAACAAAGATGGAAACCTGACCAATAATCAACAGTCAAATGTACCTGGATCATCCATTAGCAGCCGTTGGGGTCGGAGCTGGAGCACCAGCTCCCAGCAGACGGATCCTGAACCAGGATCCTCCAACTCTCCGGCCAGCAAGAGCGGAAATCCCTGCGATGTCAAGCGCAAGGATAGTGATAACTACTTTTACATTATGTAAGTTGTTTTTATTTTTAGAATTTTGTATAATGAATTGCCGAAGTCTACTCTTAAGAGTTTAGATAAGATAGAACCTAGGGAACTTACATCTGGTTGGTCTCCTGGGGGTAAAGTCCACTAGTTTTATTTCTTATAAGGGTGTAATATCATATATAACTTATTTATATTCTTTTTTATTATATTCTTTCTTTAAAAAGATGTATATTATTTTCCAGCAACATATTTCCCGATAGTCCAAAAACATTCAGAGTCTAGAGTTCAATTCCTAGATGATTATCATCTTTCAGACTTTTATTTCCAATAATATATGTATGTAATTTTGCTTTAAAACATACATACATACATATGTGTCTGGTTGTGTTTCATTAAAAATGTTATTGCCTAGTAATTTATTCGGCAAAGTTACTGGTAAAACTAATACTACCAAATCCTAGCTTCCTTTCTAAGAAAAGAATGATAACCTCAGGAGACTTTATGTTGTATATAGGAAGTAAATATAATAGTTGATCCATGACCCTTGGAGTTGTTTAATGAACAACACAGTTTTACGATTGTACGTGGATATCTATATTCGTATCTTTGTCTTTCTTTCCCATTCTTTGGTTTTCTACCTTTTATTACTATTTTTGAGTAGCTCTCAAGAGGTTTTTATTTCCTGTGCTTGTTTATTATTTTGTTTACTTGGTTCTAGGGAATAATTTGATTATCTTAGAGCCGCCTTATCAGTCATTGCACATGAAGACCCATGGGTAAATTGTATTTAGTAACTGCATTTATTTCGGATCCCTGATATTCAGTTCAATGCCTGCAATTTTCGATTACGACAGGGGTTAAGCTCTATCAATGTGATTAATTAAATGTCAAAAGACTGTAAACGAACGTTCTCTAGAGTCTGGCAAACCAGTTTGTGCGGTCATAGATTCGTAAGCTCACCTTGAGCGCTGTTCGGCTTAAGTTGGCTCAAAGTTCTGAGCGAGATAGCCTGATATTTGGAGGGGATCTGGACTGGAACTGCATAACCAGTTAAGAATCAGTTTCGAATCAACTGCCGCTGCGAACAGCTGAGAAAGTCCCGTATTTAGAATGTGAGTGGTCGGGGATAGCCCCCAAAATAACTAATCTGGGCGTGGGCCTTGCCAGGTGGTAGACTCATACGTATAAAGTGCGTGATTCAGTGGACCAGCTGGGCAGTTACCATTGGGCATTCCGACTCTCAGCACGCAGTAAGATCCGCAATCGCGGTTATAGTTACCAAACAACAACTGATGCAATACCATCTCTTGTTTCGTCTCGTTTTAGGTGGCGCGCTTGAAGATTACCAGACGATTGTGGATCGGAGCATCAGTCGGATGAGTCGTGATCCATATCTAAAGTGACCTGCAGCTATATATGTATCTGTAACCCTATTAGGAACATCGGAGCGCTAACGTCAACAACAGCCTTTTGCCTTGTTGCACCATCTCCATTGGCCGAGTCCGGTGTTTAGTGATACTAGTTATTTATTTACAATTATACACAAAAACATTCATATTAACCCCCACCATATTTGTACGTACTGTCCGATCGATCCAAAACTCCTATATGGACGCCATCACCATCTTCGGCTTGGTCTATTGGCTGATCTGCATGATTCTGTTCGGGCCGTTGATGTTCTTTGTCTGCGTTTACCTGCCCGAAGTTCCGGTGCGATATGTGAAGAGTCTGAGGCAGCAGACCTAAGTACCTTCAGTTCTACTTGACCAATAATTATCCAAGTCCGTAGTACATAAATTAATCAAGTCATAGCTGAAATTAAATTGATGTACAACCGATCGATTTGTAATAAAAATCTACTCAAATATACATTTAAATTAAATATGTAATGCGTTTAAATTAGTAAGGTAAGAGGTTTTTTTTTAAATCCCACAGAAACGTAAAATACAAATTTAAAGATGATTAAAAGTGTACGAGCATTGTCAACTAAATGATGGAGAAACCTACCAACAGGTAAGATAAGATTAAAAACCAGAATTTCCAAGCTCCATTTCCGGTGTTTTATTAGAACCGTGCTGTAAGCAAACTCATTTTAATAAAATATTTTGGTTTATTCTTTCTTTGCACCTCTCGTTTGAACTGAATTCTCTGCAGTCGAGCGGCATCTTAATTTTATTTATGTGAATCTTTCAATACAAAGCTAAGTCTGCGGATATATGAGTGCCACAAAACATATTGCTGGTTTATCAAAAAGCTACTATTGTTGGAATATTGAATACACAATCTGTTGATGGCCAATCAACTTTAAACAAATTAATTATCAAATAAATATATTTTTTTCAATGTGATTATATACGGTTTTTGATGCATGGCCTGACTATGCTCCTTTCGTTTATTTTTTAAATCACAATCCTATTTTATGTGCCACTTGATAAATTTCCAAAGGAATTGATGCCTTGTTTTTCTCTCCCTCTCTTCTAACTGAAATTTGGCTTAATTAATTATTGATTATTAATTAAAACAAAACGATTTGGGTCGTGGGTGAATCTGCAAAACAGTGTGGAGATTTCGATAGCGCTTTGATTTAGTTGGACCAGGATAAAAGCTGCTTCATGTCTGGATCATCTGTAATGCCATTTAGGTGTTATATAAAAGCATAAATTATAAACTGCGAGTTAACTCACCATCATCGGACGCTACAGCCGTCGTGGTAGTTGCCTTTTTCTTCTCTTTGGCCTTTTCGGGCAAATCTTCTGTGGGCGCTTCGGGCAATGTGGGCGTCGGTTCGGGAATACCAATGATTTCCTTATCAAAGTTCTCTTGCTCCAGTTCGTCAAGTTCGCGCTCAAGATCCTCATCATCAAGATCGGCCCCAAACGCCACAGGGTTAGAAATGGCATCGGAAATCTCACGAGCCACGTCTTGCTGCTCGGCAATATCGTCCATCATATCGTGCACCTTGTCCACATCCCTGTTTGATAGATAAAGTTAGTACATCGAACATACTGTTTCGAATATATGACTAACATATTTTGATGAGCGGTTTTGAGGGCATCCGCGGCATTCTTCATTGTGGTCAAGACGGCAGTATTTGTGTTGGCGCTCTCCAAAGCCTCTCGCTGCATCTCAATGGTGGACAGGGTGCCATCGATCTGCTGTAGCTGTTTCTCCAGACGCTTCTTCTTTTTAAGGGCTTGAAGAGCCACTGAAAATTTGTAAAGTGTGCGAATAAGAAAGCTTTCAATACTGGATTATTTATTCTACATATGATATGGCCAATTTGCAATGCGTGGAATCGAATTACTCTACTGCATAGCTTGTGTTTGTTTTGAGTATCAAAAGGAATGTTTATATTACGTTCTTAGCGATTTCCGGACACGTCCAGGCATCGAATGGTATGCGGATGAGAAGGGCGAAGAAATACAGATTGTTTTATTGAGTTTTCTATTTGCTGGCAGCATGGGGACTGATTAGTAGCGAAGGCCTCTCGGCCACAACAATAACAAAGCAATGAGTCATTATTCCCTGGCCCATCCAACTGTTAAACTGGCTCTTCCAGGATCTTGACAGGTTGCACACATACCTCTTTTGTTTTTTGACGCATTTTTGCGAGCTATATTCAGCTCGTCCTCGATCTTTGCCTCCAGGAACTCCTGCTTTTTGATCAGCATATTCTCCGTCTCGCGGAGCTTTTGTATCGCCTCTCCGGTGGTGGGGGCCACCTCCTTCTTGCCGCCGAACATCTTTCCAAAGAAACTCATCCTGGCTGATCTGTTTTTTCACCTGGATTTAGCGAAAAAGTAAATTTTTCCCTGCTATTGCGTTTCTTGGTTGTCTGGGAGCTGTTGTCCGTATGCGTCACCCGATATCGATACCGATAGGCTATCGTTATTATATTTGTGTATGCGGTTGGGAGGGTGCTATATTTCGATGTCTGATAGCTGGTCACTCTGGCTAGCAAATGCCGGAAAATAAATATTCTGTGCATTTTTGTAATAAACTCCGCTGACATTAGCCACAAGCTTGAATTAAAGAAGCAGTTTGCTTCGTGATTCTTACGGCGAACAAGGAAACAGGAATCCAGGAAGAATGGCCAATCGCACGGTAAAAGAAGCCAAAAACGTGCATGGCACCAATCCGCAGTACCTCATAGAGAAAATCATCCGCTCGAGGATATACGACTCAAAATATTGGAAGGAGCAGTGCTTCGCCCTAACCGCAGAACTGCTGGTGGACAAGGCCATGGAGCTGCGTTTCGTCGGCGGCGTCTACGGTGGAAACATCAAGCCCACTCAATTCCTCTGCCTTACACTGAAGATGCTGCAGATTCAACCGGAGAAAGACATCGTGGTGGAGTTTATCAAGAACGAGGAATTCAAGTACGTGCGAGCCCTGGGAGCATTCTATCTTCGGCTCACCGGAGCCGCCCTGGACTGCTACAAGTACCTAGAGCCGCTGTACATTGACAATCGCAAGCTGCGCCGCCAGAACCGCGCTGGGCAATTCGAGATAGTTTATATGGACGAGTACATAGATGAGCTGCTTCGCAATGACCGCGTTTGCGATATAATACTGCCCCGCATCCAAAAGCGTTCCATTCTGGAGGAGAACAACGAGATCGAGCCCAAAGTGTCAGTCTTGGACGAGGATTTGGACGACGAGCTGCCCAGCGATGAGGAGAAAGTGGATGAGTCCAATAGGCCCAAAGAGAATTCTACATCAGTGCGACGTCCGCGAAGAGGTCGCTCGAAGTCCAGGTCGCGCAGCAGGGAACGCGAACGAAGATCTGGACAGGGCAATACCGCTCGCTCTCGGGATTATTATGACGAACTGGAAGATTACGACCGTCAGAGAAATCGGGCGCGCAATAGGGACAACCAAAATGAGGATTACGACCGTCGGCAGACCAGTGGACGCCAGGACCGAGAACGAGAGAGGGAACGCCAGGATCGGGACAGGATAAGAGAGCGTGAAAGAAACGGAGACAGAGATCGTCGGGATAGGGATCGGGAACGGGAACGCGACCGTGGCCGTCACGATCAGCGAGAACGAGATTCGCGGGGAGAACGAGAGAGACGCCGCTACTAATTTTAAGATTTATTCGAATTGACCAGTAAAAAATATGAAAAAAATAAACGGCTGGTTTTAATGTGCCGCAAGTTGGCATCCCCAGAATTAAGAATCGACAATCGAAATCAAAACAAAAACATAGAAGAAGCAGACGCAATCAGCTGTTGCATTTAGAAAGTTTTAAATAACGACAATAATTGCGGAAAAATCCAGACAAGTGTGTTAGTGAAAATAATACACATACTATCATTATTATTTTTAAACCACGATAAATCCACGTTAATCAGCAATAAAGCAGCTGGAGCTTCAGTATCTGAAAAACCAGCGCCACGTTTGGAAGTCAGAGAATCAGAGAAACTGCGCTGCATTTTAGTAAATGAATTGCTAATTCCATTATCTCCGGAAGTCTGGTGGAAGGCAGACGACTTCCAAGTTTGTTAACAGATAACTACAAAGTAGGGAGCAGAGTCAAACGACAGAATGCCTCGCTCTGATACGGAGGCCTTAGTGGACGATGTGGAGACTGGCGAGGATTCGGCGCCACGCATTCTGGACGCCTCATCAGCGGCCAGCAATGAGCAGGTAGATCCATCTCCAGTTCCCCCGCCTCATGACTACAACAGCTATCGATGGTTCATTCTGGAGCCCGCAGTTTTTCTTATCTTCTTTGCCAGATATTTAATCGGTATGGTGGCAAGCAGACTAAATCTCAGATTGAGTGCATCATTCAATTAACTATATTTTTGTGTGCTTTAGGGGCGGTTGCTCAAAATCAGATTCTCTACCAGACCTGCGTCACCATTGAGAAATTCAATGCCACACAATGTGAACCATTGCTGGGCATCGATCGGGGATCGGATGCGGATAAAGTAAGTGTATAAATTGACCTACAGCTATATACTAAATGTATTATATAGCTTTGGTATCTGTACTTATTGTTTTTGCTGTTCTCGTGTCTGGTTTGCGCTTGAATCGTTTTTATCTCTGTACCAATTGTTTTTGCTGCTTTGCTGGGCGTTTCGGCCTTTTTAGTAAATAGTAGCGAACAGAAAAATAGCTCTAAAATTTAAAGGATTGGAAAAAATTCTAAATATTATTAACGTGTCATTTATCTTATGATTTTCTTACTTTCTAAACTATGCACGCATAGTATCTTACAAATGTGGTTTAAATGCTAATATTGTAGCCTTTGCTGTAAAGTTTATAGTATTTGGCGTACTGAGATTAATACATACTTCTAAGACGTGACCCCCTTATGCTAAGTATGTATTAGTATCTGCCGTGACACAGCACAAATCAATTTAGCAAATCGGTGTAATCTAATGCACCAGTTCCATTGTTTGAAGCTTAGAGATAAGGTATTCAGATCGGCATTCAAGTCTTATCGGAGGGCAAAACTGAAGTAAACAAAATCCTTTGTGACTAAACTTCAAAGTAGTATCGAACTCTAGAAAAAGTATCTATATAAAATTATAATAATACTTACGAGCTATGCAACGATGACTCAAGCAAAAGTAAGTTATAAAAGTAACTTCTGTTTTTTCAGGAAGTCGAGGTTATAGTACAGACGTATTCGGCAAATATTATGATGACAACCTCATTGCTGGAGAGCATAATACCAGCTTTTGCCAGTCTATTCCTGGGACCCTGGTCCGACAAGTTCGGAAGGCGGCCAATTCTGCTGACTACTTTTACGGGTTGGTTTTTACCATTGGGGCTCCTTTCGACACTTTCCCTAATTCCCTTTTTTGTCTCTGAAGGTTACCTCACTGGCGCCCTAATTCTGATAGTTATTACCTATGTAACGATGTCTAGAAATATTAGCCCCTGGTGGTTCCTCCTTTACTCAGTTCCTTCGGTTTTAAGCGGTGGAACTTGCGCTTTAATAACGGGAATTTATTGCTACATATCGGATGTAGCCAAAGACCGAAAGAAGGCTTTGAGGTGAGTGTACTCTTTTTGAAAGTAATCCTTATAAATTAACCAAATTTACATCCTCTTTCTTAAGAATGGTTCTCAATGAGGCCTCTCTCTGCGCTGGAATGATGGTGGGCAATGTGGCCAGCGGCTACATTTATGCTGCAACGAATGCTTTGATCCTATTTTCAATAGCTGGCACCCTGATGATGTTGGCTTTGATGTACGTCTTCTTATTTGTGCCGGAGAGCTTAAGTCCATCCGACATTCATACGGGAGTACGCTGCTTCGTAATATAAATTTATATCAATTGCTAACATTTGTTTCATAATCCTAGTCCCGAATCCGTGAGTTCTTCCGTTTCGATCTGGTTAAGGATTTGGTTCGTACCTGTTTCAAAAGACGCCCTAACTTCGATCGCGCCATCATTTGGCTGACTATGATCGCCCTCACTATAGCCATATTCGATATGGGTAAGTGAATTCAGACTTTGGATCTCCAAATTTTGGCTCTAATTGAATTTGCAAAACTTCTTTCAGAGGGCGAGGGCACAGTAAACTACATGTTTATGCAGGATCAATTTAACTGGACTATCAAGGACTTCAGCCTGTTCAACGCATCCCGCATCGTTATCCAGATTGTGGGCAGCATCGTCGGTATGTTGGTTCTGCGACGTGTCCTGAAAATGTCCATTGTAACCATGGCAATGCTCTCACTGGCTTGTTGCGTTTTGGAGAGCACAGTGCGAGCTACAGCCGTCTATTGGCAGGAAATGTATCTCGGCATGACACTGGGAATGATGCGGGGCGTCATGGGACCAATGTGCCGTGCTATTCTCTCGCACGTTGCGCCCGCAACGGAAGTTGGTAAGTGACTTATAGCATTTATCAGGGGATGTACCCACAAATAACTAATACGCTATCATATATTCTAGGCAAGATTTTCGCTTTAACTACCTCAATGGAATCGGTTTCGCCCCTGGGCGCAGCACCTCTGTACACAAGCGTCTACAAGGCAACGTTGGAATATTATCCCGGTGCTTTTAATTTCATTAGCGCCGTTTTATACTTTGTGTGTTACATACTGATAGCGTAAGTATTAGCTGTTAGATTTTGTAATCAGCCTAATTGATATTTATTTTTATTACAGCGTGATTTTCGGCATCCAGAAATCGATGGGCAGCAGCAGCATCTATCAGGCTATAGGAAGTTAACAAGCTCCATGGCGATTCGATTTAGCTGAATGTATCTCATAAGTTAAATTCCTTCTGCAAGTGCTGGAAAGAGCTCTCATTTTAAACGATTAGAAACTATTTTTGTAATTTAATCTAGTGTTTGTACTCCTTGTATTTCTATTTGCAAGTATTATTATGATTTTTATCTGTATGCATGTATCTGCTATCTAGACTGTGCTTTGCATATGCAAGCATTATAAAGTTAAGAATAGAAGATTCAATTATTTGCAATGACAATAAAATGTATATACGCCAAAATATCAATATCTTGAAGCATAAATCTGATAGTGCCTCGAGGAGTGGGAGATTCTCGGGAGGGAGCTGTTGGAGCGGGTGAAGATAGCAGCAAACGGTTTTGTGCGCTCAAATTGGCAATCGCTCGCTTTGTTTGTTTACGACGCCAATTCAGCTGCTCCCAGCAGTTAGTGTAGCACTCGAGTTCGGCGCGCGCGGAGGTTCCCTCTACGATATATTGCCTAGCTGAATGAATCGCTAATTCCTTTGTCTACACGATAATTGCTGCGATCAGTTTGTCTGAAGAGGTGTGCGATAAGGCCGTGACCTTTGATTAACTAGAATGCCGAGAGATGATGAGGAGCCAATTATTGGCAGTGATGATGAGCTGTTGGATACCGAAGTACTCGCCCCACCCAGAAATTGGACATGCGGTAGCTGGCTAAAACTAAAGCGACCCCGCTCGCTGATTCTAGAGCCCGCCGTATTTCTGGTTTTCTTTGGTAGATTCCTAACAGGTGTGTATGGATCGCAACACTTGTTGTAGGCGTTTGTAAATCTGATTTTTTTTTCAACCAGATGCTGTCTATCAGAACCAGATTCTCTATCAAACCTGCGTCACAGTCATGAAATATAATGCCACCGAATGCGAGCCATTTCTCGGTACAGATCGTGCCTCCGATGAGGTTAAGGCAAGTAAAGCATTAGCCAACAGGCCGTATACGTATTTTTATGCATTAATGCATGCAATTTCAACGATTATAACAAACTAGCAACGTTAGCAAAGTTCATCAACTGCATGGGTGTATACTATAGAGGGGTTGTGTTTGAGACAAAGTTGTTTCGGTGAATTAAATTTGGTTTCTATAACAATAGTGTATCCTTTTTTTTTTAATAATTACAATTCCCAGGGTCGCCTATGCTTTCAATAGTTACAATTTGGTTTATTATTTTGAAAATATTTAATTTAGAAACTGAATTTAATGTTCTTTTTGTATTTTCATATATGTATGTACAATAATATGTTTGTATAAAAGGTTGTCCCACCTGTTTCTCCTTATCATTTGACCAAAACAAAAGTAAGCCCAAATTGTTTATGACTAATGGATTGTCTTATCACAAAAGTTATCGACCACTGTACATACATACATACGTTTATATTATTTTGACATGCATATGTGCAGATAGTTAAGCTGTTCCAAAACCCCCACCCACATAGTGAGTCATGGAAATGTGACGACAACTTTTCAGCCTTATCAGCGTTAGAGAATCCCCTATCAACAGTTTTTCCGATTTTGCAGAAGATCGAGGGGCAAGTTCAGGAGTATGCCTCCACCATCACTATGATAAGCTCAATGCTGGAGAGCACCGTTCCCGCCATAGTAAGTCTATTCCTGGGACCCTGGTCCGATAAATTCGGGAGACGACCTATCCTGCTGTCCACGTTTACAGGTTAGATGAAATACTACTTAAGCCCTTTAAAATATCTGATTAATAATTTCCTTCATAGGATACTTCATAAGTGCCATAATTCTGGTTGTCCTTACTCAAATATCGGCAGCCACCAATATCAGTCCGTGGTGGTTCCTTTTATCCAGTATTCCATCGGTGTTCAGTGGAGGCACTTGCGCTCTGATCACCATCCTCTACTGCCATGTATCTGATGTTGCCACCGAGGACAAGAGAGCAATGAGGTGAGTGTAGAGGTTAAAGGTGGTTTCTTAATATTTATATTATTATTTCCTTTAGAATGGTGACAATGGAAGCATCCCTAGGCTTGGGCCTGCTGGCTGGCGGTGTGGCTAGTGGTTACATCTATGCCGCCACCGGAGCGTCAATTCTTTTTATCTTGGTGGGTTCCATCATATCTATTGCGCTAATATACGTCTACTTCTTTGTGCCGGAGAGTCTCAAGTCTGAAGATATGCAAACTGGGGTAAGTATATTATATAAGACTATATCTTAACTATAGCTAATTTATGAAACTTTCCATTAGTCCCGCATTCGTGAGTTCTTCCGTCTGGATCTGGTGAAGGTGCTCGTAAGGACCTGCATTAAAAAACGCGAGAATTACGATCGGGCTATCATCTGGTTTGTAATGATGTCGCTGACCTTGTGCGTTTTTGCTATGGGTTAGTTATAAGCTGATACTTGCTCTATGACCAGGGACTAAATGGTAATTTTTTTCAGAGGGTGAGTCCACAGTGAACTACATGTTCATGCGAAAGCAGTTTGACTACACAGTCCAGGACTACAGTGTGTTCAACGCGGCAAAGGTTGTCATCCAAGTGGTGGGCAGTACCATTGCCATGATCTTGCTGCGTCGCCTTCTGGGATTATCGACCATCATGATGACGCTCCTGGCCTTTGCCTGCTGCGTGCTCGAAAGCACGGTCAGGGGCACGGCCGTATATAGAAGCGAGCTGTACTTGGCCCTGATTGTGGGCATGATGCGCGGTGTAATGTCGCCGATGTGCAAGGCTATACTGTCGCATGTGACTCCCAGCTCCGAGCTGGGTAAGTTATCTATATTCTAAAGGCCTTAGAAGTACTAATCAGTTCTTTTCTTAGGTAAAATCTTCTCACTAACCACATCCCTGCAGTCCATTTCCCCGCTAGGAGCGGCACCACTTTATACGGCCGTTTACCAAGCCACAGTTAACTTTTATCCGGGCATCTTCAACTTTATCAGCGTTGGACTTTACTTCCTGTGTTACTGCATGTCAGCGTAAGTCCAATTTGATAATTGCAAAGATTGTATAAAAGTCAATTAACATCTTATTGCAGAGCGGTCTTTGGAATTCAAAAATCCATGGGTAGCAATAGCGCTTACCAGGCTATAGGAAGTTGATCTCCTTAATCAAAAGATAGTGAAATCGTTACCATTAATAAGCCAATGTATCAAGAAGTTTTTCATTCCGTATTGTATTATTGTAAATTAGCTATCCCAAATAGGCTAAGTCTAGCTAAGTGTAAATATCAAGCTCTAGGAAAGGTTTTTTAAATTATAATATACAAAATTTACCAAAGACTAAAGGCTAATATATGTATAGCGAAACAGTTTTCTTATTTAAATGGAGTGGCATTTTCTAATTCGCACCATTTGGATCGGCTTAGAGGCTCTTTGCTTAAAGTTGCTTGTATCTGTTCTTTTAGCGTAATTCAAGAAATGTACACTTTAAATTAGCACAAATTCAGTTTGACTACACAATATAGTTTCTTTACTTAGAAATCATGTACAATCCCACTAGGCTTAAAAGTTATAAAAAGTAATACTGAACATGAACTTTTCAACTATAAAATATTGTTTTCTGAATCATAACAATTTAATTGTCCACAATGGGAGAAAAATCTTAATATTATCTTAAGACAATTTAAAAATACTAAGGGGTAAAATATAAATAAACAAGTCAAACAAGATCCATTCGTTCAGCCTTAAACTACTCATGCCTCACAGTTTAGGGCGTGTTTTCCGGATTTGCATCTTTAAATTCGCTCCACTTGTAAATTTTTATTGCTTGGTTGGGGTGATCACATGTTAATTTGGCCACAAATCCGCACTCGCCGCCTCACTTCAGAACCTTGGCGTAGTGCTGTTTGTGTCGGTATTTGATCCGTAAAACGTATCTGTTGGAAGAGAAGAAGAAAAAGTGTGAATAATTAGCGGGTTTGAAGAGGGGCTTTCCCCGTCCCATTACGGATAGGGGGGGCAGTAAGCTCACCCAATAAACACGAACGACAGCAGGTACAGGAACGAGCTGACGAAGTTGAACAGACCCGGGTACGTGGTTAGCGATTGCTTATATATGAGGGTGTACAGGGGGGCCGCCACTGTAATTAGCAGTAAAAGAGTCAATAAAATGATAAACAATCAAGCGGCACTAGCTCCACTTACCAAATGGTGCGAACGACTGCAAAACATTCTTGATGGAGAAAATCTTGCCTGCAGTAAGGGAGAGGTAAAATATTTTAGTTTAGGAAACATCTGTCTATAACCTAGGTAAACGTATACCTATAAACCACGAAACTTACCCAGATCTGAGGGAGGCACAATATTTGATACTATAGTACGGCACATGGGGCCTGAGATGGAGCGAAAAACACCCAAAACGACTGAGAGATACATGTGCCAGGGCATGGTTGCAAAGCCCTTAGCTAGATTGTTGAAAATCTCGGAAGCGAATGCGAGTAGTGCCAGGGTCACAACAGACAAGCGGAAGACCTACAAATTTTGAGAAATATTAAAAAAAAACGTCACACATTGGACGCGAATTAAGGCAACACACCTTTCGCAGGATAAGGAATCCAATGAGTGCTCCAATCATGGGGACCAGGTGGCTGACAGTTTCAAAGAAAGTGTAATCCCGCACTGTCCAGTGGAATTTCTCGCGCACGAACAGGTACATCACAGTCATCACGCCATCTGGCAGCGATCAATTGCATAAGCTAGGGAATTAATAGGAAGATCGTGCCGAAACTTACCGAAGACAAAGATTGACAGGAACATGGCCAGGGTGACCAGCCAGATGATGGCACGCGCGTGATGATCGCGTCGCTTGAAGCAGGTGCTAATCATGTCTCTAATGTGGACCATACTGAACAGGCCCGCCTTCTTGGCGAGCTCCTCCGCCTCTTCGCGCTTGCGCTCCTCTGCCTTCTGAGGTAATCGCTCTACATACTTGGCCAGCATATCTTCATCAAAGCTCATCGCTGGAGTCGCCGGAGTAGGCAGCTCCATCTTCTTATCCTTTTGGGGCTCCTCATTGTCCATAAAGTTTGGCAGACAATCGATAGCAACACACTCAAGTTGCAGATCGGAGGCAGTAATTGACAAGTCCTTTTCCTTGCCATCCTTTTCTCCATTTGCGGTGATTGCGTTCTTTGCATCCTGTTTCTGGCGATAGTGCAAACTCTCGGGCACACAGAAGATTACGAATAGCGTTGCAAAAGTCACTATGCAGCCAGAAAGGCAGATGGTCGCCGCTGACCCCACAGCTGCGTACACAAAACTGGACAGCAGGGATCCACTTGTCAAACCGATGAAGAATAGCGACTCCATGAAGATCATGCGGTAGGGACGCGACTTGCAATCCGTGATGTCTGAGATGAAGCAAAAGGCTGCCACCGAGAAAACGCAATTCCCGCCGAGCAGGGAATGTGGCACTGCTGCAAGGATGTACCACCAAGGGTTGATAACATAGTAGCTGGACAGTTCACAAATGGCAGCCATCATTAGGAAAGACGCAGAGAAACCTGAACAGGAAAGGAGGGAAAGCCCAAAGTCTTATAATATATTTTAGTTTTCGTAGGTCCCCTTTAAGGGTTAAGGCCTAATAAGCAAAAAATATTAGACCCATTTGTTATAACTTGAACTAGAGTCTGTCGCTAATAAGTTTGAACTACAGAGAACTAAAGCTTTATAGTTGTTTATACCTCCCTTTCTCTATGTGTTCTCTGTATGCAAAGATGAGTTAGAGATGCTTGATTGCGTTTACATTGCATCCCATATTGTGTAATTTACGTTGGGTAATGTATTTACATGTTTGAAATTCATTAAATTGGATAATCTGATTGGACAAATCTCAATAAAACTGGTCTCACCTATCATTGAAACAATGAGAAGGGGTTTCCGTCCATAGTGGTCCGACCACGAGCCGATAAATAGGCCACAGAAAGCTGGAACAATGCTCTCCAGGAGGGTGCGTGTTAGGAAAAGATTGGCCACATATGGCTGTAGCTCTGTTTCGATGGCCTACAAAGCGGAGGAGCATGATCAGGTCAGAGTGCACTTATAACTTTGAAGCTTAGGTAACCCACATTTATCTCAGCACTAGCGTTCTTCACATCCAGTTGCTTGCAATCGGACTCATTGTAGTGGAAGATTACCGTGCACGTCTGGTAGATGACTTGGTTCCTCTGGATAGTGCCTGGGTGTGTTGGCCAATATTAAATAGATGATAGATTCGAAGGATTGGCGGAGCTTTGTCACTCACCCGATAGCGTGTGCGAGAACAGCAGCATAAAGACAACCGGTTCTACGTAGAACATATGAAACACCTTTTGCCATTGCAGATTTCGTAGCTTTTCCAGCGTAAATGCATTCGAGGCCTTCTCAACCATGGCTTTTTTGGCTACGGACAAATTCTTGAACCAAATTTAATGTCTAGCCGGTTGTTTGAATGGTTTTGGGGTTCTTGAACTTGATGGCCTTCAATGGCACATTGCAACACCTGTCACGTAACCGCGATGGGAGAGAATTCCCTGGCGCCCGGCACTTCCGATCAGATTTATGGGTTACTAATGCTTAATTCGATTATTATTCAAGCGCTTGATTGATGCGATAGCCGGGAACACGAAACCGAATTCAACATCCAATCCGGCAGCAACGAAACACGGTTCGCAATTAGAGTTTCGTTCTCGAAATGAGCGGCTACCGCGAAATCCGTGGGCTTATATAGTGGAGCTCTCGGCAGTATCAGAATCACCAACGGGTATAAATGTATACAACAGGTACACAATCACACAGGTGAACAGTTGTTCATCTAGGGCCGAATCAATTCCAGTGGATAGCTTCGCTAGATTCACGTTAAATTGCATTTGACAGTCAAAAAATGTGTTGCAGCCTCAACTAACCAGATTCGATTCCATTCAAATCTAGTTCGGCTAAATTCAATTTCATTGTCGGTCGAGCTTAAATTAGATTTGGGCCCTCACTACCAACTTGGCCCACTAAAAGGGGGGAAACGTGAGAAACGCTGTCCGAGCTTTGAATCGTTCGTTTGTTTTCTTTTCGATGGCAATTCATAGTAATTTGCGTATTTTTGGATCGTGCAAATGAGTAGCACGAGCCAGACCCATGCGAGTTAGAGTTGAAAAATTGTTTAGTAATATTGGAGAAAATTTCATAATGAACTAAAAATATTAACACACTTTTTACATGTTAGATACTGTAAATATAAGTTCTTTGATAGATTTGTGTTACTAGAAAAACTAACATATATTTATTTCAAAAAGCGCCTATCAAAGAATTAAATTACAAATCTCAAATTTTAATGTAAAACGTTATATAAGAAAAAAGTCAGAGAACTCACGAAATAGTTATAGTTTTAATTGTATTTGTTTTGATAATTATTTTATATTACTTTTAATTGGCCTGATGACAATTCATGCGATACGGTCTGATACAATCCCGGGATTTCGTTCTGCTCTGTTGAGGCAATAAATTCATGCGTAAATTGAGTTTCATACCGTTTTTTGCTTATAACTCTTATAAGACCGATCTTGATCAAGGGTGTAAAAAACCTGGGGACTAATTAAAATTAGCAAGTGAAATTAGCGTTTGATCAAATCTGTATTTAGCACCAATCATTGGGCATACAAACATATTCACATTCTTAATGTTTTTATAGATATTCCGTAAGAATTGTCAAGTGACTGCGCACACGCCACAGGTTTGCAGCAATAATAACCCATATTTTTGTTAATGAGAAAATGTTTTGAGTTCTGTAATTAAATAATTTTTCCCAAGTTAAGGGAGAGTGAGATTGCGAGATATTAACGAAACTGCAATTCCTCACACAGTTTCACACATTTGAATGATCGACAATCAGGTATGTAAATAAGTACGAAATGGGTAATGAATGAGTAAGTCTGGGATAGACAAAATTTGGCATGACTGGCGATTTCTTTTGCTCTTTCTGGACTTTGGTATGGTCATCTGATCATTTAAAAACCGGTTCATAATACACCTGATTTCTTGACTTTGTATGCCAAACAATGCTGAAATTTATGTTAGTAAAACTTATAAAAGCCAATCGGATATGGGTCAAAACAACTTACCCCAGAAGAATAATACCAATGCCATATAGAAAGGCGCTAAAAAAGTTGAAAATCCCCGGATCACTGTTAAGTGTAAGGGTGTAGATAGCAACGTACAGTGTAGATGAGATAAGGGGGGAAAGTGCTTGCAAGACACCAAGTAGGGAGAAAATTTTACCTGTTATGGGAAACCACAGATGTGGGTAAAGAACAGAAAAACAAGGTATTCAATCTGTACTTACCCCGTTCATCAGCCGGCACTAGATTGGTGATCATGGTACGACACATGGGATTCACAAGGGACTTGAACACTCCCAGCCCAATGGCCACATAGATTTGCCAGTCTACCATGGCAAAAGCCTTTATCAGGCTGCTGGAACAGTGACTCAACAGGGAGACCAAGGCAAGCAAAATGATTGCTGATTTGGTGCACTATCAATCATAAGGATTGGTTAAATAAGAAAGTCCTCAGTTGGAAACCCACACAAATAAAATTACCTTCCTCAGTGTCCAAATGAAGAGTACTCCGCCGAAACCAGCCACTGCTGGAACCAAAATACTGACCGTCTCATATTGCGTAAACTGCTTTACGGTCCAATGGAACTTGATTCTCATAAACTTGTAGAAAACAGAATTGCTACCATCTGGAGATAGGGGATTTATCATTAAAAGAAAAAATTTAAATTATATACTACCCATGAAATATTGATTATTAATTAAATAAGTAGTTGAGTAACCTTTTAGAGGTCTAGTTAAATTAAATAATATAATATATGCATTATAAGCAAGCACCTTGACGTTAACTATTTATTATTAAACGGCGTTTGAATTTTTGATCATTTTCGGGACTTACCAGAAACAAAAGCGGTTAGTAATAGTACTACCATGATGGTAAGCAAAATAAAGCGATTTTTGTGCTCTCGGGACTTCCAACAGGTTTTCCACAGATTCTTTAATAAAGAGATCACACTTGTGTCAGTTATTGAACCTGTTCCTGTTTGACTCCTTAAAGGTAAACTCTCCGGAAGTAGGACTTTTATTAGGAAGAGAGCTGTGAGGATGGAAACTGCAGAAATGCTAAATACAATATAGGAATCGGTGGCCTCATATGCGTATCCAGAACCAAAGCTGCCAAGAAGCAGGCCCACATATATGGCCAGTTCATAAGCGATCATTCTAAGAAGAAAAAAGTTATTTTTTATTTTTAAATTTTTTATTATGTGGTTAAGAACCTGTAGGATCGCGCTCTGCCCTCGGATACATCGCCAATGAAACAAACTGCGGCCACTGGGTAGGTGACACTGCTCCCGACGAAAGAAGGCGGTATGATGGAGAGCACATACCACCAGGGACTAACCAAACCGTGATTTAGCTTGGAGCAATAGGCTATTATGGCTGAATTGAGATACTGCAGACCGTAGCCTGCTTATTGGGATAAGAAAAAAAGACTATGATGAAGAAAGCTCAACACCCACCCAAAAAGGATAACATCAGCAGTGGCTTACGGCCGTAACGATCCGCCCATGCTCCGGCGAAGAGACCACAAAAGGCTGGAATAAAGCACTCCACTAATCGCATTACCAGAGTGACCTTTGCGGCATATGGTTGCACTATCTCTTCAATTCGCTGAAATAAAATGAAATTAAATGAATGAAATAAATCCCCAAACCAATATCTCAACCTTTGTCTCATTTGTGGCATTCTTGGAGCCCAACAACTGACACACATTATCCGGATAACCGAAACCCGCTGTGCAGCTTTGATATATTACTTCATTTTTCAAAACGGTTGCTAAAATTGGAAAAAGATTAGTGATCACGGCTAACCTTACTCTTCCCAAGGCACTTACATGAAAAGTTATAGGCAAAGAGCAGGATTAAAATGAACGGCTCTAGTAGATAGATACCCAGTGATTGAGGGTTTAATATCAGAGGATCTCTCGGAAGTTCAGTCGTAGTTCTAATGGCTGCGTCTAGGGAACTAAGGCTTTCGTTCAGACTCTCCTGGCTACTATTGCTACCAGATTCAGGATCATCACCCTTTAATTTGCTAGCCTTAGCCACGAGATTTTCGTGGGCGTGAGGTTCCTCCATCATCTCTGTAATTCAACTGAGACTTATTCTCTGCCTCAGACGACAGTGGACGCATTTCAGATAAAGAGACGGAATACACTTATGTGTGGGAGCTGTTCTCTTTTCTGGGATTTCCATTCGGTAATTATGTATATAAAGTAGTTTCTCATTTTGCAAGATCTTATCGAAAATACAAAAAAAAAAAAAAAAAAAAAAAATTAAAATTGTTTAGCTATTTTGGCCTCCTATTTTCTTGAAGTTTTAAACCAAATTATTTTAGAAAATGTTAAGATAATAAATATTTATTTTTATTTGTATATATCAAGCTTGTACTGTAGTTTTGCTGTGATCCCCAAAACGTGAATCAGTTTTAAACCCAGCATTTGCTCTTAGGGACTTTTTTATTGACTTGACGTGCCTTATCTGAATTGACATTTTAGTTGCGGTTGTAAAAACGATAAACCCTCATTAATATGTATGTTGTGAGTCAAGTGAGCTTAGCTTAGTTAATTAATTCAAAAGTAAACTGAACTGAATATATTTTGACTTATTCGCTCAAAGTGAAACATACTTAATCCATAAAAAATATAAGACATGAATTGTTTAAAATTATTAATTAATTTATTAAAATATTTTCATTTAATTTTTCTCTTTACATTTTGGATTAAATTTCGTACAATGCTAGACATATTTTAAAAACAGCCGCGCAGCTATCAAAAAGGTATCGACTTCATAGAAATCGATGACAATATTTCGATTTCGAAACTTAAAAAACATAAACAAATAAAACCGCGAAAAATGGATCTTCAATTTCAGCTTTTAAAAACATCTACTGGAAAACTATTATCCGTATACCAGTTAAATTTGCTCAGGAAAAACAATTTGAATTCCGTTAACGATTTCTATGAAGCGGATGAGCGGAAGATCCATGAGCTGCTTGACATCCATATACAATCTGTTCGAGAACTGAAGAGGGAATTGGCGCTGTTGCCCAAAGTGTCTGAAGAAAAAATCATTCCTGAATCGGACTATGGCACGGGAATCGAGGAGTGAGTTTTTTTATTACATTAAAAAGATTGGTAAGCATGTCATTGATTACAAACCAGGTTGGACAAACTTGCGGAATCAGTGGAACAGCCCTTTAGGGAAGGAAGGGTTTGGGAACTCTGTGGCCAGCCTGGCGTTGGCAAAACAGAGGTTTTACACACCTTGGCTCTGAATTTCGTGTGGAAGCATGCCCTGGACGCACTTTTCATCGACACCAAACGGGACTTCTCCTGCAAGAGAATACAGGACATGCTCCGGGCCAGAAACGCAGATCCGGTAACTTGTGAGAAAGCTATGAAAGCTATCCATGTGGTGGATGCACATGAAGCCAATGATCTAATTAATGTGCTTAAAGCCTTCGATCAACAACTCACGTTTACAGTTAAACAAACCATGCAAACCAAATTGGTACTGATAGATTCCCTAGCTGCTTGCTTTGTCCACTACCGCGGCAGGAAGATGTATGTGCATAGGCAATCCCTGCTAGTAGAGATAGCAAGCAAAATTCGAAAACTGGCTGCACGCGGCGTGGCATTCATCATTGGCAATGTGTCTTTCCTTGGAAAAGATACAGGTATGCAATTTATTTTTATCTAACGGAGTTGAAACTATGTATATTCTATGCTGTCTTAATAGATAATTGTAATGATGACGGCGAGGACGACGGCAACAATTGGAAAACCGCTAAACGACAGCAGTTGGAGCCCACGCTTGGTGCCTACTGGAAATCGGTGGGCACTCTGAGATTGTCACTGGAGCTGCCTGTTGATAATGACTTCACTCGCCAAGACGACGGCCTGCGTTTGATGCATATCATTTCGAACAGCTATGGCTCCGCGGGTGAACACTGCCTGCTACGTATCACGAAGACTGGCGTAGTTTAGGGCCGGGCAAACGGATTTTGCGGATTCTGTTGCTTGTAGGCCTTCATGACTCTCTTACTCGGCTCCAGCGCATCACCCAGTCCAGGACGCTTGCGTCTGTTGGAATTCACCGGGACAGCCTCCATGGCCACAGGCACTGCTTGATCTGCCGATTCATCCACCGACAAGTCAGAGTCATGGGCAAACTGACAACCGGTCCCAAAGCGACAGCGACCCCTTCTAAAGTTCCAGCAAATCTTGAGACCGTTCTTTAACTTCAGGTGTGCATCGTTATCCACCATCTTTACGTGTCGTTCCAGTGAGGCGGTCTTTTGGAGTTCCGCCTCCAGGAAGGGATTGGCGAAAACATCTCCCTTGCCTGCTCCTTGGGAAAGAGCTTGACTCGCACTGGGCAACTTAGGAGGTGACTTCTCCTTTTCTGCTGGTGGAGTTCTAAAGGAAAATAATGGAAATGAAATCTAAGTACAAACTAGAGGTAAGCAGGAAACACACATTTTTTTGTCCTCATCTCCAGAGGATTGGCTACTGCTATCATCTTCGGATTCGGAGGAATCGCTATAATCTGCCACCAGCGACATGGTTATTTATTTGTTTACAAACGTTGAACTAGACAATATGTTATGAAAAATCACCTAGCGCGTTTTTTGTAGCACATTAAATATACCAAAAAATATACTTTTTAATACTGACAGAAAATTTCATACCCTGTATACTGCAACCCAAAGAGTTTGAGCACACTTTGAAAATTAGAAAAATTGTTTTTCCTAATATTTAAGATACATCAAAAAAAATTTTTTTTTGGAAATAGTTTTTTTTTTTCATTTGTAATGAATCGGCTTTATTCCATAATATGTATAATCACTTTATGCATGCTCTAGTTAGGTTTATGTTCGGTGTATAAACTAATAACTAATTATTTATACAATTTTTTATAAATATAAAAAATGAAACTTTGTTACAGTTTAATATGTTGGCTGACGATAGCCACGCCTGCCCTTTCCACGCTACGTACAATTGGCTGCGAGTGTAAAAATTATGAAAAAGTTTAATACAATAATTTGGGTAAAACCCGTGCAAGTCCGTGTTCGTTTATCCATATGTCAGATTCCGTGGCAATCTAAGGCTATTTGATTGCGCCTTCAACCTTAATGCCAGCCTAAGCTTTAGCTTTGGTCCGGCGAGTAACGAATCGCTAATCGATGGGTGGACGGGCCGAAGGATCGTCGCGATCGATGGGAGGCGGTGAGGTAAGAACTTCGACGCTTTGCGCAGGACCCGCCGTCAGGTAACCAGCCGTCGGATTGACACCTTAACAGGGTGAAATTAATTATATGTCGTACTACTATAAGAATTCTTCACCCACCTGTCAGATAGCCACGAACACTGGTATCGGCAATAAATAGATCATGACGTTGGTCCTTAAACTCGGCCCATACGGGATGTTTGAGCAAAATTTGCGTGACTCGATCGCCGTAATTAAGATTGTGCGTCATGCCTTTAAGTGCCGCTACAATTTGCGCCTTAACAGCTGATGGATTGTCCACGAACTCCAGACGGCTGTCAAGCAGCCCCAGCAAAAATGGTATAAGTCCCACCTCCAGCGATTGGCTGATCAATGAGTCCTATAAAAATTAAGATGGATTTTAATGGATTATACCATATCTAGAAATTATTTAATCTTTTCATAAAAAACTTACATGCTGGTGTTTAAAAAGACGACTCAGTGCTTCACAGGCCTTTTCGATGCAATCCCTATTGTGCTCCATGCACTTCTTTAATGGCGCTACACATTCCGTCTGTGAGATGGCACTCACGCAGAACTAAAATATATTGAAACTTGCGTTATGCTATAACCAAATAAATAAAAGTGTCCAACCTCAGACAGCGAAAGCTGATGTAATACTGATAGCGTGTTCTTTGGCTGCACCGAGAGCAGGTTGAACAGTTTCGGTATATGTCCAAGCACTGGGATGTCGTCTGCCAAGTTGGGCTGCGACCGTAGAAGCTCCACTAGCGCCGTGGTAGACAGGTCCAGTACATCTTGCTCGGAGGAACTTTTGCCGATCTGTTCTACGACAAAGTCCAGGAGGTCGGAGAGGAATTGCTTGGGCTTGCGAAGTGTCCAAGCGGGATTGCTGACAAATAGTCTGAGGTAAACGCCTGCCACAACGATTTCATTGGATACAATGTCTTTAAGAATTTCCGGATCCTTCCACACATGGCGGGGATTTGCCTTTTGCAGCTGATAGAATCTGCGAGAAGAACAGTTAATATCAGAATATAAATAACAAAACAGTAGTTTGCTTTTAAGTACCTTTGGCACGTGTCTGCCACAGCATCACAGACATTCGATCGCGTGCTGTCGTTCCAAATAAGCTCTGGATGCTCGTGTATAGACTCGAAAAGCTGCACAGACGTGGGAGGCGACTCCACCATAGCGTCGATGAATAGAGCTGGCAAGAATTTCGATATCGTTATCCGAACCTTTGGACCGCTCAGGCGATCTGCCGTCATCTTGGCCAGAACACTGGCACACATTTCACGGATCTGCGGATTTCGGGAGTTGCAGAAAAGGTCAAGTAGATAGATGGTGGCGCCTTTGGTCTGGGCTTCCTTAATCATCTCTTGCACGTTCATTAGTCCTGAAAGAGTCTCCAGCACTTTCACTTGGCTGGCACGAAGTTCTGGGTCTTTAAGGGCCACCAAATAGTTGCCCAAGATCTCACAAGCTGCCACCTCCGAGACGCACTCCTTGTTTCGCGAAACCAGAGAAACCACCTCTAAAGCCACCGTTTTTACAGTAGAATTCTAAAAAAAAAAAAAAAAACAAGGCTAATTGGATTCCATACATATTTAAAAAACAAAGTCTTACATCGGTGAATATGTTGCTGGCCAAGAAACCAAAGATCATATCAAAGTTTCCGATGCACTGGATCTCCACCTCGGCATTTGCCTTGATCACTGCTATCAATGCCTTTAGCACCATTGTGATGTGCTGCTCAAGTTTTCCATCGCTGCCAAAGTCGTATTTGCTTTGCTGTAATGCCAACTGCTGTTCTGTCTGTGCATCCGTCTCAAGCTTTTTCCGACTCTTGGAACGATTGTAAGCAGTAAGAACCTCGTCGAAAGTACTGCCGGCTTTGCCCGTCGAAGCCTGCTGCAACTGGGGATGATTGGGAGCTAGAGTGGGTGTTAGGATGCCATCATTACCCATTTTAGGTGTACTGCTAACGGCAGCGGTAGATGATGCCGGATTCTTTTTGTATTGCAGAAACTGAAAGGAGTGCTTTAGGTACTCCAGCAAGTCTATGATAAAGAGTTTCGGATGAGCAATTGGATGGGTGGGCATATCATTGTAGATCCGAATGAATATTCCGCCGATCTGCAGCTCGTCTCTGGAAGAAAGAATCGACGTTATAGACTAACTATTTTATCTGCACTTCAAACGACTTACTTGTGTGCATCGAACTCAAAGCCGGAAACTAGCTCGGAGACCTGGGAAATGTCTTCGTGCGTCTCCTTGGCTGATGCTGTTCGCTGCTGTTCAAGGAAATCCTTAAGCTGAGCGCGGGTGCCATTGTCCCAGATGAGGTAGGGATTGCGGGTGTTAGCTGTGAGCAGCTTGAGCACGTCGCTATCGCGAGCCGTTGCCAACTGGTTAGCAATATAACGTGTGAGAAGGCGATCGAGAACCTGCTTGATCAGCGAGTTCTTCGCCTCCCCCGTCACAATGTACTTTTGCTGAATGGCACTGGTACTGCTCTTTGTCAATTGCTGCTGTTGCTCACTGTCGGTGGGCGTGGAACTGGAGGTGTCGCTGCTCCCAGAGGAAGTGTCAGGTTCCTTTTCCTTTCCGCTCGTGATAGCAAGTTGTTTGCTTTGCAGCGGATTGTGGGCGTTCTGGGTGTACGTTGAACTTGAAGCAGAGGTCACCGTTGGCTTAGGTTTGATGGCTGGTGGCGCCTTGGCCGCGGGCGAGTTCGCCTCGCTTCCCGTTATCGGTTTCTGTCTCAGCTCCATGCTATAACCAGCCAAGGAGATGCACCCAAGGACGGCCATCTTTGCCAGGTTGTTGGCCAGCTGTTGCTGGTTGGACTTGTCGCTCACCTCTACCCCGCTCTCATCCAGCGTGTAGTCGTATTCGAAGATGAATAGTAGCAGGGACCAGAGTACACCATTCCGTGATAATTGGCATTGCAGGTCATAGTTATTAGCTGCCAAACTGGTCACCAGACTCACCGAGAGCGTGTGCTTAAAATATACCACACGACACACGTCAGAAAGCAATTGCGGCAGCTGAATAATTTTCTGCTTGCACTTTTCGAAGTTACAGGCAACTTCGAAGCAACGCGTCACGTTTGATATGACCTGGTAGTGAAGAGAGTCCGGCTTAGAGTCCACACCGAGAATTGAGACACAACGGGTATAAGCTTCCAGAAGCGCTTCAATACCCTCTTCTCTCCGCAGCTCCTCAGCATTTAAGGCAGAGCAGTGCACAGTGTGGTAACACAACTCAGACGCAGCGGTCAACAGTTGAGCCTCTTTCGAGAACAGCTCATCGTCCCGAGTCTCCAGACGAATGGTCTTAATAAGTTGTGGATAGCCAGCATATTTGTAAGGTCGCAAGACTGTAATATTAAAATAATGAAGTTGAACACTACAAAATGTAATATTTTGAAAACACTTACCATCCGGGTAACGTTCGAAAAGGATGCTCTGTGTGCGAAGTATAAGCACAATATTATTGGGATCTGGCCCACCTGAACTCCATACATTGCGCGAGCAAAGGAACTCATAGGCCTAAGAAAAGGAATCATTTTAGTATATCACAATGTATTTATAGAACCTCATTTTCTAACCTGATTCACTTTCTCAAATATCTCGCGCCCATTGGGATTCTTGTCGGGGTGATACATCTGGGCCAGCTTATAGTAGCTTTTACGAATCATAGACTCGTCTGGCTTCGGGGTCTTGGTAAGGTCGATGCCTAGGTCCTGGTAAGCCTGTTGGATTGTCATCTGAGGAGGCTTCTTCTCCACCTCCTTGCGCCAAGCGTCGAGAGTGTGCTTTAGGAGCTGCACCGGATCCGAGATGGGCCAGTTGGGGAACTTTTGGGTGTCGCACAGGTGACGCAGGTAGTAGATGTGACAGAAAAGCTCATTCTCCAGCTGTGGATAGCTGATGACTGGAATGGCCAAGTAAGGATACCTTGCCATTGTGTGACCCCGAAGCCTAGGCGTAAAGTCCGCTATGTGGGCGGCGATCTTTTCTATAAGAAGACGTCGCATCTCTGAGCTCCATATAACCTCGGGCGTGTCGAATTCGCCGAGGAAGATCTCGGCAAATTTTTCTGCGCTGTAGTTTTCCAGGAAACAAACCATAGCCTCGGGCAGCAACTGACCTAGGATGCTGCGATGCATAATACCAGATTGAGAGGTCTGTTGATTAAAAGAAAATTGAGATTGTTGTCAGCCATGGATTATTTTATGCGTTACCTCCTCGCTGCGGAATCCTTGCTTCATATGCGTCATCTTTAGGAATCGGGTGATGGGCAGAATGTTGCTGCCAGTATACATGAGCATGAAGTAAAAAACACCCGTAAGGTAGACCTTGGGCATTTCCGGATTGTCTTCCATAATTTGATAGAGCAACGTTGCTACGCGCTCCAGCAATCCAGGATCGTGGGTGAGGCAAACTTGTACCACATGGGGTAGGCAGATGAACTCCGAAAGTTTTCGGGACAACTTTGGACCTGGGATGAGCACTGCCTCTCCGTTCTGAGTACGACTTGGAAAGAAGCTAGTGCATTTGATCAGTATGTCCAAGATCTTTGAAGACAGCTCAGTCTCGTCGTAGAGTGGTGTGCCTTTGGCTATGAGGCACCACTTTAGCTGCGGAATCTGCTGCAGCGATCGCCAACCATCCATGCCAATGGCCCAGCAACGTGTCTTCGGCGTTATTAGCCCCTTCTGCCAAAGTTCCTTGAGCTCCGAATAAGTGATAGGTCCCTGACGCTCTGGCTTCTGGCCGTCCTTCTCGATGTTGTAGTACCAATCCTTCTCTTCGTAAACAGCCATATTAGGCCCTGCTTCAATCACATTCGTTTTGGTATTGAGCTGAGCCCGTCCTTTGTGTAGATGGGCTAGAGTAATGAGATCCACTAGGCACTGCACATGATCGACAAGTGCTCGACTGTTGGATTTTTCCAGCACAAGGCAAGAAATAAGATTGATCAGGGCATCACGCATGGAGGGTGACAGACACTGAAAGATTTTACTATTATGAAAGACCCGTATTTAAAATCTTTATCATATATACCCTATCGCTGAGCTGCAGGATGTACGACATATCGTTGAATTTGCCAATCTCAGCGTGGTATCGACGATAAACTTTAGCCAAAGCTTGCAATGAAAACACAGTCATCTGGTCATCATTTACGCGCTGCCGACACAAAACCCGTCGATACAGGGCATTGAACAGTTCAATCCTGAAACGATAATTTATTTTAGATATTTCATTAGTAAGACATATTGGTAAACTCACGGATCCTTCACAAGATTTTGCGGCCAGTCGTCCTTCTCCAGTATCAAGCGAATGTAGTAGTCACCAATTTTGATTTCATCAGCTAGGCATTGGTAGCCCACTTCGAATTCCTGATAATTCCAAGCCACAATCATCTGGCCAGCCAAGTCACGATCGTTGAGGAACTGCCGCAGCTCGTTTTCCAGACACATACGCAGCTCCTCGCGGGTCTAAAAAAAGTTTCTTCAATAATCAAATTTATACTTTTAAGAGTTCTTGGAATAAGTACCTTATGATTCCATATTAAATTAGGCAAACTGTGATCTTTGGCAAAGCTGTAAAAAAAGAAAGGCAGATTCACAACGACATCAGATGTCTTTTTCTTCTGGCGCCTATTTCTTAGAACTACAGGTCGATTTTTTAATGCCTGAGCTGCTCCATCCTGCTTCTCTATGAGGTTCATTCCCCAATGCTTGATGCCTTGTAAATGCTTCTCTATCACATTCTTGCGAGTTTTGTTGGAATGTTGTATTGCAAATTTGAGATTGTCACGGAAATTTAATTTGTCTTCCTCCAAGTCTGACTCTGGAACCGATTCCTCCGATTCCAAGAAGGTTAACAGGCCAGCGGGCTGGAAATTAAATAAAATGATACACGTGGTTAAAATATAAAATGAAAATAACTCACGAAGATACGTTTGAAGAGCTCCATGGCCTCTTCGCTGTCTGTTAACCACAGTCCGATCAAATGTCGCGACAACTGACGTTGCGTGGTCTGTGTGGGATCATTGGAGGGCGTATACAGGGCCACCAGTAGATGCCGACAAAGCGCCGCCTCATCTAGAGCCAAGGCCTGCATTTGCTGGGCCACTTGAAGTTCACCTTCCTCAATAATGGCGCGGAGCACCAATCCAGCTCCTTTCACGATAGCCAGCGAGGGATGCTGAAACAGTTTGTACAGATAGCGACCACGATCAGCGACCAGTTCCAGGAGAATATCGAACTGCTTGCCGTCGGTGGTCTCGCTGTAAGGCACGCACAATGCAAACGTCATGAAATCTAGCATGGCTGACAGTACCAGAGCACCACTTCCATGGCTCTGGAAAAAAGTAAACAGTTATTCTAAACCATTCTTTTAAGAAATTGTAATATTGAATTACCACATGCGTTGTCCACATATTTAGCAATGTTTCCAGAAACGATTTAGAGGACAAAATGGATGACTTGTTTAGTTGCTCTTGCTTCAAGTCATGGTCAGAATTCACAGAATGCATTAAGGAGTTGATCATGTCAATGGCAGAATATGTCACAGCCAAATCCTTCCGCCTAAGAGCGGCCACCACCTTTGTACCGATGATCTCGCGAAACCTAAAATAAAGTGCAAGGTTAAACACAGATTTCATATGGGAAAAACATTTCCTTACCCCGTGAGATTGGTAAAGGCTGCATAGCCCACTTTGCTGGCAAGTAGACGCGTAAGGGCATGGAATATAGCCTCCAGCTCGAGGTTGCTTAACTGAGCCGTGGGACTGTCTAACTCTTTTTGCGCCAAAGCCTGTAGGGCACTTAGGATAAGTTTATCTTTGTTTTCAGCAAACAAGCTCTGGAATTGGTTCATTTGTTAGAATGATATTCAATAATTTCATTACAATAACATACATCCTGGGTAACACTGTAGTTAAGGCCACTGTGAGGTACATTGGCATTGAATCGTTCCAGGATCTCATACCGCTTTGATGGATTTTGGAAATTATTGATGACCATGCGCATCAAGTTCGCCTCTGTCTCCTCGTCTACGGAGCTACTCAGAGGCACATACCGCTTGCCTCGCGGCGTGTTACCAATGCGGACATGGACATCTTGATTGCCACTAGAGCGCACAGCATCTAGCAGAGTAGCCAATAAGGAGTCCCGATCGTTGGTACTATAGCTACGCACGATTCCATTCTTGTACTCGATGCTAAATCGCTGCAGATTGTCTTTGTCGCGAACCAGAGCGAACACATCGGTGAGGGGACGCAGAGTACAGACGCTATAGGTTTGAGGATCCCGCTCCAGCAGAGTTACCTCGGTGAGACAAAGAATGCGCTTTACCGGATCTGGATGGCGGGGCGTTATCTTCTGCACGGAAAACTCGGTCGACGAAGTTTGAAATTGGTCTCCGCTAGAAGATGTAAGAAGTTTTGTTTAGCCAATGTTTATCTTTTATAGCCCTCCCTATAATCTTACCTGAACTTGCCAAAACGCTGCCTCTCGAACTGCTCTAGCGTGATCTGACTCCTGAGTATTTTGATTTCGATTCCCAAAAACTGAGCCGATCTCTGCTTTATATTCTGAACGATCTCGTGGTGATTTAGCGCTTTAAACAGATGCAGACGACTGAATCCGCCGTAGGCCATCACAATGCCTCCTTCATAGTCCGAGATGCCTGCTTAAAACGTGCGCAAACGTAAACAAATACCAGAAAGATGAGTGCGGAACGGAAAACAGAAAACAACAACAAAGCATAAAGTGAATTAAAATATAGGCATATGAAGACAAAACAAGACACATTAATTGATGAAAGCGAGTTGAGTGTGCATAGCTACCTATTATTCCCTCGATATCCTTATACATATAGCTGGCCAGTACGTCGTTGGTGGTGGGATCTAGCTGGTCCAGTGAGCAGGGCGTGACCTCCAGCACAGTGGGTAGGCTGATCCCTGACCAGTGGTACTTGTAAGCACTGAAGCGCTGTACATGATATTAATGAGTTTGGATATAAATTATTTTGTATATTTTTGATAGCCAACCTGAGCATTTTTGGGCTTGTCTGCAAACTCCTTGTAGTATTTCAATATCGAGGTGAGTATGTCGTTGCGGTGTTCCGACGACAACTTGATGGTATCCAGTTTCTTATCTTTCTTGATGGTCACCACAAAGTCATTGGGTATCTAAAGGCAAAACCAAAATGATAATTGCTCATAGTTTGATTAATAACAAACTCACATTTGAGGTCTTGGAGGGTGCTGCTTCCACTATGTCCGAGTAGGACCATCGGTTGGTCAGGTCGAGCTTGTCCGGATTGTAGGTGGATATGCCGGCCGTGCCGATAGAGAGGATGCGTTTGTATCTGCCCTTCCATGAGTGCTTTGTCACCATAAAGCACTCCAGGTCAACATTTTCCCTCGGCGGCAACATCGTTTCTTGCAGGGATTCCAACTGATTACCTTCCGCCCAGTATTAGTCAGCAACTGAAAATGAAAGATATAGAGTGTGGGAATGGGAGTCCAATCAGAGCGACAGTTTTTCACAACTGATATTTCGGGCGCACATCTGGTTCCCAGCGATTGCCAAATATCCAATTGACTTGACCCCGACTCCAGGGCACTGATTAATTAAGTCGGTTGGGGCACTTATCAGCAGAAGTGCCAGCGGAGCCCCAACAAAGACCAGAAAAGGGGAGTAAACGTGACGACTGCGGAATGCTGCGGCCCCAAAGCGCAATCAGCGGATATGGCGATCCTACCCATTATACGCAGTGTTCCAATTTTTGCGGCGGCTTACCTTAAACATCTAACACATTTTGCACACTTGAACTCTTGGATATTTGTTCTCTTTTGCAGAATTTTTGCAATAAACAATTTACAGTAACACGGCTACACAACACTAATAAATATCGGTGACACTCGATTACTCTTAACCCATGGCTATTTAACTTCTATCGATAGTGGCCCTGTTCAGCAACACTGAGCTGAAATATAATATTGTCGGCTTTCCATAAATTAAAATTTTTTATTTTAGGAAAATTATTCAGTAGTCTTAAACTATTTCAATATACCAGATTAGTGGGAATCCATAACTTCGGAAGAAAGAAGGGAGCACGTAAAAAATATTTTCCATTTTTACAATAATATAATATGTAAATATGTTTAAAATTAATTGTGTTTTTTTGGAAATATATTTAATAATTCGATTAATTTCTTATAAATAAAAATTAAACATGAACATTTTGAACTGTCTCAAACCACTTTTTTAATACGGACACCCCTCTTATTATTAAATATCGATACTTTTGATAATGTTGGCTTTTTTTCTTAAAACATCACTTATCGGGGTTTGGCGGTTTTTTACGACAAAAAGTAGTTATTTTAAATTTAAATATCTAGACATCTCGTATAAGTAATATAATACTTTTTCAAAATTCCAAGTCGACTAAATTGCTTCTGATTGACAATAATTTAATAAAGAAAAATACACACCTTTCTTGATCCCCCGTAAATTTTCCGCTTTCAGACCGCTAATAAAACACTCCCGCTTAACTTAACTACCATTAAAAACTTTATTTCTCATTTCGTATTGCATAAATCGTACGTATTTTTATCTAAATGCAAATAAAGATGGCAGAGTGTGTTTTCATGTGTGAGAGTAATAATTCCAAGATAAAACAATCTCGCCAGCGTAGGCAAATAAAACAAACAAAAACAAGAACACGTTTCGTATTTTACACAAATGTAGAATTCTATGATACGGATGCTGCACTATCTCTGGCTAATCCTCGCGATAATAATGATAATAATAATGGGGCGAATGCTTAGGTGTTCTATGTTCCACGGTATAAATTCACTCAGTGACCCGGATTCCAATTCTACAATGTAGACCCACAGAAATGTCTTATCGGGATTTACGGGGCTTGGGTGTTAAAGATAAAGGCAATCCGATAAATGGATGGACGGGATGATCGGGATGCGGATGAGACTAAGTCTTAGACAAATGTTACGTTGAAACCCTAAGCATAGTTATCGCTAACTTCTAACAACATGAACATGGAGTGGACGTAGGCACATTGCGTTTCTGTCTTCGAAACTCGCTTTTGGACGTGCTCAGACTGGGAATGGTAATTGAAATGTATAGCAAATTGCCGGACCTCGGTCCCAGGTCAGCAGGAACACTTGTTCTTGGTATCCAATCCGGCTGCATCGCCCGTGCTCAGGTTAAACTTGTCGGCATCGGCCAGATCGGCAGATATCAGCTTATCGTTGATGAGTATCTGTCGGGTGAATAGAGAAAGATTAGCTCAGCTTTGGCTAAGGATTATCACAGATTATCACCTTATTCACGAGGGCACGGGCTGCCTCGTCGATGTTGATGTTCTCCTTGGCGGAAGTCTCAAACCAGCCGGCAAAACCGTTTTCCCTCACGTACTCATCCATCTTCTCGGGCTGCGTTATAATGCCCTGCTTTTCCTGATCGCACTGAAAATTGGATTTATAATGAATTACAAAAAGGAAAAAAGAAAAATAGAATATTTGAAAAATAATTTCAATCTTTCTTAATACTCACTTTATTGGCCAGCAGGATGCACGGAATGGGACTGCCGTCTGGCAGCTGCACCTTGGAGTCCAGGTCCTCCTTCCACTTGCTTACACAATCGAAGGTCTTACTGCGTGTCACATCAAACACGATGAATGCAGCCACTGCCTCCTTGTAGTAGACACGGGTCATGTTTCCGAACCTCTCTTGACCGGCAATATCCCACAGCTGCAGGCGCACTATCGTGTTAGCGTCCCATTGGAGCACCTTCAGGGCGAAGTCAACGCCGATGGTGGCCCTGTAGTTCTGACTGAAGAACTGATGGACATACCGCTTGATGAAGGATGTCTTTCCGGTTCCCAGTTCACCGATGACTAGAATCTTGTACAGATGTTCGCGCTTATCGCTGGTGGACGTCATAATGGCCTGGAATCAGGGATAGAAGATACTATAGTTAGTCAAATCTTCACAAGACAGTAGCTTTAGGCAATCCCATTAATTATTTGTACATAATGTAACTTAATTACCACTATATAACCGACTATTCTTAACAATTTCAAATTCAAAACATCAAACATAGGATTTAATAAATTCTAAGTCGGGTATTAGTTACACCTTCTCCAGCTTGTCAATCCGCACTGAGATTTGCTGGTTAGTTGACGAGACCCCTTGGACAATTACCTCGTTCCCCCCGCCCGCACAGTTGAATGACACTCAGGCACACACACTAGAAGGGGGCCATAACATAACACTTGTGGGGCTTCTTTGCTGGTAAAATGGCAAACTAACAATCCGACGACGGCGGCGACACCTTACCGGTTCCATTTCCTGATCCATGGTCAGGTCACCGAAGGCCGGCATGGACTTGGCACTGTCTGGTTCTCTGGCTTCCGCTTGCTCCTCGCTTTCGTCCTCCGACCCGGAGTCCTGGTTGGAGTATTCACTAGCTACGGACTGATAGCGCAAGGTTTCTCGCCTGCCCTCGATGCTGTCGTGGTCGCCGGTTATGAGTTGTTGTTGAGCGAAGTTAAGCCGCCGGAGACTGGAGTCACTGAGTTCCTCGTTGGAATTGGGCTGCTGACTGGCAGCGGCAGCTAATGCGGCTTCGTAGGCGCTTAAAGGACTCCTAACGGCGCTGCCAACGGCAAAACGTACTACGGGCGGGGGACTGGCAATGGTTTGGGCACTTTCCGCCGACGAGACACCGTCTTCAGCGGCCGGAGGGGATGTGGTTATAGATATGGATGGGTCCAGGGCCTCTTGCCCGGATGGCTGGGGTTCCGTATTCGCTATTTCAGCCAGTGGTCTGGCGTTAAGGCGGTGGCCGCGCTGCTGCTGTTGCTGCATCAATTCCAGCTTCCTGCTGGATCCGCTTAAAGATTGGGACTTGCGAACAGTTCCGGTGCCGCTGGCAGACTGAACGCGACTCGGTTTCGCTGGTGCCCGCTCTCTGGGCGGCGTATCGCGCGTGCTCTCGGTGGTGGTGATAAGGGGCGACGGCGACTCTCTCTCGGGGCTCTGGGGCTTCTTCTTGGTTACCAGCAGCTTGGTGGTGCGGGTGCTGCTGCTCGTATCTCTAGTGGTCACCGTGGTGGTAGTGGTTTTCTTTCTCGGCTTCTTCTCCTCGGCAGCGGGTGTCAGATAATCCGTGTCGCTCTTCGGCCTACTCTTACCGCTCTTCTTGGCGGGTGCTGGTTCCACCTTCTTACCACTGATGGTGATCTGCAGTGTGCTGCTGCTAGCGGAAGAGGGTGAACCGGGTGGGGATGGCAAGGGTGTGGCATCCAGGTGCTCCACGCTGAGGTCGTCGCTGGTGGCCAGGCTGTGGGGACGAACCTTCGAGGTTTTCCCAGTTTTCCTCAGACCACCCAAGAGCAGGCGGCGCGTCAGGCTCTTTTTTTTTGTCTTGGCGAGAGCTCCACTGTCCGTGGAAATGGAACTGGCCACGTCTTCCAGCTCACCTGGGGTTTCCTGCGCCTCCTCCTCCGCGCTTCTGGTTTCCCTGTCGGTACTTTTATCCAGCTCCCTTTCCCTTTTGGTTTTGGTCTTGGAGAGGCTTCGCAGAGCCGCAGAGAATCGGGAACGGCCCTTGATCTTGCCGCTGGCCTCCTCCGACTCCTCTTTCGGATCCCCCTCCCCCTCTTGGCGATCACTCTTTTCCTCTGATAATTCCGATTCCGCTCGCTTTATGCCCTTTATCCTCTGATCGTCCACGTTGGGCATATTTTTAACTGGCGTTGATGATCTCTACCGATCAAATGTTTCAATGGTTTCCATCTGCTACCGATTAATATACTATCCTTATCCTGACCCTGATCCTTTCTGGTCTCCTCGATTTTTTTTAACAACCACAGCGCTAACAAAACAAACGCGCACTGAAATCCCAAATGACGACGACTAGGCTTTTATAAATTTTAATACGCCCCGTTGGCATCACCCCTGCCCCGCCTCTTTTGTGGTGAGAGGTTTTGCATTACAGTTACGAAAAAGCTATATCTGGCCAGGTGCTTACCAACACTGGTTGACGCCTCGAAATCGCTTACGAAATGAGCGTGAGAAGAGCCGGTGGGCCTTTGAATGGTCCGTTTGAACGGCTGACACCCGCTTATCAAGCTGTCTCCGGACAAAGATTGACCAGTGTCCGTTGGTTCGGTCAGTATATAATGGTCACTAGTTGTCCAGCCTGGTTAGCCCTGCTCCGGATTTACTGGGCCCTAACATTGGGATCAAGGTAAGACGTGATTCTATGAAGAGTAACCAATCATCCGGCACAATCAGTGGAGCAAGGAGCACTCAGTGTCCATTTCTGGACCTGACCTCTCCAAGCACAACCAAGAACACACGCTCCATGGCACTTGGAGGGCTTCCTTTAAGCTGAGGATTTGCCGCATCAACTTGTCCCAAAAGAGTCGCTCGGCATTAAGTGGGCGACACATCAATCTGGCGGGTTGGGCGCTGTCTTGGCTGATTGTCGACTGACTGCTGCGACGTGACTATATAGAATTACGCTTATTACAAAACGTGGTTAGCCGCAGTGCATAAAGCAGAGCGACAGGGAAAGAGATACATTGTCCATATACGATTACTAAAGTAATAACCCAAAACGCAGACGGGATGGCACACAAATGCATGTATCTGTCCACATTTAGTAAGATTTATTCAATCCCCCAGATGTACGGAAGTTGCTTCAAGTCTGAGTTAATTAGATATTACAGTTCCTAATATAGACACAATATTGTGGTTGCAATATCATTGAGAAGGGGATTGGTTAACTAATCCTTTACTAAGATATAATCTTAGTTCCAATACCTTCTATATATTTATAATTTAAGCTCTTAAGATAGATTAAGATTTAAGATTCTAACAAATATAAATGTATTTCATCGTTTGTTCATAGATTTACGTAAGTTCTGGCTAGACATTGCCATTGCTCAGATGCTATATACAAGACACAATAAAGTGTGTTGTCTATAGGTACACCGGTATGTACATTTTGAAATCGAGGACAAGTCAACACTCGAATCAGCTTACATAATTCATCGGAGATTAGAGCAAACACATTTCCTCAGGCTTCAAAATTCCAGTTGGGGAACAGAACTGAGGGCTTTTAAACTATTTTATGCCATGGAAACCGAAAGCATTAGAAATTCACTTTCGCATAAATGTCGAACGTAGAGGAATTCCTTTTATGCCTGCAAATGTTTACACGCAATCCAGGAACAAAACAGAAGTGGTATGTGAAACATTTGTCCCACCATCACAGGCGCCTGCAATTACCCCAACGACCCCATTCCGAACAAAAGCCACACGGATGCCAGGATGTGATGAAGTCCTGCCCGGACTTCTTTCCTGTAAATGGGATACGGAATGGAAATCGCAAGAAGTCTCCACATCTATGTGCTGGGAATCACGTGCTTGTATGTTCACATAAAAGGACCTAAGCACGTGGATGGGTTCCTGGAATGGAGCCTACTGGGATTGCATGTTTCACGCCAAGCGTTAAATCGAGCAATGTGGAGCAACACTTATTTCTTTAATAGTTACTAAAACTACTTTTATTGCTAAACAATTTGTTTTAGTCGTTCGATTTCGAAATGGCCCCCAAAAAGTATGCAATCTAATGTGGTAAGGAAATGTAGAAGTAAATTTAAAATTTTTACATGTTGATATGTAAAATGCATGTAAGACTAAATATAATAGTTATCAAATCGTTTGTTTGTTTTGAAAATTATAAGCTAATAAAAAGTACACAAAATGTTGTATAAAGTATTACTAGGTGTGTATTTAATAGTAAGAACGGATGTATTACGTTAAATAAGCATTCACAAGAACTCAACAAAAAGTAGTTCGACTTAAAACAGATCTAAGATCAAGGAAGTTTAAATTCCAAATACATTTTTATATATTTGAATCTTTTAATGGGTCACGTTAGGAATAAAACGATCCATGCTTATTATGAATTTTTTAAGTATTATAATGTGAACTTGCCACCTTCATTTAAATTACAGGTTGATATTTCTCAAACTGTCAACACGGAGTTTATGTACGAGTATATAAGATAGTAAATTTTCAAGATTCCCACCTTGGTTTGCGTGATACCAGAGCAACTCCCAGTAATATTTCTTTATACATATGCTTATCAGTTGGCCTGGGCAATTGTCATGTAAATAAAATCAGTCGGCAACAAAAGTAAAATCAAACAAACAATAATAATATGGAGTGCATTGCCTCAGGCAGCGATGCGCAGAGGGAGTTCGAGATGATTACATAAGGAGGAGGATGCTATCCGTGTGGCTGACAACGATTCCTCAATGGACTCTGCACACGCAACTTTGCGTATTATCAGCAGCATGGAGTGGAGTGTCAGTTCATATCTTATCATTCCATGGAGTCATCAGCAAAAAAAAAGGAGGAGGAAGAGAACGAGCCCTGATTAGATTGTGACCAAAAATGCAATGAGACCTTGTGATTCATCGAGGGTATTACATACATGTGCGATGTGTAATTGGAAAATGCTAAAATTACTTAAAGACCCCCACACTTTCTCTGTCTTTTGTCCAATAATTGACCTTAAAACGTGACGTTGTCTGGCTTTTCGATTAAAACAGTAGCAGCCCTTCCAATTCCCATTATACATTATAGTTTCTCAACAGCAGCGGATATCTATATCTAGCTAGCCGGCAATCACTTAAGTAGCTGAACACACCCACATGGTGCTCGCCCCCGGATCCGTCTCTAATGTATGGTATGGTATGGAATACAGTATATCCATATCCGTAGCTACAAAGAGAGTGAAATTTTTGTGTTGTTTTGGCATTGTTTTGATTTTATCGGTTTGTTTATAGCTTCGCTGGGGACTCAAATGTAACAACGGTTTTAATTTCATTACCATTTAATTGGTAGCTTAATGTAAGGGAGAAGGGCAATCGATTGTTTAAAGATTAGAAACAAACTAATTCTGAAAAGGGGAGTCCGGCATTGTGGGCATGGAAATGAATAAAAGTGCTATGGGATTTTCCGCAATGCGAGTATTTTAATTATTTCGCATTCCGCACATTTGTTTCGTTCTGAAATCCCATCTGGCGAGCAATGAGTTTTAGCCAAGTTCTCTGAGCGACTTAATCGGCTAATGAGTGCACGCTGGTTGTGTTAACGGCCTGACAAGGCAAAATAGCTAAAGTTATTGCAACACTTGGCCAACTTATTTTTGGGCATTTCCTACACTTGCAAAAATAGTTTAGTATGTTAACTTGGCTTTCTTAAAAGTCAGTCTTAAATTTTATTTTTGGTGTTATGCTAAACATAAAATAAACCTTTTGCGGTAATATAATACACATAATTACCTACCTATTTTTTCTCTTATTTCTTGGGCTGTATCCTACTTCCCCCACTTTAAGCCTGACCTCGAAAGCTACTTCGCCATGTGCTGGTCGTAAACAAGCTCCATTCATTGTGAGATTTGGTACTTACTCCGTTGTGCAGGTATCCGTTGTTCCGGTTGATGTCCATGTGGTTCCGATTGGTTCCCGCGGGCATGACCGCTGCGGATGGCAGTGCCTCAACGGCACCGAGATCCAACTCCGGGGTGGGTTCGGCGTAGGCCGGAACGGCACTTCGGAGGGAGAACTGCGAAGAGCTGAAGGGTTGATGAAGTTGAGACACTGCAGGCGGGACCCAGGCCTGGCGACGCACGAAGATGGGCGATTCCTTGGCGCTGAGGGCTCCCAGAGACCCGGAACCTGAGTTCACGGGTCGGTGCCGATGCTCCACAGGTAGCGGGTAGCCTGTCTGGAGGTCCTTGGCCAGGTACTGACAGCGAAGGCAGGCGCAGGAGAGATCCGTTATTTGGTCGGCTGACTTGGATTTGGGCAAGGACTTTCCCAATACTGAGGATTCCTGGGCCAGGCAGTCACATATGTTCCGGCGTCCGGCGGAGGTCGAGACAACACTGCTCCGGATGACGCTGGTTGCCATGCAACCACCGATATGGGCTAGTGTATGATCTTTAGACCTTCTGCTGGTTTATCTCACGCCCCCGCCCAGTCAAGGTCATTCACACGCGCTCTATTGCCGTTTTCTAGCTGTCCCGCTCTTTCTTTCTAGAATCCAGATCCCGAGCAACATGTGGTTTGCTCTTCCACTCTTCAAGGTTCCCTCTAGTTAGTCTAACGGTAAACAACGACTAGACTGTTCTTGAACTTATCATCACCATGGGTATTTATTTGCAAATTTCACTGATATTTGTGTCGTTATCTCAACTGATCGGTTTTTTGAACTCGACCGTTGCACTTTTTTGGACAATAATTGTGCACTCGAATTGCTGGAAACTGGTTTCGAAATGCAAATGGAGCACTTCGGTGGTCACCACTTACTTCGCTTTCCTTGCATAAGATTTAAACGGGCTTTTGTTGTTTTTATTGTTCCTTACGCGTTTGGCGGCAAATTCTACGACCCGTAAATTAAATTTACACACGTTCGATTTTCAGACACGCAAAACTACGCTAACAACAACAACGGCAATAACATCGAGCCAAGACGGTACAAAACAACAACAATAGCGAGGACTGATGACGTCCACCCCCGAGTAATTCCAGTTTTTAACTGAAATAAATAACTGAGACAGCCGAGGAAAACTTCGGCGCACGACCGAAACTGAAAGCGAGAGCTTTGCAAAAAGCTTCGTATAGAAAACCGTTAATCGGACTCCGAATAGGAATAAATTAAAAATCGCCATCGCTTGTCGGTAAATCGATTTTATATCTCACAATTTCCGCGCCATTAATTCAAATGTTGTAAAATATGTTATAATGGTTTTAGTTTATTCCACTGTGGCTGCTTTTTAAAGCTTACCCGATCTGTAAAGATGCCAGATTGTCTTACTTTCAATTTTTATACTGTTGTGCAGCTTCAATTTTGAAATATAAATTAAAGGATATAAAGTCCATCTCAAATCATTTAGAAACAATATATAAAAATACTTTGGATAACAATTTGGTTTATTTTCAACAATTGTTACAATTTTAAAAGTATCTTTAATATTTTATTTACAATTTTAGCATACTCGTGGGGTTCGGTCAGAATCAAAAACCCCTGCTGAGACACACTAGGAACAACATTCACTAACTTACTAGAAAAGCTGCCAGGTTTTTTTTTAACAACCACGTCTAATTGAGCTTAAACTAAGAGCAGCTGCGCATGCTCAACACGTTTGCAACTGCTCGCTGACTATAAAGACATATGGTAATGTCGTACTGAGGTAAGATAGCTTAACTAAAAGGTTTGCTGAGAGGGAGGAATCACTCGTTCGAGTCGTTCTTTTCAGCCTCAATCTGCTTTCGCCTTGCCAGCAGGAAATGCGATACGTTCTCGTAAACCAGAAAAGTGATCATGCAAGCAGGCACCACACGGGTCAGACTTGCCTGAAGACCCTTGTAGAAACCTCTGAAGCCCTCGAATCTGCAAAGAGAGCCAAATACGATGAGGGTTAGTGACTGTGAACCAAGAGCTATAACTACTTACAGTAAGCGCCCATTTCATTTGGCTGTTTCAGATTAGCAAAGAGATTCTGCACAATTTGGGGGGTTACTGATGGCTAAAGGAGCGGAAGGAGCAAGTACTACTTACTGAAGCTGCCCTGAGCCCTTTGACAAATGAAAAGACGCTGGTTGGACGCGTTGACAGTGTTTGCTTTAGTTTGATTCTTGGTTTTTTCTTTCGTGTTTGCCATCGTTGCATTTTAATATATGTAAACAATTTCGCATTTCTTCTCTTTTCTTTGATTTCAATAAGATTGTTCCACTGTTTGGCTTAGTTGGGTTCACAATGCGTTCATGCTTATTTACATAAGTGTCACAAGGTTTATCCTTAAAATTATAAACCATTTTCAAAATTATGAAGAATCTTTTTGCCAAAACGAAATTTTGTATCAACTAACTAAACAGTAAACTGGTTTTATATTGTGCTTACACAATTCCGAGCAATTACAAAATAAATAATTTAACTAAACTACGAACTAAATGTGTGTTTTTGTTTTGATGAAGAGTGCAAGAAATGCGTCTCTGAAATTGAATTTCATAGGTAGAGGCAACTTTTGCCGTGGCCTCCATCACATCAGTTACTTTCGAAGTGTTTAGGTGTGAAGGATATACAATAAACTAGTTATGGAATACACTTAAGGCTAGGGTTAGGTGCTAGGACTAAACCGAAATTGAATTACAACAATAATACAGAATAAGTTTGTCATTTTCTGCTGTTAGCTGCACATCAGAAGAAACTAGAAAGATTCGTGTATTCTAGGCGCTTAGCTTAAATTCTGTGTCAGATTCTAGATTCCCAGCTCTAGTTTAATACTCCATCTAGCTGGTCAGCTTCTCCCAGATCAGCATGACCATGCAGATGTTGGGCGTGACGTGGACCAGATAGGGCACCAGGCCCTTATAGAAACCGCGCATGCGCTCGTACCTCCAAGTCTGCTTGATGCAATCCCAGGTACCGTTGTAGCGATGGTGGTGGTCCTGCAGACGTGCTCGCACAACCTGATAGGGATAGGTGGCCGCTGCCGCGATCAGCTTGGAGACAGCCGCGAAGGCTAAGTACTCGGTAGTGGCCTGTGGGAGAAGGAAAACATATTAATGAGGCGAACAGAATATTCTGAATGGCTGCCAATTCGCAGAGACGTCATCACAGCCGGATAAATTCGGATATGGTTGTGTACAGAAGTGGTCATCAGAACAATAACATTGCTAGCAAATATTGTTTTTATATGAAGAAGTTAAACCAATATAGGTATTTGATAAGATTCACAAAGACAAAAACAAATTGTGATATCTTTTATAATTAAGAAAAGAGAAGCTTTCTGATCAATTTTGTGCTATTAAGTTGACCGCATCTGTCCATCCAATTTCTTACATATATCCGATGTCAACGCCACGCGCATTTCGGTCATGTGATGATTTGCTCATCTGCGATCTGCGTACTCACCAGTTTCGTATCGATGGGCAGTTTGCGGTACTCGTTGTAGGCGTTCTTCATCTCCTCGTAGGTCATGAACTGGATGGATCCATGAGAGACACCCAGCATGCCAGGAACAAAGCCGCGGTATAGACCCCGTACGCCTTCCTCCTTGTAGATCTGGCCCAGAGCATGGATCATACCTCTGTATTCGGCACCGCTCGAGGCATCGCACTGTAGACAGAGACGCGTCTTTACCACCCAAATGGGGTTGGTCAGCAGCAAGGTGAGAGCTCCAGATTCAGCAGCAGCCAGCATGTGCATCGTGGGACCCAATGGCATGGTTGTGTTGCCTCCCTGGATGAACGTCTTGATGGTGTTATAGCTAAGGAGGATGTTTGTATATTAGCTTTGTTATTATTAAGCTACACGTCATAGTACTTACAACATGAAGTACAGGCCCCAGGAGGAGCCCGATCCCCAGACATTAGGGGTTACGCCCTTGTAGAGTCCACGGAAGCCCTCCTGCCGGAAAATGGTGGTAAAGGCACTGCTCAATCCCCGGTATTGTGGCACCGTCGCTGTCCGGCCATCGTTCACTGCAAGTGAAGAACGAATCACGCTCGTAAATGATAAACAAGTCTAGACATTGCAACCTTGGGTCTTGCTTGATTATGGATACTGGCACTAAAGGGTCTAAGAATACGTCATTTTCCGAGTATCACTCTTCACTTAGGCAACTGTACGTCTACGGGGAAATCTGTTGTTGACTCCATAAAGGCCCAGGCCCGTGGCCAAAGTTGTTTTCGCCAAAAAAACAGATAGATAGCGTTAATTGCCAGCGGATGCGATAAGCGGGGAGTGTCGAAAGCGAGCAGTTTACTTGTTTTCGCGTCCATTAGCAGCTATTTAGCTATTTATACGAGAATATATATTCTACATATATAAGCGAGGCAATCATAAGATCTGGCCTGACAACAGCACCAGGCAGAAGAAAGGGGCTCGTCTTTGCTTCTAGGCTATTAATAACTGCTTGTGCCCCACGTGTGACCTTGAAATGGGACTGGACAACCCAACTATCCACTCAGAGGGGGGTATTACAATGAACCATATTGGCTTTGGGCAAAGTAATGAGTTTTTCGACATGCACTCGATTTTAGTCGCTGCGATAAGGTCGCCGAAGAGCTGAATCAGCCAACTTCCCGCTTGGCAACAGTTGGAACTTGTTTTCAGCCCATAAACCGGACAGTTGCCGCTGAAAGTTGCCGTTAACAAAGCGAATGTACAGTCAAGTCAAGTGGTCACGTGATTAAAAACGAGCCAGAGCAAAATAATAATAATACAAAAAAGCAAAAGCAAGATAAACGGGTTTCGTTTGGCCAAAATGCGTCATCGCTAAAAAGGCCTTGCGCAAGTCAATAGAAAACAGCTGTTGCCAAATCGAGTATCCCACAAGATTCGAGGAGGTTCACAGCGAGGGAGACCCACTAGCTTTTGGATTTTTAACCATCCCAACTTTGGCTCCCTTTATCAGCTTACAAAATTCGCATGGTGCGACTTAAATTCACATAAACAACACGGCTTGTGGCTGTTTACAGATCAGTTTTCTGGTGAATTTACATATTTACTTTACTGCTTTGCCGATTTTTAGCGCTGATCCGGACAAACTGGGCGGCAATAACATTTAATAAACAATAAACCCGCTCAGCTTGTTGTTGTTTTGGCATTTTAAAGCAGACTATACGGAAATATTGTTCACGTATTTTGCGCATGAAGCGCAATCGAGGACAAACATACATATGATTCAGATTCGGATTTAGTACAATAACATAGTTTTTAGCAAATGGCGCATAAGCACAATGGCCTGATGAATTCCATAACTGCCATTAATAAATACCAGTATATCATATCTGTATATCAAAGGTTGATAGCCAGTATCGATCTTTGAACCAGACAGTAAAATAGCAGCAAGTAAACAATGAAAACTGCTGTTGGCCAGTCACTGGCCCACAAAATCCAGATTAGACTAATTTGAGTGTTTCGGTCAATTGTCAACAAGCCCATAAATTTTCAGTCTATCTATCGAATAAAAGAAAAACTAAGTTCCCGTGCCCGTGGCCCCATTTGAGATTTGTTGATGTGCGAAAACTTAAACGTCACTTCTCGGATACGCAAGCTTCTCAAATTTTCCATGATGCAAAAAAGAAACAGATACGTCACTTCTCGGATACGCCAGCGTCTCAAATTTTCCATGGAAAATTTGTAAGGCAAAGCGCAAACAAAAAGCGAGCAGCGAATAAAGTGCAATAATAATCTGCAGCCAGACTGGCGGCATTTTTCCTCACACGTGCCAGGGGTTCTTCACTGCACAGCAATAGAGGAAGATTTATAATGGGGATTCAGTTTTTCTTATCAGTAACTGTTTACATCATAATAAAGTCTATTTTTGTATTAAATTTTATAATAAGTTGAGAACTGCGTTCGAGTATAAAAAATTATGAATTAACATAAATTCAATTGTGTAAAAACTTTGGGATAATTTGGAAGCTTAAATATAAAAATATTAAGATGTTTATTGGCGATCCTTACTGATTATTTTTGTTTGGTTGGTCTATCGACACTTACCCATGAAAATAAAAACCTTAACTATTTTTTCTGTGTAGAGCGGAATTCCCCTGTACGAATATATAGATGACTCACCTGCAAAGCGAATTTTGATCAGATCCAGGGGATGGAGAATTAGTGTGGAGGCCACTCCGCCGGAAACTCCAGCCACCATATGTTCGTACTTGACATGGGCGAAAACGTTGAATTTCTTGGGACTGCCCGTTGATTGTGCTTTAATCGGATTCATTTTGCGTTTTTTGATTTCTAAAGCGCTTCTTCTGTATTATTATTGCTATCGTGGGCTTTATCGCTGCCCTATGTGAAATTCACTTGTGCTACGGTGAATTGTACTATAACTACTTGCTATTATTTACACTCTTTGGCTTTTTGTGCTTTCAACAAATGGGCGCAAATCAAAGAAAATCGGTCGCCGAATTTATCTTGTTGCTAGGCGCACAGTTGTTGTTGCTGCTGCTGCTCCGGTTGTTTTTGTTGCTGCCGCTGCTACAGTTCAAACATTTCTGCCTTTGCTTTGTTGTTGCCCAGCTCATATTTTCACTCGTTTGTTACCAATAAATTAAACTTTTGTTTTAGTTATATGTCCTGCCTTTTTCTTTTCTGCCGTTTCCAGAAGTTGCTGATGAAATAATCGCTCCGTAGTTGTTATTTTTATTTTCCCTTGGCCATCCGTTTCTTATGTAACGCCAAATTCGTAAACAGCCTGCTTAATTGTTTTAGTTTTTTGGAATTTGCACAGCTGACAAGCGACTATTAAGCGCGCAGGAATTAATAATCAAGCACGTGCGGCAGCAAACGGGAATTAAAAACTTAGTAGCAAGTTTTCTACGCGCGGGCAGGTAAATGTGAAAAAAAGTGACCGTTGTTAGTGCCACTAAGACTTGATTGGGATTTTCCTTTAGCGGTATTTTTCGTTAGCACGGGTACGGGCATACTACATCGCAAAACAATAGGCTTACCAATAGTTTAAGGTGACCGTCGCAATATAAAAAGTTGGCATTTTTCAGTTGTCAATATTTTGGTAACGCTTTGCAAACTGATACTTAAATTCAAATTTAAGGACTTGATAATTGCGAGAATTTATATTAAACATTAAATACTTGTGGAAACTTTACTATTTTAAAAATATATTTATATGGTTGTATAAAATTAAAGTTTAAATTTAATTGCTTTTGTAAAAGAACTATTTATTTATACAAGAAGTATTTAAAAGATCTGCAGGCATTTCAAATAAAATTAAGATACGCGAATTTGTATTAATGTTTATTTTAATGCAGAACTTTGATAAAAAGAATAATGGGTAATACCGAAAGTAATCGTCAATATTTGATTTTCAAGATGTATATTTCCTATTATTCCCATCATAAAAACTTTATTAATCAGCGTGAATGTTTTCCTGATGGCAGTCTATATAACTAATTCCCATGCATACCCATTAACCTATCTATTGAATATTCGATGAGTGGTCATGCAATCGAGGAACCCGTTAATTACTGAATAAACCATGCTTGCACACAAACGAGCATCGACAACTGTAATTTGCCATCAATATTCCAATTAAATTGTGTAAACAATTTGGCATAAGCCAGAGGTCCTTAATTACAGGTAGAAGGATATGGGATACGGAGGGGGTAAAATGACACAATTACGTACTAGAGTATCAGTAGCCAACCGTCGGATCCGAAGTAAGGAAGCAAATTGAGTGGGGGCGTGGCCAGTGTTGGGTAAACATCTGACAGCTATATACATATAGAAGGGTTATAGCTCCGTGTTCTGCGGTCACGGGAACACATGTTCGCCTTCACATCCCGTCGTCGAATGCCATGAAATTTTAATTTTCATTAGTCGAACGATATAATTTAGAGACCGCAGACAGCGAGCAATTCGTGGTACTTAGTTGCAGATACTTTTGTATCTCATTATACGTCTCGATAAAGCTTTAATTATTTTCGTTTTGTTCTGTGTGCGCATTTCTTTGTCACAACTATTTCAATAATGCACAACAATTTGTCAGTAAATAATTTCGAATGGTTCTCCGTCTGCGCGAAGTCAACAAAGTCAAAATTTAAAGAGAGTGCAAATACGATAGTATCTGTATCTTTTCCTTTCTGCTGACTGCAAATGGGATATGAGATTGCAGATTGGGGACTGGGAATGGGAATCGGAATGGGAATGGGAATAAGACTGGGTGTCAACAGCGCTCTGATTTATTTGAGCGCATTCAACGCTTCGTTGCATTTCGTTAATTTGCCCGTTTTCCGCTGCCAAAAGAGAATCAGCCCATCAGAAATATTTGCCCGTCTATGAGTGTTCATCCCCGCCCATCCTTGACAAACTGCCAAAATACTAAGGAAAACCCGAAGGCTTTCATCATAATCAGAAAACCAAAATTATCAACGAGCCGCATAATTATATTGTAATTTATGCCGTCGCCGAATTGGTTAAAATGTTTGCAATGTTCGATGCTCGTAAAAGATTTCAAACACTCAAACGTGACAAATGCCAATTTGTGTTCCGATCAATAGACACTTCTTCTTTTATGGCCAAAAATTTGGTCAATTACGATCAATTAAGCCATACACATGCAAATTAGTATTGCCACCTGCTGTGTGAAAAACGATAGGCATTTCAATTATGGAGGCTTATGGGGACTTTTGGGGACGGATATGAATATGCCTACAGCGGATGTAGTAAAATAATAGAGTCATCGGTATTTTATGTGAAAGTTGAAGTAACGAATGAATAAGATGTTTCCTATATTTATTTAGATATATCAAAGCTTTTTCTCAATTACTGAAAACATTTAGTAGGTATGCTTACTTATAGTTAAACAATGATATATATTCTATCCAATGGGATATACAGACCAACAAAGTCAAAACATCCTGTGAACTAATATCAATTTTTCAGAATTGATTGTTACTTTCAAATATTTATTTATATTGACTATAAACCTGATATTGAAAACCCAACCATCAGTAAGCCTACCTGATTATCTTCGGCTCCAAATAGATGCACCCAAATGGGAGTATCTCATTCAGAGATATATTTACCGCAGATATGTAACTAAATTGCAGATACAAATCGGTGAGCACACACTAGAGTGTCTGCTAATGATGCCCGACAGTCACACCCACTGGCAAACTGATGTTTGAATTTAAATTGGTCACTAATATGCCTCGCGAGAACCCCATCCTCCGGCCTCCAGAGTGCCCCTCTATTCCGGCAAGAAGCTAACGATGACGGCGCATTAATGGCAGGGCGTTCTCTTCAGCAGTCCGGCGATGTCTGATTACCGAGCGATTCGAGCAGAACGCAATTACGGAGCGGGAAAAGTGGTGCAGCGTGGCCGGGATGGGTGGGTGTAGGTGGTGGGGTAGCTCCATTGCCGGAAACTGGTTCGCTGTCCGCACCACCCGGCAATTAGCCGCCAGCCAATGGTATTGCCCCGCCAGACAGAGACACCAGCAGTTTGTCATGCGCCATATTGAAAAGTAGGAGGAGCCACAGCACATTTGTGGTGGTTGCTCAGCGGTCTCTGAATTTTGACTTGGGTGCCGTACGCGTACGTGATGTCTGCTGCAGTTTGTCAGTTGCTCGCAGATCTCTGAACGGTTCACTGCGTCGTGTCTGGTCCGGAAAACAAACAAACAAAAATTAGAAAAATAGCATTAAATATTCGGAAAAGTGACTTTTTGAGAGGGCACAATGGAACGTCCGGCCCTGCTGCAGAATGGAGAGATTGGCAACATGGATTCTTCTACAACCAGGCTGGTTAGCAAGCCATTTCCCAAGCCCTTCTCGATTGAGAGTCTGATTGCCAACCAAACACCTGCCAATACCGCACCACCATCACCGCCAGAAGAACGGGATCAGGAGCAGGAGCCAGAACAGGAGCAGGAATTGAGTGCCCGGGCCATGGTGGCCAGTTCCGCCTTGGGTCTCACCCAGTTCCCGCTGTACAATCCCTGGCTGCATGGCTATTTCGCCCAAAACCACGAGAGATTAACGCATTTAATTGCCGGCGGTTGTTACCTGCCATCCAATCCAGCTAGTCATCCGGCTTCACAGCAACAACAGCCTCAACAACCGCCGCCGCCACCACCACATGCCTTAGATAAGCAGCTTCCACCCACCTTACCGCATCCGCTTGATACGCGTTTCCTGCCTTTCAATCCCGCCGCCGCCGGAGTTGCGCCCACAGATCTGAGCTACCGGCGATTGGCTGAGCTCATGAACCAGGATTACGTCCATAGCCTAAGTGTCCATGCTCGACTGCAGCATATGGCCGCCGCCGGCAGGATCCACGAGGATCAATCAAATCCCGGCTTGGTACAGCTCCAGGAGCCATCACCTCCGCAGGCTCACTCGTCGCCAGCAAAGTCAGGAAGCCATAGTCCTGCGGAGCCGACACTGGATGTGGGCATGGACGAGGACTTTGAGTGCAGCGGTGACTCCTGCAGTGACATTAGCCTGACCATGTCCCCCAGGAACTATAACGGAGAGATGGACAAGAGCCGCAATGGAGGTGAGTACAAGAAAATGAATAACATTTGGGATGCTTTTGATTTTCTTGCGGGAATTTGATAGATAGTTTCCTTTATGTCGCTACACATTTTTTAAAGATCTTCATCTAAGCATTCAAGTACTATTTTTAAAAAAGTATTCGATTTTAATTAAGAAAAAGAGATTCAAAATCAGATTAGATGATTTCATAAGCATAGGTTTTATAAAATATGATGAAAGGTCAACTACGTAATATCAGATACCCAAATATGATCTTCTTAAAAGTTGTGGAAATTGTAAGTAAAATATCTAGCTTGTATTTTTGGAAGATTCTTCTGGAATAACTTATGTATTTTAAGGATATATAAAGCTTTATTGCTATAATACTAAAAACATTAATCACTGATCTCCGAAGTTAATTAACAAATGTTGCAAATGAAGAAAGTTATCTTTATATAAAGAAAGGACTTATTTAACTTTGATTCTTTTATTGATATTGTATTATAAAATCATCAACACAAAAATATTTAAAAATCGGCTTTAAATCGCCTTTTAAATATATTAAATTTAACAAAACTTAACTCAACCTATTAAGGATTTAGCCGCTATATGAAAACCTTTAAAAACATCTCAAGAGAATTACTTCTTGTAATATCAAATCTCAAACCCTTCCCCTTTTTGGAAACCCTGTCCAGTTTTGCGGTTACTCATTTTGTCGAGTGATGTTGTCACGGTAATTAAAATTGAAGCTGCCACGTCATAATCAAAATTAGCATAGAATGCATTAAGACCCAATGTTTGGTGTCAATCAAAGCTGTGAAAAGTTTTCATAACTCCGACTTTGGGATCCAGACCCCGAGACTCGACCACAATAGAAGAGAGACTGGAGTGCTGACGTTTTGACAATCATAACGATTTAGTTTGGTCATTCAAACGAAATGAAAATGGAAGTGGAAATGTACCACTCCCAGCCGCCACCTCACGACATCACCATAATCATCCGAAGCCTCCCGCTGCTGGGCAAAGTGTCTGAAAACAGAGCCATCAGCCGTGCCATAATCAATTTGCCAGCGAAGCTATAAAGAGCGCAACAAATTCCCGACTAATATATTCATAACTGGATCAAGTGGGGGTGTGTATTCAGGTTAAGGGAGTTACATGGGGGTGGTTATATGCCTTTGTGGGTGCTGTCAGGAAAACTGAGGGGATCAAACACGCAGATAAATCAGTGACAGCGGGCACTTTTGAAGCGTGTAAGTGTTAAAAAACCGCTTAACCGTGTACTTAAAACTAACAGGATCTGGAGGGGGAAAGGTTGTACATCTTGCTGTGGAGTGTCACCCTCCTCGAATGGAGCATTTAGCTTTCACGCTCAACTTGTGTCCATCCAAAACAAACAGATTAAGTTTCGAGTATTCGTGATGACTTCCCATCTCTTCTGGGAAGGGGGCAAGCCTTCAGACACATGTATCCAGTTATAAATAAATATGTTTGCCACAAGTTATGGCACGGGCCATTTGCGCCAGAAGTCCGAACTCGTTAGGGGCCCATTAATGGACATCTTGAAGAGAGTGTCTTGAGCCCGAGGAGAATCAGTCAGGATGTGGGCTGGACCGAGGCAACATTATTTAACGCAATGTGCTAGATTGACTCTGAAGTGAAGAGACAAACTAAACAGATGATATTGGGTATCTCAGGGATTAACTTGTTATAAACTTCATTACTCTATGAAAATATTCTGTACATTTAATAAAAGTTAAGTTAAATATTAATGCATCCTTCATACCTCTTCCAGCATATACCAATTCGGATAGTGAGGATTGCAGTGATGACGAAGGAGCACATTCTCGGCATGAGGGTGGCGGTTTGGGTGGCAAGGACTCGCAGGGTAACGGTTCTAGTTCCAGCTCCAAGTCCCGTCGCCGGCGTACAGCCTTTACATCGGAGCAGTTGCTGGAACTCGAGCGGGAGTTCCATGCCAAGAAGTATCTTAGCCTCACGGAGCGTAGTCAAATAGCCACCAGTCTGAAATTAAGCGAAGTTCAGGTGAGTTAGTTAAAATAATTAATGAAAGGAAAACCTAAGTTAATAATAAATCTTACCCAATAGGTGAAAATCTGGTTCCAAAATCGACGAGCCAAGTGGAAAAGGGTCAAGGCTGGACTTACGTCGCATGGCTTGGGTAGGAATGGCAGCACCAGTGGCACCAAGATCGTGGTGCCCATCCCAGTGCATGTTAACCGTTTTGCCGTACGATCCCAGCACCAGCAGCTGGAGAAGATGTGCCTCAGTGGACCGAAGCCGGATCTGCGCAAGAAGCTCTCGGCAGAGGCGATCGGAGGGTTTGAGAAGTTCAGTGGAGCTACAAATGCCCCGCCGCCAGCAGGTGGAACTGTGGGACTGGGAGTGGGGGTAGGTTTGGGCGTATCCACACCTCTCTCCCTTGCCAGAAGTATCTATTGATAGAGTTGGGCTGCCAAGACATGCGAGTGTAAATACCTAATGAGGCAGTTCAGCTGCAAACGGAGTTTTCTTTTTGTAAATAAACGAACAAAAAATCAAATTCAAATCTAAGTGTATTCTTGTTAAAAGTCTTAAGACTTCCAAAAGAAATTTCTTAAAATATTGAACTTAAAATTGGTTATGCCGGGTGACTTAGATTGATGTTGTCATGAGACACACTGAGAACCTAGTATTGGTAATATATCCTTTGTGCAACTGACCACATGAAAGGACATAAATCGTCCTGGCGTAAAAACACGCCCAGCTAAGAAGCGGAAGTCGAATGCCTCCAGGAGCCACTTAAGGGACCCCGGGCACAAATCTCGCCTCGATGTCAATTGGAACAATTAAACTGCCAATTTGTGCGATTAAGCACGGCCCAAAGTGGCCGTTTGGAGTGTCGAAAATCGAGCGTTGCAGTTCGAGTTCGGGTCGATTTATCTGTGACTAATTTTTGTAATTTAACGCACCAAATTGTCACGAAATGAGAGTCAGAGAAAGGATACCCTAATGTCCTGTGAGAAAAAGAGCGAGAGAGATGACAAGCAATCACTCCAGGTGTCTCACGTGTCACGCCTCTTTGCCAGACTGGAATCCTGAATGCAGGACTCTCTTCCCTTTGCCTCATGACTTATTAGCAAGCGGGAATCTCCCTGCCATTGTGTGTGAGTTTTTAATTGCATTAGCGACTTATTGGCTGCCTCCTGACTTTTGTTTGTTGTAACTCCCCTGTTCGCCCCTCTCCGCCTCTCAACTGCCTAATTGTACTAAACTGAAAGGGCAAAAAAAAACCACCCCAGGATATGGGAATCGAACTGGGAACAGGCCCTATACGGTATCACCCTCGTGTTTCGTCCTCGCAGCTTTATGTTGGGACACGCCTCCAAGCATGGGTTTTTATTATTGTAACACTTTGCAGGCAATTTGCTGCCGGCTGCGGGATTGCGGAGCGATGTTCTTTTGGAATCTAAATTCGGAAGCTGAAAGTCGAGAGATGGAAGCTGGCTTTGCGGCAAATGAACAAAGTGCGGCAGGATCGAGGTTCGGCTATGGTGGTTCAGGAAATGAGCTACAAAGAAGTAAGGATGTTATGGATATGGGATATACGAATAAAAAGATGCTAAAGTAGAAGAGTAACTCCTATGTTTAATGAGGTTGTTTTACTACCATTTAGTAATTCATAAATGAAATATAATATTAATATACTTGCTTATCCTTTATTTCTGTAGTGCATTCGCAATTCGTGACAACCAAACCGCCATGTCGACATTAGGAATATCATCAGCCACCGCTGATTGCTTCTATGTAGTTCCATCATGTATAGTACATTTTGCCTTTGTTGTAAATTATATTGCCATTAATTACGTGCGGATTTGTGTCGCCCAGAGCAACCTAAAGGCAGCGCGTTAAAAATCACTTTAAAATCATTAAAAAAATGGTAGGAAGTTTGCGGCCGTTGGCGAGGGTAGAGATTCAAATCCGGATCCTGTTAGCAGCAAAAGGGGGTCATAGTTGAATGCAGGGCTCTAAACGGACGCTCATAAATCAAGACAGAAATGCGCGCTGTCATAATTTGTCATAAGGCCGTGGACACGCCCACTTTTAAAAAACACACATGTGGCGGAGAGGAGTTCTCCGGGCTTCGCTTGGTTTGGCGGCAAGTTTGTTGCCATGGCGATCAACGGACTTTACAGGCCTTCAAAGGCACCGAGGACGACTCATTAAAGTGCACTTGTCAACGGCCCAAGACAGCGGGAATATCTCCATGAATTAACTGCCCATGAATTGGCTGCCACTCATCAACAATCAGCGGCAATCAGCAATGTAAACGGCTTGTAAGCAAAGGGGGTGGTACTTTCGGGGGTACAGGTATCCAGGGTGTGGAGGGGGTACTACTGGCATTGCCATGCGATCTGTCAGTCCCCCGAAAGACGGACGGTCGGGCACCCACAGCTACTCCGCCAGTTGAAATTCCGCCGAAGAGAGAATCAACAAAAAAATCAAAACGAAAATGCATTCACGCACCTGAATCCCTAATCAGTGGACAGCGATGACGATCCGTCAGGGTGGACAGGCGGCAGCTACCGGCGGCAATGCATTTGGTTGTTGGCTTTTGGGAACGAGTCAGATCGAATCGGTAGCAGGTGGGGTATATTAGAACGATTGGTCCAATAAACCATTTTTTGTTAGAATAAGAAAATACATCTATCCAACCTTTCATATCAGATAGTCTTCAAAGATTTATAGATTTATTTTCATAATTTCTAGGGTATTTTAGAGTACGATCCCCTGCACCTACTACTGCACTCTCATTGGTTTTCGTTTTGTTTGGTGAATTAATTAATTACCATTTTATGATTTTATTAATTTCCAAAACCGAAACATAAAGCATGCAAGCGGCGGCCGTTCTTGCTGTCGCCCCATCTACCTCCTCCTTCACTCTCACCAAAGCCCCTCTCCATGGGGCAGTGTCGCCGTTTTCTGTCCGCCGATGCCCATCGCCGTCCGTCCGTATTCCAATTCCCATGGCTTATGGGCACGTATCGGTGAGCTCGTAATAATAATGAATGTAAATTGCCGCAAAGAACGATTTAATGACTTAATTCTTTATTTATACTGCATTTTCATATATGTCGTTGCAGTCACGCCCCCCCTGTTCTCACCCTCTTCTTTTGGGGGCGGGAGTTATTCAAACAATTTGATAATGATTATTACTATATGCAGTGACCAACAAATCAAAGTGCCGACCGCATGAATAATGCAATAAAGAATAAGTGGAATAATGCATTTTGAAAATATTATTAGAATGCATATTTGAATTGATCAATTTTCAAAAGACTTTTTGCGGCTACTTTCTGGTCACGAAGGAAGCCGTTTGTCAAAATTTTGTCCAACGATTTCGTGTGTACCAGCCAATTAAATATAAATATATTACACCCATCTAACCCCTTTCCCAAGAAAGCTAAACGTTTCGGTGGAAAATATTAGAAACGGGTGTCCAAATGTCTGGGATTCGGTCAAAGCGTCGGCACTTCTGAGGATTTGGTGATGGAGTGGGTTCTGGATAGGTTGCGATCGATTGAATCTGATGGGAATTGAGAAAGGAAGTTCTCATTGAAGATCGGATAGGGGGTTTGGTAAAGAAATTCAATAAAAAACTAAAACGTTTTACAAACCAACCATATACTAACTACGACGAAAAGGATATAAACACTTCCTTCGTTCTAAATCACACAGATACATTCTGATCCCACACACATAGAGATTCTTATGTTTTTATCTTTTGCATAATTTGGCATAACGATCCGGCATTAATCAAAGGACAATCCTCTGACAACCCACAATCACTTCCGCTCTGTGGTAGACCACATAAAACCAAGAATCGAGATTATGGAACACCATAAGCCATAATAAACCAAATTGTGGCGTGTGCACGTATTTCAGGTCTGGATCCGAGAATCTGGGTGGCCCTACTAGAGATCATTTAGAATGAGTTACGAGGCCAGAATGCTATGGCCTACGTGTCCTGTATATAGGGACACGTTTATGGGGCCCGTAGAACTCAGAACACACGTGCAGATAATTGATAAAAGATTGGATCAGATAAGATCCGTGCTGCTGTTTTGGGTAATTGATATTCTTGTCCATCGATAGTCGCAATAGGGGGATGGCAGACATCCCGCTGAGCCACTTCGATATAGTAATCTGACCCCTGATTTTCCGTCCAGTGGTATAAAAAACGGCGGACGCAATTTATGCCACAGCATCCGTATAGGTTACACCCACTATTTCCCCATCTTCATGTGCTTTTCATGAGTTGGCAAAATAAAACGGCAAATCCAATGAAGGCAGAATAATAAAAAAACGAAGATGTTCCGCTCGCAAAAAGAGCAAATCATCATCATATGTACAAGACATTGGGGAGCTATCGCCCAGGCTTATGCCACGCCCCAAAAAGGGGACCACGGAGACCCGTGTCAGTCTGTCTGGACTCGCTCCAGTTCCGCCCACCGACTTCCGGCCCGTAAAATGCGGAGTCTGGGTTTTTTGTGACCATAATTCCAACTATACTGCAAGGGAGTTGGATGGTGAGTGGGTGGCTCTCGTCCGTAATTATAAACCACCCACTGGCCCTTGGCCGTAAGCGTAAAAAACCGACCGAAAATGTGATGACGTAGTTAGTGTTTGCGAGCCACCAGTGAATTGTTTGGCAACGCCCACCGCTCAGCGGGTGGTCAAATTTTGCGGTAATCATCGACGCGCGAGGGAATCCGGAATCCAAAGTCCTGACTCCGGAACTGATGCTAAGTGCTGCCAGCAATCTGTAGTTTTGGATAGCAGCCAACCAATAAACATAAAAAAAACTAATTTAATAAAACGTCTATATGCGAATGTTTGCAATTTCCAGAGCAGCGGAAATCAATAGAAATTGTATATTTTCCTTAGAATAAAGAGCATATGGAAATTCGTAAGACAAATCATGGATAGACATTATCATATTTAATAGAAATTATTTGACATATTTAAAACAAAAATATATGTTTGAACTAAGAAAAGGTAACACTTTAATTGATATTTGTCATCTTGGAGAATTCATACCATCATACATAGCTTAGAATTAAAAGCTATTGACGATCAGTACAAGAAACTTAAATATTATTTAATTCAACCTAAACAGTTTTACTGCAGCAGAATATTCTAGAAAATTTCACTACGAATTCACTCTTAATGACTAATCTTAATAGTAGCGTCTAACATGCATTTAAGAACTAGAAAAATAGCCTACACATGGCCTACAACTAGATTTGACTATGATCGCTTGCAGAAATGGCCAATTTACATAAATGTTCACAACATATCACAACATTGTAGAATATAGAACAAAACATCTAGAAGTTTAATCCTACAAACGCTGCACACACCGCCTTACGAACTTGGCCTTGTGGTTGCACATAAAACGCAGCAGACAGATGACCAGTAACAAACTCACTCCATATCCAACTACCAGAACGGCCCGCTTCCTTCGCTTCCAGCGCTGATAGTCCCGCCAGGTTGCGTAACGATTACGGAATTGCGGCGGAAGCTCAAACTTGCTGCGCCGCGGGAAGAAAGATAGGTAAAAATCTTCTAGCAGGTGGCGCACCATCTCGTTGTCCTCGCTTCTATTGGCATCCAGATTGTCGTTGATGCAGTTGAACTTGCGCGGATTTCGACGCAATCTATCAAGGGATTCCACCACTTCTGTGAGATTCGAGGTGAGCATCATAAAGTTGCTGTGCGAGGCTCTCTTAGGGCTGACATGGTAGTGATATTTGGGTCGGACAGCAAAGTTAGCCGCCAAAGCTTCAGCCAACAAGGGACATCGCACTACTAAGTCCCTGGTAATAGTGGGCTAATTTAAAAATAGTAATGTGTTAGTGAGGTTTTTTTTAAATGACTTAGAGGTACTAACCAAATTAGAATCTTCATATCGCTCGTACACCAGCGTAGAATGTTCAACAGCATCAACTTTTAAATGCAAGCCCAGATTTCTAGTGCAGTTCTGAATCACTTCCTCGAAGTAACGCATGGCTGACCAATCGAGTGGCGGTGGATAGATGCGTGTGAGAAAGGTTCGTACCTCTCGATCCGACCAGGTTGCCGAGCCATCCGTGTCGAACTCATCAAAGATCTCCTCCACACCCATTACCTTTGTTTCGCTCATGAGGAAGGAATAATAAGCAAAGGCAAACTGCAAGTCCGTGGGGGCCCGAAAACGTTGTAGGGCAGTGTTAAGGACTTGCTGGCGGAAACGCCTGTGCATTGCCTCCACAATATTCTTTTCTATTAAGAAGCCTACATGCGCTAGGACATGGCGTGCCTTGAAGCCATAGGCTCGATTTAGCAACATATTGGTGGCAATCAGCGAGTGTGAATAGATGTCAGTAGATGATTTGAAGTCCTCTTTGTGGAGTGTATGGCGTTGGGTTGTCAACGGCTCGGAGCTCGTCGCCTCTGGTTCAGGATTCAATGACATCAATTTAGCCTTGTTAAAGCGCTCCACAATACGCCGGAGTTCTTTAAGCGTGGACACATTACGGTGGCGCATCACATCTTTAAAGTTAGCGGAGCTTTGTTTAAAAAGTTTTTGAAGCCCCATGTGAGGGAAGCGGTGGACCGTGGTTTTTAGAACAACGGCAGGTTCCACATCGAGCGCTTCATGGCTTTGTGGTAAGACGTGGGCTTCATCCGCTGGCCCAGTTTCGCTGCAGTCTCCTCCATCAAATTGGCAGGCGTCGATGTTGCAGTGCCGATCGCATGCCCCATCGCCTATGTAGGTCCATGGGCAGTCCAACGCGCAGTCTGGCACCATCCAGGCCTGGTAGACCCGTACTCCTTCAGCCTCTGTATAAAGATCCTCTGGGAACAGCGGTGCCCCCAGGAATATATCGTCGTTGAGGTAAAGAAACCTTTTGGACAGCTTTGGTATGCGGTGCAGGAATGTTTCGATGGCCGCACTGGAGAAGGTAGGAAGCTGCGTGGGGTCGGGAGCCAAAACTTCGTGCGGCACCACCGTAACCTTTTCGTAGCTGAGATCCAACCAATTGGGAATCTGTCCATTGGTCACTATGTAGACATGTCTGATCCAGCTGGCGTGCTTCTCCAGGGATCTTAAAGAGTACCGGAGCTCATTTTTGTCATCGAACCGCGATGGATCGTATTTGGAATCGAAACGAAGGATGGACTCAATAAAGCTGGGATCGGATCCATTGACCCAAGTGTAAACAGCGTCGATGGCATTGCAGGAGCTGCTAAAACCGCCGGTTTGAAACTCCTCCGATCCGGATAAATAGTTGGCAGTTACCCAAATCACCAGACAAATTCCACCAATTACTGGATTTGAGTATTCCTTAATTTAGTTAAGTAATAGGAAGGGTATGTGGAGCAACTTACCCATGAGTAACTGCAGCTTCCTGCGTGACTGCAGTCGAAATTTTTCTATGGCTCGCCTCATCCTTCGCGGCCAGCGGCGCCGAAGGCGCATTCCTCAGGTCCTTAAATGGCACATTTCATACATAATTCCCGCAGTAAAAACAATAACATAAAAAGTTTGTTTTTATTGAGGATAGTGTGGCCGCAGCGCGACTTGATAAAATTATCAAAGAATACCAGGTTTATGGAGTTCAGGTTCCACCAATTGGAAAAGGTATATGTCACGACTAAGTGAATATCACACCCTTGTTTGAATTATGGTATATACCGATTATTTCAAATTAATTTAAGGTAATTATTAAAGTAAGTATGATATTAATATCAAAACACTTTATATAACATGCTATAAACATTGCAATTAATTTTTTAGTATTTTTCTAATCTCATATTTTTAACCCGATTTGACAACACTACGGTCAGCTGGTGTACATCACATGACCGTCATAAGGTTTTTTTCTCACTGGAATAGGCGACGTCGTGCAAGGCAAAGCGAAAATTTTCACCACCATTTTTCGTTTGTAGTTTCAGTTCACTTTTCGGTTGGTTTCTAGTGCCTCTTGTGTTCTCCTTGGTTCTTAACTTATGAGTTCTTTGTTTTCCTTTGTTTTTATAAAACCCTCGAAGTAAGCGAATCCAGCGAGATGTTGTGGAAATCGCTGATTGCGTTGTGCGTCATTGGGGCTGCCTTGGCGGAGCAAACGCCCGTGTTTCTGTGGGGAGCCAACAGGTGGGTATTGCAAATGCGATCTCACCAGTTGAATGTGTAATAAATTCGAATATCTTATTATCATTATATTAGTGCGGCGAAGCCCTCCCTGAAGACGGTCCCCCAGGCGGAGTTTGCTAAGCAGTTAGCAACGTTGCTGGAAGATCACATGGTTGTGGCCTTCGAGGAAAATGGCGTAAGTGCTTGCTTACATATGTCAATAGAAGATAACTTAACCGGTGAAACTTTTCGATTCCTACAATAATGAAATATAATAGCTGAGCAGCAAAGACTTCCTGTGCTCTAACTCCCAGTCGCAGTCCTGTTACGCTCAGCTGCAAGGAGTGAGTCCCAAGACTTACTACACCAGCGTGGAGAATCCCTCAGAGGCACTCCGTTCGGTCGCTGCCAAGCGGGAGCACAATTCCATCGATGCAAGCGGAAAGTTGACCACCCCAGCCAAGTGCTCCGTAGGCACGGCCCTCTTTGTGAGCTTTGAGGATTCTGCAGAGAGCCGAGAGTCCAGCCTGGAGTCACATGGTGGGTAATACCAAAAACAGCAAATTTGACACACTTAAGTTACTATGTTTAAAATAATTTTCAGATGCCGCCATTGCCGCTATCAGCAAGCAGTTCGATTGCAAGGTGGCTTATCTATACCTGGCCACCCCTTCAACTTCTCCTGTGGTGCAGCGTCGCACCCGCCGTGACACAGCCGCCACCACCGGCGGTATCATGTGGTCGAACAAAACGTTTCAGATCTTCTACACCGATTTGCTCTACAACGGCAATTCCATTCCGAGAACCGGAATGTCGGTCCAAATCAGCTCGGCCACTCAGTTTTCCGTTATTCTTAAGGGAGATAAGGACATCACCTTTGACGTTCTATATGATGGTGGATACTTTAGCCTGAGCAATTTGGCTTACGACGGCAGCACCTTCCGCTCCAGCGGTGTAAATGCCCCCACCACGTTCTCCTACTCGTGCGGAAACCTCACCCTCGACTCCAATGCCGTGAATAACATGTACAACACCCTGAGCTTCAAGTCCCTGCAACTGCAGGCTCCATTCGATGACAGCTACCAGGCAAACTTTGCTTTTGGTGACTCCTGGGATTGTGTAGGCTTCGTGACGCCCGGAATTCTAATGGGACTGTTTGTGGTCGCCTTACTGTTGGTCATCATGTTCCTTGGCGTCTGTTGGATGATGGATATCAACACGATGGACCGCTTCGACGATCCCAAGGGCAAGACTATCACCATCAATGCCGCTGCTGATTAAACGGCTAGCTAGCTTCATTAATTCACTCCTTATTTGATTGTTCAATACGCACTCAATATTCATTCCTCTATTCCTTCAGTCTATCTACATATATTTGTAAACGTTTCAATACTTAATACCGTAACCATATAACACATAACCGGGAAATTAGTACTCACAATTTGTATCATATCTGTAATTTTTGCCGGCAAAGATCAGTTGACGCCCAGCATCAAAGTGCCACTGGTTTTTGTCGCCGAAAATTGTCTGAGGTTTTGCTTGCACCGACTTGGCATCCAGTATTTCATTTAGTATAGCCCCTAAATGTCGTAAATCGAAGGAATTATAAAAAGACGCACACGTGTGTGTGTACGATTGTGTGTATGTGTGAGTGCCCATAGGCAGTAAATCTAATCTTTAATATATCTAAGTGTTTTATAGTTTCTTGTTTGGCGCAAATATGCGAGACTAATTTATGCCTCTGTATGATAGTTTGTCATTTGTGCAACCCTCCTGTTCGCAGGCCCAACGAAAATAAAGTTTTTTTTCAATTGTGTTACAAATGAAAAGTTTTTATTAAAGAAAAGTCGATGGTTTGATACTCTTTCAGAATGATTTCTGAGACATTACAATTTATGACATTGAAAATAAGATAATGGTAATGAACAATATCTGTAAATAAACCAGCCAGCATTGGAGAATGTAAAATAACATAAAAGCAACGTAAAAGTCGATGAAAAGTCAAATAGTTCTAGATATCTATTTCAATTCCGTGATCCCAACTTTAGATAGAAATTGGTAAGATAATTGGCCATATCTATTTGACAATAATAAGCTTAAAATATTATTATATGTAATTTGGGGCGGGATGTACTTATAATATCACGTAGGCGATAAGACTCATTTATTGGCTGGTATCCAAATAGTTGATAACAACTTTTTGTGTAGCTTGTTTTGGAAACAATTTCAATTGAATTCTCTGGTCTTGTAGGGCGTAAAAAGTCATGGAAACAAATCAAAAGTTTAATGGAAATTTATTGGGTTGCATCGATGGGATTTTCGAGAGATAGAGATACTCACACCGCTCTTCGGTTGAAACTTGAAGTTGAAACTTTCCAAACTGCAGCAAAGGAAACCCATTTCCCCGGCTTTCATTAAGTTGCTTAGCTGGAGTGGCAAAAAGCATTGTTTATGACATTTTAATCTCTTGTTTATCCGCTTGACTTTTCCACTTGCCTGCGAGTGCAAAGTGGAAAGCTGCAGCCGCCTCCGTCTGGTCAAGGCGTGCGTAAAATAAACTCTCCGGCAGACAGCGCAAAAAAGTATGCTACGGCCGGGGTACCAGAGTACGTGGGCGTATGGGTGTACCAGCGGGGTGGACGCTGTGTTCTCTGAGCCAAGAGGACACGGTTGACTGCACTGCGAGTGGCTGGCAGGCGCTTAACGTTTTTGTTGCATTAGAAACAGGTCAGTGCGTCATGCACACAAATGAGCATATGACCCAACTGGAGCACAGTGCCTCCCGCCAATGGAAGAGTGCAGCGCGCCCAAAAAACTTGTGCCAAGTGGGGTCCTGGGAGCTGGCTATTGGAGGGTAACCGGCGGTATTCGAGGGTATCCGGGGCTCGAGGAAACAGTAATTATGCATAAGTCAACACGCGGCATTCGTAATGAACTCCACTCAAAGCGGAACGAGCACTTTGCGGACTCTCAGCCATAGCGCAAGTTCGCAAAGTTTTTGGCAGCCGAAAATGTCGCCAACTTGCCAGCTGCCGAAAGTTTCCGGCCAACCCTAAAGCAGCCTCGAGTTCTCTATGTAAGTATGGCATGTGGAATTTTTAACGGATGTGGTCAGAACTATAGTACCCTTGGCGTAAGAAGTTTTTCTGAATTTATCACATATACTTTAACCCTCGTAATAAATAAGGATTTCCACTAGATGTAACCACTGGGAACGCTAAAGATAATAGTTTTAACTGTTTCGTGATTTTATAGAAAAAAAATATAATTATAACTATATTTTTGAAGCCAACTGTAAGAACTTGTATGCAAGTTGGGTTCTTAACCCTGGCAAGCCGTTGGACCTTCCTGCTGCGAGAACCCCTGAGGTTAAAGTGTCGCTCTCTCCTCGCCAGCAGCCACAGGCCGTAATAAACCCAGCGGTCTACAAATTGCAGCATTAGGCAGGCACAAACACAAAATGGGAATGGGGAATGGCCAACGGCCAAACGGAGGAGGAAACAGGCGAGTCCAAGTGCTCGAACACATGTCCTGTTCGTCTGCCAGTAGAAGAGGACGACTAGGAGTGGCAGTAGTAAATGCACCCAATGCAGTTTGAAAAGTTGCTGCCCGTTTGCTGTCATTAAGCTGAGCCACAGTGCGAATCATTAGGCACAGGAACCAGAGAACGAGGATTGGAGGAGCTGGGAACTAAAAGCTGGGATCTCAGAGCTTAAGCCAAAGCCAAAAACAATAAAATCGCTGCAGGGCGAGCGGCTTGGGCTAAACTTAATGATGGCATTTGTGCAGTCCGGGAGTTTTCATCCATCCATCTGCCACCCATTTCTGGTACTTATCTCCACTAAGTGGATGTGGAATCGCTTTGTAGGTTGCGGGGCATGATTAACTAATAAGTACAACCGCCTGGGAGGAGGGATGAGCGATTCCTCAAAGGGGATTCCGCGTATAGCGCGCTAATGAAGTCATTTGTGTCGCTGTTTTGAATAGGATTTCAGGTTGGCTTAAGGATTGAGGACTCCTCTTCGGAACATGGGGTGAATGAATTCATAATTATGCCATCATCATAAACAGCTAAGATCAAATGACTGACCTTTAAATTGAAGATACTTTAATTTCATGAATATTGTTAGGCTATTCCTGTAACATTTCCATCAATAAACCGTAGCTAATGTGATTGATTTTCCGACCAGTTTTAGTTTCAGTTTTCAGTTAAGTTTTCTTCTGACCAAACCCACAGACCGACCACCCATTAACCTTTAAACCGACAAATCACTCTGAAATTCCGAACCAGTTGACCTCAAATTAAGCTCAATCGAGTTGACTCCGAGGATGCTGTAACCGGGCAGGATAGATAGAGAATTTCGATTTCTGGGCCAAGAAGTGCCGGCACTCGTACATAGAGTGGTACATTGGTCAGTGGGTTGGGTGGACAGACATTAATTAGTTGTCATTTTTAACAATTGAGCGTGACAAGGGAAACGAAATGTTGGCAAACACCGAACTTCTGTTTTTCTGCCTCTCTGTGGGCGGTTGCAAATTAACTAGGAAAAGCCCATCTCCGCCTGGTCCTCCTCCTCTCCCTCCGGGAAAGGGATATGGAAAGATAAGGGCTGCGTTTCTGTTCCAGTTCGGAGTTAAACCAGAAGCTGTGACAATTGACAAATGATGTTGGCGCCGTGTGACGTGTGACAGATAAGTGCCGAAAAAGGTTTACAACTTTTGTCGACTGCCATTTATTATTGATGTCCGGATGCTGAAGTCCTCAGCAAATTAAAGCCTCTGCTCCCCAGTTAACCAGCGGTCCGGCAATTAGGCAACAGCTCAGCCATAATGACATGCAAAAGGATTAGAGCGCATGAAGCCTGGACAGGGCTGCAAGCACTGACCCAACTTAAGAGAGCTCAAAGCTACGGCTTAGGGTGTAATCCGGAGCGTGTAATTCCACCACTGACCTGCTTCCACTCTACACCTGAGATGGCAGGGCCAGGAATTAATTAGTCCATCAGGGGTCGAGTGATGAGGTAGGGAGGGGGACAGTTCATAAACCAAGGTGACAGGCTCAGTTTTCTGACTTTAGCATGAAATAAAACCATTGCGATTCTTGGATTTAAAGAAAATAAAAAGAAAAACTGCACCCTCTTAAATCATGTAATTTCATCTTTAATCTAGTTTTGAATATTATTTTAAGAGGTAAGAACTATGGCTTTCACATTCAACTTTTATTTTGAAAAATATCTCGATGATGATGCCACACATAGAAGCTATTCAGGCATAAAGATGGCCCGAATTAATGCAAATTTTAGGGAAATACATGGCTAGTGCGCAAATATTTCCCCATGCAAAGCCGATTAGCTTTCCCACCATGTAAGACAAGCCCAAACATGGCGAGAGGATAAAGGGGACATACTCATCACCAAGTGTAAATAAATCGCACTGGCAGTTGAATGGAGATATATCTATAGATGTATATATAGATGTGGATGGGAACTGAACACCATTCGAAGGCAAGCGGATCAAGTGCATTTTTATGTAAATGTATTGTGTGGCAAAGTGAAAATGCGTAGAAAAGACGACACGAGGGAGATTTGCAGGGGGGGAGCTTTCGATTTCCATAACGGGGGTAAATTGGAATAGAAAGGAGCCAACTTGGCGTTCTATTTACATCTCTTCTCGGTGACTCCTTTTCTCCCCCTCGACTTTATTGATTGAGTGAACCAGCAGCAGCAGGCGTCACATGTGTGTTTGCAAATCATATTCAATATTTTGTTTGTTCCACCTAAACATCCCATCCACTCGACTGAACCTCAACCCATATAGACTTGGTTACCGATTGCTCTTGCAATTGTTTTTGTACTTTTGATTGCATTTGGCCCACTGACTTGCTTTCCACTCGCTGCCCACGGACATTGTTGGCCAAAAATTGAACCCAACCCAACTTTTACACAACTTAATCATAGAGCAGGGTATCAGGCCAGGGGCCAAGGACCAAGGACCAAGGATTCAAGGATTCGAGCAACAGCAGGAGAAACCATCTGTCTGGCAGGCATGCCGCATTTGTTGAGCTCGTACCTTTTCGTGTTGCCACAATGTTGCCGCAAAAGTTTTCACATTAAAACCGTTTCATGCTGGCAAATTGTGAAATGAGTTAGCTGCGTCTCCCAAAAGGCACCATGGCTTTCCCCCCAAAAAGTAAAAGTTCAAAATTGCCAGAGTGCCGGAAATTTACATTGTTTGCCTTGGTAATATCTTTTGCAGCTCTTAAATAAATAATTAAATTTCCAAAAATTTTACGTAATCAATTACTATCATATTGCCTGTGGTTAAAAAACTTTAATCTTTTTGGAAGTTAGGAATATTAATCATGTTAGCTTATTTTGTCAATATTAAATTACTTTACTTAACAAACTTTACAAAGATTAGTTTTTTACACCAGGATTTGAATAAAATATATTAAATAAATATTTAAATCAACTTTTTATTTGCTTAATATGACATTTTATCTATTTACATGCCTTGTGATTTATGTTAAACATTAATTTAAAATGTCGCTTATTGGGGTAAGCGAAAATATGTTTTATTAAGTGGCAAAACCCCATTCCGCTTAAAAAAGAGAAAGTAGAAACATGCAACATTAAAGAAGTAATTAAGTCTCACAATTTGTATGTTGTTAAAGCTTTTATCTTTTGTTTAACCCGCTGATATCGAGCCAGTATTTAACTGAATATTTCATTTCACTTTTGCATGAACAAATGTGTACACGAATCGATTGTTTTGTATTTCAGATATTTAAATTGATATCAAAGTGTCAACAAGTCTTTGTTAT